GGTGTGGTTGGAGACATGACTTTTGCAATTGTTTCTTTCATTCAAAGGGGGTCTGATTTCTGTTTAAACCTTTGGGATTGTGCTGCTCGATCATTATATGTCCTGAACACGATGACGTTGGCAGCGATTAGACTTTTCGATGTTTGGCAGTTCGCAACGGCATCTGGTGGTTGAGGGCGCATCAACCGAATTTTTCAACGTCTTGGTCCTCTGACAACGCCATTGGAAGCCATTTCCGGGTCTTCGGTGACAGTGCACTGGGAACTGCGATGTCCCGGCCGTAATTGTGGCGCTGTTGTGTCGCTCGACGGCACTTGAATTCGKACATGAGAAGAGCTGTCTCGGAGGCATCGATGTGGACTGTCACATGAGGGGGACCGACGTAGCAAATGCCATCTCGGCAAAGTGACTGATTTACTCCTCCAGTCGTTCTGAGCTGCCGAGTGATGCAAAATCATCGAGATATGTCGTTGGTCCCAAGCAAAGACATAGAGCGTGCTGCAGCAACGTCAACTGCTTACGCTAGGGTTAGGGTTTGGGTAGTGGTCCGGGACAAGCTCTTTGGATACAGTCGCAAGTGCAATGGCGATATGTGTACGACTGAGTTCTCGTCAATCTGAAGCTGTTGTGAATACTATAGGTGCGATCTGAGTACCTGTGCTCGTTGGAAACGAAGCACCATGGCAGGCACACTGCCGTTATCTGCTTATGGTGTTCACTGCTCTTACGGAAGCTACGTCCCTTTGCGTCGTTGTTCCTTGGGAAAGAATAACCCAGGGTGATCTTGTTTCCCTTAGTTTGCGATTAAGAAAGACGATTGTTTCTAGAAGTGAGTAATGTGCACTGTTCTTGTATTACTTTTCGCTTGAACTATTAGTGTGTATACCTTAGGCCTACTCAATGCACGTGTTCAAGTGTATGGAAGCCCTATATATCGAGAATCTTTCCTTAAGTATCCAAATCATCTATTCCGCACTTTCAGAACACTACAAATCTACATGGCTGCTTCTAGCAAGTGCCAAGAGCCAAATCAAGCATTACGCCCAGACTTTGACATGGTTCATCCTTGGAGCAGATCACCTTGTCAAATGGACAGCAACCTGCAAAGGCCCGATAGCAGCATTCACTTCACTTAGGCGGACTTCCGCAAAACCGCTCGTAGCCGAAACATTGAGCCGATGCATCCAAGGAATGGCATCTCGAAATATTCGATAGTGGATATGGATCGATGGAAGAAGCGAAAGAGAAAAGTCTTCTTGTCAAAAGTCTTTCACTCTTCTTACTTTCGTTAGTGTTAACTTTCTCGACTCGCAGCTTTGGACTCCTGAGCGTCCATATCGTTGGTTCTTTTCAACACTGATTCTGCAACCAGCATGTACGCTGTCTTTGTCGTATTGATTGTCTATCTCGCAGCTTTCGTAAGCACCTTCGGTGCTTCGATTGCTGTGGGAGGCGGTGATGGAATTACCGCAACCTTCGAGGTTCCGGAGAGCCAAAAGTCCTTTCTTGTTTCCACATATCTTATGGTAAGTCCAGAACTCCATCAGCTCTGCTCGTGTACTCACATACAACAGGGCTGTGGCCTCGGGCCCTTACTGTTCAGCCCCTTGAGCGAAAGATGTGGTCGGAAATGGTCAATCGCTGCTGGTGTCCTCTTCATGGCGACCTTTACGACAGCATGCACAAAAGCACCCAACTGGGGAGCGTTACTTGCCTTCCGATTCCTCGCTGGACTTGGATCCTCGGCAACATTATGCACATCGAACGGCATCTTTGCCGATATCGCCCCAAGTCCTGCCATCAGAGGGATCATGAACTGCTGGACCATGGTGCTTACAGCGTTAGGTCCTCTCATGGCTGCCATAACATCCATTTCTGTGATCTCCCGATGGCCGGACAGGTGGGATATCTGCTTCTTGATCAACGCCGGAATCGCCTGGCTTGCCTTTCTGGCAGTACTTTCACTCCCCGAGACATCCGCAAAGGTTGTGAGTGCCGCGTCCTCCATCGAGTCCCAATCAATGAAGAAGGAGGAAACCTGGTCTCGAATAGTCCTGCCCCTTCGAATGATCTTTATGGAGCCAATTGTCACCACCAGCACATTATTTCTGAGCCTCCTGTATTCGATATTTTTCCTCTTCTTCCAACTTCTGCCACGGATCGGATCGGACGTCTATGGCTTTGGGACGGACCGTCAGGTCATTGTCTTCGTCCCCATTGCCATTGGGGCCATCCTGGCAGGGTTAATTATCACGATACTCGAGCCAGCTCTTCAGGCGCTGTCTGAAGCCAACAGATATAAGAGTGATCGGCAACAAGAGTTACGCAGACTGCCCCCTGCATGCATCGGTAGCTTCTTAGTCATCATCTCACTCTTTGTCGTTGGATATGTGGTGGCAAGCCGGGCTCATTACATGTACATGTTAGTCGGGGAGGCAGTGTTCTCCTTGGGCATGGTCTTAATTTTCATGGGACTGACAAATTATGTCGCGGATTCATACAAGGTATGTCAGCATACAATGCCTCGTGTCGTGCAATAACTAACACTTGACTCAGACTGCCATTGCTTCAGCCATTGCTCCGACTTGGATAGTGCGCAATTTTCTCGCAGCAGGCCTATCATTCGCGGCAGCGCCTCTCTACTCCCATCTGGGTGCGCAATGGGAGCTGTACTTGCTTGGATTCTTGAGTCTGCCGTTCGCAGGGCTGATATGCGGCACGCTGTATGCTGGGCCGTGGTTGCGAGAGCACAGCGAAATCTGTCAAAGCATCATCAAAGTGCCAGTCGAGCAGGAATTAAAAGTATAGAGCCTTTCAAATCAAGTCTGATGCAATCCAAGCGCACGTAAAGTGACGTGCCACTGCGGGAATGCTGCAGCTCACCGATAGGTGAACGAAACATGATCGCCAAGGCTTGAAAAGCGTCGACAGAACCCCATGCATTTTGCTCCCATCGAAGTTTTGACTCGAGGTCCCTGTTGTATTATGTTTACACGAGTAGGATTGTCGCAATGAAGCTTGGGCCTCAGTGTGGTATGCAGGTCCGGCATTGAGCACCGGGTTTTGATACCTTAGGGACCTGAAAGCTGGCTATACTTCTCTCACAAAGATCTCATCAGCATGCTCGATGTTCAGCCTAAGAAAAGCTGCGATGTCCATCCCACCATCCAGCTCAACTCTCTCCACTCTACTGCCGCCGTCTTTGAAAAAGCCTCCTTTGAAGAAGAGGAAATCTTGTCCTGAGACCATGAAATTGTCAAGTCTCAGGTATTGAAGCTTGGTGCGGTCGAGCAACGTCTGAAGGAGGGCAGCAAGATAGCCATCGTCCAAGGACACATTGGCATCCTCGCCGTCTTTTGAGTGCCTGTCAAGAGAAGTCCCGTCGATAGTAAGTTCCTCAAGACTATTTGACGATCGCTGGAGAAATTCGAGCAGCACGTCGGGCGAGACTTCGGTGTTGAACAGCGTCAACTCTCGTAGACCAGGGAACTGCGTGCCAACGATAGCATCTACTATCTGGTGTCGATCCTGTTCTACTTTTGTAGTAGGGTCGCTCTGGCTGCAAATCACTCTMAGGTCCAACTCCAGCTTGCATGAACTCGTAAGATTTGCGAAAATGGCTTCCAGAGCCCCAGAGGCTGGGAGCTGATAGTTATCATACATGTGCTTCCGATGGGCCTCGTGGAAATCCGCCTGCTCATTTTTCAAAACGTGTTTCCATCGGCTGATATTGATGCTTTGAAGCATCGTTGGGACAATTTGTATTTGTGACCGAGATTCATCTTCCCACGGATCCAGGCTAAAGGATATGGTCTGAATCTTCGACGACAGATGTTTCCGTGAGGTAATGGCTTGCAGTCGCTCCATCCGTTGCGAATCCAACAAGTAGCACCATAGATGACTGATCCATATCTCCGCCCAGGCATCAAATACGGCGGCGTCAAAAGCCTTGCAGACAAGACGCAGAGTGTGCAGCTCGAAAGCCCGCCGGACAGGCGATGCGGCCACGATAAGTTGAAGGACTTCCACGGGCAGCTCCAGGATGTGGCATTCTGCTAGTGGCGACATGTCTTCGGGTTGTGAGAAGACGCAGGAATGGAATGCTCAGGTGGATGAGCGTGTTGTGCAGTACATGTAAGCTTGGAGGTAGACGCGAGGAGACGCGTCGTCTAAGCATATGCCAAGCCTTTCTCCGGTCTCGGTGTAACCATAACATGACTCGCTAAACACATCTCAAGCAGATCTCTGCCACGTTCCGACGCGTGGACAGTCTGCGGGCGTGCAAGGTCGCATGGCCGTCCGAACAGTACAACTTGGAAGTGAGGGTACAAATGACTAGCCGCACCACACACCTGGTTCACTGGGCGACCACCGAGCTCTTTGTTGGCAATAATGCAGGCATGTCGGCGGAAGGATCGGAGGGGATCGAAATCCTGGAAATGTGAGACGCGCTTGATGTCACATCCCTGCTGGCAAGCATTTGCTAAGACCCGACAAGACTCCCTCTTCATTAAACCTGTGAACGCTTCCACCACCTGTTCCCCATCCTCCACAGCTCCACTGCTGCACCTATTCTTATCGTCCGAATCGCAGCCCAGTAAACCATGGCTTTCCTCACCCTCCGAAGCCTGCTGCTTCCCGCATCGCTTTTGAGCGTCCTCGTCGCTGCCGGACCTGTGCCCGTCGAGCCGATCCCAGTGGCAGCTCCAGACGCGGTGCGGCCGGAGGACGCGTTGGTGACACCATCTGTAGTGCATTATGATCCAACAAAGACGTACCACAACAACCTGAGGAGAGATATCATCTCCGACATTAAATCTCTCGGGGATGCGGCCACTTCTGATATTGATTCCATCATTTCAGGTTTGGGATCTGCTGTGAGGAAACAACATCTTCATCGGTGGTCACGCGCTGACTTCAATATAGGTCCCCTCGTACGTCGCAAGCGGAGTTGCACCCTTCTTCCAGAACTTCCCCACGGGAGGGAGTGTTGTCAGCTCGCTTGGACTGAGTGATGATCAATTGGCTGCTGTACCCACGCAGGCTCTCAACCTTCCTCCATATGCGAACTACRCCGATCAGGGTTGGAACGTCAGATTCCATGGAAACATATACAAGCAGCCCAATACCTCCCAGGAGAAATTGAATGACCTTGCGAATGTCTTCTTGATCGACACGTCTGTCTCGGAATTGCCCGAGTCCCAAGCAGATCAAGCACGGAATGTAACTGCGTCAATCTTCGTGGTCCAACAGGATGAGGTCAATGTATCCACCATTCAAGTTGGGCCCTTCGAGGGTGGACCTGGCGAGATGCAGAACATCACACTGCCATACAAGACTACAGATCAGGGTGACTTTGACGTCTTCCTTCCCATCAATAGCAACGGCTTAATGGCAGGCAACGAGACGCAGCAAATTCAGAAGCTCTCGACATTCGTCTCCAACACCACCGAGGGCAATGCTACTGCATACCTTGTACCAAACGAGGGTATTACTATCATCTCTGATATTGATGACATTCTCCGCATCACCAAGATCTATGATCCAAAGGAGGGCCTGCTCAACTCCTTTGCTCGCCCGTTCGTGCAGTGGGAAAATATGCCATCGATCTACGCGAATTGGTCCAAGAGTCTGCCTGACGCACACTTCCATTACCTAACAACGCTTCCAGAGCAGGTGACTCGTAACTACGAGGAGTTCATCTACAATACCTACCCCGCTGGAAGTTTTGATACCAGACCTTTGAACTTCAGCGACGTCAGTGCGACCTTGGCGATTCGCCAATTCTTGCTCACTAAGATCTTGGAGACTTTCCCGCAGCGGAAGTTCGTTCTGGTAGCAGACACATCTAACTCAGATGTCATGAAAGCTTATCCCAAGATGGCGACCGACTATCCCAATCAGGTGCAATGTATATTCCTCAGGAATACTTCTGCCACTGACGATTCCGACAAATTCCCCTACGATACCTCGGGATTCAAGGATCTCGACCAGCGAAAGTACATGTTCATCGTCCACTCCGACGACCTGACAAACATCAACATTGCGGGAGACACCTGCTACAACACTTCGGTGGCTCAAAATCTGACCTTTGGCTACCAGGGTCTTCCGTTCGGAATCAACAACGATGCACCCGTCAATGGCAGTGCCAACGGTGACAAGAAAGGAGGTGCGACTCGCTCGATGGATGGATCAAGCATTAGTCTGACGTTCTTCGCCGCAATGGGCGTGTTGTTTTGGCATATCTTGTAAAGGCATGTACGTAACGGGAAAACAGGACCACAACCGAAGCCGGATCAGCAGCACGGCCGGATGAGACTTGTCCTTACGACGATTATTTGGAAGTTATTGGCAGGCAGAAGCGAAGCAGATATCATTTGGATTCGTCATGGAGCATCGCATTGAATTGTTGGGTTTATTCGCGCGTCAGCTAGCCCCCATGTGTATCGTAGGCATGTGCTTCACTTCACCTAGCTCAAAAGCACTCTAATCTCGTCCCCGGTACGCGGGAACACAGTTGAGAGACGCACTTCATCCTCGTGCTCTTCGTCACCGTTGGCCATCTTCCCCTTGACCTCATCGGCCCTGACAATTAGCTTCTCCACGGCATCAAAGTCCTCGACAAACCGTTCGGCCGCTTGTTCAATGACTCGTCGGACCATGATTCTATCACTCAGCCCACCGATAAAAGCTCTCGCATCTTCAGTCGCAGTCGGCAAGAATGCGTCCAATTGTTGTGCAATAGAGGCCAACTGACTCGGATCTTTGTAGCTCGAGGCCAGGTCCTCGGTGACACTGACATTATCGACCAGATATTTCAACCCGGATTTCGCGAGAAACCAGTTGTGCATAGAATCAATGAGCTCAGCCTCGTGGGATCTGATGCGTTGCTGCAACTCTTCGCTCTTGTCGGCAAAAGGATACGAACGAAGAGTTGATTGGGTTTCATGGAGACAGTTCAGCGCGAAAATGTGACTGCTAGGACTGCGTAGACGCTTGGTGAGGTTTTCGCAGCCTGCGAGGAACGGGTCCAAGGCTTCGCGAAGAATAGGTTGGAAGCCCTCAATACGCTCTGCGCGAGTTGATTGGACCGTTGAGTGCGTGTCGTAGCTTTTCATCAGCACTTGCAGGGTTGAAAGTGCTTCCGTGAGGAAGTCCGGGGGACTTAGATCCGATCCAGAAGGGCTGATACTGAAGTCGGTCTGGAGGTTGGCTACATGATCTCGCATGGTAGAGCGGAAAGCGCGCAGTGCGGTCTCAGCCAGAGGTCGCAGCATGTCAAGGAGAGACGAATTWTCGCCTAGAAGATTGGCAAACATGCCCGTGTAGAATGTCGTCAGGTTGGAGATTTTGTAGGATAGAGTTGCATCCTCATGGCTCTGCACCACTTGCTCTCCCCTCTGGCGGAGCTGACGAAACACACCAGATAGATCACGATCCACAAGCTCATTCAGTGCTTTACGACCATCAAACACCGGCTCTACACCATCGTCCCCGTCTGCTTGCGACCGCATCCACGGTTCCGACTCTATGCCTGCCTGGATACTCTTGGCGATTTCATCTCCTTCTGAGATGAAGAGAACCTCCAGGGCCTCACGTTCAGAGACGGTGGCGGAGTGAGCCCATGCTAGCATGTCACTTATGTACCTCAGAGGATCATGCGCAGATAGCTCAATGGCCTTGCCCAAGACAGGATGACGAGGGTCTACTGGTCCGCCGGTAAGAGCCGCGTAGAATGTACCCGACAAGATGCGTTCTCTAGCTTCTGCGAAGAAATCCAGACAGTTTTGGAACAGAGTCGGCCTCTCAGCGAGCACTCTCAAGGCGCGTCGAATGCCACCACTGATTTGAGGATTTTCGAGATCAAGAGATTTGAACTCGCGCTGAATCCATCTGTAAAGCTTTTGGAACGCAGCATTCAAGTGACGGGAGCTCTGCTCTAAGATCTCGAGACCAAGACGCTGGTTCTCAGAGCCTAGTAGAATTTGGCTGTCTCCATGTATCCTCTTAACTCGGGTCAAGATGCGGAAGAAGTCATCATCGACAGGTTCGGCGGTGGAGGTCAGCTTAGCAAGATCTGCATCCGACATCACGAAGTGGGCATTGAAAGCATCAAGAAGCTGCTGCTTTGATTCGACCTGTCGTCTTTCAGATGTCATTGTCTTCGCTTCGTCCAGCATTGGTCCGGTCTCGCGGTTCGCGGCCACAATATGCTTTCTCATCTCGGCACAGCTGCTATTGAGGCTTGCAATGGTGTTCCCCATCCGCTGTAGCTGTGCGGCAACCTGGCCAAAATCATCCACAACCTCACCATTGCATTGTATGAGCTCCTCCTGGATGTCAAGCCTGAGATTTCTCCTCGTCTCGGCCGAGTTGTGCAGCCCACGCTCGTCGWGAAGGGCCAAGGCATCTCGAATCTCGAGATCCGCATACGAGGCCGAGAGTACACTGGTGATTCGATTCTGAAGAGCATTGGATCTGTTGCCGGGTGTTGACGGGGACAGCGTCGACCCGCTGCTGTTCAGCCGATCTGAAAAATACGAGGTTGCCATGAAAACCGTCTCGGAATTTGCAAGCTCTCAATAATTCACATGCTTCCGTGAGCAGCTGTGATCAGCAGTAGGACACGGAGAGGTACACGTCGCAGGCTTGCCCCTGCGCCGACATGTGCATGTGTTGTGCGGTCCAAGATCTGCAACAACGAACAAGCTGCAGCGTGGGATGGAACAAGCTTCTCGAACCGCCAGGAAGACGACTCCGCCACCGCCACTTTTCGTGTCTAGCGCGCTTCTCGGCATTCGCKGAGGGGCGGGCGCGAGCCCTTTCACGTCGTCTCAGAAAGGACGGCAGGTTTTGTCGTCGCTGTGCCCGTGTATCCCATGCACGATGATGACCTGGTGATCCTCGCCGACGACTACATGTTACTTTTGAGCTCGCGTCTATAACACACCTGCCACACATCGAAAACAACCGCCGCGACTCGCTAAAAGCAACATCCCCGTTCCCCGCGATAACCACACCAAACTCCCTTATTGTCCATTCCCACGCGCATATTCCTCCGCCTGCGGTAGTCGAGCTTCTTAACAGCCCCAGTTGCCCACGATGGGCAAAAGGTATGTGCAGCATCCTCCCAGACATTCGCTTCGTTCTCAATCGGGAGCTGGAACTGCCTTGATTTGCCTGGCCTTGGCTTCTCACGTGCGAACGTGTGACGTCTGACCTGCTGGGCGGGACTGGGCACGAGACAAGGACGAGGTCAAAAGACGTGGATGGGCCTGCACAGCACCAACGTGTAGCAAGACATCAAGCGCCCAGCGGTGGACACAACAACCTCGAACACTCCTCCGCCATGGCAGATACTCCACCTCACGAAGAGCTGCGAAAGGTGCACGACATCATTCCTGACATGCCCACCGTCGACGAGCATTCACCCACAACTCGGCGCATCAGTATTGCTGGCCATGCTGCCCGTCCGCGTCCCTGCCACATCCCGCGCTGCGAATCGCAGTCATATCCGTCCTTCAAGGCTAAGCAGGAGTGTGCCCTCTTGATCGGTCTCAAGGAGTTTGCGCGAGAGTTTGCCCGGAGCACTGGCATCACACACACCGATACTTCGACAGACATGCTAACCGTAAATTACTCCCACAGCCAGAGCAAGCTCTCCCAGCAGGAGCTGCTGGACCTCCAGAAAGCCACCCATTTCGACAAGAAGGAGCTGCAGCAGTGGTACAAAGGTTGGTTGCGTGGAGTTGATAGCTCATGGACGGGAGACACTGACGACTTGCTGCAGGCTTCCTCAAGGACTGCCCTTCCGGCATGCTCACCAAGTCCGAGTTCCAAAAGATCTACAAACAGTTCTTTCCCTTTGGCGATCCGTCCTCATTTGCCGATTATGTGTTCAACGTATTCGATGCAGACAAGTCGGGTTCCATCGACTTCAAGGAGTTCATCTGCGCTCTGTCCGTCACGTCAAGGGGGAAGATGGAGGACAAGTTGGACTGGGCCTTCCAACTATACGACATTGATGGGGACGGGAAGATAAGCTATGAGGAGATGCTGTCCATTGTCGAAGCTATCTACAAAATGGTCGGCAGCATGGTCAAACTACCAGAAGACGAGGACACACCCGAGAAGCGAGTGAAGAAGATTTTCAAAATGATGGACAAGGATGAGAATGGCAGCTTGGACATGGCCGAATTCAAGGTAACAGTCAATGGGCTAATGCATGCYGCAAGACAATCGATGACTGACAATCCAGCAGGAAGGTAGCAAGCGCGACGAGACGATCGTGTCTGCTCTGTCGCTATACGATGGCTTGGTCTAGAAGCACGTGAATGGCGAAAACCGAACAACGTCTAATCAGCGAGGCCTACGAGTTTGGGCTGAATACCACGAGAACACCATCTTTGCCAAGCAGTGCATGTCGAGACAGAAGGCGTACCGAGGAAGGCTTAGTACTCCACAGTGTTGGAGTTTTCACCGGTTTGAAGGAGAATTAGCAAGCATTTGCATGATATCAGAAGATTGATCGGTGCCACACATGTGCTTGATCGAGGGGTGGTCTTACTTGCTCCCGCATCCGGTCTAAGGTACCGGCACTTCCGGCACACCTGCATCTTCACATTGCTTATGAAACCCTGATCGCTCGGAAGAACAAGGCTACCTAGATTTACATGATATGCGCCCATACCACACGAGGTGCTCCGTGAACGCCAACTCCGACGCGCCAAGCTCCGCGGTGACTGAACCTGGCATAGRGTATCGCCAATCACGCGAATGAAACTCGATGACACGCGCTTCTAAAGCATTACGCCCTACAACTATCTTTAACAGCTGATAGAATATTTCTTGTTTTCAAGTCCCGCTCGCTGGTGTTCACCATGCCATACGCTTCTTGAGTCTGCTTGCAAACATCGTCCTGCCAGGGTCCGCCAACCACAATGTTACCCCTCTTCATATCTTCATCGCTGGCATTCCAGCAGCCCTGCACGGTATCTCCAATCTTTGCCATGAAGCTGGTCAACCCACCTTCACCACCACCAGCATGGTAGGATTTGAAAGGACCTGCGACTGTCCATCTCGGTCCCATTGAGGTCCGGACAATCTCGTCCAGATCCTCTACACCTACCACCCCCTGAGCAACGAGCGAGCATGCCTCTCGAAATAGTGCAAACGCGAGCCGGTTTGCAACGAAGCCGACGCATTCTTTGCGGATCACTACGGGTGCCCGACCCAAGTTTCGCCAGTACGACAATGTCCTCTCAACGACATCGTCAGAAGTATCTGGCGATCTCACCACCTCAAGCAACGGCATGATATGAGGAGGATTGTATGGATGACAGACGAGGAGCCGACTCTTGTCCTGCATGTCCCTGACCTGCTCACTGGCTGGGATGCCAGAGGTACTTGACCAGAATAGTGCCTTTTGAGGGGCGTACTGCTCAATCTCGGGCCAAATCTGGATCTTAAAGCTCGCATTCTCCGGTCCTTGCTCTTGAACAATATCTGCATCTCGTACTGCTTCTTCGAGACTCTCAGCGAGTGTCAGACGTGCGAAGCATGTGTCGCGATCAGCATCGACCAGATATCGGGGCAAGTGTTCGGAGACATAGGCCTGGAGGTCGGACCTGTTGTCGAAAATGGCAACTTTACAGGATGGGTCTTTGGTGAGATGAAGGGCCGCAAATGAGAGTCCTATCGTACCAGCGCCCACGATGGCCACCGTATTCGATCTTGTAGCCATACTATCGACGGATCAACACCAGCGTACGATCGTCCACAAATGAGTACAACACGGTGCGGCACTTGCAATGCTGTCGGCCGATGCTACTTCACGCGGCAATTTCGGCCTCGCAGCTGTTGTTGGTGCCGACTGGCCGTCCCCCGCATTCTGTCGCGTGTGACAGTCAACGGCTTTGGGCGGCCATGCGCGCGCAAGCGAAACTGAAACCTATCACGGCCTTACATCCGCTGTGCCTCGAAGTGGATGTTGTTGCCGTTGGCAGTCCTGCGCACAAAGGGTGCAGCAGCAGCAATGTCGAATGTCCAATTGGAGGCTCGACATGGAGACTCCGTACAACATAATCTGTCTCGCCACCTCTATTGGTGGCGCACAGCTCCATGAGTCTCCTCGCCGCAAGGAGTACCTTGCTCGTTATTGGAAGATGCTTTGCAGTCCKCTTCCTTCGATATCGAAGATTGCCTGGTGGCTGACGGCGGCACAACCAGGCGATGTCCGGTCAAGAAAGCTCCATTGGTGATTGGAGAACCTCGGTGGAGGCGATTCCGAATTACCACGCCTGTGCTATCTCTCGCCAAGGCGAGCACTAACACCGAATATGGTGTTGGGACCGATTAGCTTTGCTGCAAAGCTACTGGACTGTGCGACCTTGCTGTGTTGCCGCAACAGGGCTGCATCGCCAACGACGGAGCCAGAAGGTCGGAAGCAGTCTAATAGGCAGTCTGGCCGGTAGGATGCACATGGGATAACGTCTCGACCTTTTAGCTTGAAGATAAGGTGCAGACCACCCAAGTTCCTAAGGCCCGATTTATGTGGAACGCGCTTGCACACTTGCTTGGTTTTCTGAACCTCACCTTTTCGCTTTCTCCCGCACTTGACATTCTTAGTCGCAATGGAGTACGCACCAACACGTGTGCCGGCGTTAAATCCAGCTCACCAGCATCAACACGAGCATCTGCATCATGGATCGCATACCGTGCTGGATGGCCCCGACCAACCGGTCTACACCACGGGCACGACCGAGGACCCATCGATGATTTGCAATGGCTCGCTGAATCACGGACATGCCAWCCCGAACTACAAGGGAGAGAAGAAGGAGGACTTCACCTACTCGGACGTGGAGAAGGGCCACGCTACGCCGATATCACCTCTGTCAAGTGTCCAAGAAAAGCCAGTCCGGAGTGGACGGTTCCCAGAATTCTATCGCAAATACCGCATCTACTTCCACGTTGTTATATGGATGTTGGTGACTGCGTGGTGGGTTGCAGGCTTGGTACTCCACCACCCTGGAACCGCACGGCCTAAGAACTGGGTGATCCCATTCCTCCTATGGTTGTTCATCACATTGAGGATTGTGTTCTTGCACGTGCCCATCACCATAATTTCGAAGCCAATGAAATGGACGTGGCGAAACACTGGAAGCCGCGTCAACAGCATGATTCCAGAACAGTACCGCCTATATGCTGGAGCTGCTGTCACTGCTGCCGTCTACCTTGTAGGCACCTTTGTGAGCAAGGAGGCTGGACAGAACACTCGTGCGAACCGTAAGTTGCATTGCGCGTGTGACCCGCGCGACTGTGATTGATGACAAAAACAGGTGCCATTAGCTTGCTGGGCCTCATCCTTTTGATTGCTGGGCTGTACGCTACATCCACCAACCGCAAAGCTATCAACTGGCACACTGTGATCAGTGGTTTCTTGATCCAGTATATCATTGCGCTTTTCGTCCTCAGAACCGGAGTTGGATATGACATCTTTGAGTTCATCTCTCGACTGGCTCGCGAACTGCTTGGATTCGCCAAAGACGGTGTTGCGTTCTTGACGAACACGCCAACTTCTCAATTGGGAATGTTCTTCTTCACCGTCCTTCCCGCAATCATCTTCTTCGTGGCGCTTGTGCAGATGCTTTACTACTGGGGATTGGTTCAATGGTTCGTTGGAAAATTCGCCGTCTTCTTCTTCTGGGCCATGCGAATCTCTGGAGCCGAAGCCGTCGTGGCAGCAGCAACGCCTTTCATCGGACAGGGAGAGAGTGCCATGTTGATCAAGCCGTTCGTTCCCCATCTCACACGGGCTGAGATCCACCAGGTCATGTGCTCGGGATTCGCTACCATTGCTGGTAGTGTGCTCGTGGCCTACATTGGATTGGGAGTCAACCCTCAGATTCTGATTTCCTCTTGTGTGATGTCCATCCCGGCATCGCTTGCATGCAGTAAGATGCGCTACCCCGAAACTGAAGAGTCTCTCTCCGCCGGCAAGATCGTCATGCCGGATGACGATGAGCACCGAGCATCCAACACTATTCACGCCTTCGCCAACGGTGCATGGCTCGGTCTCAAGATCGCAGGCATGATCTTGACAACCCTTCTCTGCATCATCGCTATTGTGGCACTTTTCGACGGTATCCTGACTTGGCTTGGACGATACATTGGTCTCGGGGGAGACTACGACCTCACTCTGACCCTCATCCTTGGATACGTCTTCTACCCAGTGGCATTCCTCCTCGGAGTTCCTCGAGGTCCAGACATTCTCAAGGTCTCCCGTCTGATCGCGACGAAGATCATCACCGTAAGTGCCTCCAGATACAAGCTGACCGCGAGCATAATTGACAAATTATTCCCTAGAACGAGTTCAATGCGTACATCACCCTGACCAACGGCACCAACGAGTACTCCACCATGTCGCCCCGAGCCAAAATCATCGCTTCGTACAGTCTATGCGGTTTCGGTAACATTGGTTCTCTGGGTACCCAACTCGGTGTCTTGAGTCAGCTTGCCCCGAGTCGTTCGGGAGACGTAGCACAAATGGCAGTCAGTGCTTTGATCACGGGAATCTTTGCCACTCTGAGCAGCGCCAGCATTGCAGGTCTGGTTATCCAGGACGAGAATGGCTTCCAGGTGGAGGCTGTGGCTACCAAGCGTAGCTTGTTCGCTCGCTGGGACACCGTCGAGACTCGTGCGCTGGATTTGGCCGAGCTTGAGCGAGAAAGTATGGCGGAAGAGGCTGCCGTGAGCGTATAGTTTGTTTGATAATGCAGATCTCACAGTGCAGAAATGATGAATGATGTCAAACTCCTGACAATGTCAACATGCGAAGTGACGCGATTGTAGAAAGATACCTATCGCCTGCCGCCGAACTTCCGACCTCTGCCATTGGCTTTGGAGTTCTTGTTCTTGATCTTCAACTTCCGAAAATTTGCATGTGCCAAATCATTGACCTTTCTCCCGGGCTTTGCTTTCATCGTGCTGGCGTCGTCCTGCGCTGGGGRGTGTTTCTTCTGCTTCGTCGTCTTCCCTGCAGACTCGTCTTCATCAGATAAGCCGAACTTGTCCTCGTCCAGCACTGGCTCTCTGGGTTGTGTTTCTGAAACAACTTCCGCATCGCTACAAGCTTCCTCCACAAGCTCATCTTTCTTGCCAGCCTCGTGTTTTACGGGCCGCATGATGACCCTGCGCGTCTGCCTCTTCAAGCCCTTCTTCTTCCATGGTTTGCGAGGTCTGTCCCCTCTCCCAGGCGCCTCTTCATCCTCGCTAGATTCAGGAGCCTGATCGGGCCCCAATGGCATCTCACCAGGCTGGCTGTCCTGTACCAGCACCTTCGCTGTGTCTTTCGCGATGCCACCGCCTTCTTGCTCCTGTTCAATCTCATTCATCAAGTCCCAATCATCGTCCATACGCTCCTCTTCCTGTTTCCTCAAGCCCTGAATGATACTGCTCAGACTGCGAACCAAGCCGCGCTTCCTGAATGGTGGTGGCATAGCTGCCGATACATCTGCGCTGTCCTCCTCGATGGAGGCGAGAGGAAAACTCCGCCGCAGAAATGAAGGCGTAGCAAACTTCCGTTTGGACGCACTTGTACTTCCAATATCGTCGTCACGCTTGCGCTTGAGTGGTGTTCCCGCGAATGCATCTAGAAAGAAGCGCTTGCTCGAAGACTGAGGCGTCTTTGACAACGCAGGATCGACTGCCGTAGGCTTACTCGGGGTTCCAGCGACTAAGAGCTCTGCATGAATTGATTCTGCGGACTCAGTCTTCGAAGGCGTGCCGGCGATCGTGTCGAATATACCCAGTACCTGGCCATCCCTCTGCGGAGTTGGGCCTAATTGGAGGCGAATGTGAGCGGGAGTCGGCTCAACTTCGTGGACTGGCGAGAGGATGCTCTGTTGTGTTTCTGCCCGTCTCGACTTTGATGGCGTATGCTTCTTGGGCGTGATTGCCGCAGTGCGGCTCTGCTTCTCTTGCAGTGCATCTCGGGCAATGCTTGGTCGTGTGCGTTTCTGCGGTGTGCTCGAGAGCGGAGGCGGTTTGGTGGCAAGCTGATATGCTTTGTATTTTGCAGCTGTAAATCTGGCATTAGTCGTCTGCTCGACAATATGCTGTTAGACCGGACGAACCTATCGTCGCGTCCTTTTTGATGTCGCCTCGCTCTGGTTTGCGGCCATGGTTGTATAAAAAGTCCTTTTCGTACGTCTTGATTTGGGCTCGAAGCTGCTCGACGCCGCTACCATTCTCCTTGGCTTCCAAAGACATGACCGCGCCACCGCAACTGACAATTAATGTTGGTTTTGCGAAGAAACATTTGACGCGGTATTGAAGGTTGACGTGACAAAGAGCGCACGTGGGAAGGCGGGGCGACGCGACGCGGCCCGATCTCGATCTATCATCCAACCATGAACCAGCAATAATATGGCACGGTAAACAGCAAAGTTGGACGAGGTGAGGGCCTCGTGTTCTACTGGACAGAGGCATCTGGACTTCAACCTGATATGCCACCTTCGAAGCGCTTCGCATGTATTGAAGATCGGCAATCAGCGCTGAAGCACATCTCGAGTTGATTAGCGTGCAGACCGACCGCCACTGTTATGGACTGAGGACCAATYCTAATTCAAACAATGTTATGCCTTCGCGGGAGAGATGAGTAGGCCATCGTTATCGGGGAGCTTCCTGCGATGCGTCTGAGGAATCTCACAAACGCTCCCCAGAAGCCATGGAAACAGTCTCATTCGGGACCATGGATGTCGCAGCACTCCGAGGTCCGGTGCAGTGTTGGAGACAAAGATTCTCGGCGAGGACATCGACCCGTTTCCGCCCGTGACTCTGAGGCTTTTATAATTAGTTAGTCCAACAAGTGAGCTGATGAACTGCTGGTAGCGGTTTCTCAGTTGTGCGGTGCATAAGGTCAATAATGTTCAGCCCCGATCCGCTGAGTTCCGGAACCTAAGGTAAGGTAGGGTACGGAGCCACGAGCCTTGCACAACGTTGGAACGTTGATGTCGCGGACTTCCGCCTTCCACGCTGCAGAACATTTGCGACGGCCAGCCATGCAGCACAGATCTACCCAGTGAACAACAGCTCATCGACATGTTCTACCGTGACGCCTGCGGGGGCAGCACGCATGCTATATCTTCCAGCGGCTGCAGAGTGAGATCATCGAGCCGTGATGATGTTTCTCATCGTCGCCCAGTCTTCGTTTAGCTCGTTTGGTGATGGTCTTCCAATCAAAATGCATTTCAAAGCAGCTGCAAAATGCGCCTCGAAAGCGTAAATGTCTTGTGCGCGGCGTTGAAGGATGACGGTTTCCACAGGCCGCAGGGCATGGCGAACCGCAAGCGTCCCACAAACGTCTCTGGAGGCTCCCACATTCGCCATCCATTCCGTTTCACCACACTTTCCTGACCTCCTCTCTCTCATTCACATCTCTACCCTACGCATGCTTCTGCTCGTCCTCGCCCAGTCTCGTCCGTGAACCTACGTCGAAGCGCCGAAGGTGTCCGGCTTCCGAGTTGGCGAGCCGCTACCGCCGACCGCCGATCCCAYAGCAATCTCCCGTCAAGCCTTGATCAACCGTGCTCATCTCCTGCCTGCCTTTTCGTGAAAGACTTTCTGCTCGTTGCCGCCCGCAAGCAGGAATCTGCAGCACGCGAACTGCAGCACGCGAACAACCAACACCGGAAGGAGGTCGCGTGGGTATTGTTGTACAGTTGCACAGCCGCATATTGTACTGCCAACGCCGCGTACAACGTGAGAAGTGGTCGTCTGAAACTCAACACAACCAATCTCCCCCTGCGAGATTCGCGAACTGTTTCTGCTGCATTCGACACGCGCTGGACAGCATGGCCGCGCAGTACTCCTCGGTCGGAGAGGGCTCGCCTCGATTCGCCATGCCACGGTTGCCATTCTCACTCCCATCTCTATCGATCCATATGCCGCATCGAATTCGACGCCGACTCCGCGCCACACGGTCGAAGATATCCYCTCGAAGTTCACCTACATCCTCGATCGCGTCTCTTGAGACGTCTTTCAACCCGACGGATACGATTCGYGCGCTTCGAACACATCATTGGAGTGCCTACGATGCACAATATCTGTTTCTGGCGATCCTCGGCATCTTCAGCCTGTCCATGATGCAGCACCCTGGGCCGATGATGAAGACACTGGTTGCCACAGCTCTCATGACAGGTCTGGTAATACCAATCACGCGGCAGTTCCTCCTGCCCTTTCTGCCAATCGCCGGGTGGCTGGTTCTTTTCTTCTCCTGCCAATTCATTCCCAGCGAATACCGACCTGGCATCTGGGTTCGCGTGCTGCCAGCATTGGAGAACATTTTGTATGGTGCCAACCTCAGCAATATCCTCGCTGCCCACAAGAACTCCTTTCTAGACGTCCTCGCATGGCTGCCGTATGGAATCACTCACTTTGGTGCACCATTCGTGTGCTCTGGAATCATGTTCATATTCGGTCCACCCGGCACTACTCCCAGTTTTGCCAGAGCATTTGGGTACATGAACATTGCCGGTGTGACTATCCAGATTCTGTTTCCTTGCAGCTCGCCATGGTACGAAAACATGTACGGACTCGCACCGGCGAACTATTCCATACACGGCTCTCCCGCAGGTCTTGCGGCGATTGACAAACTGTTTGGCATCGACCTCTACACCTCGACTTTTACGGCATCTCCTCTGGTATTTGGCGCCATGCCATCTTTGCACTCCGGGAATGCAACTATCGAGGCWCTCTTCATKTCACACACCTTCCCCAAACTGCGTCCACTGTTCATCCTATATACTCTATGGATGTGGTATGCTACAATGTACCTGAGCCATCACTACGCGGTGGATTTGGTCGGRGGCAGTATCATTGCATCGATTGCATATTTCGTCGCAAAGGGCAGCTTTTTGCCTCGCCTGCAACCTGGCAAAGTGTTCCGCTGGGATTATGATTACATAGAAAGAGGCGAAGAGGAGGATGACGAATCGTATGGCTACGGTCTGGCCGATCTGGATGAATACGAGCTGGCGCTGCGCACCGACGGCGACGAGTGGACTATTGGCTCCAGCAGCAGCGTTTCCAGCAGCAGCCGTGAGCACTCTACTGGCATGCGATCCCCCATTGGCGACAATGAACAATGGGACGGCGACACACTCGCCTCCAACTCGGACAATGAGTATCAGAAAGCATAGGCGCTATCAAACTCTTCTGGACGATGATGATTGACGACCTTCTGCATGGGAACGGTGCTGGTGTTTGACCTGTTTGATTGCAGTTTTTGAGCGACTCGGCCGACAGAAGTTTGCAAATCTGCCCGCTACGGCGTTAATTTGGAGGGGTTTGCGAGCTGCTATTCTGGCGAAGCTCGTCCTTGCAGGATACCCCATACATTCGCTTTCAGTACATATGAACGCGACTCTCACGAGGTGAGGCGCATTGGTGAGCTCGGGTAGGCGGGTAGTCTGGATATGAATGAAATGGTGGCCAAAATGAAGAGGATGAAGATTGGATGGATGGTATTCATGGGTCACGACTCGCGCTGAGATCCGCATTTGGACAGCGGAGAATGCACATATTAATGCACAAGTAATTTGAGAGCGAAGACATATTTGAAAGCTAGCCCTCTGCACGACTCCGATCCACCTTTCGTCCTTGGTGATGACCACTGGACCAAAGGGCGAAGTTCATGTGAGAACACACCACGGGGAAAGGTAGAAATGCACGGGATGGGTTGTTCTGCCGAACCATCATGATCTTGACGCCGTTGACGGTTGAAGTCTGCCCTATTCGTACATGATGTGTGTATCCCCAAGAGGTATCTCGACCGCCCAAACGCCGTATTCAGTGCCTTTGCAACAGCACTTCGCTATGCATTCGAACTTCCACCAATTTTACAGTTGTATACACGCCCAATCACTCTAAGGCACCACAACCACTCCGATGCTTCCTGCTTGCGCGATGACACTCTTCACCATGGCTTCCATTGTTGTTCCAGATAGCCTCGTCTCACTCTGCTTGATCTTTGCAATCTCCCACACGTGCTTCAAGCTTACGCTGCCCACCGTCCCCATTCCACTATTGCCTGGAGGAGCGCCGCCAGAATGAGTCGCTTTTCCCGCGCCCGCCAGTCCTGCTTTCGATTTCGGACCCGCCACATTGCCCGCCCCACGGACCTTATTCTTCGTGATGCCAACGCCAGCTGCTGCGAAGAGGAGTGATGCAGTGGGTGGTGTTCGTAGCTCAAAGTGAAATGACCTGTCCGGCCGCACCGTCACACGAGCGGGAATGGGCGTGCCGGGGACGTAGTTTGCTGTTCGCGCATTGAATTCCTTGCAGAAGTCCTGATGGAGATGTCGTGGTCAGTAGGCGAATGCAGAAGTCCGTTCGGTGAATGCTTACGATGCTCTTGACGCCCTTGCTACCCAGCGCTGGACCGACTGGGGGCTGTGGAGACGCCGCACCAGCGCCCACGATGAGCTTCACAATCTGGTCGCCTTGCACTATCCGTTTGGCCATGTTATGTGATGGATGATGGCTATCTTAAGCCTACCCTGGTTCTCCGCGCCGACCTGGTATGTCCGAGACGAGCAATGCCAAGCCATTGACGATCATCGCCCGCATCTGGACTTTGCTGAGGGAGCACGAACCAGACGGAAAGTCGGACGGAGCTTTGCTGTGGAATGCGGGCACTGCTTCTTGTCTTGCACCCTCTCACTGCTCTCGCTGCGTTCTCCGTCGACACTGATGGCAAATTGGCCCACAGGCGGCGATATGCCGTGCAGATGCGCACTCCACGCTCGTGCAGCATGTGGACTCCTCTCGATAATCATCATCAGGCGCAGACGCAGGCGCAATTTTGGTCCGCCAGCGCATCCTTCCCTTCCCTTTCCTTTTCAAGTTCCAACGGCCGGCTTCCTTCAAGCGCACCTGCACTGCAACTGCAACTGGCTCTCCCTTGTCTCACTGGCCCCCTGAAGGAGGGCGTCTTCTCTACGCCATCCCAGGTGACACAAGGCCGAGCTATCTGCTGAGAGGGGATTATTTGCGTTTGCGCCCTCTTCCACGTTGCCCTCACTGTGTTTCACACGTCCGCTGTTCCCGGAAGGATGTACACTTACTCGTTATCTCAGAGCTTCCAGAGTCAGTCTATAGAGGTCATCCCAGCGCATGTGCACAACCATGGTAAGTGCTTTACTTGCCGGCGTTCGCGTCGCTTGCTGCTGCTTATTTCCACGCTTTCGACTCCCACGCTCGTCTTATACAGTGCATACTGATCAGGACAATCTACTCGTAGTCGGAACGAGAAGGACGAGACGCACATATTGTGGCACCAACTCTACTTGTCACCGTCCCGGCAGAAGGAATAGCAAACATTGACACCAAGTCGACGCTGGCGGGAAGAAGGAGGAGCAAGACTGAGAGCTCAGCGCTCAGTGAGCCGGGCCGGGCATCCGCAAATGAGTGGATTGATGTAGACCACAAGGAWCCTGCACGACACAGGAGGAGTTCCAAACGACGAGCCACTGCTTCATCTGGTAGTCAAAAGAGCCGGGCCGTGGAATTCGACCTGGGCCGGTTCTTACCCAGACTTGGTAGGATATTAGAGACGACGGACGGCACCTCCGCCTCGAGGCCCCATATAAAGGCTGGAAATACTCGACAGAAGCACGAGGAGGGTAGTCGTAAGACAGCTCGACATAGAATCGAGCAGGGTGACCCTCACCGCCGTTCCGTAAAGCACCGAGTTGGAGGCCAATCGAGACAGAACCAAACCAACCTAAAGATCAATCCTTCCTTGCTGTCCGTGATCTCTGGCCTGACCGGCATTTCAGACAGTAGCAGTAATACCACCATCACGCAGCAGTCTTACAACAGTCGAGGCGGCAGCACACCCGAGTCCAACGGAGTCCATCGTCGCTCAGACTCCGCTCTCAGTATCTCCRGCTCGCATACACCCGACGTTTTCGCGTTCATGGAACCTGCTTTAGTCGAAGAGGATGGGCATGGTGGAAGCTCAAGGAGCTCGTCGCCGAGCTCGTCTCGTTACTCGCCGTCAGAAGCTGGGTCGAGTGAGGCACCGCAAACACCATCTTCCAACTCGACATTCCCATCACCGACAGCAACAAGAAGTGGAAGCTTGACCGGTAGTGTGAAGGAACTTCGTCTGAAATACGATGCACAATTCACTTCACCGGTCAGTTCCCCGATGAACAGCCGCCATGGGTCGGAATCTGGAGCTGAKAGTCTGAATGGCCAGCGTCTGGGTGCCAAGGCTACAATCCATAAACGGGCGCATCGCAATGCCGCATCAGTTCATTCGGAGGGCAGTCACGATGCACGAAGCGACCGTGTAGCTTCCACCGATGAACAACAGCGGCTTCCTTCTGTCTCTCAGCCGCCTCCTCATCATGCTCAGCCGATATATGGTGGTCAGCATCGATCCCATTCGACGTCATCTGCCGACTCTGCAGGATCCAACGACGCATATGCACAATACATGGCGATGCAACAATATCAACAACCCTCAGCTCCAGTGCCTGCCTCCCATTTTGCGCCACGGCAGGATTCACACGGCCCAGTCGGGCATGCAGATCGCCCACCAGTGCCTGACGCTCCTGATGTAAGCCAGAAAACACTTGTCGGTTATGAGATGCTTGCCGAAGAGCTTGCAAGCGTCGAGTCGCCGGTCAAGCCGGCATATCGCAAATTTGAGTATCTCAATCACCGCATACTCCTGCATCTTCAGGATGAGCTTTGTGAGATGGAAGAACAACTGCGCACCATGGATGAAATTATCGCACAGATTGCAACGCCAGCTGAGGGGGCCAAACGCTCACCTGCGTCTCGTCGTCGAGATGCTTTCAATGGCTCGGAGATGCATCACCGGCGGACTGCACTGCTTGGCCGCATCTTTCTCAAGACAGAGCAGTACAATCGTGCGCTGTCATCATTCGCGGCATTGACCAAAGAATGCAGGCCGGCAGAGCTGGAGCAGGTCGCTGCTTACCGCGATTGGATGGCGGAGAAGGCTCCCATCCACGACGTTGAAGTGAAGTTCTTGCAGAAGCAGCAAGATCTTGTGCAACTCGCGGTCGCCACGTCATCTCAGCCGCACCAAGATGCATCATCTCAATCAAATTCCTCCAAGCATGCGGCTGCATTGTCTTGTCTACCGGTTGCCTTGATGCTACCCCTGCTACTTTACTCCATCATACCAACGCTTGCCGGCCGGTTAATCATAACGATGCTGATAGGCATCAGTGTCTTTCTTGTTGTTGCTACCACACACATTCGGCACATGATGCCCTTGAACGAGTGGGCCGTCTGCGGTGGTGCATATGTCTTGATCATGGCTACCATCGCGGGTTGCGTGCCTCAACATGCGGCGTAAGGCTGAGACCTTGTGCTGCTATTCCCATCGCTCATCATTGGACGATGTGTAATTCGCATCTGTATGCTGGGCGGGCTGAGGATAGGAGAGATACCGCAGGAGCTCACGAGCAACAGTTGAAGAATGCCAAGTCCCAGGCAAGATGAAAAACAACCTGGTCGTGCGCGGTTTGATAACGATCTTATTACCATAATTATGAGCAGTAATCATTTCAGAACCACCGACTATCGTCGCTACGAAGACAGATCCTCGCAGATCAATGTCCACGCAGTGGCACTGTGTCCAACGGGTATGGCTGCCCCAACCTATTGCAGTATCGTCAGCCCCCTTCCATGCATGTGTTGCATGTCGTTCCACTCACCAAGTCGCCCGTTGCGTATGGTCGCGCAAAGCATTTCCACCGCCAGTATTCGGATGAATCAATGCGGATAAAGGACCTCTGTGTATAACCAGCCACGACACAAAAGCTCCAAATTGAAGCGGCGTAAAGACATTGACTTCAAACATGGCAATTGGATGAGGCCCTACCGGGCCATCCCACAGCTGATAGACGCGAAGTTCCGGGACTTGTTTCTGGAGATCAGTAATAATCTCAAGTTGACATCTTCGGGGACACCTACACTCTCTCCGCACTCTTTCGTGCAACTCAGTGGCGTATCTGACTTGACTCTCCTTGCTTTGGAGGTAGTAAATGTGGATGTCGAAGCCTCCTCGTTCGTCGTTCCTGATGGGGTCTGTGAAGCTTTCATATGCCGCACTGAGCTTCGTTGCAGCGGGATTTACTAGCGATTTGCCGTCTGGATTCCTCTCGCTGTGATTTTTGGTCAATTAATATGGGAAGTCGGGCTTGCTTGATGGTCACCCACTTTGACAATGGATCTCCTTGCCAACCGTCGAGGGGAGACGTATATTCATATGAATTTGGATCCATCTTGGCTCTGATGCCCACGAACAATGCTTTGATTAGTCGGGAGTATCTTTGCCTTGCTCAATTACGAGCAGAGTGATAGCTTCGGTGCTATAGACCCACTCTGACTGCGGTCTGCGATCTCGGAATGTATAATCACGGAATTGACCCGTGGGAAGAGCGCATGGATGTTGGTTGATAAGCGACACACGAACGTCTCAGGTCTCGAGTGCAAAAGAATATCGATCAACCCAGGACCGTAATTGAATCGATTCATTAACAATCAACGAATGCCTCCTTTGTAGGCGATGCTTGGACTTCTCGTTCTTCAATTCACACATCTGGAACGAATTGTATAAGACATAGAAGACAATGATCAGTCCATTGTACGGGAGTACAACCCCACCAACTCAAACCCACCTTGACGGCTAGGAGTCGAAGTGAGGGACTCTACCAAAAGACTATCTAGCGTGCGCAGCAAATATTATATAATACAGGTGCGCTCTGTGTCCTCGCGTGTGTGTATGTTGTAGTGACAGGAATGTCCTCCGAGGCACAGAGCGTCGCGCATAAGCAAAAGCTCTCCATTCAGAAGGATTAGAAAATGTGTTTCATCGAGTTCAGATGTGGTCGGACAAGCGCCGAACAAGCAATTAAGCAGTCKTACGCTACGCCGACACACGCCCTTCTCGATGGTATCAGGAAAGCAAAGAGTACCGCCCATCATCTGCCGGAAAATAACGCCTGGAGCGCCTTGCGGTCGATCTGCTCTGTTCCCAACCCTTCCCATATGCAGTCTTTCGTYATTGGTCCATACATCGTTATCGAGGCGCTCGCTGATAATGCAATTCATTTTTCGTCGAATTCGTGATCCGCTCCACTATTCGTAACATGCTCCTGTGCTCACAAGTTTGACAAGGTCTCGTTATTCATATCGTGTCTGATCGTCTGGGTTTAGTTCGAAGCTACCCAAGAGTCCAGCATGTCGCGGACTTCGTCGTATTGGGAATCACCGGCAGATCCGAGAAACTCGCCCATGAAGTCGTCCATGCCAGCTGAGCTGCGGCCGAAGCCTTCCTCGTATATGGTACTTGGCACCGCAGTATTGTTGTGCTTGACGCTGCTTACGTGGACAGTATCCCAGTCGGAATTGTAGACACTGGATCCGCTACACGACTCTCCCGGTGGAGAGAAGGCGTCCCGACCGACGTCTGGGTGGGAGTTCATCACGTCAAAGTTGAACGAGTCATCGAAGACATTCCCTCCAGGGTGGATTGGGCTGGAATCTCCGGCGAATCCGATGTTACCGTTGAATGCTGCTGGCGACGAGTAGTTGGTGTAAACACCCCCGGCTGGGCTAGATGCGTCATGGAACGAGGATGCCGCATTCGCTGTTGGCGATTCACGTGTCGATAGCTTGGAGGGTGAGACGACCTGGTCTGCTGGGATGCTCAGATCGATGAAAGCTTTGGAGTCTGCTCGCTTGGATGTAACGGATGTGGGCGAGGTCGGAGGAGTGTCCAGCCATTGAGCAACGGCACTGTTGAACTGGGCATTGGTCGAGCTCATGTCGAGGAAGTCGTTTTCTTCCATTTCGTCCGAGTCGTGGGGAGGAGTATCTGGCATGCTGTGCACACTGCCGCCAGGGCTGCTGCTGTTGAAACTGCCACCGTTGGTGCGGTCAATTGCGCGGGCAAGCGCGGCTTTTCTTGATCTGCTGTCCATGTCGGGTCGGCTGGATCTGTGCGATCTATCACTGCCCTCGGACCTGTCCTTCTTTGGCCGCCCACGCTTTGGCTTCYCTTCTTCGGCCTTCTCGAAGCCGGGAAGAACACCCGCACACATGTCACGTTGTCGATGTCTGGTCAGAGCGTCTGCACGAGCAAACGTCTTGCCGCAGGGACATACCGCAGGGCGCTCGTTAGTGTGGGTGAGGTGGTGGCGTTTTGTGTCGTGCAGACGGTTGAACCTCTTTCCGCATGGGTTGCAGCGGAATCGTCGGTCATCGAGATGATTCTGTACGTGTGATCTTGCGTTCTCCTTGCGGTTGATGCTCGTGCCGCATCCTTCCCATCTACAGTGATATGCGTCACCCTTGTTGACGGGGTGCACAAGCCATGAGTTGATCTGCTCCTCGCTGATACCAGTGTCAATATATGTTGCATCAATACCAGCTGCGTCGAGCGCGGCTTGTTCCGAGCACATTGATCCACCGCCCATCATAAAGTTGGGGTCGTYGAAGTCCTGTTCTGCACCGGCCGCGGCTTGTAAGAGTATATCTCCTTGGCTTCCGTATGAATTTGATGGCTCTTCGTAGAGAGTCGGCATGGGTGTGTTGTGCTGCTGCGGTGGTGATGATGGGTCCACAATCGATGACGAGTATGCTGAAGATGCGTAGTCTTGCTCACTAGGGAAGCTGAATGTGCCGTTGGATATCTGGCCCTGTCCAGTAAATTGAGCACCGTCATGACCTTGAGGCATTGGGGCGACGTCAAGATGGTAGCTCTGGCTTCGGGCGTGCTTCGCGTGCGTCGTGGGTGGGCTTGGCCATCCCTGGCTATAATGCKGAGGGGTGTTTGGTACGGTCCTGGCATTGCCAGTTGAGATGGGTATGGCGGGCATGATCTGCATGGAACGCTGCGCCAAGAACGCGGCTGCTTGCATATCGCTGGCGGCAGTTTGGACTACTTGTACAAATGTTGCGCCATGATCTGCGGGAACAGCGTTCTGATGGTGAAGGTTGACGTTTGGGTTGGGGTTTGGTTGATTTCCGCCAAAGTTCTGCTCGTACCACATCAAGTGGCTTTGTAGACTTTGCATAGCGGTGGCCTGGTCTTGAATTTGGCCATTTGCTGAAGGGTCATTGCTCCCGTTCAGCTGTTGGTGTAGGTGGGATTGAAAATTTTGTGGTTGCGCCTGGGACGGCGGTGCCTGGAAGCCCGGCTGGGCTAGACTGTGCGACTGCGTTTCTTGCTTGATGATATGCTGTTGTTCCGGTAGGTATGCTAGGTTAGTATCCGGGATGGTCCTTGCTGTTGGTCCAGTGGTGGGAAGTCCGTGATGGTGGTCCTGAGGTAGTAGTGGTCGAAATCCAGATGACGAATCCATAATGTCCATACTTTGATCGAGACTGACGCCGCGTCGGTGGGTCGGTCTTGTCGAATGGGTTCGTCGGTAGTTGAGAGGGAGGGGGGTAGCAAGGATGGGCACCTCGAGCGATTGTTGTCGGCGATGTTGTTGACGACGCCTTTGGATGCTCGAGGGCGTTTGTGAGTGTAGCATATTGAATTGGAGGCAAGAAGAGTCCGGTAATCCTGGGTTGGTCCAGTTTGGTCTGAAGGTCATTCGCTGATGACCCTCTTGGTTCCGGTACTGTTCAGCATATCAGAAAATGTAGTGGCTATGGCGTCAGCTTCCTATTTGACCATACCTCACGCAGTGCAAGTCGACAGCCGCCGGGCGGGTGACTTCGTGGTTGTTCGCCTCCTCAAATGCGAGTCCCACACACACTGAGGAGGAGGAGGTGTAAAGGCGCTCAGGCCAAGAGCTGGTTAGAGAGGCTGCTTTTCGGCCGGCAAATGTACGATATTGCTTTGACGTATGTACAAGTGTGCAGCGCTGGTGATCTGGTGCGGACGCGAATGGAGATGCAGTGGGTTATTAGATGCAGATAGCGTAATGACATCGCACAAGTCAGACCGCAGAGTGTTTGCAGGCCTGCGTTGGACAGGCAACGCCTGGACGATCGGCCTTGGCCAACCCATGAGATCTCGCGTCAACGGTGCCGACCATGCAAAACTCGCCGCAAACGAGGCGGATGAGTATAAGACGATGGATGAACCATGTTCATAGCACTGGATGAGGTTGCCGTTGTCGTTCGTCTGTWTGTCGCTGTAGTGACTGACTGCTGGCAGTAATACAGCAGTTCCATCGTCACCATAGTGACCTGCTTAACCAGACGGCCAGCAGGAGTCCGCGTCGCTCCTATCGTATAAGTGAAGAGGCCTCCAAACGGTACCTCTGGCGAGCTCTATCGTCAATATAAATTGTTGAACTCAAGGTAACATGTTGCCTTGATGAGAGTCGAAACGTGCGAGTGGGCGCCGGAGATGCGGACATGTCCGGCTCGACATTCGACGCGGTGATTGCAAATGTTCGTCTGCTGACGTGGCCATATATCGATTGGGCATAACAGAGATCTGTCTGGTGGAAGATTGAACCGGAGGGACAGGAGGATCACCGGGAACGATGTCTTCAATAGTTCTTCATTCGCGTGCTCCTTGTGTCCTGGGGCAGTCACGGTTCTACTTCGGCAGCGCTTTCCGTCTGCCGTCTGCCGTCTGCCTCACATGCATGGAAGCTCGCTCTGTCATCATCTTGAACAGCGCTCAATCACTCACTCAATCAAACACCTCACCTTGACAACCTCCACTTCATCGCCTCTCACCACTCGCCAACCCATCGACACTCTTGACATCAATCCCGAAGTCGGGCACCATGGCGTCGAATGAGAATGAGATCGTGAACATCGTCAAGCAGCTCGACTCTCTCAAGGCCAATAACCTCGCGTCGGCACCGCAGCTCCTCTCTCGCGCAAAGCTTGCTCTACTCCATCTCAACGCTCTCGTACCAACGGAAGACACCAAACCACAACATCTGCAGCTCGCCACCGCAGTGCTCGAAGCTGGCGCGCTCGTCAGCATCAAGCTCAAGGACACCGACTCCTTCACACGCTACTATCAGCAACTGCAACCTTTCTACTCACTACCCGCGGAGCAGCGCAGCAGCCGGGCAAGCAGCAGACAAAGCAATCAGGGCAAGGTCACGGGGCTGTATTTACTGTTGCTTCTGAGTGTCGGCGATTATGGTGGCTTCCACACTGTTCTGGAGGGTCTTGAGGTGAGCGATGGTAAAGACCGCATCGACAAGGATGAGTTCATACAGTACCCCGTGCGGTTAGAGCAGGCCTTGATGGAGGGTAGCTATGACAAGGTTTGGGTCGAGACAAAGGGCGAGCGGGTGCCGAGCGAGGAGTTCGCTGTGTTCTCCGAGGTGAGTAGTGGCGAAACATCCTCCTAAACTGTTCTAGAGCTAACTCTGTGAGCAGGTACTCATCGACACAATCCGCTCAGAGATAGCATCATGCTCAGAGCGCGCATACCCATCCCTCCCCATCTCAAACGCCAAGAACCTGCTGTTTCTGGACTCCGAGGGCGCGGTGGTGAAGYTCGCGCAGTCCCGCGGATGGACAGCAAAGGATGGACGGATATACTTCCCGGAGCAGGAAGAGGAGATGCGTGCGGCAGAGAAGGATGTGATGAGCAATAGCGATGTCGTGATTGAGAACACGCTGGTGTATGCGAGGAAGCTGGAGACAATTGTGTAACAATGTATACCTCTGTGGCATGCGCTTCAAAGCTACTCCTTCGCTGGAAGACTATCCTCTACAGTGCACTGAACCAACAAATCATACTATTACGTCGATTCAGGCACATCTTGCATTCTCCCTTCTCTTGCTTGCACCAAATGTGTTGCTCCAAACATCAGGAATGCTTCAGACGTAAGAAATCACGGCGAGACCAGTGGGATGAAGGCCTGAAGGGCATCTTAGAGCTTGAGGCGGAGGGGTACGGCATTGAGTCGATAAATAAACGAGTCTTGCATGACAGCGATGCATATCGCAAGGCTGGACATTGCGTCGACCGTCTGTTAAGGCAGGCTTTACATCTTAATGCGTGGGAGTAACCGAGAGGCGAGGAGGGCTCCATGGCAATATGGGTTGTGATCAATGCCACAGAGACGCACGAGAAAACTGAAACTTCACCACAGATGCAAGCAGATGTGTGTCAGAACGTGATTTCGATTCCTAGCTACGACAAATCAAGTCGTTGATTGTCCATGATAGCTTTCCTCTATTTCACCTCATCGAAGACGTAGGTCAGGTGGCAGCGACCGCAGTACTGGCGGTTGTGCATGGCAGCCATGAAGATACCGGCACCGCACTAGATTATGTCAGTTTCGTTCGGATCTTGAAACGGGGAAAATTCAGGCCAACTCACAGTCTCAGCTGGGCACTCTCTGCGCAGACGCTCAATCTTGCCGTCGCCGTCAACCTTGTAGTATTTGAGGACCTGATTCAATCATTAGCAAGGTCTGAGGCGATACAGATGTGGCTCGTGGCATGGGTAACTCGAGAGACGATCTTCGAACTGCACTCCATGCCTTCTGCCATTCAATTTACTTACCGCGAGTTTCGTCTTCTTGCGCTTGTGCTTGATCTTCTTGGGGGTAGTGTACACCTTCTTTTTTCTCCTAGAGTTCGCCATAGATTAGCCATGTCTGCGACGATTCGATGTGAACTGTCGCGTCTTACTTCTTGGCCATACCACCGCGCAGGCGGAGCACGAGGTGCAAGGTGGACTCCTTCTGGATGTTGTAGTCGGAGAGGGTGCGACCATCCTCGAGCTGCTTGCCGGCGAAGATCAGGCGCTGCTGGTCTGGGGGAATGCCCTCCTTGTCCTGGATCTTGCTCTTCACATTGTCGATTGTGTCAGAGGACTCCACCTCAAGGGTGATAGTCTTGCCCGTGAGGGTCTTGACGAAGATCTGCATCGTSTCGGCAAAGAGTTGCGTCCTTGGTGATGTGGATGGTCAAGAGAAAGATGAAATTCGAGACGTCGAATTCCAAGTGCGGACGCGGGAGCTTCCCGGCTTCCCGTTTTCCGGCAAAAGCCGCCACTCCAAGTGTCCCACCCCACCTCACGTCACCCCCTCCGGAGTTGATGCCTTGCAGCCTCATCCGGGCAGTCGTCTCCATCACGGAATCAACGCTGGCAAGCGGCATGTTCTTGCCAATCCATCTGGCGACTAATTTCGCTCATGACTCTATTGTCCTGGACCGGTCGCTTAGATTGGAGGTATGCTGCTCATGAATCTCGCAAGGGGTTTTCAATGCAGCATTGTCGCTACATGTGTTGGCAAACGCCTCGGTTTAGAGCCTATCCAACGCAGATAACAGACTTTCTATTCTTGTGTGCCTTCCTGATGATTTGGCGTTGCCACTCTAGTGATGACATCTGGGATTGGTCGATGGCTTCCATCGACCGACCAACAACATCGCAATTCTTCAGCGGCCAGCGACAGGCCAGCCGCTCAGGAGTTGCCTGATACATACTCTCGCTCCTCTTCACTTGGGTCGGACCTCGTCACCACCCGTGCTTATGCCAGATTTAAACACTGCGACGATGTGATCGTCCCCTTTGACTGTGAGTGGAGCCGTCTTACATTACTTCGGACTCGCAACCTCGCCTTAGATAACTGAAGCCTCTTTACTCAACGGGTCCTTATCTGGTACCAAATTCGTGAGCCATAGGCCCTCGGAGGAACCTAGCATTGCCGCGCCACATCGGAGGTGGGCTACACAGTCTACCAGTGCTAGATACAACTGTCAAGGTGAATGGAACGCTCCGGTTGTGGCTCTACGAGTTCGAAAGGTTAAAGACAGTCGTCGTAGCTTCCTGGATCCCAGCCTTTCAAGGCGAACGACCTGTCATCCTCGGGTAGAGAATCTGCGCCGCCTTACTGAAACTCCCCGGAAACCAGTAGTAGTGCAGCCGGTGGAAACAGCAGTGCCCCTTGTACCTCTGGTACCAATCGTGGTGGCTCGGTGCCATCTGTCCTCATCAAGCGTAAGCACAATCGTGTTTTCGGTCACATCTGGGATTCGGGAACGGGTACCAACTTCTACAACCACCGTCAGTCAAGCCTCTCTCCATTCTGATCAGCAAGATGCTCACGACTAGCATCAACGGAGGCAGCATCCATTTGCGTTGCTCTCTGTACCGTGCTAATCATATCGCAAGTCTTGAATACTCCTACATCCATGCCCGCGTCATGCTCTGCTATTCTCCTGCAGCCGTGTGCGAGGTGAAGTACCACTTCAAGACTTGCCCTATCAAGCCTTCCGATGCCCAGCTCCTGCCCTCGCCAATATTCTGGACAACATCACGCCCCTTCTCCCCCGGTCCCGGTCCCAGTCCTCGCTCAGCTTAACCTTTAACATGCTGAGAATCCCAAAGTCATTGAATACTTTCATCGCCGCCACCTACGACCTAAATGATCCGGAATGGCCGCACATCGGGAACTCCTTCGAGCAGTATGTCTACAAGCTGCTGCCTATGACAGATCTGCCAGTTTTCGACGGCGTCTTTCGTCTGCTTGATGGCGGCCAGGTCAACGACGACCCGCTTCCCTGTATCGTTAAGCCCAGATCACATCAGGTTACAGCGTCGTCGACAACATATTTACCACGGGTGGCATGCCCCGTGTTGATAACGGGGTGCGGGCATTGAGGAGCCACATCACCTCATCACTCTTATCTGCAACTAAATTTGGAATCCCCATGCCGGTCCACGATCGAGTCCCTCACCCTCTTCGCCGCAAAGTTTTACGAAGACAAGTGGAACCTACGACTATTCGATTCTCTGAACATTGAATCATGACCCACGCGCTACGAAGCAGCGTCTCTTATGCCAATCGGTTATCGAGACCAAGAAGCACACCGCCAAGATGAAACTGCCACCCGTTCCTCAACAAGAAGACTGATTCAATAGTAAAATTTCGTTCTTCGAATCTGCTCCGACTCCTTAAGAAGGAAAGGGTTCCTTTGGAAATTCCGACCTGAATATGACGGAAGTTAAGAGTGAGGCCGCTGGAGGACTCGACCAATCAATACCGACGTGGGAGGGATGTCAGAGCCATTTAAACGGCAATATTAACAGTCAAGGAGTTGGCGGAGCCGGCGAACGTATCGTCACTACCAGAGGGCCACGTGCCTCCTCTCCTGGATCAACGGTCGAGAAGTGGGCGAAGCGGGCGAAGTCGTCGTCACTGTAGGGGCCGCTCGTGCCCCTTTCCGCAAGGTCAACGGTCAGGGAGTCGACGAAACCGGCGAGGTTATCTTCGCCAGAGGAGTCATTTGTGCCTTCGCCATTTGTGATGTTTGGCGTGGATTCTCCATCCGTTGCCGAAATTATGCAGCCTCTCGTGAGCACTTTGTGGCAGGAACGAGCCGGCGTCTCTGGAATGATTTCTATCAAGGGAGATCCAAGAGCGGCACAACTTGAGCAGTTTTGACAGTCCATCGGATGGCACTGACGAGTGCGAAAATATGTCCATTGTCGCGCGAGATTTCTGTCTCATGAAGACAGGCGGTCCGGCTTCGTTTCCCCCTGCGCCGACTGACACTTACCAATGAATCGCAATAGTGGACGTGTGGAACGACAGCTTCGAGGCCACCCTATTCTCCTTCCAGGCGTGCGTTGTCGATTATGGGATGTGGCCGATGCCAGGGCTGCGAGACATCTGTTACAACGAGCGAACATGACATATCGTCAGCCAGTAATCCTCACAGCTGAGCACTCTACGTCGATAATAACACTGACGTGGAAAACGAGTAGCATCTGCAGCGCCGGGACCCTTTGAACACAGACCAGTGCGTAGCTGTCAAGTAGCGCCTCTTCATTCAGACGGTGTTCGAAACCCAAGAACGCCGTCGATTGGAACCCTTTTCCCGGTCACGACGCGTTTATAGACTCACCAGCCATCTAATCACCCACCACTTACGACCTTTCAGCCACTCAATGGTTAGACTCCTGCCTGTTATCTCTCATAGCCCTCCTCTTCTGACTTTGGAATGTCGAGCCTACAGGACAATCCGAGCGAAACATCCCCAATTATCTACAGAGACGCCGCCACCTTCGCCCTTAACATCGGCGCTGAAAATCAGGAGCTTCTGAATGCGTTATCAACAGCCATTAACAATGACGACCATGGCCTTGCTTTGGAGACATCCTCGAGTATTAGTTTTATTTCAAGAAGGCTGTAGAATAGCCGCCAGATATAATCAACATGCCAGCTATCTCAATGTGCTCCAGCTTCTTGGCGGTTGTCAGATCAACGAGGACATCATCTCGACTACCCTTAGACCCAGGTGTCTTGGAATAGTCTATTGTTTCATCGATAGTACACTCGTCAGGGGTTGGATGAACTCAGGGAAGAGCGGGTCGTCTGCAATGAGACCTTGCACGACCGCGTTCGCGCACCCCAGGTCTTATACATTGCAGCACGATGTGATGCCCYYGAGGAATAGGCAGCTACGACGACTAGATGCGTAGGACTTTGACGACCAACGAGCTACCGAGCAGCACTTGTTCAATTGAACGGTTTATGAAACTCACGAGGGCGTTGTCAGTAGGTTGGGCCTACATCCTGGTCCTCAGTAGACCGACAAATTCAACTGTGGAATCGTTATTATTCTGCATGGCATCCAGACACTTGGCAGCGAAGCCTTCCCAAAGCCAGCCATCGGTGACACGTGTCGAGAACAGCGACTCGATTGGGTGATGGCCTTCACCAAGCAGCACAAGACTGTAATGGGGCTGGAGGCATTTCTTGCGGCGCATGACTTGGCCCTGTAATTGGCATAACGAATGCCCTCTTCGCGGCTATACAACCTTCTGATCCGATCTTCCTGTTCGTGCCTTCTCCTTTCGTTATTTGTGGCGTCGACGTTCCTTCAGTCTCCAACACTGCACAACCTCACGTCAGCAGCGGGAGACAGAGTGTAGGTTGCCGGTGATATTTCAAGGGTGATCAGCCGCGATCGATACGGTAGCGGACCATCGAAAGCCGTTGCAATCGAAACCGATGGGCTCTGTGCATCGATGGGCTACTTCGACTAACAGCTCACTTCACTGTCTCTCGATATCGATTATATGTTGTTGGCGGACATCGATCACAGTAGGTCCCACGATGATGTGCGCCGGATCCCGGTGGAAACAAAACGAACTGATCGAACGATGGGAATTTGGCACCTCAACACCGCGAGGCAGAACGACGGGATACAGAGCCTGGGCTTTGCTGGGGGATATTTGGCGTAATGTGTAGGAGGCCAAGGACACAGGATGTGGTCACTCGGCTGGGCGAAATCGGAACTAAAACACATTCGWGGACTCGGATCTAGCAAGGTGGCTCTAACGTTGACTAATTGCAGGTACTAGGTATCCTCAATCCCAACAGGCTCTCAGCTTCATCACACGAGGGCGAACAAGGTGGTGACTGTTTTGGGGGTTGTGGCACCTAGTAACAGCCGGTCCGTTGACTTCGATTGTAAGTCGCGACTTCTCCATCCCTTTTCTTCTGCCTGGCAACTGGGATGAGCTTACTAAACGTCCCATCGCTTGTGTCTGGACCTGCGGAGGCCGTCTGTACGGAAGCGTCGGGGAGACGAGCATGTCGAGTTCGTGTATAGAGGTGACCAAGAGGCCGTCTCAGTTGACAGCGTTCAGCGCGCGTTAGATGCYGGTCCTGCCTCGCGTGGCGACAAGCTCACCAGAGCTAGCATCGGTACAGCAGGAGATCTTGAAGGTCGTGGAGGATCGAAGTCAGGTATACATCGAGGGTCTGAGAAAGGCAGAGGGTACAATAATCAAATGGGAAGATTGTTTTCGAGGGAGGTATTTGGATCACCACTATGACCACGAGCATGAAAGGGCAATCACCAACAGTACGGATTTGCTATGTCCCATCAGTCGTTGGCAACATTGTATAATGTGGCGTGACTCATGCAGCCGGCGCGTGAATGAAACGAAGAACTACAGCCTACGTGCAGTGCAGCATGTAGCCTGTCAATGCAGATTATTCCGATCTGGTTGAACGCGACGTGGAGTCTACACCTTCCTTGATCACTTAATCGGGAGACGACACACCAGAGCTCGAATCCCCAATGTGGAACATTGGCGACAACAGCGCAGGACATGACGCAGGGACCTCTCGACCATTTACCATTGAGGAGGATGAGATGATGCCATATTGGGAGCCCTGGGCTTTGGTATRAGCGGCAGCCGCAAGGGCATTGTCTTCCACCAGATCGGGCCCATGATTTAATGGGCGCCAGTATTCTCAGGTTCCGTGGCCTGGGTAATTGGGCTGAGCATGCCTTCGGGGCGACGGTAAGGGTTGGCTTAGTTGTAAAATCGAGGAGAAGAAAATGTATCCGGCAGCTGAAGATGAACCCGTCGTTCGGAAGGCGTTGACGAGTCGCGCGACTTCTGCCGGGCCGATCTCAGGTCGCCAATGCGCGATTCCAAAATGGATGGGAAGCGGAGAGGAGACGAATGGGAAAGGTGTGTCCATGCGCGGAGGCAAGTTGTAGACAGGGGTTGAGAAGCAGGGGTTGAGAAGCAACCCAAAGATGAGTAGCGGTCTGGCACCGAAGAGGTAGACGCTATGCCACCGACGAGAATGCAGCCAAAGTCGCTCTGTAGTTAGATTGAAAGGGCCAGCAGTAAGGCTGGTTTTGCGAACATTTATGCTATTGGTCATAATGTAGACCACAACGTGAGCTCGGGTAATGCACGCCATAAAAGGCCGAAATGATATCTGACGCCCTATGTTTTCTCCGAAAGAGGAGGTTTAGAGTGCATGGTTTGGTTTCTGTCCCCGAGGAAGTGAGAGTTTTGAGTTTTCTGATCTTGTGCAACTCCAAATTGGGGAGTTCTTCCGTGTAGAACGCCCGGCGGAGCGAAAGATTTGATTCTTATATACTGAGATGAGGAAGGGATTCAAGTATTGAACGTTCAGCTGAGCGCAAGGCCCAAACACAATTGGGGGATTCAATATGTCGCTCCTAAGGGGCCCAGGAGAATTCCAAATAGACATCTCGTCGCCCGTAGATTGCAAAATTGTGAAAGGGCTTAAACTCACCATGTTTCTGATCGCAGCAGCGGAGTGCTGGGTTGGTATGGCTGGCTCCTCATTGGACACTCTTGATTTTCCTCGTGAAATACGCAGTCGGTGATGACGATGTAGGTTGACGCCAGAGACCTGGGGACAAGTTTGCTGAGATGCGGTCGTCGTTGATCTGGCAGAAGGCGATACACCCCTGGCGGAGTGAGTATTTTGGTTGTCTCCTGATGGCAATATAGACCGAGCATGCTCATTCAGGCAGCACCGTGAAAGAACCACATATCGGCATGCCGGTCTGAACATGAAAGGACGTAGTGAGCCTGGTAGACATGGCCTGTGCATTCCCATTATCAATCTTTTGCAGAGTAGAATGGCACCCTGCCGTAGGAGAGTAATTCCGCTCTCGATCTGGAAAGCTGACTACTAGCTTGATGGCTCAATGTAACAACTATGCGCCATGGATGGCTGCCGCAGCTATGGCTTGGGCATGATGCGGAGCTTGTCAGCATCATGCCACTGCCGGAGATGAAAGATGGAGGGAAGCACAGGGTGTACAATACTGTGCAGACCCTCGGTCGGCAGTGTAGACGCACTATTCCAAACATCGCCTCCGCTGGAGCTCTGTACTTCTTGGACTGCTGACCGGTCGTATGGGGCCTGCACAAACTTCCTTGCAGTAGTAGGTAAATTGATGGCCGACTAGACCAATTGAGGCATGAGTCGTTATGCCGTGAAAGCATCTGCTGTGCGAACTCGGCGGCTTCTCGAAGATGCAGGATGCAGGATCAAGAATACTGTGCGATGGCMTGGCCGCAGACGACTCGAGAGGAGCGGAGTTTCAGAGGTCGAATGCGTCGAGGCGCGTCTCCAGTGCACGGCAATAGCGTAAGGACTTGGTCCACCCCCATCTCAAGCTCCTACTGTAGGGAGATGGGCCGGATAGCAAAGCTTCACCGGCATCTCATAGACACGGCAGAGTGCTTGGGGTGGAGCTACTGCAGACTTTGAAGGTAGTTGAAGCTGTCGGCTCGAACAGGAAGTCGCGGCTGCTGCTGCACTTGCCCCTTATCAGCCYCTGCCGCCGCAAGGGAATGCATAGAGCGTCGTCGAAACTGTAAGGTATGCTGTAAAGGATGTCGGCGGTTTGAAGGGGTGACAGGTGTTGTTGGGAGGCTGCCCATAGGTACCGGTACCAAATCCTCGGCGGATCGGGAAGAGTTTAGACTTTCCCGTGTCCTCGTTCCCTCGCCAGGGCTCAGCTGTACACACCATCAAGGCACAAGACATCGATCACCTGTCCCCAACGAAGCGCCAACTCGGATTCACGGCGCCAACTCTCCATCAATCAGCAACAGAGGCCGCGATCGCGATTCCCATTGACCGCATAGCCATACAGGCTCATTGCGCGCGCCCCCGACTGCCCTCCACCGGCACCCGCACGTGCAAACCGCTGTACGTACCTGTCCTTTCCCGTCTGCTGCGCTTGCGCACCAGGAGCGTCGGCAATCATTAGGCGCCGTGGCCACTGGGGCATGCGAACAAGTGGAGTGCAGCTCAGCTCGTCGTTCTCGATTGCCCTCCAAGTGGCGCCTTCCCTCTGCAGCGCACGCTTTGAGGCAACCTTCCACTTCGTTACGGCAGCTAATCAGTGCATCTGCAGGCACTAGTCATCCATTTCACTGCACACTCCGTCCAAATGGGTAAGCACCTCTTCTTCACTCTCACACTGAGCTTCGACCTCCTCCGTCCACCTCACTCATCACACTCCACCTCAAAACAATACCACTCYCAGTCGCATCGACCCGTACTAACGCTCCACACCAGCCGACGACTCATATCGCTCGCACGCGAGAGAATCAGTACGTATATGTCCCCTCCCCTAATACGTGATGTCGTGATCATAGCCTCTCGCGTTGGAAAGTGTGCGAATGCCACCACCACGGAAGCCGGAGCCGGAAACCATACGCGCTGGAGCCGGAGCTGGAGTGAGCAATGAGATTTGACGAAGCAGAGTCGGATGAGATTCTCACTGGGCAAGAGCAGCAGAGAGACCGGGTGAAATCTGGCGGTATCCCACAAGCAAGAAAGATCGAGTGACAAGGGCTGAGCAAGCGCGGACTGAGCAATTGCATTGCATGGCAGACCACTCCTTGGTCTCGGGTGCGAGCAACGATTCTGGCGTTTGATCGCGGACATTGTTGCCCTACGGGCTTCTTCCCCAGCGCTTCGAACCACAGCAAAGTCTGCGCCATTCGCATCTCAACGTGAGCCCAAGAAGCTGCTGGACAAGAATCACTTTCAAAATGCTGCAAGATTTAGATCCCCAGGATGGCCCACCAATGGTCCAACAAGCTCGAAATCCATGGCATGGGCCGGTGGCTTCCTGACCGCAGCCACTGCAAAAGCATCGGGCTATCCGCATGATGAGGCAATCTCCTCAAATTGCCAGCAGCTGGCCTCGCCGGAAGCATGATCCTTCTTCTGTTGCGAGAGGGTTTCGCTCACTTCAACGTACTTTTGTGTTCTCAACCTCGGCAAGATGGACTTGAAAGGCAGCGGGAACCAGTTCATGTTACTTGGACGTCTCTTCAGGCTGGCGCATGGCGAAAGCAAGCTTGACGGGAAAATTCGGCGCACGGGTTGGTCGATTGCTTGCCGGTCTCGTAGCCTGTCCACATATACAGAAGCTTGCCATCTCATATCGGCTTCAGACTGCCCATACATGATCTGCCTTTGTCAGTCTGGCGTAAGCTAGACTCTCTGCCGTCTGCTTTCGACGGCCAGTGATGCAACAACGTGCTGCAATCTGGCTGTGCTTCTAGCATTTCTTGCCGTCTGAGAATGCTCAGTGCCAACGGCCTCTGTGTGAAAATGACTGCATACTTCGACATTCTTCCGCCTGTGCTGGCTTCAGCCTCCAGCCGCAGAGGAGGCCCCTCCTGTTGTTGAGCATTCAGATTGATGTTCAATATGACACGCCAACCAGAGACGCTCTCGCCGTTCATGAGCTCTTTCAAGACGATGCATCTTACTATACTCTTGACGCTTATTCTGTCTGCGGAGAGACCTAAACCGAAGCAGAAGTGGAGATCGACATTCTTTTCTCCCTGACGAAACGGTCATTCTCTCTCTCTCTCGACGGTAGCAAACGGCGTCCAACGCCTTGGCTTGCCAAATGTGGGGACCTGGTATAGCCATATCAATTCTTCATGGTGCTCTTCGAATCTCCAGGAAACCGGTCGCCGCATTGGAAGCCAACTCAGATGAGAATGTGTTGTGGTTCTCGTCCCGAACCTCGGAACTATGCTCGAAAGGCCACCACGCTGCAATGTAGCGTTGGAAGACCGCTGGTTGGAGACGAGATATTCAAATCCTGGCCATCAACCAGTCGGCATATTGCCCGGTGCTTGGCATGGCTGTTCAATCACGTCGTCCTCTGTCATCTCGCTGGGAATCACCGCGAGGAGGCCATGCATCCTGTTGACTTTTGAGTCCACCAAATGGCAAACAGGACTGGTGCTCAAAGCCTTGCCGTTTCACCTGAGAGTATTCGGTCTTCGATCTTACCGCTGGCAAAGCCTATTTGAGCATTTCCCTGGCCTGCTCCAGGGCGGAGATCATTGCTCGGAGAATGTGCTGCGCGTTGCGGCGCTCTCCCGTGCCTCAGCTGTTGCCGCCTCGCGCTGTAGGATCTCCGACACGGCAAAGTACACTCTGCGAATCTCCACGAGCTCAGTTGCCGACACCTGGTCAGGACGATGGGGAAGTCCTTGCGCGAGTCGGAGTTCATTGACTTGCGGAGGCGCTATTGCTGTATCACAATGCGGTGGTTTGCTCTCGCATGTTTGGTTGGCACCCCCTCTCCTGAGGACGGCTTAAGCCGCAACGCCAAGAGAAGTTCGGGCTCCTTGTTGTTCAGCGCACAGCCAGCCTTGCCTTTCCTTGCACACACACACGCCATGGCGCCCTTGTCGGTCCCCTCGCCGCCTCCTCTCCCTGCCGCGGCAGACCCTCGGCTGCGTGACCTCGAGCGCCTGGCGTTGCGCAAGCGCATGGGAATGCACCCCTTCACTCCGCAGGTGTGTATCGCTTGCGCCAGGACGACCCTAGGGCACCCTCCGCCCCTGAGGCTCCATCTATGCACCAGGCATCCAAGGAGCTCATACGAAATGTCGCCGGCTAGAGCAATACCACAGACGCGAGAGGCTATACGTGACATGTGCTAAACTCAGAGCTAACATATGATGAATCAGCGATCTCGTGACCGCCGTGACCGTTCCCGCTCGCCTGCCCGCCGAGGCAGCCGCTACGACGACCGCAGCAGGTCTCCTTCTCGCGAGCGTGACCGCGACTACGACCGCAGAGACCGTCGCCGTGACGCACCATCAAACGGCAACAACTACGACGATCGCGCCAGTCGCCCTTCCCGCGAAAACCACCACTCCGACAAGCCCATGATGGCGAACAACAATGGTCCACGCGACTCTCAGCAAGACCGCCGTGTCTACGTCGGCAACCTCTCCTACGACGTCAAGTGGCACCACCTCAAAGACCACATGAAGGCTGGTAAGTTTTCTCACTTTTCTGACTGCAGGCCACCGCTGACACGTGTATCTAGACAACACTTTGGAGGTGCTGTTCGCAGACGTTCTACTACTTCCGAACGGAATGAGCAAGGTAAATTATGTRCAGGCTGGCTGACGGCATTGTCGGTTTTTGAGGGCAGTGAGTTGACATGGGGATTTGGGATAGGGTTGTGGTATTGTGGAGTATGCGACTCGGGATCAGGCTCAGACTGCCATCAACACGCTCAGCAACACCCCGCTTATGGGACGGCTTGTCTACGTCCGCGAGGTATGTATGCGCCAGGGACATTTCACGAGACATGCGCTGACACTTCTTGCAGGATCGCGAGACCGAGTCCCGTCCCCCTCAGCCTCAGCGTGGAGGTTTCGGTGGAGGTTTCGGCGGCCGCGGAGGCTTCCAGGGCCCGTATGGTGGAGGTCCCGGAATGGGCATGCACGGCGGAATGCACGGCGGTATGCACGGCGGTATGCACGGCGGTATGCATGGCGGTATGCACGGCGGTCCAGGACGCCAAATCTTTGTCTCCAATGTTTGTATACCCGCCACCGCCCTAACGAACTATCACTAACTTTCAACAGCTTCCGTTCTCCGTCGGCTGGCAGGACCTCAAGGATCTTTTCCGCCAAGCTGGTAAGTTCACTCAATGGTCTGGTAATGGGAAAATCTAATCCTCTCTGCAGGTAACGTCGCCCGCGCAGATGTCCACACTGCCCCAGACGGCACAGCCAAAGGCTCTGGTGTAGTTGCATTCGAGACCCCAGAAGACGCYCAAAACGCCATTCAACACTTCAACGGCTACGACTGGCAAGGCCGCGTTCTGGAAGTTCGCGAGGATCGCTATGCACAGGCTGGTGGATTCGGCGGACGCGGAGGTTTTGGTGGACGTGGCGGCTTTGGCGGTCGCGGCGGCTTCGGCGGCCGTGGCGGCTTCGGCGGTGGCTTCAACGGACCGTACGGTGGAGGCGGTGGAGGCTATGGTGGAGGCTATGGTGGAGGCCGTGGAGGATTCGGCGGTGGCGGATATGGTGGAGGTGGTGGTTTCGCTGGCGGTCAGGGTGCAGCTCCGCCTGGCGCCTCTGCAGCCAACGTTCCCACTGGCCCCAACCCCTTCATCGACGGCGTCGTCTCTGGCGGCGAGGCAAGCGCTACTATCCACGTCAAGAACGTGAGTACACCCCAAACATATCTTCAACAACATCGCTTGCTAACCTTGACAACAGCTACCATGGAGCACCAGCAATGAGGACCTGATCGAGCTCTTCGTCACCATCGGCAATGTTGAGAAGGCCGAGATCCAGTACGAGCCAAATGGCCGCTCTCGCGGCACTGGTGTCGTTCTCTTCGGCAGCCAACAAGACGCTGCTACCGCTATCGAGAAGTTCCAGGGCTACGCCTACGGCGGCCGCCCGCTTGGCCTCGACTACGCCCGCTACCCCGACGGCGGCGCTATGGAGGGTCAGGAGCAGACGATGCAGGAGCAGATGATGTAGACCCGCACTGGGTTCTCATCACATCACTTTTCACATCACTGGCCAGCCCGCGAGCTAAAACGTTCATGCGGCGATGGTCTGTAACATATGGCGTGCATCAGAGGGCCAGATGTCCTCCAAAAAAGTGCTCACTTGGGATCATGTAACAACAGTTGCTTCAGATTCTGGGCCAATGGAAAATGAGCACAGCGGAGCAACGGTCTAGACTAGAGTCGTCCAGCACCAGCTTGCAGGCCTACTACGGGTAGCAAACTAGGGGGCAGATTCTCAATGAGCTAGCAATTTCATCATCCACTCATAAACCTGATTATGCTTGTCAGCCGCGTGAATGTTAGAAGTAGTATGGGGTTACTGACTGCCCACTGCACTGCATTCACCAAGAATGCTCTCACGCTGCAGACACCCAAGCCACGAAAGAACACTGCCTTGCCTTCGGTCTGATATGCTTGCTTGGCAATGTCGAAGCTGCTAGGTCTTCCCCTTATCATGTCCTTGTTGCTGGCTCCTCCGAGCAGCGGCTGGCTCGCGGCATGTGAAGTAGCGACCTTGCTGGCAGACACAAGGTCCCACGTTTGCACACGCGTTTTTATGACATCTGGTGAATATTGATCAGCATTGTGGAAACACTGCGGACGTCTCGACGCATACCCAATGGAAAAATGGACGCCCAAGTCACGACGCCTGCCAGGCCTCCACACAGAAGGACCTTGAGCGCTTGCTGGTTTCGGCTATCATCCTCATGTGTGACACTACGCTTACTCAATTCGTAACTCCAGAAACTACAACACATTCAGTAAGACACATTCATTAACAGGGCGTTGTTCGACTTACTAGAATCCATAACCCACGGCATCGCGAACGCTGGTGATAGCACCACCCAGATACAATCCTCGTACCTTCCCAGCTTCCCAAAGCTCACGCGTAATCTGCAAAGATGATCGAGGAGGCTGACTGACTTGAGCTCTACATTTGACCAGCTCAGTGGGGGCCGAGACGAAGAAGATAGCGAGGCCTCCGAGAGCACCGGCAGTCCAGATGCTCCACCCAGAAGGCCGATCCGGTAGATCTTGCAGATTTCCTGAGTTGATCAATGCTAAGCTACGGTTGTAGGTTACGAATAGTAGGGCATTGAGTGCTCCATATCCGAGTATAGGAGCCGCAGCTCCTTGGGCAAATGACGTCCAGCGTTGGTATGGCCTTGGAACATTCTGACTTGTCGTCGACGCGGAGGTTATGGATACATTAGGAGAAGTTTGAGAAGGCCCGGCTTGCAGCTTTGTCTTGATGATGTCCAAAGGGTTGCCTATGGTATCTTTCAGCATGGCACATACTCATAACCAGGCAGACGAAAGACTGACCAACTAGAATGCCGACAGAGCCTGATATGTAGCCAGCCCAGAAGTCAGCGGACATCCTGAGAAGGAGTAAGGAGCTGGATGATGGATGCGTTCGTTCAGACCATTGTCAACTATGGATGCTCGAGACTAGATACGGTTTGGAGTTTGCAAGTTGACTGTTGGCGAAATTCGCTCCACACCGACAAGAGCTTGAGATCCACTTCTGAGAGCTGGACATGGCAGAACGAGCACAGCTTACAGTTTACTAGCATAAGGAGCGACGAGGAGTAAAGCGTATGTCGACCTGACTGGACGTAGGACTCTCCGCAGCACAATCCAACTACCCCAACCCTAACCCTACAAGCGCACGGGGAGCCGAAAGCGGGACCTCGGGATCATCCCGTGTGCCGATGGGCACCCGCATTGATGGACCCTGGCCGACCACGCCACCACTAGCGTCAAATGATTCATGACTTGACTTGAGCTTCGCCTTCGACAACATCTTCACATCAACCCACACAGCACTCGTACACGAAGTGCCACCAGTACTGACAAAACCCTTATCAGGCATGCGGCGACGACAAAAGCTCAGCCAGCAGCCGCAAAAGAGTCCCAGCAAACGATAGTTAATTTCGAGTATCCGACGCCGCCGAGGCCTATTCAGACAACGACTTCTTGCAACGAAAGTTGCTATCAACGCTTCGCTTTCGCGATATTCGCTCAAAGACTGATTCGCCGCAAACGCGCGAGCTCAAGAGGACGCTTCGCATTTGAAATCCCGGTCTACAACGTACGACACCATCCTCACAATCTCGAGCTTCGATTCCATGGGCACGACCACTGCACCACGACCTTGGGACCTGGGGCATCTCCAACAATTCCTACCTGATTTCTCGGATCCTGTCAACGACAACGATAGTCATGCCATTACCCATCCAGCAGACGTGAACAGAGCCTGCCATGACGGCGACGACGCCGACGGACTGGGAGACTTCTCCAGGATCTATACGTTCCTTGGACCTCAAGCTCTCATCGCTTCGAGCCGCGAGCTGGAGTCTATCCCTTTCAAAGATGACTATGTATCTGACGGAGCGGTCTATCAGCCCAGTGGGCTTCCTCAGCATCACGCAAGCTCTCCGGCTCCCACCGTTGGCATGGACAGAGTCGATGCTGTACTCGCCTTCGATCAGTCCGATTCCGTGAAGCCCGACGACAGCAATGTGGCAAACGCAAAAACCAAGAAGCAGCGGAAGAGGGCAAGATACCAGGAGAGAAAGGCTATGCTGGCAGCACAACGCAGCACTCTGTCCGAGTCCGAGTGTGACTTTGCGCTCGGCAAAGAGACGCCCGCCAGCAAAGCTTCTTCYCATGGCATGTCGACCAGGAGTATGAGTGAAAAGACGCAGAATGGTTATGCCACTCCGAGTGAGCAAGCTATTAAAGCCGTTGCAGAGGCGGCCGCACGTCAGAAGGATGAAGGGGACACCGCGCCGGAAACGCCTTGTCCGACAAAGCCGTACACTGCAAAACCGCTCGAAAACCATCCAACCAAACGTCATGCTCGTGGGGCAGCTGGAAGACTACCGGCACACTCTGGTACGGACGGAACTGGTGCCGTGGTCAGTGCTCCACAATTCGGTCCGCTACACACTGTCAAGACTCACGACCCTTGGCCACCTACCCAGGAGAAACAAGATAGTGGCCCGCCGTTTATTGTCAAGACTCACAATCCTTGGCCCTCTCCTGCTCAGCCGAAGCAGGACAACGGTTCGCCGTACATTGTCAAGACTCACAATCTCATTCCTTCCTCAATCCTGCCATCGCCGAGCAACCGCAAACCGGACGGCGCTGCGCAGACCAAAACACCTCCAAACCTGGGTAATGTTGCCGCCCCAACGCCAACGATCAAGCCCATTACTCTCCGGTCGGGAGAAGATCGAGAAATGTCCTTGTTTTTCAAAATTCTGAACGACTTTGGCTCAGATCGCAAGCATTTGGTACGGCCTTCGAACCTCACAACGCACAACTCAGACCCGACTGGCATCCACGTTTTTGTAGACGCCAGTAACATTTTCATTGGATTCGTCGATCAGCTCAAACGAGCGCGGGGTATCCACCCGAGACAGCGAGTTCCAGACGTCAATCTTTCGTTTGACAGTCTTGCACTCCTGATCGAGAGAAGGCGTCCAGTGGCAAAACGAGTACTGGTCGGATCGACCCCTCACATTGCTGCCTTCGACACGGCCAAGGCTGTTGGCTATGAGGTTTCCGTATTGGAGAAAGTGATGAAGGCGAGGGAACTCACTGAACGTGGAATCTATTTCAAGGAGCTGGATGACCGTCGCTCTGGACGAAAGTCGAGCACGAAACCGCCTCCCCACAAGATTGCACTCAAGGGTTCGGTACTCACACCCGTTGGCTCGGAAACGACCACTGCTTATGAACCTCAATTCACCCCTGTCAGTCTTGTTGAGCAAGGTGTAGATGAGATCCTACACCTGAAGATGATGGAATCCGTGCTCGATGMGGAAACGCCGGGCATCATGGTGCTAGCAACGGGAGATGCTGCCCAAGCTGAATACAGTTCTGGATTTATGGCGATGGTGGAGCGCGCTCTGCGAAAGGGATGGACTGTCGAACTGACGAGCTGGGCAAAGAATGTAAACTCCTTGTACCGACACAAAGCGTGGACGGCAGCCTGGGGAGAGCGGTTTCGAATCATCGAACTAGACTCGTACGCCGAGGAGTTGCTCGATATGTAAAAGACTTTGACAGAGATTACTCTCTGTTATGAAGCTTAGTCTTGTCTGATTAATTGATGTTCCGACCGAGGATGTCGTTCGAAGAAGTTTGGCAGGGTGCATTAATCGCCCGTTCGGTGACGACCTTCAGTGCCAAACATTCAAGATGTGCTGATGGAAATGCCAAGCTGTTACTACCTTTGATCTGATTTCTTCCATAAATAAATGTTACCCGCGGTCGCGTGCGAAAAAACAACGTGTCGGAACGTGAACGGCCTCAAGGAATGTCAGACCAGTCTTGAAGGTAAGCAATGTAACAGGATATGTGCTATCAGCGACGGGTGAAGCTGCTGAGGCTCTTCTGCTGAGGTTGCAAGGTATACTCCCAGCCGCAGATCACATCCCCAGAAACGTCATGTACTACCACACTTGGACCCGCAATATACCTGCGAGAGCTTGCCCGCACCCTACTTGAGCAATGCTGACCTCTCTTGTCTTACGCAGCCAGCATGCAAAAGATCAGCATGATTGACAACGAAGYACCTAAGATGCTTCCCGCGAAGAAGAAACCGGTCAAATCTGCTCCTGCAGTCAAAGCTCCACAACAGCCAGCAGGACAAGCCAAGGCTCCAGTGAAGAAACCCGTTATTGGCACGCCGCAAGAAGCGACTACCACTAAACCTGCAAGCAGGTCGGTTCCCGCCAAGGCACCGGTCAAGGGAGATGAAGCGGCCGTTAAAAAGCCAGCGAAAGCTCCGGTCAAGGCATCTACGGCTCAAGGTACTGTCAGCAAGGAGTCAAAACCGGTCAAGGCGGCAGGAGAAGCACTTCCTGCTCGTAGGAAGCCTGTGCCTCCAGAAGTAAGGCCGCAGAACAAGAAGCCAGCAGCGCCGAGCGCAGGTACGGGTGAGTCAAAGGACGGTTTGTCTACGCAGTCGGCTTTGCGCGCCTCGAGAGTCTTCGAAGAATGGCGCAGGCCTGCTGGTCTTGCCGCCGGACCATAGATAGTATCAAAGCGCCGAACAAGCAAGTTGCTAATTGCACCCAGGAGCCCCAAACCATGCGACAGACAGCAAGGCAGCTCCTGCGGCTAAAAGGCCCAACAAGGCAGGATCTGGAGCTACAAATACAGCTGCGAATGCGGCAAAAAATGTCGGTGGAACTGCACAGGGTGTGTTCAAAGACGTGTCCGGCACTGCCAATGGAGCGGCTGGCAACCTCGCAAAGACCGGGAAGGAAACAGCAGGTGCTGTGAAACGAGGCGACGTTAAGGGTGTCGGTACAGGTCTGGTTAAGGGCACGGGTGCTACCGTCGGAGCTGTTGGCCAAGGCGTATGTAGGCTCCATCTCTCTCGTAGTGGCATGCTGATTCAAAAACGTAGGCTGGAGCGACGGTGTCCGGGGTGGGGAAGGGAGTGAATTCCACAGTGTAAGTGTCTTCATCTGCGTTGATGGTCGTCAGAAAACAAGACTCATTATCACATAGCTCTGGACTCGGTCGCAACGTTGGCAATACCGTCGGCGGACCCGTCGGAAAGACCGTGGGCGATACGACTGGTGAGCGAGCTGCTTCATTTCCACCACTGAGAAGTACTAAACAAGAAAGGGAACCTCGGCAAGACGGTCTCTTCCACGACATCAGGATTAGGCAAGACTGTTGGCGACACGACTAGCGCAGTCGGAAGAGGCGACATCAGTGGAGTTGCTGCAGGAGCCACGGGTGGAGTTGGATCAACCGTTTCCGGAGCCGGCAAAGGTGTCGGTGGCACAGTCGAAGGCCTTGGGAAAAACGTGAGTCTGGTTCGACATTCTCAACTTCAGAACCGAGTCCAGCAAATCCGGCAGCATCGAGGAGGCTAACCGTACACAGGTCAGTGGGTACGTACCTGGGCGAGCTGGGGGCACTGTCGAAGGTAGGTGTGACTGATATGGAGACAGCGAGGGTAACAATCGTACTGACCGAAATATCAGGCCTTACGAAGGGTGTTGGCGGTACAGTAAGCGGCGTGACAGGTGAGACTAACGTTGGATTTGTCTTGCCTTGGGCTAACACTGACGATATCAGGCGGACTCGGTGAAGGCGTGACGAAGCTCGGAAAGGGCGATGTTGTTGGAGGATTAACTTCCACGGTCGGTGGAGTTGGAAAAGGTACCAGATGTTAGATTGATTCGATCGACTGTGATTCTAACATTCTCTTAGGTGTGGGAAGCCTGACACAGGGCGTCTGGGGAGGTGTCAGCGGAGGAAATCGAAAGCAGAAAGCTCCCGAACCAGCAGWGGATGAAAATAAGGCGGGAGAGGAGAGCACTGCCGATAAAGGGGACTTTTTCTAGTCCGCTCTGTCAACAACCATTGAAGATGTCTCCGAGGGCCTGGCTTGCTCAGGAACGGGAAACAATGTAACCATCAGGCCTTGAGACGCGGACAACCGCATTTCCTACCACCCGGCTCAGCATCGGTCTGTTAGTACGTCAAGCGACTCAAATCCCAATATTCTCTTCCGTAGCTGGAGGGCCAAAGCTGATAGACGGGCATTTGCACTTGGCGCGTGATACGTTGCAGTGCCGAGAGTGCAAATGCCCAGGACGCGTCGTGTGATGTGTTCGCCAGCTTGACGGAAGACCTTGACGGGGCCACGATGCTCAGCCACTGTAATGTGCCATGTTGACAAGTCACCTCTCCAAAGCAACAGCAGGAGGCACACCACCTCATTAACTTTGATATTTGGGTCGGAGTTGCGGGAGAGAAGTGGAGTGAAGTGAATAATGAAGCGAGGCGCGCGCGTCGCCCCGAGGTCGCGCCCAAGCAGACGTCAGCTTGTCTTGGCCGAGACAAAGACATCGACACCTATCTCGCCACCCTTGACTTGTCGCACCTAGCTATCGTACGCTCCAGACCCCCCTACACAATTCGTCCGTCGCGCACGAGTGTTGGGACCCTCAATCCAAAACTCCACACACCGCTCGACAAGATGTCGAAATACGTAGGCAACACTGCTGCATTAGGTGCATTCCCCCAAGTCACTAAACAGCACATAGGACGCACCGCAGGGCGCACCTCCAAACTATCCCCAACAGCACTACGACGCAGGCCCAGCCGCAAACGCAGACTTCTATCAAGGGCAACAAGGATACCCTCCACAACAAGGATATCCACCGCAACAAGGATACTACGCTGGGCCACAACCTCCACCTCAAGCGTATCAACAGTACCCGCCAGGACAACCAATGCAGTATGGAGCCCCTCCGCAAGGCTACCCGCCGCAGGGAATGTATCAAGATGACCGTGGAGGAAGAGGCGGAGGTGGAGCTGGATGCTGTAAGCTTTAAAATGGCTCACACCCTCGAGTGAACGCTGACCTTCTTAGTCGCTGGTATCTGCGCTGGACTCGCAGCTTGTTGCTGTCTTGACATGTTATTCTAGAGCGCCCCATGCGGGAAGAAAGGTCTGAGAGATGGCCAAATTACACATAATAATTGGAAGAGCAAGGCGTTGGTATATCAGCTGGCGGACAATATACGGATCAATAATCTGACTAGGCTCCCTGCGAACTCCCAGCGGATCGCATTTCGACTCATTGATTGACATTATGTGTCCAGCATTGGGTCGTAATGGACTCAGTCTGGATCTCATTCTGGATCTTGTATGGCAAGCTCCGTCAGCGTCCTAGAGACTTGAACAGACGACTTCATCCGTCATGTTAAGCGGCGATAGGTCGGTATCCTTGGCCCTGACAATGAAAGTGCGAGAGTGAAGTGACAAGCCATGGAAGAGTGCAAAGACTTAACGAGGGAAATGGGGGATGAGGAGCCATTCCAGGCATGAGTTAACGCAAGCGGAGACGACGCACGTGCATGCCAACGAATAGGCGGAACTACAGCCGAACAGGAGAACGGATCGTGGCCGCCAACCTCACCCAGCCCTCTGCTACTACAGTAAGACCGTGCTCTGGAGAYGCTCGGGCTTAATCGCAATGGAGTTAAGTCGAAGCGATGCCCCATGAATCGAGCGAGGCACTGCTGCACAACCAGGAAGGGGAGAATATGAAGCGAAACGGTAATCCACGAACCCGGTATCTGAGCAGGTCAGGGCGCACCCGACATGGCTTTTTCTTTGGAGAAGGGTATATTCGTGAAGGATGTATTTGAACGCGCCAACGACGGCAGGACTTGGAAATGGTGGTCTTCCGAACGACGTCCAGCTCACGCCGTGTGTAATCACACACATCGACGAGATCGAGGCCCAGCATTGGAACGATGATGGTGCACAACCCAATTCGTCCGAAACTGTCGAGGTCACCAGATCAGACAGCGCCAGGGAGTAATGTAAGAGCGGCGATGCCAGCGGTTTATCATTGCGCGCTGATGGAAGAGGTATGCCCTTTTGCTGAGTAACTATATGCGTTGCTGCATAAGGCCCGCGACGGATACTTTCCGCGCCGCCCGAAGTTGAGTGAAGTTTCATGGTACTGTACTACCGTAGAAGGGATCATCGCGACGCAGCCGACTCACATGGGTGAACGACACAAGAAAGGTACGAGATCGATGAAGGAAGTGTTGCAGACAAAGTCATGAAAGACTATCCAAGCTCCACATCATCCGAGGAAAAGACCAGAGAGCTTGCACATAGGCTTGCTGCTGCTGTTGCCCTGTACATGCGATTTGGAGCATGCTCCGCTGGGGAAGGATTCCGAGTGGAGTTCACCTAAAATTCAATGGATTACCTTAAAAGTACGGAGTAAAGTGTTCGCATGCCAATGCACAGCGTGGTCGCTCAGCCCGCTCAAATGAAGGGTTCAATGACCAAGGTTCCCTGAAAATGCACCTCGCCGCCTTTTCGATCACGCCCGTCAGAGATCACCGATGCAAGGATTTGGGCTCAGTGCGAGGCCCGAGTCGGCAACTACTTCGACAACCGGTACGGTCATCGAGGCGACAAAGTGATCGATCGAATGGAACATTGACTCATCGACCGAGACCACCATTGTGCCCTTGAATGACTGTCAACTGGACTGTCATAGACTGACATACCGACTGGGTACCGTGGATGGCAACCAAGGAGTCAGGACACGTTTCTGCTCTCAGATAACATCAACGGCACCGGGAGTAGCGTGTTCAAAAAAGGGTCGTCTCACCCGACGCAGGACATTAAAGCATGATCCATGCCATGAGCAGATCGATCGGAAACATCCTTGTTCACGTCGCATGCTTGCGCAAGCTTTAAGCAAGTGGCGACTATTGCACGACGTGCGGTCATACCAGAGCATATCGCTCGGAGATTATTCCGACAGGATTGTTCATCGAGATTTGCGCAACGGAAACCGAATAAAATGGAAAGAGATGAGAGCGCGATAGAAGGCCACACATTCCGATTAAGCGCCTGTGTGTCTGGAAGCGGCTGCATGGCCGTGATCAAAAAATCCCAAGTCCATCGCTAAAATTCACATCACACCWCCACCTAGAGGACCTGCAATCGACGATGTTTTTCAGCGGCGCACGAACGATCATGACGATGTTTCCTGTCCGCCTGGAATTTGAGGCTCGAGGAGAATTACCACACATGGTCTGGGGTACAGTTCGGTACCTTTATGCCGTAGTGTTGCTGCATGGAAGTTGACAACAGGGATCAGTGCGTCGATACGATAACAATTGAAGCGGTGTTGCATACAATAGTTAGACACAAGTGATGGGGTGAATACATGTTACATGTAGGTGAGAGCTGCCACTTGATGAGTAAGGAGTCTCGACGCCTTGGCAGTGTCAGGAGCAACGGCACGGGTAGCCCAAGGGCTGGAGCCATCGTAGATCTGGCCAGACCCTCGATCCAAGGGACTGGCCAGTTTTCCGGGCATCGACGCGAGACCCGCAGAGTCTCGATCATCTCACGATGTTCAACTTTACCCTGGCGCGCCGCGTCCGATTGCGTCGGGAGATACGATTGATGGACGTGGCCACGAGTGTTCAGTTTCGAGGGAGCGTCTCCAGGATCGCGATGACTTTTCGACTTCACTCATCATAGCCGCCCTGATATCGACCATTTTCGCGGTCTGTCGTCGGTCGGAAACAATCCACATGCCTGCTTGCCACACACTTGCCATCTACTGGCCGTCTACGAGAACACACTACGACTCTGGGACTACGACATAAACAGTGACTCCACCTCATCGTACCGATTGACTTGAGCCGACTGAAGTGGACCCGGCCCTTGCATACGAAACTGCCCCATTTCGATGGATCTGGTGTAATCGCACATTCCACGGCCATGGCTGCTATTCACCCTCGCCGCCAGGCGGCGAAGAACTCGGTGTCGCTTGCTCACGTTCAGAGGCAACGGAAGACGCCTAGTGACCCCGATRGCAAGAAGAGCAATTCGCCCGACACGCCTTCGAATCTGGAAGCGCTGGGAAGGGGCAGTTCGGGAGAAAGCTCAAACGCAGACCAGTGGTTCAACGAATCCAACGCAGTGGTTGGTAACGACGGGAGCTTTGCTGATAATGATCCGCCGTTCTTCCTGCGCAACAACTCGTCTTCGCAGACGCCGCCCGACGCTCAGCAACTGTCACAACCTGCAATGGGCGTAGACTTGCTTCACCAGCGCATCGATCTCGCCCACATGGGTACCGACGGAAATAGCACGGAGGATTATCGCGGTAAGATATTGGAGTTGGCGACGTCATCTCGTGAATCCTTGCTGATTGAGTGTTCAGGTGTCATTGACGATCTCACCATCGAGAACAAAAAGCTCAAGAGGAGGTTGAAGAAGTACGAAAAGTTGCATGATGCCCACCTTCGCGACGAGAAGCTATTCGAGGTTCGCTTTCATGGGTTACCCGCGGATAAGAAGTTGGAGCTTGAGGCAACATTGCAAAAGTTTGCGGCCAGTCTCGGAAACAACCAATTTCCAGCCAATGGATACGATGGGCTCATGCCAACGTCATTGAACAAGAATGCCTCGCCGATGCCCAACACAGACTCGGCATATGCTTCAAACTCTGCTTCAGGAGCAGGTTCTTCTGCACGATCAGCTATCGAGACTGGATCTGGGACATCAAGCGGCCAGGGCGCATCCACGCGCCGAGACAACGCCATCCACAACTATCTCCATCACATGCCCGAAGGCTTGCTTCCGCAAACAGCCCCGGCAAACATGACGGAAGGGTCCCGGCAGAAAATGGTAGTGCGCCGCCTCGAACAGATCTTCGCGGGCAAAGGTGCTGCGCTCCATGGCCATCAGCATCCTCAGCAGCAGCAGGAAGTTTCACAATCGGCCGCTCGTGCCGATAAGGCGGGATACCCAGGTCAACCCACAAGGCAGGAGGGGGTACGCGAGGCTCACATCATGACTGCAGAGGGTGAACAACAAGCCGAATCGGCGGACATCTCCAGCGGCAAGGTGTCGCCGTACAGTCCGTCTAGAGATAAAGAGAACAAGTCTCCAGAGCAGAATCCAGCCCAGCGACCAGAAGGAGAACAAAGACCGACACGTCCCCTGGACCTAGATCCACATAGGGCACAGGTACCCGCAGACAACATGCGGTACATACGACATTTGGGCTTTGTGGACCACAAGTCGCCCAGCACAGCAGAAGAAGGAGAAGGATGGGTGTATCTCAATCTGCTGATAAACATGGCCCAATTGCACACCATCAACGTCACCACTGAGTTTGTGCGCAAAGCCCTAGTAACGCGCAACTCCAATTTCGAAGTCTCCAGCGATGGTCGCAAAGTCAGATGGAAGGGAGCCTCGTCCGGTACACCTGGGAGCAGCACGGCAGGTGGATCCAGCACCAGCCATCTTGGCGTCGACACCCCGGAAGGCCAGAGTCCACGCAAGCGACCGAAGCTGGCACATCGCGATAGCTATCGCTCGCAGACAATGAACACGGAAAACAAGCTTGTTTACACTCCCATGTTTTGGAATCGGAGCAGCACAGACGGAACCAGTTACACGTCAGAGGATGAGGAGAGCATGTCACCACCTGGTCAAGCACCTACTGCTGGTCACTCTTCTGGTCTGACAAGCACGGGCGTGCACACCACAGTGTCGAAGAAACGCCAAAGAGCCAATGGCCCAATCATCTTCTACCAGAACGCGCGTTTCTGTACGGATCTCAGCGGTGATCCTGAAGCGCAGTACAATCGCAATGCGCCGCTCTACTCACCTACCACCGAGATCGCCATTGGGGAACTGCGCACCAACTCGTCTGAGCAACCAGCGGAGAAAAGAGGGCCGTTAGAACGAGCTTCTGTGCTTCCCCCGCCGATGGATCTGAACGACAACCCGATTCCGGAATCGAGGGAGATCTCATTTCCATCGCCTTGTGACACGCCGCCTTTGGAGCCGACAGGAAGCTCTCAGCCAGTCAACCTTGAAGTTTCGGGCATTGGTGGTGTGTGGCCAGCGGACCATTTTGCTATAGATGTTGAAAGCCGCCACGTCAACTCTGACCGGAGGAAGAACCTACCACGGACGCATCGGCAGTATCTATCGACCAGGTTTGCTTCGCTGTGGCCAAGCTCCGCCGTTGCTCCTGCCCCACCATCACTCCCTGGCGATGGGGAGAAGATTTTCAAAACAGTTAGGAAAGACCTGCCACCCTCTGAGTTACCGCCTGCACTCTGCTTCGTGTCGCAAAGCGACGACACTGAGTCAGACAACGAGGACGACGAGGGATCCAGCTCACCAATGTCTGACAACGAATCGGTGCCTTCGGCCAAACCCCAGCCTGTTCAATTGCAATACTTCGGGTCGGAGCAGGGGGAGGACGATTACGACGATGACATGGACGACGACGAATCCGATGGCTCCGTCGACATGTTAGCTGCGGCTCGACAAATGGATCCCGAAGCCATTCGTCTGCGAGAGAGGGAGTATGACGCAGACATGGCAGAGCGTTTGGCCGAGGAGATTCMAACTGGCAGCAGCGCCGCCACTGCAGGAGGCGGCAGCGGCAATGTATCCCCAGCACACGGCTTGTCTGGCGAAGAGTATAGGAAAGCGCTGGCAGAGCATCGTGCTCGAGGGCGTATGTTGAGGAGATCCGCAACGGCTGATAGCATGAAGGTGCAAGTGCAGGGCGCTCGAGCATCGTCTACTGACAGTCAAGATGGAGACGAGGATGAAGAGATGGACGACATTGCGTCTTAGTTCGCTCACTTGGTCATTTACCTTAGTTTTGCGTAACGGATATACCCTGTACATGTTTCGCTCGGATCTCTTGATTCTGTCCGGTATTAGAAACGTGAAATTGATGTTCAAGCTCTCAGTTTTGATAGAAGTACTCGAGTACAGTAAGGTACTCCGTTGTACTAGGTATGTAGTACAGAACGTGGATCGCCATGCCGAGAAGCAGAAGCGGAAGCAGCGCCTAAAAGGCATGAAGGCTTGGCGTGACGCTGGTCTTCTTCCAATCACAGCTCAGAGACAACCTCGAAGACATTGACACTTTCCCTCTTCCCTTACGTCAGGGCTTCGCCGTCAACACACCACCCTGTGACCCGACCTCTCAGAACGAGCCGAAGTGAATCCATGCACAAATGACTCGTGGACTGTGCCGAGCTCGTGTATAATCGTGCAAAGCAGTCTGCTGAAGAAGCGACCCAGCTAGTGCGGGTCGAGCACTTGGGGAAACATTGTCATCCCAGGCGACGAGGGGCAAATCCGCCGTCGGAACGACAAAAGGTCGCCAGATACATCTCCGATCTTCAAGTGCGATCGGTCAGTCAGTCATACCATGGACCCGCAACTCATGGAAACGCAACCGTACGGGGACGCCGCTTTGCAGCCGCCTCAAGCAGAGGTCAATGACTTCCTCCGCAAGAAACGAAAAGCTCGAGAGCACAAAGCCTGCTATCCTTGTAAGTCTGATGATCATGAAAGGCACAGAGAATTTCCCAATGTCTTATCAATAGGCCTTTTCATATCGGAGACACCTGCTTACCTTCCATACTTTCGCCTAGGTAGGAGACGCAAAGTAAAGTGTGACTTGTCCAGGCCTTGGTAGGATCATGATTGCCATGCAGTACGTCTTGGGATCTACCATGCTGACACTTGCAGTCAAACGTGTAGAGATCGCGACCACCCTGAGCTCTGCTCGTATCACCCGCCAAGCAAGCGGCAGAATGTGGATGGTAATTCGAATGCGGGCTTGTCAAGACCTACCGACGATGAATCGCACGGCTTGCAAAGACCTCAGGATCCGGGCTATGTGATGCTGGAGAGGAACGCCTTTGATCTGCTGTGCYATAAACTCAATGGCTTGGAGAATTCCATTGCGGATCTCAGACGTGAGATACGTCAGAATTCCTACGACGAGAACAACGGGGTTCATGAAAGCGACGGTAGTAGCGAAGGTCCACGTGCGCAGACGCATGCCGATCTGCATGGCCTACATACGACGAATCAATCCGTGAGTGCCGTTTGACCAGTATGGTTTCAATCGAATCTGCTGACACTTTTCAGGGCGAGATTGTACACCTTGGCGGCGGGTCGGTACCAGCCATGATATACGCCATAACTCAAGGACATCCGTCTAGCGGGGCGGAGCAAACACAACTTCAAGAGTTCCTGGGCAAATCGGTGCTGCCTCTTTTTGGACTCGACAATGAGTCTGCCATATATCCGTTTGTTGACCTCTGGGGCTTACCGCATGGTTCATTACAGCGCGCTCGGGAGCTATCGAAGGCTCTGCCAGGCGATGCACAGATGCTGAGTCTCTTTGCCTCGTATAGAGACATGGGTCATATCATCTACCCCGGTCTCGCTGAGCTGGATCAGCTCGAGTCAGACTTGGCCGCTTTCCTCGTCGACAGGTCGTCGTTAGCCAACCCGGACGATGGGGTGACAGAGAATACCATTCATGGACGCTCATTCTACTGGCTTGGCATGCTCTTCGCAGTCCTCGCGAGTGGTGCACAATGCAGCGCGCTAACGCGAAAGGAACGTGAATTGACATCTCAAGTTTATGGTAAGTTTTGATTCATCTGTCTTGCCTCTCATAATGCTAACATTCACAGTTTGTTGCGGGTTCGAATGCCTGCGCTTCACGAATTTCCTGTCGCAGCCTCACGTCGAGAGCATCCAGGCGTTGTTGATTATTGGTATATTTGGTACGAATGCAGAATTTAAATTCTCACCTGCTGATTCTATAACAGGCAATGTAATGACGAATAACATGAACGCGGGAACAGCATGGTCGCTGTTGGGGCTCACGATACGACTCGCGCAAGGCCTAGGGCTTCACCAAGCGTGTCCACCTCACATCCCTGCGGAGAAGGTGTTTCCTCGATCTCGGATCTGGTGGGCGATAATATGGCAAGATAGCCTTCTCTCCATCACGTATGACCGCAACGCGGCGCTGGATGTCAACACAATGCCAATGCCTCAGCATTTTGGACCCGTGAGCTCTTACCACGCTGCAATGTACAGGATGTGCAGGCTATCGCTCGACATCATCCGCGATAGAGCAAAGCCCTGCGCGGCCCGCGACCATGTTGCGAGAATTAATCAGCATCGCGAGGAGATATCAAGCATCATGCGGGATGCTGTTGAGCATCTTCGCGATTCGCGCCAGTGCAACACCAGCAAGGAAACGCTGGAGCACTGGGCTCTATACTTGCATACCAGCTATGCAACGTCAGAGCTATGCAGGCCAGCAGTCAGTCCGAGCACCTCTAGTGAGATTGTCAAATCCTTCAAGCCGGTCTGCATCGAGAACCTCGTCAATACGATTGAAGCGTTCCTCGGCTTAAACAACATCACCTTCTTCGCGAGGCAATCATGGGCCGCTGTCCACCGAGGGCTCAGCTCGGCCCTGCTATTAGGCATTCTCGGCGAACACCGGCATAACGAGCGGGCACGAAAGCTCATCGGACGCTTCGTCACCCTCATGAGCCAGATCACTTCCACTGTAGATCCCACCGAAGTCTCTGGCCCAGTTCATCGTGGCATTCAGGCTCTGAGAAAATTGAAAATAGAGGAGAATCAGACTGGTTTCACAGACTCTTTGACAACGCCAAAAGAGTCGGCCGGTACATCGGTCGATGGAAATGGGAACGGCGAGGTGAAGCTGGACCACAGCCAAATCTTCACGCCCTCGAGCTCTGATACGCCTGCCGAGGAGTTCTCTCCGTATTCTGTCCTCAATACTATCTTATGGGGAAACAATGCTGGCGCTATGCTTGACGGCGAGACTGCCCCAATGTAAGAAGCCCGAGGTAGATGTACGAGGAAATAGATGAAGGAACGTAATGTTTGTATATCCAGAGGTTATAATGAGGTAAGACCAAAACACTTTCATTTCGAATGAGACTACTTCGAGGAATTTACGACAAAGCAGTGCATCAAGGATGGCAAGCTTGGCCTCCTCATTTGAAGGTACTGACATCATATACCACGAGAGACGAAGTTACATACAACGTGTGGCGTGTAATCATTTGGCTCAGATCTTGGCTGGCTTGAGAGAAGAAAACAAGACTGGATATGGCACGGCAGCATAGCCGGCTGGAAAGAGCAGGAGACAAGAGAGCTTGGCACAGCTCCAGGTCGACCGGAAAGAAGAAAAGCATCAGAGCATGATGCAGCTCAAGGCCATCTTCAGAAGAAAGCGGAATGAGGAAAGAATGGCGTATTGGTGCAGCTGAAGGCGGCTTGAGGATGCTTGTATGGGTGGTGGCGGTGGAGAGTGATGATACGGATCAGATTGGCAGTAGGGAAAGAAGCTGCCTGACATTTTCATCCTTTGTAGCTACCTAGCAGCTGCTTGCACCTTTCTACCATTTGAGAGTTACCTGGAGTCAATGCCACGCCGCATCTTTATCTTGTACGATGGCAATATCCTCATCAACGCGGAAAGAGTTTCAGTAATCCTGTGAGTTCATTACAATGAGTAGTGACGTGAGTCTTTTGAGGTTGTCGAACGAAGGCACCATTGCCTCAATGCGCAATTGAGGGAAGGGCGGTGTGTACCTAACATGTATTCCCCAATTTTCAACRTCACACGTCAAATACACTCATAACAGATACGTACAAGCCCGTCCGCTATTGTTGCATAACTGTCAACTTCTCCGAGATCTTGAATGGCGCCTCAGTCTTGGCCTTGATCTCATCTACAGTGACGCCTTCTGCATGTCTACAAGCGAAGTTTAGAAGTTAACAAATGGCGTAGACATAGAGAGAGGGCTGCGGGACATGTGCAGACACGCTACTTACTCAATCAAGGTCAAGCCAGAAGTGAAGTCCACGTCAAATACAGCGAGCTCGGTTATGATAAGGCTCACACACGATTTTCCCGTCAAAGGGAAGGCTGTGGTGAGGTTAGCTCGCTCTGTTGCAGGTGGGGATGGCAAATACATACCGCAGTGGTTGAGAATCTTGGGCCCCCCTTTCTTGTCTGTGAGGGAAAGGAAGTAGTTAGAAAGGCAGGTATAGGGTGGATAGGTGCATATCGAATACGGGAAGGGAGAAGGGGGAGGAAAGACATGTACCTGTGTGCTCCATAGTAACTACCACCTTCGTCTGTGATGGGTTGGAAACGAGATCCATCGCTCCTCCGAAGCCCTTGACCTTGCCTAGAAAAGGATCAGACACGTTCGGAAAACTTTCGATCGATGTGGTCTGAGGCCTAGCGTAATTCGAGAGCCATAGTCGAACAACTCGGTAAGCATTGTGCCCTTCAGTATCTCACCTGGTAACGCCCAGTTGGCAAGGTCTGGAACATGATGATCAGCATAATCCTTTCAAGAATCAACGAATGTGGTATCATCCTACCTCCCTTCGCGCTGACCTGCATAGCACCAAGTATAGTGAGATCGATGCGCCTATAAAAGCGGAGGCATGAAGGGTTAGCGATGCCGTGAAAAACCTCAATATGGACCAAGGTATGGCGTGGCGTAGCTCGAAAGGCATGTTCGAACCACACTGTATACTCTTCAGTATCTTACCCGCTTCTAATCATTCCAAAGCTTTCCTCAGATCCGAATACGGCAGCTCCAGGCTTCARAGTCACCGTTTCTTTTCCGGCGTTGATGAGGTCGGCGTCCTAGAGGTTTAGCCCGAGTCCCTACGCTTTGCAAGACAGGATCCTCACCTCCTCGCCCTTTTGAGGGTAGGTTCCTAATCCAAGGATGCCATTCTCACTCTGTAGCTGGACTTCCACGGAGCTGTCCACGAACGAAGGAGCAAGCATCGGCATTCCAATGCCCAGATTAGCGTACTGTCCGTTCTTGAATTCCTTTGCCTAATTGCATGATTAGCGATGTCGGACTCGACGCGGATCATGGCCTAGTGTAGTTCAAGAGACTCCTCCGAACTACCCTATATGCCTTTAGCATCTTACCGCCCTTCGAACAATCCTCTCCCGCTTGTTGGCCGTGTCTCCGCTCCCCAAAGCACCGGCTTTGAGCTCCTCGGGGCTCTTTGCATTGACGACCTTCTCAATATTCTTCTCACTTGTTGATTGAATGACTTTCGTCACATATATGCCAGGCACATGAACTGAAGCGGGATCAATCTCTCCCGGTTCCACAATGTGCTCTGCCTCCACAATGGTGACCTTTGCGTTCCTTGCCATGGCTCCGTTGAAGTTGTGTGCTGCGAATCGAAACATGACATTCCCCAGGCGATCCGCTTTCCAAGCCTTTACCAGCGCAACATCTCCTTTAATGCTGTGATATCGTCAGATCCTCAGATAGATGGATTATATCAAGCATTCATGTTCCTTCTGAATACCTACCTCTCTTCCATGACATACGGCTTACCGTCGAAGACCTTTACATCGCGTGGTGCTGAATATTTTGCGACTGAGCCATCACTGTTATGCTTCAGAGGCAGTTCACCAGTCTGTACCACCGTTCCTACCGCCGCCGGGGTATAAAACGCGGGTATGCCTTTGCCGCCAGCTGCACATCGTTCCGCCAGGGTTCCTTGTGGAGACAATTCCATCTCGATTTCGCCCTTGAGATACATGCTTTCGAACAGCTTGTTTTCTCCCACGTAGCTTGCAATCATCTTGGAGACTTGTCTCGAAGCCAGCAACTTTCCAAGACCTGACCCAGGCACACCAGCGTTATTCGAGACAGCCGTAAGGCCTTTGATATGGGGAGACCTCTCTACCGCGTCGATGAGGGTATCGGGTACTCCGCAAAGTCCAAAGCCACCGCAGAGCAGGGTAGAGTTGGGTTGCATGTCCTTGATCGCTTCTTCGGCAGAGCCGACCACTTTGTTGATTTCATGTCGGCGAGAGGATGATGCAAAGGTTCGGGCTAGATGGCGGGCCTGGAAAGCTCGTTGATCAGTCAATGATTTCGTGAGGTGTCTTGAGGAGAGCTTGGGGTTCTCTACAGTAGGTGAGGCTCGCTTCAAGTTGCTGGCCGTGCGGAAGCACAGTGTTACAGACGAGACCATGATTGCGGCTAGGCTGGACAGGAATCAATCGTCGGKGAGACAAGCAGGAGAGGGGAATAGACAGATGCACGAAACGACGCGGCCTTGCAATGCCGCGTTATGACATTATTATTGTCAGTCCTGCTCGCCAGATGGATGTCGGCATAGGAGCTCGGATGCACGAAAGCTCTCTCTCACGCCGATCAAACCCCGCTGTCGGTTTAAACAGAATCTCCCTATGCCTGTTCCTGCATCAATTCCGTGGGAGCTGTCCATACAAAAAGCGGCTCACTAGGCACTCCGCGCTGCTTTGTGGGGACGGCCCGTGTTGACATGTCACATGTCGCAGCTGTTGAGGTTGTACGTAGACCTAGGTATGTTCGCACCATGGCCACCTCCGTCCACAGTCCACCCACTTCACCCGGCGGCCGCGGCCTTGTTCCGCGAGCTCGCGACCGGGTCCGCTGAGCCCGCGCCCAGATGAGCCTTCTTCATCCACACTGATAGATCATTAACATCCGAGCAATCTCTCGACAAGTCCCGGATGCTGTCTACTTTATGTGTCCAGTATGACATTGATGATCTGTAGGGCGTGTCGGCGGTACACTAGGATTGGTCCCTACCTTATGTATCTAGCCTGTGCAGGGTGAACCGAGCAAACTTGGAAGGACCTGCTGCGCATCGAAGTTTCATGTCGAACGAAACAGCAGCGATTCATGTTTGACTGCAAAGATTGCATCCGTGGTGAAAACGGCGTCGCTGGGCGACATCATTAGCATTGCGAGGACAACGGCGATGTTGTGGTGATGTTGTTGACTTTATGTTTTTCTTGAGATTGATCGCTTAGGTATTGCCCCACCACCTGTCCGCACGACTGTTCCTCCCATACCCAGCAACTACCGTGGAGTCTTCGATCAGCGCTGCGGGCAGGTTCGCAGGAGTTCAGGGATTAGGACGACCCAGACATCTCCTTCTGTGACATTCCCGGCGTCGCGGTGTTTTGCCCCCCACCCTTGCTGCCAACAACATTGCTTTGTATTCGAACGTCCGCTTGGACAACAACCACCGCCTCTGCGCGCTGCCTGCGCCATGGCTTTTCTCTTTGGTCGAAATCGCCAGCGGTCAGCACATGACATGGTAAAGACCACAAAGGAGCTTCTACTTCGACTACCAAGAGAGCAACAAGATGGTTCTTCGGCCAAGACTGAAGAGGAGCTCTCCCGTACACTATCCCTTATGAAAACCTCACTGCAAGGCACACCCGAAGCAGAAACCACACCCGACGCCATTCTGCAGCTCGTGTCAGCCATCCTCTCGGAGTCGTTGCTCCCACCGCTCATCGATGCCATCGCAATCCTCCCCTTCGAAGCCCGCAAGGACACCCAGACGATCATCTCGAATGTTTTCCGCTTTAGAAGTCCGGGGAGCACCTCGAGTGAGCCGGATGCTTTGCGGGAAGTCGTGCGCCAGCAGCCTGAGATTGTCGTCTCGCTCTGCATGGGTTACGACAAGCGAGAGAGTGCTAGCGCATGCGGCGGTATATTGAAAGAGGCGTTGAAATGGGATGCTGTAGCTGCAGTCATCTTATACGACGAGCCAAGTGAGGATGGAAAGGCGGTGGATATCTACAACGATGTGGACGTGACTGCTCCATCCTCGRGCAACGGCGTCTTCTGGAAGTTCTTCACTTGGATTGACAAGTCCTCGTTCGAGGTCTCGGCCGACGCCTTCGACTGCTTTCGTCTGATCCTGACGAAACACAAGAACGTGGTGTCTCAGTTCATATCGACAAACTTCGACATGTTTTTCCAGAAATACAACGATATCCTGATCAAAAGTGAAAGTTATGTCACAAAGCGGCAGAGCATCAAATTACTGGGCGAGGTCTTGTTGGACAGGCAATTCTACGAGTGCATGTGTCGGTACGTCGAGAGTGGGGACAATCTCAAATTGGTCATGTGGCAATTGAAAGACGATAGAAGAATGGTGCAGTATGAAGCGTTCCATGTATTCAAGGTAAGGAGAAGGCTGCACTAACACAAAGCGACAACCTATGCTGATTTTTGTAAACTTGCAGATTTTCGCGGCGAATCCCAACAAATCTCTCGAAGTACAAAAGTTCCTCATTATGAACAAACAGCGACTGTTGAAATTCTTGCCAAAGTTTCTGGAAGACCGGACGGATGATGATCAATTCAACGACGAAAAAGCCTGGCTTGTCAAAGCGATCGGAAACTTGCCAGACTCTACCAGCGCTATCAGGGCTCCGAACGGCGGGACCACGCAGAGCCCCGGGACGAACGGAGTGCAAACGGGACAAGTGAGGTCTTGATTCCGGTGTGGGTTGGCGCGTTTTTGAAGCATGGCGTTCTAACTGACTGGAATCTACTGGAAAACTGGCAACGGAGGCGCGTGTCATGTGTGCCAGGGAAAAGCTTGCAATCACAAGTTTGTAGGGTTGTTCATATCGGATCGGAAATGGTCAGCTGGAGAGAATGGTCGGATAATTCCAGAGGCATCTGGCTTTGCCAACAATTCTTCGCATTTGGCGCATCCTTTCTCTGAAGGGCAGTATCATGCCTGGCGGTAGATAGGTAACGAATTGAATGTTTGATGAAATCCGCGCTTCGGACAGTCACCCTGATATGGCGCCCAGTCTAAAGTGGAGTACCTACCTTATGTACTAGTGAAGTGACATGTGTATCCCCGATGGGGAGGGACCCAGCACAAGGAGGAAGCACAAGCCTTTGCCCATGATGTACGCCAAGAACTCGCGATGATTATTCGCCGTATGTCATCCCGAGTGTTTGCTCTGGCATTCATGCAGAAAGGTCACAAGCCAACTGAGTTCTTCCTTAAGAACGCATTGTTCACAACGATCTGACACACTAATATCTGACACTATGCACTTTCCTTCCACGTGCCGGTGAGGCGAGGCGAAACTGTCTTCGAGACGAGATCAAGGTACGCGCGACGTCATCTGTAACACTCGATCTTGAACGACCGGGAACAACTCTTCCTATACTAGTCCACGATCGCACGACTTCACGTACCCCCCCGATGAGGTCGCTCGCACTTCACGCACGCGCCGTGGCCCCATTACATGCTAGGACGCCCGCCGGAGCATACAGGACGGCGGCACGAGGCCCGGCGGAGCGATGAATTCGTTGATGTCAAAGAACAGAGGGACCGCCGAGCACCAGCAGAACAACGAAGATGACGCCGCATCGCCGACACCGACTGAGCCCGGTCCCAATATTCCTGCTGCACTCGCCGCGCAGGGTCCAACTCCGGGAGCGCGGCCACCACTGTCAAGGGCGCATCCCCGAAACCAGGTCGAGGCGGAGCAGCATGCAGGCCCCGTAGACAGCACAGATGAAGGCTCGGACGTCAGCAATGCCCCAAGTCGGGGCTCCCGTGGCAAGAAGGCTGCAAAGGGAGATGCCGGTACGGTCAAATCCAGAAGCCRTGCGCCGGGAGGTCTGGCAAATGTGAAGGATGCGGCGCACGCCAAAATGTACGCTCAAACGCGAACGCGCAGGAGTTATGGTGCCGCAAGCGTTCGCGGGGAGGGCAAGCGAGTCTCGCCCATCACCGAGGAAGAAGCTGGCTCCATGGCTCCCTCCCTCAACTCAGTACTCGACAGCACGCAAGAGCCGATCCGCACGTCCAGCACTGTCTCCACCGAGTCTACCGAGTCCCAACGCACTCTCAAAGGAAGTGTGCCACCTACACCGTCAGGTCCTCCGTTACACACGCCCTCGTACCCGTTCCCCTACATTCCTGGAACCCCTAGGCCGTGGACTTCAGGCTTCCACCAGCCGTTCACAGCCCTCTCGCCTACCGTATCGGCCCTGCCAGGAGATGGAGGAGCAACGCCGAGAACATCTTCGTTCAAGACCATGTCCGGTGGCTCGACGCCGGCCGGGTATGCCATGTTCTGGCCCCCAGGTGCCGGCGGCAACGACGGTCTTGAAGACCCGCGATACCCGACGCCGAATTTATACGATCTAGTCCTACAACYGAACTCAGAGCCCGGCTTGGAGCAATGGTGGGCCACCGTGTCCAACATCTTGCATGATCACTTCAAGGCGGAAAGGGCCTCGCTAGTTATGCCTGTGGACTCGACTGACCTTGAAAACATGCCCTGGGGCCAGAAGTCAACGTTTAGCATGAATGGCCCCCAAGACTACATTCCCGCCGCCGCGCGAGTAGATCAGACGCAATCAATGAGGCCCGAATTCACATTTCGAGAGCCATCTTCAGACTCGACCGCCGACTTGCGCCCGCAAAAGCTACACCCTGACAGATTGCGGCCTCGTCTGGAACAGCGTCATTCATATGCTGGTCATGGGAGGGAGGTCAAAGAGATACTCGGCGGGCTGAATGACTTACCTGCTAGAGCACAGGCATCGCGACCGCCAGGGCCACAGCGAACGGCCACGCACGCGGGTGGAATGTCGCCTGATGTCGGACGGGCTCGGATAGCACCACCCTCAAGATTGCCCTCTTCTACTAGCGTGCGTCAATCATCCTTGAACGATCCAGACTTCAGCAGTTCTGGTGGTACAAGCGAAAGCAGTCCATATGCCGCCATTTTCGGCGCACTTCGCTCCCTGGACCAAGAAATACGGCCACTGATCGAGTCTGCGGGTGTGAATCGTGTTCTCGAGCGCGGCAGAGTGGTCGCTGTGACCAGAGACTACGTTCCGGAGACGGCCAGTACACCCGCGGCGAAAGCTGCGCCTACTGAAAAACCCGGAAGGCTGTTCGGCCGTTATCGTAGTGATCTGGCAAGTGGGAACGCGCCTGACGCAGTGCGAGACTACGATGAGTATGAGCAGCATCCGTCATCTCCTTGGGCCCAATCTCCCGCACCATCACCAGCGATTCAAGCTGACGAAGAGACGAATCCGTTTTTCGCCCCTGATGATCAGCAGCTTGACGATGCCTTCAATCCTGCTGTCAGCCCAAAGGACTACTCGCAATATGGACAAGTCGAAGCTATTGGAGTAGACCATGCCAGTACCGTCCTGCACATTCCCTTGGTGCATCCTACTCTGTCCACTCCAATGCCGTCCCTTGTAGCCGCCAATCAGCATAAAGCTCGGCCTGGCGACCCGTTGCAAAGGGATACGGTCGACATGCAGAGGAAGGCACCCATTGCAATCCTGTCAATCCTGACCGCCACCGTTCCTTATCCGCACAATTTGACTCGGACTCTGAAGCACCTAGGGCCACACTTGGCAACATCGTTTGTTATTGCTCAGCAGCTTTCCGCATGTGCTGCAACACGACGTCTTAATATTCGACATCGTCGAACGGCCAGTGGACATAACGTATCCAGCTCCCCAATGACAGTTGAGCCTGCTTCTCTGCAAGATATTAATGACGCAGATATCGAGGTTCCCAGCTCATCTGTGTCTGAAACCATGACGAGCCCGTCAGAATACTCAGGCCGTTCCCGCCTGAGCCCATCCGAATCCATAGTCGGCACTCCTGGCTGGGATCCGGCTGCGCACGGATGGACCGCCAGTCGCTCGGTTGTGGGTACACCTGCGCTCACGGGTTCAGAGATGGTCGACAATTACTTTGACTCGAAGAAGCGGCCGATGCACCGCAGTGGCAGTAATGCCAGTGCAACAACACCGGCGAGATCTTCGAAGAAAAGCTCGAGCAGCGGCAGCAGAAGCAGTGGTCGCGCCGCCGATGACGACGGCGTGTCACCACGAAACGAGCGCAAACAAAAGCAGTCCACGCTGGGCAAAGAGGAAAAGCCACAAGGCCCTACACCAACGGAACACAGCCCGCCGCGAGAGGACAGTCGACCGAACCTACGTCCCGCCATGTCACATCTCCCCGATCTCACCCAAACCAAACAACATTCACTCCTACATTCCTACGGCGCCGACTTTCAGCATTCCTTTGGCACCTTCCCCAGTTATGGGTCTGGCGATGCGCGAGCGTCGGGTTTCGGCGCACACTCAAGAAAAGGATCCTACCCCGAGGATATGCCGCCGCCATCTGAGCGCCTCTTGCGAACAATCATTGATTCCGTCCCAGTACAGATATTCACAGCTCAACCAGAGACTGGTACTCTCAGCTGGGTCAATTCAAAGTTCCTCATCTACCGGGGGCAGGAACCCAAGGAAGTTCTCGTCGACCCGTGGCGAGCGATCCATCCTGATGATCGCAACGAGTTTCTCCCTGCTTGGCATCGTTCACTGCGAACAAATCAGCAACTTCAGCAAAAGGTCCGATTGCAAAGGTTCGACAACAGCTACCGTTGGTTCTATGTGCGAGCCGCGCCCCTTAAGGATAAGCACATGAAGGTCGTGCATTGGATTGGTACGATGATGGACTTCCACGAACAGCAGATGGCCGAATTGAATTCTGCACGTCAGCAAGAGACCGCAGCGTCAGAGGCCAAGTATCGAGCGCTTGCCAATTCCAGCCCGCAAATCGTGTTCGCCGTGAATCGCGTCAAAGGCATCACCTTCTGCAACACACAATGGGTCCACTACTCCGGGCAGACAGAAGCTCTAGCGCTGGGGGTTGGCTTCATGGATCACGTGCATCCTGAAGACCTAACTAAGTGTAGTCTGCCGAAGTTTGAGGGAGAYTCTGAAGTGCCTACCAATGTACCAACTTCGCTCCCACCGGAGCCCAAGCGCACAGCATCCACCTCTGCTACGTCCTCGGACGACTCCTCGGAGACTGAGAGAGGCTGCTTGTCCAGCTCGGAATCAACGTCGTCCCCTATAGCACACATGCCGCAAAGAAAGCTCTCCGAGCTTGCTACCACGGGTATACTGAAAGTCTCGCGAGACGCAGATGGTCGCCCGTCATACTCAACAGAGGTCAGGCTCAAATCAAAAGAAGGGATATACAGGTGGCATTTGGTCCGTGTCCTGCGTGCAGAGCGAACTCTGCAGCCCGATGAGGAGGAAACTTGGTACGGCACATGCACAGACATCAACGACCACAAAACTCTGGAGCGAGATTTGAAAGAGAACATGGATGAGAAGTCGCGCTTCTTGAGCAACATGTCTCACGAGATCCGCACGCCTTTGAATGGCATCACTGGCATGGTCAACTTTTTAATCGATAGCAGCTTGTCAGCAGAGCAGATGGAGCATGTYAACATCATCCGAGCTAGCACCGAGGGGCTACGCGGCCTGATCAACGATATACTGGATCTTTCCAAGGCCGAAGCTGGTATGATACAGCTTAGCATGGACTGGCTGTATGTGCGCGCTCTCATTGAGGAGGTCAATGATCTGACATCTGCCATGGCAATCGACAAAGGCCTGGAGTTGAACTATGTGGTTGAAGAGAATGTGCCGCCTCAGATCAAAGGCGATCGCTTCCGCATCCGACAGATACTCCTCAACATTGTGGGTAACGCCATTAAGTTTACACAGGCGGGAGAGGTGTTTATCAGATGTTGTCTCGAGACGGGTCACAGTGATACCGAGGCCAATGAAGCCTTTATCAGCTTTGAGATTGTTGACACAGGTCGTGGCTTCACTGATAAAGAAGCCGAGTATCTGTTCAAACGTTTCAGCCAGATCGACGGCAGCAGCACCCGACAGCATGGCGGAACGGGACTTGGTATGTTTGCTACGCCGGCTATGATAACGTTTCGTGACTAACATTGCGCAGGTCTGGTGATCTCTAGGCAACTCGCTCAGCTTCATGGCGGCGACATGAGTGCAAAAGGTGTGCCCGGTGAAGGGTCTACTTTCACGATTTCCATCAAAACCCTGTTACCTTCGAAGAACGACCAGCCTCCTCCGCCTCCTACTCCAAGTGCTTCTTACCCTGGAACTCTGCTGCAAGGTCCACCGACACCTTCCCCATTGCCGGTCCTTGGAAAATCGCCTCCTACCGAGGCTCTTGGTGGCACATCTGTAAAGCCCTGGGTAAAATTGGCGCATGAGATCTCGAGCTCTCCTGGAAGCTTCATGCAATCTCCAGACGCTGGAGCAGACTCGCCCTCGCTCTCTTCGGGCAGTTCTGATCCGTCAGTACGGTCCGCGGCGCTCAGTGGTAGCCTTCGCTCGGAGCGATCGTCTCAGTCGTCTGTGGCCGCTGATCTTGCTGCTGCCAATACCTCGTTGAACCTGGCTTTGCCGCAGGATGCAAAGCCGGGCAGATCCAAGGCTCATGATGTGCCTACAGACGCCGCCAACTCCGCAACGCAACTACCCTATTTGGTGCCCCCGATGTTCTCGATTCTGGTGATTGCGCCCCTCAAGCACAGTCGTGAGGCGACCGTACGTCACATTGACATGACGTTGCCCAAGAACATTCCTCACCACCTTACCTCACGAGAGAGCTTCTCGGACAGCCAGTTGCTACTTGGTGGGAACCATCCTGTTACATTCACCCACGTTGTAGCCGTGCTACGCGATGTTGATGAAATCATCGCTTTGATGGACGAAGTGTTCAATGTTAATGCTGCGTCTACGACTGCCATTGTGCTGATCACAGACCTTGCTCAGCGACGCAGAATCATGGAACAAGCGCCCGGCTATGACTACACCCAGCTCATGGCGACTCGCAGATTGACATTCGTGTTCAAGCCTCTGAAGCCCTCGCGATTTGGCCTCATATTCGACCCCCAACAGGAGCGCGAGATGAGCCTGGATCGAAACCAAGATAGCGCGCAGCAAGTTGCCGTGAATCAAAAGCACGTCTTTGAGGAACTCACACGACGCCTCGGCAATCGAGACAAKCGTGTCCTACTCGTGGAGGACAACAAAGTGAATCAGATGGTCATTCTAAAGTTCCTTGCTAAAGCATCGATCCAAGCCGAGACTGCACTGGACGGAGACCAGTGTCTCGATAAAGTGTTTGCGAATCCGCACGATCACTACTCGATCATCCTCTGCGATCTCCACATGCCGAACAAGGACGGCTACCAAACCTGCAAGGCGATTCGACGGTGGGAGAGAAAGAACAAGTTCTCCGGTCTGCCCATCATCGCGCTCAGCGCGAATGTTCTGGGAGACGTGTACGAAAAGTGTGTGGACGCGGGCTTCAATAGCTATATGACGAAGCCGGTTGATTTCAAGGAGCTCAGTGTACTTTTGCTGGGTTTCATGGATCCGATTGACACGGACCGCCCGCATGAATTGATGAAGTTGAAGCGTGGACACCCGCCACCTAACCTGTCATCGATTAGTCGATGATGCGGAGGTCGAGAGCTGTGGGGGAGTTTCCGTTCTCTGTGTAGATTGGAGTGTTGGGGTTTATCTTGTATCTGATATGGCATGGGTTTATCATGGGGTTGTCGTGTACGATTGACAGCGAGCGAGCGAGCAAGCGGGATAGCGTGGCACAACTAGATTAGCGAAGGCGCTCTTTGATTGTTTGTTTGTTGCATTGCATAAATTGGAGTTCATGTCACGAGGAGGAAATATGCCTTTCGCGTACGTGACATAATTCAACTACTTTTGCCGATTGCTTGTGGCCTTGAGAGTCTCTGTCACATATGCGTCGTAGGCCCCATGGGTCTACTCGAAAGCTGTTCATAGCTTTGACTGGCTTCTTTCATCTTCCACAATCGCGGCGAGCATACCTTCAGCGACGTCTTCGTCATCTTCTGCTTCTGTAACGAAAGTTACTCGTCCCTGTTTWTGCGAGCGCACTTCGACCTCCATTTCTAAGGAGAAAGCATTAGCAGTCTAAACGCCTCTGATCATTCAGGTTACCGGAACTTACTCATCTGCTTGATAACACATATAGGGGCATCCTTTTGTATCACATCACCAGGATCGACAAGTACTTCCACCAATTTCCCAGATATTGGAATCGCAACATGATTGGGATCTGACTTTGATGCTTGTCTATGTTGTGAGCCCATGGCAGCTCCAGATGCTGAGGTCGTCTTGATCTCCATGGTGTAGGATTGCGGCTTGGAACCAGGGGTGGTGTACAGTATGTCGGCTGCGAGTGTTTCGGGAAAGTCGTTGCGCAAGACTTTGGTGAGCTGTAAGTGATGAGGCTGTTGCTCGGAATCTTGTTTGGTGCCTTGCTGTCGAAGATTGATCGTCCAGGCATCGTCTTTGCGGAATTGAGTGTTGCCTCCACCCATTGCAGTCGATGGCGAGGAGCTACTCGATGTCTGCTTCGCAAGACCATGAAAGGGATCTTTCCGGTCTTGCAGTTTCCGGCTACGAGCGAGTAAATCTTCATGCGACGCTTCTAGCCATTGGGTATCACACTCTCCAGCCGCGAAGTCTGGGTGTGAAACGATGGCTCGTAGTAGTGCGAGGTTTGTTTGAATTCCAGTCACGGTCGTATCTTCAAGCGCTCGCGCGGCTTTACAAACGGCATCAGGCCAGGTCCGGGCAGTGATTATGATTTTCGCAATCACGCTGTCGAARTCGGAGGTCACAACTGCAGGAGACCCAGGTACTAGGGCTGTATCTACACGGGTGCCAACGCCGGAAGGGAAATTGAAGGACTGAATCTTGCCGATGCAGAGGGAGTAGTTCTTTTCTGGATCTTCGGCTGTGACCCTCAGCTGGATCGAATGTTGTTGAGGTGGTGTCAAGGGATCTTGAGATAGTTCTGACAGTCCAGTTTCTTCAAAGGAAGCACCTTGCGCAAGACGCAGTTGACATTTGACGATGTCTACGGCGCATATTGACTCGGTAATCGTGTGCTCGACTTGTAGCCGTGGGTTGATCTCTAGGAAGAAAAACTCCTTGGTGTGCGGATTGAGAAGGAACTCGAATGTCCCTAGAGATGAGTAGTTGACCTGTGAATATCGAGATCAATACATTGCAATTCGTCGTCTTTGAGTGATGATCTCACCTTGGTTGCGWTTCTGACGGCGGCCTCGATGACAGGGGCCACGATACTCCTGTCTTTTGCCATGCTAGGTGCCAACTCGACCACTTTCTGGTAACGCCTCTGAATACTGCACTCTCGTTCCCACAAGTGCATGACGCGGCCTTGTCCATCGCCAATAATCTGCACTTCCACATGCCGAAATCCATCAACAGCAGCTTTCTCCGCGAAGACTTGACGACTTGGACTCTCCTCGATAGCTCTCTTGACCAAACTTTGGAGATCCTCCATCTTGCGGATCAATCTGATTCCGCGGCCGCCTCCTCCATCCACTGCCTTGACCATGATCGGTAGTCCATTTTTCTCAGCAAACTGCTGCACTTCCTGCACACTCCCAGTCGGCATTGTGAAAGCAGGAAGGACGGGAACACCACACTCCTCGGCCAATCGTCTCGCTTGAAGTTTATCTCCAGTTCGTTCGAGGTTCTCAGCCCCAGGTCCAACCACTAGGACATCAATCTCAGCCATTTGAGCGGCGAGAACAGGAGACTCCGAAAGGAAGCCATATCCGGGATGGACAGCGTCAATATGATGTTCTTTGACGATTTTGATAATTTCGTTCACATCCATATATGCTGCTGGTGAAGTAAGGCGTACAGCGTGGGCTGCATTATATGTGTGACTGTGATCATTCTCTGTGTAAACGGCATATGTGTCCAACCCCAGCTCTCGAGCTGAAGAGAGTATGCGGGCTGCTATTTCTCCTCTGGGCACGATGCTTTAGTACGGTGTGAGACGTAATCGATGGATTGAACTCTGACCTGTTGGCGACGAGTAGTTTGTGCATCTGTCGAGGATTCACCTGTTTTCTGGACATTTTACCCTAGGGTATCTTCGATTTGTTGCTCTGGAAATCTGATGTATGTTCAATACCAATCTTTGGAAGTACTCCAGAGCTCATGTTGGGCAAAGACCTCGGCATTGGAGCTTCACAGGGTGAGGTTGCCACTGAAACACAGGGCAGCATGCTGACCAACGCTTCTCGCACAGCTCTTCAAAACATCAATATGCCCACATTCTACTCCCAGCCTTGTCGAGGAAACGCAACCATCCTTGAGATGTCCTACGCAAGGGAACCTGCAGTAGGTTCCTACAAATCTACTTGCGGCTCGCACGATCGGACTTCTCTCGGAGTCCAGTTAAAGAAGGGCTTGACCAGGCTATACTGTCTCTCTCTTTGCTCAAGTTAAGATCTATAGCACACTTGATCTTTCTACGTACTTCGCATGCCACATGATGGGTATCTTCCAAGTAAACTGCCCCCGAAAACGCCAACCGATGCTCCATCAATCATGATCGTGATGTCCCCGACGCCCTGAAATGCGAGACTGCGTTCATTATTCGTCGCCAGTGTTGAGCACCTGCTCAAAGTACCTCACTCCCATCGCTGCTCTGCGAGCCATTGCCAGCAAGCCAAGGGTGCTCTAGCGCCTGCTCGGCCGTCATACGCTTGGATGGATCGAGTTCGAGGCAGCGCTTCATGAATTCAATCGCCTCCATCTCGTCGTCGGTTAGACCGGGGTCTCCCTCTTTCTTGTTGCGACCAGTACACCAGAGAATGATCTTCTCCCAACTGTGACCATGATCGGAAATAGTTGGCACGTTCGTCTGCAGGACTTGGCCGTGGAGGAGAGCATTCTCCTTCATCCGCCGCTTTCCAAAAATGGTGCAGAGCTCAATGAATGCGTCGATATCATCTGCGGAGTGAAAGAATGGGAAGCGCTTTGAGAGGAACGTCAGAAGGATGATGCCGCAGCTCCAGATGTCAATCACGCAAGTTTGAGCCGTGCACTTCAACAAGACTTCTGGAGCACGGAAGCCACGGGTACCAGCTCTGTTGGCGCGGCGTGAAGATCGCGAATCTTCTTTTGGATATGAAGGTCTGGTGTTTGGCTGGCCGGAGGCGTGTGCAGCTGCCACGGTCGAGGCATGAACCGAGGATTGAATTTTCCGCTGTCTGTCAGGAGGGTCCAAGCAGCATGCACACTGGTGCCAGTCGGTGCCTTCGCGCTCCGCCAGCCCAAAATCTACCAATACACCACGCTGCTGTGAGGGGGAGTAGAGAAAGTTGGTCGGTTTGATGTCGCGGTGGATGATCTCGGCCTCATGTACCGACTTCATGGCAGTGAAGAGGCTGTGGAAGTAGCATCGCATGTCTGCTGCACTGAGCTCACGGTAGTAGTCCCGGAAGTCCTTATGCTGGAAGAATGGCAGTATAGCGATCACCTGATCGTGATGACGGAAGGCCGTGATAAGCGGACAGACGTTGGGTGAGTCTCTGAGATCATGCAGGAGCTCCAGTTCGTTGAGAATGCGGATGGGCGAGGAGGTGACGTAGATCTTTTTGATGGCCACATAGCGCGCCTTTTGCGATCGGCTCTTGTATGAGGCATTGGTGTTGGCCGGATCGTTATCAGGGTCCCAATCGTTCTGGTAGTGGTCATACAGCAGGTCCTCGGCCTTGTAGACCGTGGAGAAGGTGCCCTCGCCGATGCGGTTGATCAGACGATAGCGCTGAGTGATGTTCTTAAAACTCTGCTCAAAGCGATCCATGTCGGTGGCAACGGAGTCTTCAATGTCTTCTTCTTCATCTTCATCCTCAGAGATGGTGCCGCCGCTTTCATCGAGTGGGCCCCGGCTCTCGTCCATTTCCTCTGTGTCGTCTTCGGTACTGTTGCTGCCACCATAGTGTCGAGGGGCGTCGTGGTGTGCTCCTGCGGCCGTGTCTTGCGAGCGCCGTCCCATTACTGCTGCCGCCATGGTGTTGCTCCAGTTTGCAAAGGCTGTCGACAGCCGTGTTTGTGAGAACGCGCACCGTGACGCGCTAGTCTTGATTGGGCAGTATTCACTAAACAAACACTCCCCGCGAAAACAAAGACGACAACGACGAACACGACGACAACGACGTTGCAATATTTTCTCCTTTTGCGCATCACGGCGCGTTGTCGTGGACTGCCCTCTCCTCATGAGCGAGTTTAGCATCAGCGAGGCCCTCACGGCATATCTCGACGACCCGCAGACCATTCTCACCCCCGACGCCGACGCCGCGCTTCTTGACTGCGAAAACGATCCGGATTCCTTCTCCCCTGGCCTGATCAATGGAGTACTGCACGGCGTCGCAGAAGCGGTGGGCGAGAATCCCGAAGCCATTCTCCAGCCCGCACATCTCGACAGTCTGCAGTTCCTGCTCAAGTGCGCCCCCACACTTCCCTTACACCCACAACTGTCGTTGTCACTGTCTTCATCTTTGTCGCCATTATCACTTTCATCGCCTAATTCTGAGAGTTGACATTCTAACGGTGAGCCTCGGGCTCGTTCTAGGCAGACTTCCTTCATCCCTTCACAATCGCTCGGCAAAGTCTTCGATTTGGTAATCAGCGCGTTGGGCGCAGAGGCGCAAATTGTGCATCATGAAGAGCAGGACGGTGAGACCGAGATGGCAGCCCATAAACGTATCCTGGAGATCCTGGCATTCCTGCTGCAATGGTGCATCGCAGCGGTAGAAGCGAAATGCGCCGAGAAGCCTGCTGCGCCCGCACGAGGAAAGGGCGCKAAGGGCGCGAAGGGAAAGGCAGCGCAAAAGGACGGCACATGGGACCCCTCCTCCCAGCTTCAGACTGCACTGGACACCATGGCCAAGGTCATGAAGCTCAAACTGACACGCATCTTTGTCACGACCAGCGAGAGAGACACCTTCATTGGGCTGTTCACCCGACCGACTTATCTGATTCTGGAAAGTGAAACACGTGTGAAGAGCACCGCGATCCGCATGCACGCTTTCAAGGTGCTGTGTGTTGCCATCAAGCACCACGGACACGCGTATGGTGCGCAAACCAGCATCATCCAGAATCTGACCTACTTTGAGCATCTGGCCGAGCCGATGGCCGAATTTTTAAACATTTTGGCTGAGCAGTATGATTATCCACAGCTAGCAGAGGAGGTGATGAAGGAGCTTTCGAATAAGGAGTTCTCCGCMAACGATACGAAGGGACCTAAATCGGTCTCGACCTTTGTTGCGCGCCTGTCAGAGCTGGCCCCTCGTGTGGTTCAACGCCAAGTGACCTACCTAGCTAAACTTCTGGAAAGCGAGAACTACACCCTTCGTTGTGCCATCATCGAAGTGTGCGGTAACTTGATTGCTATGCTGTCCAAGGTTGAGGAGAGTGAGCGAAGAGAAGAGCACAAGGGACAAATCAGTGCCTTTTTTGACGTATTGGAGGAGCGTTTCCTGGATATTAACCCCTATTCGCGCTGTCGAGCTATTCAGGTGTACGTGAAATTGTGCGATCTTGACACCAAATACCCGAAGCGGAGACAGAAGGCAGCTGAGYTTGCAACCCAGAGCCTGGAGGACAAGTCCTCGAACGTACGACGGAACGCCATCAGACTTCTTGGCAAACTGATTGGGACACATCCTTTCGCTGTTCTCCACGGTGGACAACTGAGCCACAGGGAATGGAGTGAACGTTTAGACGTTTGTGAGACCGAGCTGAGCAATCTCAAGCCTCCAGCTGGGACCCCTGGTCTTGGTGAGCGCGCCGAGAATGAAGCCACCGTTGACGAATCGCTTTTGCTTGAGGCCACACAAGTGGAGGGAGCGGCCGAGCAGGCACCAAGGACCGAGGAAGAGATCGCTGCGCAATTGGCAAAGTCCCGCGAAGAAGCGGCCACAGCTGAAGCCATGAACAAGTTGCAACTCACCAGACGATACTACGTGGAAGCCCTCAAGTTCATCGAGACCCTGCATGAGGCCTCACCACACGTCACTCAACTTCTGTCGTCGAAGAACAAGAGTGAAGTCATCGAGGCTATGGACTTCTTCGTCACTGCCGATGCGTACGAGCTGGAGACGGCCAAGACTGGAATCCGGCGTATGCTTCGCCTCATCTGGACCAAGGGCAACAGCGACGAAGGCAAAGGTGTCCAGACACATCTTATTGAATGTTACAAAGGCCTCTTCTTCGCTGCACCCAGCAACTTCAATCCAAATGATGCGGCTAACTACGTTGCGCGCAACATGATAAGTCTGACCTTTGGGTCCACACCGGCAGAATTGACAAGCTTGGAGCAACTTCTGGCAACAATGATGAAGGAGAAAGCCATCAATGAGCTCGTGATCCAGAAGCTGTGGCAAGTTTATGGAGTACAAAAGAGAGAAATCTCCAAATCACAGCGTCGTGGCGCTATCATCGTGCTCGGTATGCTGGCCTTGGCTGATCCTGACATCGTCGTGCGGGAGATGGAAACTTGTCTGCGCATTGGTCTTGGGGCGATTGGTCGACGCGATCTCGTTCTTGCTCGATACACATGTGTCGCTCTTATGCGAATGACAAATAACAAGCACGCTAAAGGCACTGAAGGGAAGCCAAACATTAGGCTTCCCAATGACCACGCCGTCCTGATCCGGCTCGCAGATCTCCTAGAAATTGAGACCGATAGCAAGGATTGGTATGGATTAGCTGAGCAGGCGACCGGAGCGATTTACTCTCTCTCGAAGCACCCAGATGTGCTGTGCTCCGAAGTTTTGAGGCGGAAAACAAGAGCCGTCTTCGCACAAAAGACATCGCCCCCGAAGGGRGATGCTGAGGACGCGAAGCCGGATACTAGTCATGTCGACGGCGATGGTGACGTGGAGATGAGCGAAATGCCAGAAGACGAACCATCAGAGGCGGAAGAGGCGCCAGCCGCTGAAGAACCCTCTTCAGCGGATGACAGCAGCGACTCCGCCCTGGCGCTGTCCCAACTCCTTTTCGCAGTCGGTCACATCGCACTCAAGCAGATTGTCCATCTCGAGCTGTGCGAGCAAGACTTTAAGCGTCGAAAGGCTGAAAAGGAGAAGAGCAATCCAACCCCTGCCAAGAAAACCCCTGGATCGAGAACATCTGCGGCGAAGAAAACCGACGAAAAGAAGGAAGAAGAGCAAGACGAGCTTGATTTGATGGCGGGCACTACTGAAGACGATTTTACGGATGTCATCCAGCACGTTCGAGAGCGTGAGCTCTTGTTCGGTCAACAGTCTTTGCTGGCACAGTTTGGTCCCCTCGTTAAAGAGATTTGCAGCAACAACACCTCGTACCCGAACGCGGAGCTGCAGGCTCAAGCTGCGTTGTGTATGGCAAAACTCATGTGTGTGAGCTCGGAGTACTGCGAATCCAACCTCGGCCTACTCATCACTATCCTCGAGCGATCACCATCTTCAATCACACGAAGCAACCTTGTTGTGGCGTTGGGAGATATGGCGGTCTGCTTCAATCACCTGATTGACGAGAATACTGACTTCCTCTACCGCCGTCTATCGGATGCCAGCTTGCAAGTCAAGCGAACTTGCCTGATGACATTGACTTTCTTGATTCTTGCTGGACAGGTCAAGGTCAAGGGCCAGCTGGGTGAGATGGCCAAGTGTGTTGAAGACACTGATGAGCGAATCCGTGAGATGAGCAGAATGTTCTTTGCAGAGCTCGCCGGCAAGGACAATGCTGTGTATAATCATTTCGTGGACATGTTCAGTCTGTTGTCAGCGGACGAGGATCTAGATGAGGAGCGATTCAGGAAAGTTATCAAGTTCTTGGCGAGCTTCATTGAAAAGGTTGGTTTTGAGGCGGATCCCGCATGAAGTGATGTCGCTAACTGATTTTTCTCTCAGGACAAGCATGCCAAGCAGCTGGCCAGTAAACTGGCCCCCCGACTGCAGCGTGCTGAAAGTGAGCGGCAGTGGAATGATGTAGCGTATGCACTTGGGCTGCTACCGCATAAGAATGAGGACATTGCGAAACTGGTTGGTGAGGGCTGTAAGGTCGTTGAGACAGGTGCTTAGGTGCGGATTCACGACTGTGCAATACGACGTATGAAAGGCGTTCTATGGGGATTGATACCCCTTGGAGGTGAAGAATTTGGGAAGGCGCTTTTCGTATTTTGTTACACTCACAGACCAGTCATCCATGTGGCTTACGGAGAAAGAAGATAGACTCCTGACGATTGGTCTTATATCGTCCGCAAACTCTGGCAAACCCTTTGCGACTGCAATGTCTCGTCGATTTCGCGTATCTCAAGAGCCACCAGCCAAATGGGCTTTCAGCTTGGCGAAGAACTCTTGTCCATATCCCGAATCCACGAACTCTTTGATGGACACGAGCTGAGTGTCATCATCGGACATCTGCAAGAATAGAGAGTATTCATTCTGATATTTTCCAATTGCTGTCTCGGCGGTGCTCATGGCATGGAAGACAACCTTGTGGGCCGCTGGATCCTCAACGGTGTCCAGCACTTCAAGGTGAAAGCCTTTGAAGTGATCTTTGAAGGATTTATTGAAGTGATCCCGATATTCGGCGTTTGTCAGCGTTGGGCGGCCAAGACGGGTGGGAATCACTTGGATGGTGCAGTTCGGTGCACGAGGGGCGAGAATGGTGTCGATGTCCCATGTATCATAGGCGTCCAAGACGCTGTGTGCTGTCTTCAGCAGTGTAGACTGCTCCGACTTGGTGGGATTGGAAGCCATCGTTTGTCTTGCCCCGAGAGTTGCTGAGGTCAACAGAGGGGAAACTATCTGGTCATTAGCATGGGCACTGACTGTTCACAGGCTGTTCATTGCTATTACGATCGAGTGGAGAAACGCGGTCTTGCGAATGTCACGGCCGGGTGGCACAGCATACCATCTCGCATTACATTACCTTACCTTACCTTAGCAATGTCGACTCCAGCGTGCCCCGCGGCCTATCAGCCCCACCATTGCACGTGGCACGGTATTCCGAGGTTCAAAGGCAGCATCGCAAGGACCTTCCAATTTCGGCTCTCCCCAGTTTCTCCCGTCCTCGCCCCCTGCCGGCTTTCACAAAACACTTCGCGGCATTTGCTGAGACTCGTGCGCGATAAGAATTGCTATCGTGATGCATCACCGGTTGCCAACGCACATCGCAACGAGCTGTGGAGTCTGTCACCGACCGAATATGACCCACCACTTGTTGGCCAACGGGCGAAAGTTCTACCAAGCGGAGCATGGCTCGCAGCTGTACCTCCGGAGGTAGGAACGGCTAAATCGTAGCTTCGGCCGTCTTTATCAACCTGCTCTGGTATGCATAAGTAGATATCCTTTCGGCCTTTTCCATGTCCAATATTTATGATACTTGCTCAAACTCACTCATCCCGAAACATGGCTACCACAGAAGCTTCCTTCTCGCCAAGCACCTCGCTGCCCACGAGGACCGCAGAAAGGGCCACCGTCCATCCTTTGGCTCCAATCAGTGCAGATGAAATCCAGCGTGCCGTAGCTCTGATCAAGGCGCAATGGCCAGCGGAGACAGACATTCACTTCAAAGCCCTTACTCTTGAGGAGCCTCCAAAAGCCGAGACCGTCCCGTACCTCGAGGCGGCTTTCCACGGCCATGATTTGCCACACATCCAGCGGAGAGTGTTTGCTGCCTACTACTTGCGTAACACTGTAGGTTTTGGAACCACAGTGAACCGTTGTATGAGGCACATGAGCTGACAGACGATAGCATAAACTGCACGAGGCTGTTGTCAACCTCGATACTGAAAGTCTTGAATACAACATTCGTCTAGGTGCCAACGTACATGCTCCAATCGATGGCAGCGAGATCGTCGCAATAGAGCGTGTTGCCCTTGAAGATGCTGGTGTTCAGGCAGAGATCGCAAAATTGAAGCTACCCGAGGGCGCTGTGGTTGTCTGCGATCCATGGATCTACGGCTCTGATGGTGTTGATGATGATGAAAGGATGTGGCAATGTTTCCTGTACCTCCGAGACACCACAAACACCGACAATGCGGACTCGAACCACTATGCCCTGCCACTCGCCATTTCTCCAGTCATTTCTCAGGAGCTCAAGGTCATCCGCATCGATCGCCTCCCAACGGGCAAGGACAACTCCATTAGCGAGACGAAGCCGTGGATCCCCCGGGCTGGCAATGAATACGTGCCAGAGTACCAAAAGCTCAGAACAGATCTCAAGCCGTTGCACGTTGTACAGCCAGAAGGCGCCAGCTTTACAGTAACCGAACAAGGAACCTCCACCATCATTCACTGGCAAAAGTGGTCGTTCCGTCTTGGTTTCAACCAGAGGGAGGGCATGGTGCTGTATGATGTTCGCTATGATGGCAGAAGCCTGTTCTATCGCCTTTCACTATCGGATATGAACATTCCCTACGCCGATCCTCGCCATCCTTACCACAAGAAGTCCGCGTTTGATCTTGGAGACGTCGGTGCTGGTGTGATGGCGAACGACCTCAAGCTGGGTTGCGATTGTCTTGGATCGATTCACTACCTCTCTTCAACTCTGGCAGACGATAAGGGCGAACCCATGGAAATGCCTAACGTCGTTTGCTTGCATGAACAGGACGGGTAAGTTTTATGGGCACCTTTATCAGGATCAGAAGCACATCGCGTGTTCAGTCGTGCTCCATCTTCTGGAGCAGAATGTGCGATGTCGCTGCCTCCCAACCAGTTCCAACAGAACCACGGCTACAGAACGATAGCTAACGACTTCATGCAGGGGAATCGGTTGGAAACACACCAATTACCGTACAGGCAGAGCCGCTGTGGTTCGGAACCGGGAGTTCGTCGTGCAATCCATCATAACCGTGAGTACAGCTTGGCGGGTGTGAGATATTCCGCACCACGCTCGCTATTATTACTGTCAGACGTGTTTAGGACATCACTAATGCTTCTCTACGTAAAATCAGGTGGCAAACTACGAGTACATCATGGCATTCATGTTTGGACAGGCCGGCGAACTGTCGTATGAGGTTCGTGCCACGGGAATTCTCTCTACTCAGCCAATCGACGATGGAGTCGAGGTGCCATGGGGAACGATTGTCCACCCCGGCGTACTAGCCACTCACCACCAGCATATCTTTTCCCTGCGCGTGGATCCCGCAATCGATGGTCATAGCAATCGTTTGGTCTATGAAGAAGCCCACGCAATGCCTCGCTCCGACTTCAACCCCCATGGAACTGGTTACACCACCACCGAGACACTGGTAGAAACTTCAGGAGGCTACGATGTCGACTACTCGCAGAATCGAACATTCAAAATTCAGAATGCTGCAGTCAGAAACCCCATCAACGGGAAACCTGTGGCATACAAGATCCACGCCCCACCGTTCCAGAAGATCTTGTCTGATACTCAATCATTCAATCACCAACGGGCTGAATTCGCAGACAAGTCGATCTATGCCGTCAAGCATCGGGATGGAGAGCTCTACGCAGGTGGCAAATACACCAATCAGTCGCGAGGTGGCACGGGCGTACGTAGCTGGGCCGATCGAAAGGAGAAGATCGTGGACGATGACATTGTCCTGTTCGTTCAATTCGGCATCAATCATGTAAGTCATCTCCGAGATCTGTGCAACAGCAAAGCCTTACCATGTAACAGATCCCACGCATCGAAGACTTCCCAGTCATGCCCTCGGAGGTCATCAAGGTCTCGTTTAAGCCGGCGAATTTCTTCGACAAGAATCCAGCCATCGACGTTCCTCCCTCTAGCCAGGCCTTCAACAAATCGGTTCTGCTAAGCGAGCAACATCGGCAAGCTACCGCAGAGGCTGTCATCGACGGGAGTGGTAACGCATGCTGTTCTATTGAACCGGCGAGCAGTAAGCTATAGTGCTCGCTACAGTGTGTATCACGAGTTCTTCAAATTCGTTTCTTCCCTTTTGCGAGTCGTCGTTTTAAGACTTTTAAACAAACGCCTTTTCGACATTAGATTAAGGCAGATTGTCTCACCACGTGAGAGAGGTGTTGGGAATCGAGGCCCACAGCTTCATAAGGTTCACTCCCACTCTGATTGAGAAGCCCTCTGCTCACTACCAATTGAGAGCGWCACAAGGCTGTCTTGCTCGAAATTGATTGCATCTTCGGCATTACGATGCGCGCCCCATCTCGTGTACTGCAACGGTTTGCGAGGTCACAAAACTTACACTACCGTGGACGCAGAGCAGTTGGGCAATTTGATCACAAGACAGCGAACTTTGGCCATCTTCCCGTCCCATCGACCGTTCGCCACACCGGTGCTGAGCGTCTTTTCTGTGCTTTGTTCGGATGATCAGAAAGGCGGTGGACTCGGCTGCTGCATTGCTGACGGGCGTTCTGTTCTCGTGCAAACCTTCCCGCCCTCCATCACATCAAAGTGACGGATTCCGCTGCGAACTGGAGCAAATATGACAGCCGTGCCTGACCGGCTTCCTCACTGATCAGTGATTACCTTTCGCTATAAGCGATCAGCGACGCAGGTCGGCTGCAGCAAAGGCTCATCCTGATGAAATGAAGGACCACCAGACTGGACGATGATGTTTGCAATGGGTGATATAGGTACCTCCGACGTGGGCGAAAAGTGGAGCCGAGGTGGTCGAGGACGCGCTCATATCTCGATTCTCGATTGCCCACTTGGTGGATATCAGAGCATTGGCACATCGTATGGCCATGATGATCCGCTTGTACGGAGGCGGCCATTGATTTGTGTTKGTGGAGTATACTCCGACCGGGATTTCCATTGCATTTGCCAGTCGCTTTGCTGGCGGACGACCCACGGTTGTCAATTATGGTTTTTCAGCTGATACGGTCGCTTCGATAAGTGTGGCAATCAGCCACAGGGTGCGCTTATAAGCTCTCGTGTTGCATGGTTGATGTGATGAGGTGAGATCTTGGTCCTTGTAGCCGCAGGTTGTTCTAGAGTAGGTGGCCCTAGTGACGCAAGACATCCATGACCTCCTTGACATGGTTTGACATTGCGACCTCTTCCTATTGTACGAGTACATATCTGCCCACGTCGACCGTTGAAGTGACCCTGTCGCGTGTGATGCCCCTGGGCAATATGATACATGCTGCTTCCCATAGGATAACTAGGTAGTTATCCTGCAGCAGAAGACATCGTTGATGATAGGTCCCACTAATCCACGGGCAGGATGTATCCTGCCCCACAGCAGATGCAAGCTGCTCTCAGTCAATCTGATGTTCGTTTTCTCTCGTTTGCATGGATCATGAGCGCTACTCAACGCTCGGTCCAACTTCTGATTTGTAACAAGCCTCTCGGCTTAGGGAGCCTCGTCGACGTACTATCCAGCAACAAGCAACACGTCCATCACTATCACACACGGCCGGGCCATCTCAATTTCGGCATGCATCGCACAGCAAAACAATGCGTAATGCCGTAGCACCTTTCAAGCGGGTCGCGTACTTCATGCACATGCAATGCGGCATGCCAGGACGTACTGCAGATCCTGCTCCATCCATGCGCAGGCGTGCGAAGAAAGCGACCTGTCGCTCTTCGCTTGACGTTATCCGCCCTTCGCTTTGCACGGCATCAGCCTTCGCGGCGATGCCGCGAATTGGCGAGCCTCCCCAGTTCGCCAAAGCCAAAGATGGGTGGCCGCGTCTACAGCTTGGACGAATTGCCAAACCTCACAGTCACACACTCGGCAGACCTCGGAGCAGCCACGCGACTTCTCTCCTGGGAAACGTGGGATGTTGGGCGATCAAAACCCCACTGCTTCCGCTGCGAGACGCACTCCTTATTAGTCCGTCTTTGCGCGCAGGCGGGCTTAAATTTCTACGCTGATCGGGATGCCGGTTCGGCATGGATACCTGGCCGTTGCGAGGCCCGATGAGGGTCTTGTGGTCCCGATGATGGACTCGGCCAGCCCTACCGAGCCCGGTAAAGTTGGAGACGCCACTCGCCTGGGACCATTCAGTCCCCAGCACCGTGCAAGAGGTCTTGAAACAAAATCCAACCAGATGCATGATGCAGGGGTCGTGCTCGCCACTCTGGATGGCGGGGTGTTCGAAACGGCCGTGCAAGCGGGCTTTTCTCACGTCGGCCGTCTGTTCTTCTTCGAAAGCCTGGCTTGGACTGGCTTGATACGGCCTAGGACTGCCTTGCCTTAGCCTGCGTGTCCGATCTCACCGTGCCCACTACGGCATAGTGGCACTGTGGAAGTCATCGATCAGATCGAATCAGCGGGCCCCCAGTAGTAACAGTCGACCACTTGCCCGTTAATGGCAGGCTTTGACTCGCTATTCCTGATCCCTGTGCAGCAGGGCTCACTGTACGCAGGCTCCGCTCCCTGGTCCAAGTTCAGATCCGCAGCGTTAGCGGTTCTGGACTTTAGATGTTATGCACATCTTGCTGCTGCATCCGTCTGGCAAGTGAAATAGAGTGGGTCTCACCGCCAGAAGAACGACTTCCAGTTGATCTTCTACGTTCATGCATGTACCCTTTTTACTTCYGCGCCACGTCGTCGTTCTTCAACAGGCCAACATCATTGCTCCGAATATTGTCCTTCCAATCTGCGGTCCTCGGTCTCCTGCTCCGCTTTGTCGTCATATGAAAGAGGTATTGAACTTTCGTCTCGGGTGTTGGTGTCTTCACCACGGCTGGTCTTGCACCCGCCACCTGCAAGGCACCGGGTCTTCTAAATCTACCGCTCTGCCCCAGTCGAGGATCGTGTTGCGTGCACTACATGGCATCTTCAGGACTCTCGCCGGACATCATGTCCCTATCGATCATAGGCAGCCGGCGACGTAGCATTGCCTCATGCTCTTCCAATTCACAACCCTCGCCAACGGATTCCAGCCCATCGCCGGAATTGGCGTCTGGCTCTACCGTCACGCAAAGCGATGACGAGGATGATGAGCCTCGACTTGATCTCGATGCCTCTCCCAGCGGGATAATAATGCAACCCAAGATTGAAGAACCGGACGACGATATACTGCATGTGTATGACCTCGACGAAGCGAAGCCCATGGTCGTTGAGCTTCACACTTCGCCGCCAGCTCCTCGGAAGCGAGGGCGACCAAGAAAGAACCCTTTGCCAAAGAAGGCATCGCACGCCCGGTCGAAAACTGGTTGCGCAACCTGCCGGAAGCGCAAGAAAAAGTGCGACGAGCAGAAGCCGTTTTGCTCAAATTGCAGGAAAAACAATGTGGTTTGTGGGGGCTACGAGCCATTACAGCCGTGGCAAAGCGGGAAAGAGAAGAGACTCAGGCTGCCTTTCAATTTGCCCGTGGAACTACCCTTGCTCCTCAATGGTGTCGAGAATCCAGTGGACATGATGTTCTTTCAGCACTTCACCTCCCAGCTGGGCAACGTTCTTTCACTCACAGACAGCTACAATCCGTTTCAGGAGATCATCATTCCCATGGCCATGTCACATCCAGGTCTGATGCATAGTGTGCTTTATCTATCTGGAAGCTGTCTCACAGCTAGCGAGCCGCGGTTGGAGTGGCAGGAAAGACAAGAGCACCACAACAATCGGGCCATAGTCCTTTTACGTGAAAGTCTGAGTTCCTCCTCTACACTAGACGGTCACAATCGTTCAACATTCCCCAATGGAGATCGATCGATTGCCCATACGCTCGTCCTATTCTTGCAAACGGTCTGCGCGGGAGCAGTACATGGAGAGTACAGAGTGCGGCCCTCAATTTCACAATATTTGAAGACACTGCTAACGTCTATGTCTCAAAGCTCCACCTCGATGCTATGAAGTCGATGCTCACCGAGGCTAAGCTCAGCTTCCCAAATGAGCAGCTACGACAATTCCTTCTGGAATTCATCCTTTACCACGACTGCTGCGCCTCGATCACCAGTCTTGTGAACCCAATTGATAGCAGAAGTAGGGATCTAATGGAAGTCAAGCTTCCAAAGTACATGATACCCCCAGCAGCCGGCGCGCTTCTCGGTGTCTTTGACGGCTTGTTTGGCTTGATCTCTCGGATTCGATGCCTCCGCGACAGCATTCGCGAGCAACGCGCTACAGGCTCCAAGTGGTATGATTCACTCATCTGKAACGAAGCCTTCGCCATCGACTGCTCCCTGCGTGACTGGAAGTGTACATACGCCGAGGACAATCCGCGTTACGCCTGCAGTCTTCTGTATCGCCAGTGCACATGGATCTATCTCTTCCGCACTGTCCAGCCCTCCCGGGCGAGCGACGTATTTGAGAACGCTGTCGATCAGGGACTGTGCTACCTTTCTCATCTGCCGCTGGGAACAGGGGAATCGTCAATGCAAAGCGTTCTGCTTATGCCACTATTCTTGCTGGGATGCGCGGCCTTTGAACCGCGCCAAAGAACTCCAATCTCATTAGCCTTCGATCGATTACAGGAATGGTCGGGACTCGCGAACATCCAATATGCGCGCGCGGTTGTGGAAGACATATGGATGAAGATGGATGCCGGCCTGGAAGCAGAGACCTGGGATTGGGAATCGATTATTGCAAATAATGGGTGGGACTTTTTGATCACCTAAGATGAATGGCGGCGACAGCGATTGGGCAGGCTCAGTTGCTGAACGTCCCCATTCGGGAACGCGCATCCTTTACGAGATGTTCATCTGCTAGGAGCCGTGGACCGGCTTTGCGTGGGAATTGGGAACCAGGGCCGACCCGGAGCAGTTGTGTACAACATTTTCAGGCAACGGAGGAATGGGAACGAGTCGACAGCAGTGATGATGATGGTACCCAGAGCCTGTTGAGTCATTTTGCAAGACGTCGATTGGAGGAATATCTACTTCTGCCCCGAGCGTGATGTATTGGATTGCATAAAGATCAACGCACAAGCAATTGTGAACAATAGAATCAATTTAGCTACTTTGATGTCATTTGAGTTGGGTAGCGCCCTGGGGGTTTGATCACAGCATATAACCTCGCGTCGGTCGATGACTTGTGGTTATAGATGAACAGGGATAGCATCTACCGAACCGACCTTGAAACGAAACGCAGCGTTCCGGACCCCATCAGATGATGTGGTACGCAGGTCGACGATCAGGCTTGATGCAGCGGTCAACTTATGTGGGATGTGACGGATCACTTTTTGGAAGTTGGGTACCCTTGCCCATACACCTTGTCCGGTAATGTATGGATACAACCTTGTCACTGTCCGTCCGACTGGCATTACCAGGCAAACATGGACTCGATTTTCTTCACGGTATTTATCATCCGATACAAGTGAGGTCGTTGTTTTATACTTGCCGTAATCAGCGACCCTCCCGCTGGAAGGCGTGGGCCGATGCGACGCTGTACCACATTTCTGCTTGTGGGGGAGTGTTTCGTCCTGCCGAAGTTGACACAGAGATCGGGTTACGAAAATGTAGTGACATGTGCGGATCGTGGGCCGGCCACGCTCTCGCTCAAAGGGTGCCAATGCATGATCTCTTCGCTGTGGCAAGGGATATGCACTGTGCAGAGCCCATGTCGACTGTCGTGCAACAAGTCTAGGTGGGTCTTCCAGGGTCGTGCCTTTAGTAYCTGAAGTTATTCCTGATGATCCAAGACCCGCTTTCGCCGTGGTTTTGTGAAAATTGGTTCGCTGCCAACGCACCAGGGCTAGGATACTCGAGAGGACACTGTGGAGACGAACACCCTCAGATGTAAAGAGATGCTGTACGAAGTTCTTTTGTTTAGCAGCCATCATTCCCCACGGTGGAGCCACGGGAGGCAGTATGTAAAAACAGAGGACCGCGATGTGGATATCGGCACGGTGTTGTGACAGGCCAGGATTGATCTTAGGACGAATCGCGTTGCAGTGCCGTACTTGGATCACCGCTCAATCGGCTTGTAATAGAAGTCAAGGCCTCGGAGGGACAGAGCGGTCCCACTCCTACGAGAGGGCCGCTGCCAATGGCTCTTCAGGCAAGACCGAACGGCTATGGTAGACCCAGCTGAGATTTGTGTAGGAGATCCATGCAGAAGGAGTCAAAACTCCAGATGTTTGCACGTCGCCTGTCCAGGACTTCTCTTGATGCTCGGTCTCCAGTGACATGGTAGTCACATTGAACACTATTCGGGGTGGAGAGAAATACTAGGGCAGTGCAAGATAGAAGACCGCACTTCCCGGGTCATCCATGCTCCCTGTCCCGAGCTCCCATGAGCTTGACCGTTGTGTTTGCGAAGGAATACGCTCGGGTTTCTCCGGCCACCGCGAAAACGTTCTCGGGCAGCATGAGGCATCAAGGTGGCAGGTGGACATGTTTTCCACGCCAAGGAGAACGGGTTCGTTGGCGCGGCGCGAGTTCGCGCATACGTCAGCGAACGTCGTCACATTGCAGCAAGAGGAGGCTTTGCACTGCGCAGAACGCTGTGTTTCTGACTCGGATCGTTCAGCGTGTGCGCCATTGATTTTTGCAGTCCGTACTTTCCTCTCCATACCTAGGCCCATCTGTGTGTGACTGACGGTGGTGAAAGGGGGGATTTTGATGAGCACGTCAGAGGAAGGAGGCGCGATCTTATCTTCGCTCCACACTACCTTAAGCAACGTCGTTGCACCCCTCACACACCATTCCACCTCAATCGACAGAACTGCATTGCCCGGTACCAAAACAGACGCATGAATAGGTGACGGTGCATATTTCGCGAACCTGCGCCAAACCCCGCTTCCGCGACTACCTTATCCACACCACTACCACCACCACGTCTGAGTCGCTAGATCAGCTGAAGGCGCAGCCGTGCAGCCTGGTGTCACACGGCTCAATTCTTCCTCGACGCCGATTCTCTACATCCCACCGGTGTGATACTCGACTCATCAACCACTCGACTGGCACGATCTTCCTTGATCCCGCATCATCAACATCAACGGCACCATGGCGTCCGTCCGCGGTGGCCGCACCATCTATCGTGATGACGAGGAAGACTCACATCACCGCTCCTACACAACGATCAAGCGGTACCAGGTGCCCGAGAACATTGCCCGTTCCGTTTACCAGGGAAACGATGAAGTGGACACGAAGATAGTGATCAAACGCGGCGAGCGCCGCGCACCTTCTCCCCAGCCGTCGCGATCCGGTGAAGTCGAATACCGCGTCACTGAGCGTGTTCGCGAGTGCGATCCCTCTCCGCGCGAGGAGACAGACTGGCGCTTTACCGAGCGCGTGATTGAGCGAGAGCGAGCACATGACTCGCCAGCACGGCGAGACGTTCACTACAGGGTAGTGGAGAGAGACAGTGACGCGCGCAGCCTTGTACGGGTACCGTCACCGCCTTCGCCCGAGCGAGTGACTCGCGAGTTCCGGTTTGAGCGCGAGCGCGACTTCTCACCTCCCCGAGAGCGTCCGTATGAACTGGAGAAGTACAGCAAAAGCACCGAGTATTTCGCCCAGCCGCAGCCAATCATCATCCGTGAGTCTGCGCCGGCAGCGCCAATCATCATCCGTGAGGAGCGTCGAGAACCACAGAAGATCATCATCCGTCGTGAGGAGCCACAGTATGAGTTCATTGAACGCAAAGAAGTCACGGAGCAGAAAGACGAGAGTCGATCGCTAGTGAAGAAGGAAGAGTCGCCGCCCCCATCACCTGCACCAGCGCCCGAACCAGCCCCCAAGCCGGAGGAGGATTACTTCTACGAGCGCCGCATCGTGGAGCGCCGGAGACGMAGCGATAGCTACGACCGTAAGACGGAGATCCGGCCGCGTGATAGCGCGTCTCAATACAGCAGCGATGACAGCTACGAGTACGTGCGACGCACGACATACAACGAAGATGCTGGCAGTCGGAGTCGGAGTCGCAGTCGGAGCCGCAAGCGTGAGCTAGCCGGTGGTGCCCTTGCTGGCGTCGCAGCTGCCGAAGTTTACGGACACCATCGCAGGCAAAAAGGCGACAAGACGAACCGGGGCCGCAACGCAATAGGCGGTGCAGCCCTTGGTGCAGCAGGGGTAGAAGCAGCGAGCAGATTGAAGAAGACCAAGAGTTTGAGCCGCTTTTTCGGAGGATCCGAAAGCAGATCTCGTAGCGGAGACCGTGATCGAGACAGGTATGAAGAGCGATACGATGACCGTTATGACGATCGCCGCGATAGGCGAAAGTACCGCTCCAGATCCAGGTCTGCGGGTGGCTTCAGCCGCAAGCAAACACTCGGCGGTCTGGCTGCAGTGGCTGCAGTTGGAGCTATCGCAGGTTACGCTCTCAAAAATCGCGGGAACAAGGAGACCGTTATCGTGAACGAAGCACCACCTCACAGGAGCCGCTCGAGAAGACGGCGGCACAGCTATGACGACACGGAGGTCATTCGAACAGAAAGCGAAGCCCGCAATCCTGATCACCGGAATCGCAGGATAGCTCAAGCTGGTCTGGCTTCTGCCGCTGCTGCGGGGATACTCGACAGAGTTCGTTCGAAAAGCCGGCCCCGTAGCAAATCGCGCATTCGAACTGGTGTGCCCATAGCCGCTGCAGGCCTAGGAGGCGCAGCGCTCGCCGGACTTTACGAGAACAACAAGGCCAACRAGGAGGCCAAGAAAGACGCCATCATCGCGGACGAGCTGCACCGCGGAAGAGCTCGGCGCAGCAGGAGCAGGAGTAAGTCGCGTGCGCGCGGTCGCGACGATGACAGCTACGACGACAGAAGCTATGACGACAGGAGCTACGACGAACGAAGCAGAGGCGGTCCTGGCATGATAGCATATGGCAACGACCCGATCTACCCCGATTCACGACGTGGTGACTACTATAGCGACGAAGAACCTGGAATGTATCGGCGCCGTGGTGGCAGCAGGTCAAGCAGTCCTGACACAAGACGTGGTCATAGTCGCGCGCGTAATCTTGCCGCAGGTGCTGCAGTAGGAGGGGCGGCTGGCGCGGCCGCTCATGAATATGGCAGGCGTCGTGAGCGCAGCAGAGTTGTGAATGAGAACCGACGTGAGTGTTTTATATGCGCTGCTTATACTGTACCAAGACTGACAAAGTTTCCAGGCCGCGACGATGACTATTACGGCAACAGCCTTCGCGAACAAGAGGAGCCGTACAGTCCACCACCAATGGGTGGTAATGGCTTCCAGCAGCCACCTTACCAACAGCAGCAAACTTACCCGTCAAGCCACTACTTCCCACCGCCTCCCACAGGGGATGTCGCCAGAAATGACGGATATGGAGCGCCAACTTCGTATCCGACGTATAATCCTGCCGATTATGCCGGTCAGCCGGCCCAACAACATCCTTACGATGCATCATACGGCGGTTATGGGGGTAGTGACGCCAATATGGGCCAGCCACATCATGGTGATGCTCACGCCGGCGTTGATCGTCAGAACGCATCGCATGATAACCCACGAATCGATGAACGGAGAGGCAGATCTCCTGAGAATGTGAGTGTGTCAAAGGAAGGCTCGAATCGGCGCGAATCTCGGGACGGTGGYACGTCCTAGAGAACCCGCCTTCAAGTTTTGTGTTACAATAGTGGCAGAGCTGACTTTTGACCTCGCAGATGGTATGATGACTCCGCGTCAACGTTCGTCCAGTCGCGTGAAGTTCGATTTGGAATCAAACACGGCGCATTTTCCCGATGCCTCGCGACGAAAAGACGACGCGAAGCGCGGGGACCCAGACAACGAGCGACACAGCGACACGGAAACCAGCGACGACCGAAAGCACCGGAGGAGAAAGCGCAAGGGGAAAGAACGCAACCGCGACGGGCCCAATTACAATCGTGACGGCCAACAGGCCTCGCGCGATCGCTCGCCGTCCGAGGATTCAGATGGTACGATTGAGCTGCCTGACCGCTTTGACGACCAGGGCAACCGCAAAAATGAAGATCCGTTGGCACAGAAAATTAACGATCTTATCAACGGACAGGGCGGCGCGGGAGGGATTTTCAAAGCATTGCTCGGTGGTGGAAACGACGGAGGTGGGGGTGCTGGTGAAGGCGAGGGAAGGTCTAGCAGGCGGCGGTCTCGCCGTTGACGGCTGGACTGATTGTTGTTTCATTGGTGCGATGTCCTGGGCGTCTTTCTTGCCATTCTTTGGTCGACCTGCTTTGCGTTCACAGTACGATTATCACGAGACGAGACTATGACTGAAGGACATGACGAAACAGAATAGCTTTATGAGAACAGGAAATAATCAATTGTGCAGTGCTCATTCCTTCCTTTCAGATTGCCACTGCTTCCTCCTGACACCATTTTGCATAGGTATTGTTGCTAGTGCGGCATCGGTGCCAAATGTGACAGACTGGCAGATTCGCCTCAAACGTGCAGGCAAGCAGCATGTCTCGCACAGTGGTCCATCGATCGAAAAGACCTGCGATCATGTCCAGGCCCCCCTTCTGAGTTGGAAATCGCGGCTCGGTAGAAAAATATGCTGCGACTCACGTTTCACAAACGATTCTAGGCTGTGCTGGKTGAGACATCAGGGAGGGGGCCTTCTCTGTCTTCGCCAACAAATGAAGAATGAAAGCAAGTCTGCGAATTCTCTTGGCCCGAACGTAAATCATGTTCGAGAAAGCTACGATTCCCCTATGTTCAAGTCACATCCGTGACAAAAAGTCAATTTACAATCAAAAACCATACAACGGAAAAGTAAATCAACATGTCCAAGATCATGTATGGATCATGAATCATGACTCCACCTCTCTTCAAAATCTATAGCTGGGTTGAATGTCCGCAAATTTCCGTCTTGATAGTCGCACCATCGAGACCCGTGGCATCGATGGCATTCTGGTTGAGCTGCTGACACAGCCACTTGTTCCATCCGGGCACATTGCTCATGTTCTCCACAACAGTAATGAATTGCTGGGTTGTAAGGTCCTTGATCGATGCCTGCGTTTCGGCGACTGTTGGTACTGTCTGCAGACTGCATAGTTCCTTGGAAACGGCTTGGGGGTCCAGATACAGCTGCTCCAGATTGGATTGGTAGGTCGGTGCACGGTTGCAGTATCCCYTTAGTTGTTGCGGAGATGAGGCTGTAGCGGCGTAGTTGCGAGCGAAGAGCTTGCTAGCGGTGTTCCGGTAGGCTGCCACGGCGGTATCGTTGGGCTTGGCGAGAGAGGTAAAAGGCTCCGGCGAGATCTGAGCGCCTGGGCCACCTTTGTTGCAGATCGCAGTAACAATCTGCGCATCATTGAGCATAAAGGCACGAAGCTGGACGAAGCGGATGTTATCGCAAAGGTAGCGGAAGTCGGGTGCATTCTCCTCTGGGAAAACGTGCGTGAGCATGGTTGTGAAGGCTGCGGAGTTGTATCGGACCAGCATTGGCAAGGCAGAAGTAGCGTTAATTTTGGACGAGGAAGGTGAGCAAACGTGCTCTGGAATRGATGGTGAGCATGTTGCTTGTACGAACGGGAGAGAATCAGAATACCTTTGATGTTCAGGATATCAAGCCCGGCTTTCACCAGACCAGTGCGTGGAAGAGCATTACAAATAGCTCCTTTTTCTGCACTCTCGAGCACGGCTCCCGCGAGCTGCCAGCCAAAGATGATAGACTGGTTGCTCTTAAGTTCCTGGAACTCGCAGGTCTGGGTTGCTGAGCTTTTCGTTAGCAATCCGTTCACACTCACAAGCTCGATGGACTTACGCAAAATCGTGTTAATGGGCAGCACAATGCCAGATGCACCTATCGAAAGGGCTGCCAAGGCCATGAAAACTGTCGACTGATACATCGTGAACGTAGTGCTTCAGGGCAGTGGTGGTGAGGGCTGTTTGAGTTTCGGTGCTGTGCCAAGAAAAGAATGTAATGACAGGAATGAATACAACGAAATGAGTGTGGGTGGTACAGAATAACGAACGGGGCGCGAGTGCGGCCTGTCAAAGGTACGCCCGAGTTGAGGAACAAATGGAAGCTTTGAAAGAACGTTGGTCGTGTACGGCGGTAAAGTTTGCGTGTCAGAGGGCTGGGTTATGTACTGAGTATTTCTGGATCCTTCAAGATTGGCCAGGCGCACCTAGTTGTCAGCTTCGCGTTTCATGCCATTTCTGTGGCTTAACGAAATGCACGATCTGGCGCTCGCTCACGACGTTTCACACGTTCGGGGTGACATCGTGCTCTCCCGTTGGTGATGCGCTTCACCTTTCGGACAAGCGGTCCGCGCCTTGCTGCCGCAAAGCGAAAGGCTAGTGATCATTGGCTACAGGGGCAAGCCGGATATCAGTCGCGTAGGTCCAGATTTTGGTTGCCAGGCTCTTGTGTCGAGGTTGTATTCTTACATATGTACACCTATAGCTGACCATCTGTCCTGAGTGTTTGCTCGGGTGTGGGAAGCTCGCCGGTCAAACTGGTCAGACCTGCCGAATTCTCACATGAAGTGCGACTGCTCATAGGGCCTGGTGCGGGAATGCTCACTCCCTGGGCCGTGTATCCTGCTCCCCCTTGCTTCAACTTCTGTTCGGTGGCCTCTCCCGCGGATTGGTCTTTACCGCTATCGCCCGCCAGTCCAGGCGCCATTCCGCTCGCGCCTGTCTTCTCCGCTGCCTCCTTGAGAGCTGTGAGCAGAGACTTTGTCGTTTCCGGTGTGAGATCTTCGTAGAAATCGTCGTTGATCTGCACCATGGGTGCGTTGGCACAAGCTCCCAAACATTCGACTTCGGTGAATGTGAACATGTTGTCGGCAGTCGTCTCGCCGTGGTGGATGCCGAGATGATCTTCAATGGCCTTCATTATACCGTCGCTGCCGTTCAGCTGGCATGGTGTCTGTGAAAATTAGCACTCAAACGTAGATGCCCTCGCTGGTGGTGGTGGTGGTGGACGCACGGTAGTACAGCACTGCACGTGGAACTTGCCCACGGGATTCCTGTTGTACATGGTGTAAAAGGTGGCGACCTCGTAGACACGCATGGGTGGCATCTCCAGCAACCTCGCGACCTCGTTCATGACACTAATGCTGGTAAAGCCATGCTGGCGCTGGCCCAGATCCAGCAGCGGCATTACCGCCGCCTTCTTGTACTGGCTCGGGTAGCGGCTCAGCACCTCCTTGATGAGCTCTTCATTCTGCGCATTGAACTTGAAGGGGACCGACAGGTTGTTTTCGGGGCTGTCGCGGTGCTGGGCGGCGGGTTAGACGGTGCAAGAGGGCGCTGGTTTTGTTGCAGTGCATGCATACCACGTTGAGACTTGCGCTCCGGGCAATGGGCGACACGGCGAATGTCCTCCGCGGCTGCCAGGTGGCATTCTGAGCGGCTCTGAAGCTGCCTCGAAGGGCCCTCGGCATAAGCTTGGATGCCATGTTGGGTTGTGGGAAAAGATGCGATTGAGAGAGAGCGATTGGGCGGAATGTATGATGGTCATGGAGAGGCGTCGGCTTGCTATTGGTCAATTTCCCGGACTGCGCTCCGTTCGAGAGTGGCAGGCGCAGAACTCCAGCTTCACCTCCCTTGACACCACACCTGTGTTTTTGTTACGACCATATGTAGAAGTGCTGTGCGGGTTTCTTCGTATTAGTCGTCCATTCACTCCCTGATATTGACCTCTAGGCTTCGTTAAGAGTATCTGCGTGATCGCCTCCTGTAGAATCACAAACCTCATTGCTCAAATGGCAAATTTGTGCTATACCAGGATAATCTGCCACCATTGATAGTGGCAAAGGGCCAATAGACATTCAATTTAAGTCCCGATATAGTCCGAAGTTGCGAGAGTCTCGATATTGACTTCTCACAGGCAACAGATCACAATACGCGACAATTCCATCTTTCACACTACCCCAACCCTAACCCTGATCCTGATGAACGTTGATTTCCTGCCATTGTACAACCGCATCGCTTCGACTGTAGTCCACGATGTTTCAAAACTACCTAGACGAAGACATGGAGGCCACGATGACATGACCACACCAGATTGGAGAGTTCGTGAATAGCATATGGTTTGGTTCGKTAAGTGGGTCTATACGGCGGGTGCTGCCGCTGACGCCATTCGCAACGTGCTCCTCCGTATCGACTTTCACCTGTCAACGCCGCGGAACAATGTCATCAATATAGCACATAAACTTGTACACGCATGGCTAGTCCACCATGCTTACAGCTCCGCTTTCCCAACCCTGGCGGGCCCTCTTCTTGATCAGCATAGCTGCCGCATCCCTTCTCTCCTTTGGCTGGCTCGCCAGCTGGGTTCTCCCCGGCTCAAAATCCTTTGACCTCCCTGGAAGATATAGCCACAGCTCATCTTTGGCGAAGCTGGCCTTCGAAAAGGTGCTCCACGATGCATCTCCTATCTTTGGCATTCCCGACGCCAACGAACGCACTGCCAAGTCGTCCACAGCGATGTGGATGGGAGAATTTAGCGACGATACACTACTCGTCCATATGAACATTCCGGGCACACACGATGCGGCCACTTGGAACTATACCCAGGAGACCCAAACTTCACTCCATTTCGCCTCCGATCTGGCGAAGCTATCACCAACAGATCCCGCAGCATATCGCTGTCAGGACAGATCCATGGCCGCTATGCTAGAAGCTGGCATTCGTGCGTTTGATCTTCGATATGATTATGATGTGACTCGGACCACGCTTGTATTCTGGCACGGCGATGCTTTACAGTCCGAAACCGCAACTGTAGACGGTGTGCTATATGCCTTTTACGACTGGCTTGATCGACATCCTAGCGAGGCGCTCTTCCTTTCATTCCAACACGAAGGAGKTGGCGATGACGTTGGTACGCAGCTTGCGTTGTACGACATACTCACCTCTCCCGCAGCAAAGAGATATATCGACCAAACCAGAGGACATCTGGGCACTCTAGGCTCTGTGAGAGGCAAAATCACCGTCCTGCGTCGTTTCGATCTGGGTCTCCTGCCAACATCTTATGAAGATTCGATCCCTGGTATACACTTCTCTCCTAAGCAGTGGACGGTAAACGGCGACAACATCGCATTGGAATATAACACAACCGGTAAAGCAACCGCCTACATCCAGGATTACTTCCACCCTCAAACGCCCAAGCACTCTCCTCTCGACACGAACGTTCGTTGGAAACTCAACGCCACCGAAGCACACTTCAAACGTGCGGCKAGTGATGCTCCCATGTTCAGAGATGCGTTGTTCTGGAGCTTTGCATCCAGTACGAAGACCGACAATGACCCTTCGAGTACGCCGCGGGATCTAGCTCTAGGCGATGGGTCAGTGATGGGTGTCAATCAGGAGCTTTTGGAGTTCTTGAAGGGGATGAAGGGGAAGAGATTAGGCATTACTATGTTTGACTTCTTCGAGAAGCCGGGCGAGCTCTTAGATTCGTACTTGGGACTGTTGACTCCCAAGCAGGCGAGGAACTATGGGACGAAAGCATAGAATCATAAACAGTCGGTACAATGTGTATGGACACCATCGCCGGGCAGTCATGTGCCTTACTCCAAGCATGAGAATGTCGAGGGATGCATGTTGGTTTGAAGTGAATGCCTACTTAATGCAAAGTATTGAACCACATTCGAAAATCCCTTCCTCCAATGTCAACTTGTGCGGAGTCTGCGACCAGAATCGGGTCAAGATTAGTCCAAGACACCGCTTCGATTGATAGCAGACGACGACGGTTCTGAAGCGCTTTTGCGACCCAGAACAACGTAGAGGCATTACGGCATGGTGCGATGCTGTATGAGACGAAACACTTCCGGCCTTGACTTTGATCGACCATCCTGCTGTCCAACCGTACGTAGTGAAACTTTCGTAAGCATTCCACATGGCATGGCAAACGGCTCTCATGGGAAACTCGTCTGCCGTKCCATACGCCAAATGATCCCGTGGGCCAATTTGACCCTGTTAGGTGATGGGACCTCCTCTACACATTCACCTCAAACCAGAGCGGGACCCACTACCAAGCAACGTTGAGGCAGGTTTGTCGTGTTGGCGTTGAATTAGGCTGAATATATATGTACATTCACCGTCAAATTACCAGGCGTCGCCAAGAAAACTTTCACCGCATGTCACCCAAACCTCTAAGTACCGCCGTCGATGAACCCAGGGTAGATCGAGAAATGGTTCTGGTTGAAGCTCTTAAGTTGTGGGCAAGAAAGCCCAGATATGGAGCTGGCAATCGCGTCGGTGACTGGTGACAGGGCTGGGCCAAGGATCTCCTCAAGGCCACTGAGCTGATCGATACCACCAGCCATGGCAGCCTGAAAGGCGAAGCAAGCTAGGTTGTTGCCCTGGAGAAGAGTGGCTCCATTGAAGACTCCCCCCGAAACATCGGAGATGTCAACACCGGTGAAAGAGTTGGTGGTTCCAGTGTTGCCACCGATGCGGAGAGTGTCTGGATTTTTCTGAGCGCCGGCGAGTAAGTCGATAAAGACATCAGGTACGTTGTAGGCATCCGCCGTGTTGCGGCGGTACCAGTTCAAGGGGATGCGCCTTCGAGTTTTATCAGTACAAATTGCTATGCAAAGGGGGCTTGATTGATGTACTCTTGTCCGCGGTGGTGAACGAAGTCACCCTGGTTCACGCCAGAAGCACCAGCTCCAGTGCCGGTAACGGCAAAGAACTGAGACAAGACGTCCCTGTTGAGTGTGCCACCAGGGGTCTCCGCAGAGTGATTCGACATGAAGTTGATGACGAAGTTATTGGCAGCCGGCGCAACAAGACCACTGAATGGGCCGGAAAAATAGTGAGGGTTGTTGTTCAGCGAATAGTCGGTGACGTATTGAGACTGCTCGGTGATTTTATCCATAGTAAGACCACCCTCCGCGAGGTTCCAGAGGTTATTCCAAGATCTCCAGTTAAACACATCGACCTTGCCGTTGTTGAGGAATGCATCTCCGCGGACGATAGAAGCGTCTCCCTCATATTTGTTGTGGGAGCCGAGGATGCCCTTTGGGTCGCTCAGCACCAGAGGCAAGGTTGATGGGAATCCGGCACCAATGGACCACTGCCCACTAGGAATATCACCAGAGGTGAGGATAGCAATGGCGGCGAGACCGGCGGCAAGATCAGGATTCATGCCATACGCATCACGCAAGCCAGTGATAGTCTGTTGAATGGTAGCCTTTCCGTTACGGGGCAAGAAGCCGTGATTTGCAGCAGCGTTCAGCCCAGGACACTGACCACGTAGGTTGGTAGAGGATGGCGACTGGAAAGGATTAGGACCATTGTCGGTCACGTCGACGTATTGCTCCTTAGCATCCCACTTAGGATTTGGGTGTCCACCTGGGGAGTATGTTAAAGAAGGCCAGAAAGGTCATCAAGAACATTGCAACCTACCTCCAGTGTTGAGGCGGCCAGAAGATGCTGCCCTCWGTAGCAACATGTCTTGCTGGACGACTGCTGGCCATGCTGCTACTGAAGCAGCAAAAGCTGTGAGCACGGACGCGGTCTTCATGATGTGTCTATGTGACGCAACAGAGACTTCGACAGTGTAACAACTTGAGGTAGTGAAGACATGTTATAAATGGTCGCCACGGGCTTCCATGTGAAGCTCGATTGAAGCCAGGGTCGTCAAGCGCCAGACGTCCACGATACTATTTCACCTCCACCACTGTAACAGCGGTTCACCTGCGCCATTGTCCGAGCGGTAGCTGGTGAGCACAGTGGAGCAGAGAGTGAGACACCCTGCCCAATTCGGCAGGTCAACGGATGACGCCATTAAATGGTCGACTTTTGGCTCTCAGCATCCGCACCCTGGCTTCGCATGGCCTTTCCGTTGTGGACAGGGAAAAAGTCGGCATAAGCCGTTGCAATGGTTGATTTCGTTCAAGAAATGATGATGATGATGATGATGATGAAGGAGAAGTGAGTGTTGTGGATTTGCCCGCGCAGATCGAACTAGCCTTGATGCCTCAGGCATACTGGCGCCCCTTTTTTTCTCGCAGGAATTCGCGAGTATTCCGACTGCTTCCAAAGACTCCAGTTTGGACAATTTCGTCTCATCGCAACAGAGCCCACTGGTCATCAGCATATGCTTCATCACTTAGACAATGCAATGTCGTCAATCTGCTCAACATCATCGATCTTCTGGTCATGGACGACGACGCTCAATTGTCGTCGCGCTTCTTCGTTCCTAGCAAAGAGACTGTCTACCTCTTCAAGAGACATGCCCTTTGTTTCCGGAAAGAAGAGGTAGATGATTGGAACCCACAGTGTATTGAGCACCTGTCATTGATCAGCTTCTATAGAGTTGCGAGGATTGTGGACTAATTTACCCCAAAGATGATATATGTTCTGTACTTGATATTGCGAATCGCAGGAGGGGTGATGTACACAATGGCAAAGTTCTGTGAAATTAGCATCATGCGCGTTGAACCAAGGGGTGAGGCTTACGCAGATCCAGTTACACGCGGTCGAGACAGAGGAACCCCTTTGTCGAAGCTTCAAGGGCAGAATCTCAGACGGATAGACCCAGACCGTCGCCTGGAAGCCTATTGTAAATGCTCCTTGAAAAATGAAGAGCATGGCTGCTGCTGCGATACCACATGTCTTAGCAATGGACGTTTCCTGCTCGACATTMCAGATGAGACCAGTCTGGCATATCATCACGGCGGCCATTACACTGATCATGGAAAGCAGAAGGGGGCGTCGTCCAACACGGTCAATTAGGAACCCTAGAATTGTCAGCTTAGATTCCAAGTGAGTACGGGTTGGCAAGAAGAATCTTACACGGGATGAAAGAGGCCGCAAAGAACCAGGTGTTCAGAAATCCGGACATGAGGGAAGATAGCTCCGCGTCGAAACCTAAGCTCTTCTGGAACAATGTGTTCGAGTAGTAAATCAACGCGTTGATGCCTGTGAGTAAGAATGGACAGTCAGTGACAGGTCGAAGAGATGGGAAGAGACTTTCCAAAGCGCATCCCATGCATCTTTGGAATAACACGCAATAGGCCATGCTCTCATTCTTTCGGGTGAGTACTCACCTCCCAGCTGTTGCATAGCCTGAATACCACATGCRATAAAGAATCTGCGACTTGATTGTATATCATCGCTCTTCACAATATCCGACCAGCTCCCGGAGCCGATAGAGGCTTCGTAAGCAACAGTGTTAACAATGTCAGAGTGCATACGAATGATGGCATCTTCGCTCATCTTTTTCCTGTTGAGTCTTCGAAGAACATCGAGAGCTTCTTCGGAACGGTTGTGCGAGACTAGCCATCTAGATACAAATCAGTAACAAGTATCGGGTAAATTTTTCTCTCAGCGACGTACCGTGGAGTCTCTGGAATGATCCACAGAATGAATAGCATGGGGATCAGGAAAATGCACTGCAGAATGACCGGGACTCTCCAGGCGTAGCTAGGACCCCCAGCTATCTTGGACWTGGCATAGTCCACCCAGTAAACTAACATGATGCCGAAATTCAGCGTCGAGAGCTGAGCGCACACATATATGCCCCTCGTCGCTTTGGGACTGAACTCCGCTTGCATAACCGGGACAGTCGAGTTGATGAAGCCCATTCCCACCCCAGATACGATACGGGCGACGATCATATGGGCTCTGCTGTATGCAGTTGCCTGCAGAAGCGCCCCAACAATCATGATGATGACTCCGATGAGGACGCTCTTCTTCCGCCCGAGATTCTCTCCAATGAAGCTTGTTATCGCTGCTCCAATGAAGCAGCCAATTTCGTACTGAGAAGTAGCATTAGCATGCCTCAGAAGAAGAGACGGCCAAGACGGGAAAATGGCTTCTCACAATAGCGACGATGAGAGCTATCATGTTGGTGCCCTCATTAGTGTCTTGGTCAATATTGAATGTGCCATCGAAAGCTGGACCATTGACAAGACCGCCCCTGATTTGATCAGTATAGTAACATAGGTACGATCGAGATGCTTGAAATACACACATCAAGCCATTATCGTAGCCTATGAGAAGGAATCCGAGACATGTGAGCAAGGAGACGGTATACAATAGTGCATTGCCCTCGAGTCGGATCATGTTGCCTTCTTTTTGCTGGCGCAACTGTTCCGATTGGACCCTCAGAAGATAGGAGGATGTTGATGAGTCCGAGTATGTGTGGCGACGACGACTGAGGTACCTACACAGCTCGGTGCCAAGAATAGAAGCTTTCCCACTCAAGAACGCCTGCAGGGAGATTGATCTGTCGCTCGCAAGCCTGGTGGAAACTGCGGTACAATCCAATCTGGGGGAGTCAACACTCTTATCCTCCACTGCTTTCTCCGTGATCTAGCAGGGATACCATGAAAACCCCATTTCCATCACGCGTACTCAAGCTTTTCCCCGATGCTTAGTGCATTTCCCCAGACTGCCCGCCGGCTGTAGACGGCAATTGCTGCTGACTGGGCACGTTTTGGAAATTGGCCTTGAGTCGAATGTCGGCGACCGCCAACACGCCGACAGACACCTTCCAACATGAGTTTACCACGCAACTGCAAGGTACACACAGGAGTTGTTGATGGCGTTGATCACGTACTTACTGCTCCCAGCGAGTTTCGAGGCAGGAGCAAACTCTAGTGACAGAGGCCTGCGCTCAACGGAAATTCGACGAGCCTTTCTTCGCCATCTACGACGATGCTTTCCTCAAACTACTAGGCGAGAATCCCAAGACAACACTGGCACTTGAGAAGGACTGGCCATTCGCTCACGAAGCCGGAGTTTACTTTCCAGACCAGGATGCCTGCTACATTACGAGTAACACACTCCGATCTCAGGAGGGCCCATCTATCAAGATCRGAAAGATGGTCAGATCCGATGGCAAATGGCATTATGAAGAAATTCGCACCAACGTGACCATGGGTAACGGCGGCATCAATTACAAAGGTGGTGTGCTATTCTGTGACCAAGGAACGCTAGATGAGCCTGGTGGCTTGGTCCTCGTGGAAGCGAAGCCACCGTATGCAACGAAGACACTCATCTCGTCCTTTCACTGGCGGCTGTTCTCGAGCGTCAATGACGTGGTCGTACATAGCGATGGCGCCCTCTGGTTTACCGACCCTTCGTATGGGCATGATCAAGGTTTCAGGCACGCTCCTCAGTTGCCGACGCAGGTGTATCGATTTGAACCAGAGTCTGGGGACATTCGAGCAGTAGCCGACGGCTTCGGAAGATGTAACGGTCTATGCTTCTCGCCCGATGAACAGACTGTGTACGTGACAGATACAGATTGGATCCACGGGGATGGTACCACAGATCTTACCAGGGCCTCGAGCATGTAAGTGCAGGCCAGGCCGAGTCCCGGCACATTGACTCTGCATGTTCAAGGCTCGGAGGTGCTTCAAGCGACAAGCAGAGGCACCACACGTGTAGAGATGGTGAGTCTCATGCTACAACGCTGACTTCTCACAGATATGCCTTTGACGTTCTTGAGAGGCACGGATCCCAATTCCTGGCAAACAGGAGGTTGTTCGCCATGGCAGATGAAGGTACGTCGCCATGCAAGCTTTGGTAGTGATCGCAAGCTTACGAATTGCAGGCATACCGGATGGCATCAAATGTGACTTGGACGGCAACGTCTATAGTGGCTGTGGCGATGGCGTGAGCGTCTGGAGTCCTGGCGGAAAGCTGATTGGCAAAATCAAGATACCCGGGGGAGTAGCGAATTTCTGCTTCTCACGACCAGGTGAGCTCCTGGTGCTCAACGAGACCAAGTTTTGGGTGATTTCTATATGCCCCAAGATCCAAGGGGCGCTATTGGCGAACATGAACATAGCCGTGTGAACGTGTGGAGAAAGAGGAACTCACGCAGAGCAAAGGCCGTCCATTGCCGGTCCTCGCCAAGATAAGGTAGACAGCTACGAAGTCTAGGGCATGATCTGCGTCGGCTCCGTCGGCTCCGTCGAATGGCATTGCATCTCATGATACCTGTCGTTGTGATGCTACGGCGCCAGCGAGCCCGCGCAAAGATGGCAACGCATGTAGTGGTAGTGGTACCGCACAGTACCTGGGGAAGACGCATCATCCCATCCCATCCTGTGCGGGATTTAATCGGCTGGCCCTGGTCTAGAATAGATCGACGCAGAGGCGGGGAAGAGGAAACCTTGAAAGTCGGACGCGCTGCACCCAAGCGCATCGAGGCAGTTTAATTCGAGCAGGCAGCCTCCGACCATCCCATCATTCACCGTCAGTCGCCTTTTGCAGACCGCAGCCATCCACCGCCATGGATGTGGACGCTGCCAGCCGCCAGGGCGCATCTAATCCCGGCAGTGGCAGTGGATACCAACCGGAGCAGCAGCGACCGCAGCGGGACAGCTCCTCGGACAGCGCGCCGTCGCCCGGAGCCGGCTCACACTCCAAACACAAGAGAGAAAAGTCGGAGCGCGAGAAGCGGACGTATCGCGCGTGTCTGCACTGTCGGCAGCGAAAGAGTCGCTGTGAGTATCGTCATCGAAATGATTGATATCAGTCCTTCAAGAGCATTTTCACTGATGGTCACTCTCTTCACCAGGTGACCTGTAAGTGGCGCTGCTGATTTTGCCCCATCTTCTGTACCCCAGATTGGTGTCCCAGTGTTGTTGTGCTCACCGTCGGCAACCGATCATCACTTTCATCACCAACCTGGCAGTGTCGCTATTCGACGGCACAAGTCGATGAGACGCCGACGGCCTCCATCAAGTCTACTTTGCTAGTGCAGTCAAGGGGACAAAAAAGCTAAACTGTGGCATGTTGTAGATACAGTAGCGGCGAGCCCGGCAGACCGCCATGCGAGCGGTGCATTCGAGAGCAACACGAATGCGTCCTGGGCGGCTCACGCAGAGGCGGCCGTCGTGTGAAACGATCTGCCTCCGATGTGGCCAACGGAACGCCGGGGCAGGTGCCAAACATCGACAGTGTTATCCAAGTGGCTTCTCTCCAGCCCCCTCGGAGCGACCATCGGGATCTGGACCATCGTCAACATCGCCTGCCAAGCTGGACAAGTCTTAATCCCGAACTAAGGACACTCCCGCCCCTTGGCCATGATCTACCAAGTACGCCGACGGTCAAGATGACCGTCGACGATACCGTCGCGTCAACTGACCTGCAGAACCCGGCCGACGCACTGGAATTCCTTGCACATGTAGCAGAGCGAGATTCTGGCGGAACCCAGTTGCCTGGAACCCAGTTGCCTCCTATGCAGAGTGCTGTGTATGGACGCTCCCTCCTCTCCCACACCCCTGGGAGTGACGGATCTCGTCCACCCGCCCCTCCTACATCTCATCATGTCATCGACTATCCTCCCCTCAATAAAGGCCAATTGTCACTGCACATGATAGAGGCTCTTCTGTACAGGTAGGTCTGGCGTGAAAGACACCTATGGCAGTCCACTCACGCCACCACAGATATGAAGAAAAATACCACCCGTTCTTTCCGTTGGCCAACCCGGCGGCCATGGACCCTAACAACCTGCCGACAATTGCGAAGCAGGAACCGCATCTACTTGCTGCGATACTGACCGTGGCGTCGAAAGACGAAAAGGACTGGTGGCAAATACATGATGACTGCTCCACACATATGCAGTCTCTTGTCGCTAGCCTCGTATACAGTGGCATGGGGTCTGTTGAGGCCGTCGAGGTATGTCTGTTGCCGCTAGAAGGGTGACTCCTCAGAGAAGTGCAGTCGTTACGTCCACTTATCATTCATAGGCAATGCTCATATTAGCAGAATGGGTACCTAGACGGCCACTCTCCACACCTGCCATTGGTCGTGGAGAAGAAGATCAAGCAGCTTGGATGTATGTGGGGACCGCGATACGATTGGGCTATCTTCTTGGCATCGACAGAACCGGCTTTCGTATGGAGAGTGAAGCACAATCCGCCGACCTAAACCGAAAACGCTTGGMATGGGCAAGCTGCTACGTGAGTGATCGACAGATCTCAGTGCGGATTGGTAAGGCTTTCTGGTCTCGAGGACCCGGACCTATGACCGCTTTGCGCGCCCAAGATTTCCCCAGCCTACAGCCTCGATTGCATCGCCAAGACGACTTTGCGGCAATCTACCAGGCAAATCTCGAGCTGACCCAGCTCTTTTCCAACGCCCATGATGTGTTGTACGCGACGAAAAGCCGGTCGAACCAGTTGAACTTTGGAGGGGAGTATGTCAAGTACATTGATGATTTCCGAGTTGCCCTCAGGCACTGGAATGAGTCGTGGGGCGTCTTCACGTGTTCACCGCCGCTCAAAGCCAGCCTCATACTCTCCTACGAATATCTTCGTCTATACATCAACGCATTTGCGTATCAAGTGAGCAACAAACCTCTTGTTACTCTGCGAAGCTGACAAGTTCAAGGCAACCCTCAATCGTCTGATCACGAGAATGAAGGAGGCTGTGGAGAATGGCCAGCAACCAAAGACACAGGCATATCCATTCTCCGACATCGCTGCGACCCCTGATGCTCGATTCATTTACGACGCCATCGATGCTGCGAAAGCCCTGTTGAGCACATTTTGTAGCTTCGTGGATCCTCAAGGAACATTCCGATTCATGCCTTTGAGGTACTACCTATATGTCATCTACTCGGCAGTATTCCTATACAAGGCTCGGAGTACTGGCGTTATGGGAGGCGACACCAGAGGATCCGTCAAGCGGCTGATTAGTGACACGATGGATAATTTGCAGAAGTCCAGCGCGTGTGCCAATGATGTCGGAGACCGCTACTCGCGGCTGATTCGTTTGCTCTGGCGTAAAGCTCCGGGTCATCGGGGAAGTATTGCCGATCCGAGCGACATCACGAGGCCAACCACTGCGCAGAATGGCGGACCTTCAGGGCAGGACCGTACCGGGGAATCAAATCAAATGGACACGGCGCCTCCGTCAATCAATCAGTTCAGCTGGCTGGATCTGAATGCTGTTGGAGACTTTGCTGTGGAGAACAACAACTCAATCGCTGGAAGCACCGGTATGATGGACAATCTAGATCGCTTCGAAGACAGTTCCGCGGATGGATTCTCACAGTTCGATCCGAGTTTGATGGTGTCGCCTCAGCAATTTGCATGGAACGGAATGTCGCCATCTGRAATCATCTTTTGAACGGGCCACTCCTATCATCACAAGAGAGCCGCAACACTGTACTTGAAAGCCGACAGTCCTGATGAAATTCTTCGAGAAGATCGTACTGCTTTGCGCTTCGGCAGGAATTCTCCAAAGCACGGCTAAATAGTTGAGAAGTTGATGATTCACCCACGAAACTAGCCGCGAACCTTATTCACTGATCTCAGTGAGCGTGTGCACACACTTGACAAAAGTACTTCAATGACAAATCAAATCATCAATATCATTTCGAAATGCCCAAGAGTAATCGAATTAATCACGCCATAACATCCTCTCCCATTGCTGCCGCAGTCTCTCATCACGTCCACTCCTTCGTTCATGGACCGCTCCACGGTGTTGCGGACCAACTCTGGGCGTAACTTCATCCACCATTGCTTGCAGCTGATTGATACGCATCGCAGCGACATCCTCAGATTCTCTGCGACTCAACCTCTCTTGCGCCAATTCCTGCCGCGTACGCTTGAGGACCTTTTCGAATTCCTGAAAGGTGGATACTACATCGTATCGCAAAGACTGGTCGAGCTTGCGTAGCTTGGAGTCCACCTCGACGGCAGTGTATATCTGTTGCGGAACTGTTGGTGGGTTTCCAGCGGCTGCTTGATTCTCTGCTGTTTTTGGGGTTGAGGGGCCGGCTTCTGCTGTTGGGGTTGTTTCGGGTGTGTTTGACATGGTGGTAAATTGCTCGATGGGTGGAAGCGATGGGTTGGGAATGTTTCGATGCGTTTTGGAGAGAGGTCGATTGAAGAACGATGGAGGTTGTTGAAAGTGTCCAGTGAGAAGGGTCGTACATCATCATGCCTTTGGTCGTTGGGCGCTCTGGTCAGTGGATCAATTCTGCTTCAGGCGCTGTATTCCATATGTCCACCACGATCACATTACACATTCTTCACATCGTTGAAGATGGATGTGAAAGGGAGTATGACGTTAGATGCGGAGTTGTAGATGTGAATATTGCACAAAAAATGGAAGTGAGAGAGAAACAGCAACCCCCATTGCTACGACAGTTACAACGGGTTGAAATCCACTTGGTTCACATAGTCAACTTGTACATGGCCGAGACGGCCTCTAGAAARGCGAAATTCGTGGACTCATATTCATGGAGACTGCTTTGCTTTTGAACAATTTCGTTGAATCACATGGCCATACCCGTCCGGACAGCTCTCCCCTTGACTACTTGCAACAGCCATTTGCATGACCATTCACACCATTGCTGTGACCATTTGTCCCATTCACCACCAACTTGCTCTCCAAATTCCTGTTGCTGGGCACATCAATAGAAGGATTAGCCTCGAAGAAATCCGCAGGTCTGAGGTTGACCTGGTGGATCTCAACAGGCATGACCGGCCAATCTTCAACTCGAGGGTTATGTGTGAGTCCAAATACCGACCACACAACAATATCTTCATTCTCAACATTGTCACCGCGCTCCACAGCATCAGCGACACCGCCAATCTCTTTGCGGCTCTGCATGGTGTAGCGACCAGCTGCGTAAAGCTCGTCCTCTTTGTATTTGGTGACCCAGACGTGGTGTTGTGCAAATGCTGCTCGCTTCGCCTGGATGGATTCTGGATCCGCGAGTAGGAGCTGTGTCGCAGGCGGAATCAGCTTGAAACCAACCGGCTTTCCGCTGATGCGGTTCTTCTTCGACTCGTTGACAATCTTGAAGACGCGGTTATTCTTGGGCTCCGCATCTGCCCATGCAGCTTTCGTGATCGGGGTACGTCGAACTTCGTAGTAGTTGCCACGAGGGTTTGTTTCTGGGTTCATGGGGACAGGCAGTGATTCCTCCTGGATAACAGTATTGGCGTGACCGTCGATGGCGGGATCGATTCGAACTGCGAAGATGTGCTGGTGATTTTGTGCGAGCACACCGGGGTTAACTACATTGCCATAATCGCTTGTTTTCCCGGGATCAATGTTGACGCAGCTAACAATTCCAGTCGCACGCGTCTCGATGTCGATGCCACCGCTTTGGTTGAACTTGTACGCAAAGATGTATTCGTAGTTAGCCAAGGTGATGATGAATTGGACGACAAGCTCTCTGTTCCGGGTAACCACGGCGCGGCCAGTACGCCAGTTGGTGTGCTTCCAACCGATTCCGTTGTCCTCTGCGACGAGTTAAATTAGTACGGCGTGGAAGAAGCATTCATCGGGTGACACTCACGTTCGTGAAGACATATAACATTTGGCATAGCCTTGACCTCACTATTGCCAGAAATCTGGACTCCATCGAAATACTGGGTTGAAAATGGTTAGAGTTGTGATAACGATCCCAAGACATGCTCTGACTTACCTTGATGGTCCCCAGACAATCACAGCCTAGAGATAAGTTGTTCGCGCAATTACCAGCACCGCCGTCGCCGAAATCAAAGGCCTGTTTCCGGTGGAATGGAGCTCGAGCATCCGCGTATGGCACAGACATCTCACTGATAGCGAGGCGGTAAAACATGCTGCGGTCTTCGTAATAAACGTCATGGATGACTGCACCCTCTCGGGGGTTGAAAGTGACCCGGAACCTCCATTTCTGCCACTCGACTAGAGACTCATCGGTGACTGTAAATGATGCTCCATCAGGCTGAACAACATTGAGCGGTTTAAGGTCTGTCCTGACGCCATTCGGTAGTAGCTCCGGAACATACTCAGCAGTCTCGCAGTGACCGAGAATCTGCTTTTTGTGTGTAACTCCATCCATACTGTCGCCCTTACCGCCAGTAGCCAGCTTGTCTATACGAATGAGCTTTCGTGTATTGGCATCCATGACAGGAATGAGTGGCAGCGGGAAGGCGTAGAAGTTCGAATCCGGGTTCTTATTCCTGATATCCTGGGCGAATATAAGACCTTGGAATGTCCGGTTGTTCTCAAGATCATCATCGTCGGGGCCGCCGTACGGCCAGGGCTCGATAACGATTTCATAGCCTTCCGGAATTTCAAACTCGGATATGGCCTTTTGGAACTCCTCGCTTTCTTTGACGGTCTCGACCAAATCATCAAATTCAGCGCTACTACCGTGTCAGTCCAAACGAGTGACGAGCAGGGATCGTAGCTCCACTCACAGCTTCAATGGTGCATGTTGCTCCTTGCTGATGATCTCGTGCTTGATGACGTTCTTTTGCTCTACATCGACAACAGCCTCGTGGAAGTATGGTATCTTGTCTGAGCCGACGACATCGTATTGGACAGCTGCGCAGCGAGCAGGWCTTGGGTAGGAAGCTGTCAGAGATCCAGAGTGCTCAAGCTCGAGGTACTTCTTTAGAATCTGCTTGGGTGGTTCTTGAAGCCATATTTCACGGACGATGACTAGCTCATTCTTGTGCTGAGCAACGATGATGTCTTTAGCTTGTTGCGTTTCCTGTATGGAGAGTCCTTGCAGCGGGTGTGTCATGTTGAAAGCAGATGGTAAGAAAGATGATGGAGATGGAAAGAAAGGGCAAGAATGATATATATTKGTCCAGCTAAGACGAACAATGCCTTATTACACTCCGCGATAGGCCAAGTCCCGGAAGCTCGACGAAAGGGTAATGACTACGCGTCAATCATGTATGTAGGATGATGAAGGAGTAGGTAGGCGAGGGTGGAGCTCACGAGTTCGGTTGGACATACTTCTTTAGGTTAGCTCAAAGGTTCGCGTGCCCTCGTGCACTTCAATGCCCGAGGCTCTTCAGGTACCTTACCTTGGTATACCAATCATTACACCATCACTAGTTATCGGAAGAGTYGTCCGGGATATCGAATGGAGCAGATTTGCTACCTCTCCGGTACGCTCTATCGGCTCTTGCTAGGCGGCTGATCCTGATCCTCACCGGCAGATGAATCGGGAATGGTAATAGCCTTGCTTCCGAACACTTTCATCTGCTTCTTCGTACGCCGCTTATTCTCATCGTCAAACGTGGGAGTCCTCTTGGCGATCTATTCCGCTGTCAAGCCAAATGTGGGCTGTTCCGATGAACCTAGAGCGTTCTCATCATGATCAAGCTCGATAGCCTCACTCTGAGGGCTCCGCTGCTGCTGAATGGCTTGCTGATACAAGTTTTGTCAATAACAGGTCGAAAGATGTCAACTATGAGGAGCGAATAGCCTGTTACACTGGTAAGGCATGGGTGACCACCAAAACTGTCGACATGAGAAGTCCTCATAAAAACGACTAAGGGGGTCTTCTCTCGATAACGTCTTTAGGTCTTGCTCTTTGCAGAATCGACAACTCTAGAGCTGCGAGAACCTTTGCTACTAGCAAAGTAGCCCGTCATACACTAGGGAACGCAAGGCAGTCAAGGGCGCTGTTTCGTGAAGGATTTTCTCATGTCGAGGGCTCTGGTAACCACGCGATGGGATAGAGGCGCTGGAAGACGTGACAACCCGCCTCTCCACGCGCCTTCAAGGTTTCTCTGGACCCAGAGTAGGATCACCTTGCGGCCATGGACGGAAGCGCCGTATAGGATAAAGTGAATGACCGTATTTCGGATTCTCGGATTCGCTTTCGGATTCGCAGTTGCAATTTGACTCCCAACCACCCAGACATCGTTGCAAAGTGATCTACGCAGGCACGACTCTTGATTCGACTCCTGCTTTCTGGGAACATGCCCGCATCGCTGGATACTCTGCATACGATGGCTAGATAAGGAGTAATGCACACCTTCCCATTGGACAGTAAGACACAACGTCTTCGGCAGGTAAGTAGGCATGTTACCGCATGTGAGCATCTCTTGGTTCGACCTTCAATGCGCTTCGGTCTCGGTTTCGCTCTTCGACAGCGAGGGCGATGTCGACGAACTCCCCCGATAAATATGTAGATGCCGCAACCCACTCAGAGCCTGGTCATCTTCAATCAATACCTCAACCTAGACTTCGATCGAACGAGCCACCATGCTTCTCACCGTGCTCCTCCCGGCATTTGCTTTGGCAATGCCACAGCTTGCTACTAGTTCGGACGTTCCATCGCGATACTCTTCAGATGCCCCCGCCCCATACAACGATTGGAGGCCTGCGTATGTTGACGAGTGTAAGTCACGCACCGCCTATCGTTGTTCAAACTCTGATTATGTTGCAGTTCGTGGACCTTGTCCCATGTTGAATACATTAGCAAATCATGGATTCCTCCCACATGATGGTGGCAAGGATGGGGGCCTCACATTAGAAAAGGTCATACATGGCCTATCCTTTCGTAAGTGGCAGACTCGCCCGTTCGTTTTTGCCCCTGAGCTGGCTGACCATGGCWACGTAGTAAATTTCAACGCAAGTCTTGCAACAATCATGTTTGAGCAAGCTTTGATAATCAACCCAGTTCCAAACYCGACCTTCTTCAACCTGTAAGTGGATGGAAGATGTACATTTAGCCCCTGCTGACTCGACCCATCGCAGTGACATGTTGAATGTTCATGGCACTCTCGAACACGATGCCTCCCTGAGTCGCTCAGATCACTATTTTGGTAACAACCACGTCTTCAACCAATCTGTCTTCGACCGAAGCAAGAAATACTGGACCACTGAGATTCTCGACCGCTATCAAATGTCAAATGCCAAACTTGCACGCCAAATTCAATCACGAGTATGTCGGTCTAGCAGCATGTCTAGAAGGTAATCGCTAACATTCTGCTTCATCAGTCAAGTAACCCGGAGTACGACTTCAGCTCCAGCGTGGAGAATTTTAGCATCGGGGAGATCTTGGCTCCGTTTGTTGTCTTCGGCGATCGAGACGCTGTGACAGTGAATAGGACCTGGGTCGAATTCTTCTTTGAGAACGAACGTCTGCCAACCTCGCTCGGTTGGAAGCCGCAAGAAAGGGTTGTCAATCTCGAAGACATCACGACGTTGATGGGAGCGTTCTTCAATGCTACTAGTCTCATCACCGGAGCTGGTGCTGCGGTTGGTGTCCATTAAGCGCGCAGGCTTCCATGCGGCACTGTCGATGTGACGCCCATCGCTGAACGTACGGCTATCTTGGAGCTACTGGAGACGAGCAGATTCATCTCATGGGATGTCAAGACTTGAGACAGTAGGAAGAGAACAGACACATAGGTACGGTCTGGCAACCAGCATAGCTGTAGACATGAGCGTTATACCAAATCTTCTTGCAAATTGAGCATCGACCCTGGAACCAAGGCCCGGTGAAATTGAGGGTTGTGGCCTTACCTGCAGTGATTGAAGATGTCGTACTTTCTGCGGCTACGACAAYGCTATCGAAAAGACAAGCTAGCTGTTCGTGAGCGTCGCCGTCGACTCACTCCCAAGGATCGGTGGTAGCGAAGGTTACCGGCTTCAAGTTCGGCTCCGGAGGGATGATCTTTCATCCGAGTTCCACCATCCAACAAACGCCATGCATTTCTCTGACAGGCCGAAAAGCTGTGCAGAACATCGTCTCGCTGCACCAAACATTGTCGTTTGTCTGGGTGATCGCCACATGCACTGTACAAGCGACGAGAAGAATGTCCCCAGGCCAGGAATATGCAAGGACCATGAGGCTTGACCAAAAAGCGGAGAGAATGTGGAGATGATTCGGTAGCGGCGATCATGACCATGTCCTTCCCATTCAGCCGACGACCGAGCTAGGATCTTACATAGGAGCGATTTCTCAGAGATGTAGAGATAGTCGATATTGAAGGCCAAGTGAATCTCTCCTACAATCGTTGCCCACCTCCTATACCCCTCAGAATGGCACCTCACAAGCAAGATGAAGCCTATGCTTCGGCACAGAAAGACCCGTCCAAGTTCTGGACACATCAGGCACAACAGATATCCTGGCACAAGAATCCCCAGACCGCGTACAAGAGTACTACGAAGAAGCTACCATCGGGCGTCGAGCATGAGAGTTGGCAGTGGTTTCCAGATGGAGAACTATCGACGTCGTATAACTGCGTTACGCGACATGTGGAAGCAGGCAATGGCGACAACATAGCTATCATATGGGATAGTCCGGTTACCGGCAGAAAAGAGAAGATCAGCTATGCGAAGCTTGATGAGGAAGTATGCATCCTAGCTGGAGCGCTTCGGGAAGAGGGAGTCCAAAGGGGTGATGTGGTGATAATTTACATGCCCATGATACCCGCTGCGTTGATTGGAATGCTTGCGGTTGCCCGTCTGGGAGCTGTGCATGCTGTAGTCTTCGGTGGATTCTCAGCGTCCTCATTGGCCCAGAGAATTGATTCCAGCAGGCCCAAGGCAATCCTAACGGCCAGCTGTGGTATTGAGGGTTCCAAGGGCCCTCTCCCATATCAGCCCATGGTACGAGGAGCGATCGATCAAGCGGAGCACAAACCTTCGAAGGTGTTGGTCTGGCAGCGGGATGAGCACAGATGGAACGATATTAATCGGCTTGAAGGAGAAAGGACTTGGCAACGAGTCGTGAAAAGTGCAAGAGATCGTGGTGTGCGGGCGGAGAATGTTGCCATCAATAGTAATGACAGCCTTTACATTATTTACACTTCTGGTGAGCATCTTGAACAGCAGGACTCTCGCTCGACACCTAACATTACGCAGGTACCACTGGACTTCCCAAAGGAGTTGTTCGCGAAGCAGGAGGTCACGCCGTCGGACTAAACTTTACAGTTCGCTACGTTTTTGGTATTCGAGGTCCAGGGGATGTCATGTTCACAGCCAGTGACATAGGATGGGTAGTAGGCCATTCCTACATCGTATATGGACCTCTTCTAGCCGGCGCCACTACGGTATTGTTCGAAGGTAAACCAGTTGGAACACCCAATGCAGACACTTTCTGGAGAGTGCTAGACGAACACAAAGTCAATACAATGTTCACCGCGCCAACTGCTCTTCGTGCAGTCCGGAAAGAAGATCCCGAGAACACGTTCTTTACCAAGCGCGGGGAGAATGGAGGATTAAAAAATTTGCGTGCTCTGTTCCTCGCTGGAGAGCGTAGTGAGCCAAGTATCGTCACGATGTACGACGAGCTGGTAGGCAAGCACTGCGCTCCGAATGCTACCGTGATTGACAACTGGTGGTCATCGGAATCCGGATCGCCCATGACTTCACTTGCACTACTTCCTGGAACCGCACTCGACTTCAAGGATCGGAATTACTACAAACCATTACCCATCAAACCAGGTTCTGCAGGCAAGCCCGTGCCAGGTTTCGACGTACGCGTGGTAGACGACGATGGCAAACCGATTCCGAACGAGAGCATGGGCAACATCGTACTGGGAATGCCATTAGCTCCGACAGGCCTCACAACCCTCTGGCAAGACGAAGACAGATTCTACCGTGGCTACCTCAAGCGTTTCGACGGAAAGTGGGTCGACACTGGTGATGCAGGCATGATAGATGCAGATGGTTACGTGCACGTTATGAGCCGAGCAGACGATATCATCAACGTTGCAGCACACCGTCTCTCCACAGGTGCCATCGAGCAGGCAATCTCTTCACATCCCGACATCACAGAGGCTGCAGTCGTTGGATTTCCAGATGCCATGAAGGGCCATGTTCCCTTTGCATTCATCGCAATCGCCAATCCGCCTGAAGGTCTCCTCAAAGATCTCAATGCGAAGTTGAGACATCACATTGGGCCGATTGCTAGCCTGGCAGGCTTCATCGCTGCGCCTGGTATAATTCCAAAGACTCGCTCTGGCARGACGCTCCGACGCTGTCTGAAAGAGATTCTTGAGCATGCAGTGGAAGGAGATTTTGATAAGGATGTGGTGTACCCCGCCACTATCGAGGATGCCAGCGTGGTTGAGAAGGCCAAGGCTGCCGTGAAGGAATACTTTCTGAATGGTGAGGGCTCAAAGCTCAAGGCCAAACTCTGAGCACGTTTGGTGAAGCTGTCGATCTGTGGGTCGATACTCTCAATATGTACGTAACAATGAAATGTTTGTACAGTCATGAAAAGACAAATGGAACATGGGCGGGATGTTGAAAGTGCTAAAACACCACGACCAAGGCTGTCTGACAGGGGTATAGATTTCAAGAACAGGAGTATCATTTTCGTGATTCGCTAAAACATATTCGCTCGCTTGAACGCAAGAGAGTGGCGTTCCCTTCTGTTCCAAAAGAACGTCAACCCAGAAATTGAAGCGTAACTCGTAAACCCATTCGTCATTCTCAACAAACATCATTCAAACTCCTTCTATCCCAATCACTTGAAGTAGTCTTCCCCACCGCTCATCATCGCAGTCGGGCAGTCCGTACCGAGCCCGCTGTCGCTAGGCGGAGCATAGAGTGCCTTCATAACCTTCGGTGGTGGCTCCAGGCTCTGCAGAACGGCCGCCGTCTCATCTTCCGTCTCATCCCCCCTCTCRGCACCAGACTCTGCCTCTTCGAACTCCTCATCAATGGTACCATTGTTAGTGGCAGTCTCCGCACCAAGGACCCCAGCCGCAGAATCGCTGTTGATGCTCGTACGACCATCAACATCACTGCCGGTCATGTAGCTTCCACTCAGATAACTGCTACGGGTATCGTACGTCATGTCACTGGGCGCGTAGCTCATACGCTGGGCATCATCCGGTGTTTCGCCGTCTTCGAGGTAGCTGCCGGTAGCGAATGTGCTCGTGCCAGAGAGATGGCTCATGCGTCGATCGACGGTACCGGCCTCGCTGATACTCGGTGAAGCAAGATCCTCGTCTTCCTCGGACAAAGTCTCGTTCTCCTTGTTTTGGACCGTACCGCTGACCTTGCGCTTTGCTCCTGCCCAGGACGGCTTACGCTGCAGGAAGTTCGTCTTGACTGAGTGGCTACGCTTGACGGTGTTCRACCCAGACAACAGACTAGCCTTGGTCTCAGCAGGAGGTGCAGCGAAGGCGTGCGCACCTGTCGGTACATTGTGCGCAATTTGGTTGAGCGACATAATACGACGCTCAGTCGTGTTGCTCGCAGGTCCGTTCCGCTGAAGGTTCGGCCTCGACTTCATTGCCAGGTTGTGAGCATTCTTGAGGGCTGGCACAGAGGATGTGACAGTATGCGCAGAGGTGGCAGACGCTGTGCTGGGGACCCGAAGATCGCGCCCGACATGAGGCTTCTTCTTGGGCGAAGGGGCCTTTGGTGCGGCCCTGGACAGGAGCAGCATGCGCGATTGGCTCATCACGCCCTCAAGCATGCGGCGCTCAATTGCAAGTGCCTTGCTGTCCATGGCATGGAGCTCATCGCGGCGAATGTGCAGCGCGGTCTCCATCGATGACACTTCGGCGTTCAAACGGGATTTTTGGGCTGCAAGAGCCTCCCTCTCGGCTTTGAGTGCATTAACAGCAGTCTGCAAAGATTCCCTCTCCTCGTTCAATACAGTGATGTCGGCTTCGATTTGGTCCTTGCGCTCCAGACGACGCTCAAGGAGTAATGCAATCTCCTCGGCCTCCTTCTCTTTGGCCTCGTGGTCGGCGGTAATTTGTCTGTTTTGAGCAGACACGAAGGCGGAGACCTCAGCAGCAGTGGCCATGACCTTTTCATGGATTTGATCAAGACGCTCGATTTGTGTTGAGCGGTCAGATGCCTCCTCGACGTGGCCCATCAGCTTGTCAAGCTTCTCGTGAACCGCAGTATCGTCGTACTTCTCTGCAGCGGGGGCAGGATCGATAGAAGCGGGCATGAGCGCCGGGAGTGTTGTCTTCAGTTCCTCGTGATGAGATCTGAGACCTTCCGTGTGCGCCTCTGCCTGAGCTTTGCTGTCTTGGAAGCCGGCCTTGAGTGCTTCTTGCATGTCCTTGACTGCCTGGGCATGCTCGGCAGCAGTCTCTGTGGCCTTTTGCGAGTGATCATAGTGTATGTTGATCAATGCACGGACTTCCTCAAGCGTCACCATGAAGCGTGGATTGTGCTCGGACATGTCGCCCTGGACAAGATCAACAGCGGCAAGGACCTTTGCAACTTCCTCTCGAGTTGCAAGGTGTTCGCTCTTGATACTCTCGCCGGTCTCTTCCAACCGAGCGTGGGTTTCAACAGCCTGGGTGAAGACGGTCTTCGATTCTTCAGCCATCCTCTCCATGGTGGCAGGAAGGTCGCCCATAAAAGAGGTCATGGTGCTGCCCAGAGTATCGATAGACAGCTTCAGGTCATCTGCCATGGCTTTGGTGCTGGTCAGCAATTCTTCCTGCTGAGTGGTCTTGTCTTCCATTGCCTTTGCGTTCTCCTCTGCAGCATGTTGAGCATCATCGTACTTGCTCATCAGGATATCAAAGTGACTGTCAAGTTTGTCCTTCAACTCGCCAATGATGGTATCCTTGTGCTCGGAATGCTTCTCAAGGGCAGACTCTGCAGACTGTGCATTGTCCACCTTGATCGCCTCCAGAGAATCGTGTGCACGCTCGAACTCTTCTTTGACCTTCTCCATGACCTCCCTGACCTCGTCGATGACACTCTCGTTGCCAGATTTATCTTCGAGACTCTTCAGGGTCTCGCCGAAAGTGCTGATGGTTAGCTCGCCATCGCCGAGCTTCTCGATCAACTCGGCCTTGACCTCGTCGATGAGGGACTTCACCTCGCCGATTTGTGTGATAGTGTCATCAAACTCCTGCTTGCGGTCGTCAAAGGCTTTGGCGGTCACAGCGATGTCGGTCTCGTAGCTGTCTCTCATCTTGTCATGGCTCTCCCGGAAGTCGGTGATGAGCCCTTGCAGCTGCTCAATGTCCGACTTGGATGGCACAGCCTCGGGATCAGGCAAGATCATCTCGCCCACGCGCTCCTTGATCTCCGTGCAGAGCACGCCTAGAACATCCAGGTCCGCCTTGGTCATGACTTCTGGAGCATCCGCCGCCTCCGCCTCCTCAGCTTTCTCGGCTGTCTTGGCCTTCAAATCCTCCATGAGTGTCTTGATGTCTTGAGCAAGCACTTCGACAACCGCAACGTCCGCCTTTGATGCAGMGGAGTTCTCAAATTTCTCGGCGAGACTCTCCATTGCTTCGTTGGTTAGCCGCACGACAGCTTRAACTTCATCCAGGTGCTCCTTGGTGACTGCGGTCTCGGGGTCTGGTAGTGCCAAGTCCTCGAGGTGAGATTTGGTGTTGCGTAAGAGTGTTTCGATAGCATCAGTGTCCTCCTTCCGGGCGGCGCCCTCTGGAGATCGCTCGTCCTTGGCAGCCATGACAGACTCCTGCAGCTCCCGAAGCATATTCTCCATGACCACCAGGTCAGCCTTCACAGCGGTGTCTTCCGAAGCTTGTGGAGGCTGCCCATGGCCTGGCATGTCTTGGATTGTATGATCCATAGCCTCAATCTTGATCTGTAGCTGGGCAAGCAGGACCTCAACTTTTTCAAAATCGGTGCGGCTGATGCCAGCGCCGGTAGACGCAGCAGMAGCAGGAGAATCGGCAGCAAGCTCGCGGGTGGCATCGCCAGACGCTGCTCCATCCGACAAAACGACCATGCCGCCTTCGGAGGTGGTAGGTCTAACAGTTTTGAGGGTCTCCATATCGGACCGCAGACTAGCCAAACCATCCTTGAGTGTGTCAAGAATCTCATAATTGACAGTCATGTCAAGAGGTTTGTCAGGCTGACTCTCAAGTGTCTTGAGAACGTCAGTTCGCAGGGTTTCGAGATGCTCATTCAAAGCATCGAGCACTTGGCCCTGGTGAGAGATGATGCTTTCAGGGTTGTCGAGCTTCTTTTCGAGATGAGAACGTAAATCGTCCAGACCGAGACGAACGGCATCCAAGACTTCTTCGTTGGAGCCTGCATGGATGGCGCTGCTAGCAATGGACGTGCGGAGGTTTTCGAACTCGCCGCGGATGGCTTCCAGCTGTTCGTCCGAAATGCCAGTACCAGCCCCCTTGGAAGTTGACTCCTTGACCTCCTCGATACTCGCACGAATGGCTTGAAGAGCCTCGACATGGTCACCAGGGCCACCAACGACGAGAGAGCTACCAAGAGATTCTTTGAATGCCTCTAGCTCTTCTTTGATGGCGCCCAGGGATTCGGCTGACTGTTCGCTCTGATCTCCAGCAAGCTGTGTTCTTAGATCCTCCAGAGAGTGACGAAGCTCGGAGACAATTGCGTCCTTGTCAACTTCGCCAACCATGGCATGAATGGACTCTTTGAGCGCAGCGAGCTCTTCGCGAAGGGTGTGGTGAATCTCGTCAAAGCCTCCAGAGGACAAGCCGGACAGCTCACTGCCGTTTAACTTCGAGTGCAACGCACCCATACTATCCTGGATGGTCTCAATGAGCTCGTTCTTGTCGGCAGAGTTCGCATTGAGGATAGCTCCCTTCAGCTGTTCGAATTCTTCTCGCATGGCCTCATTCAGGTCGTCGTTCTCGCGCGAGTCTTCGCTGCGGCTCTCCAGATGCGCTTTGAGATCATCCATGCCCTCCTTCAAAGCAAAGATGACAGCAGTGTGACTGTCAGCATCTGACGCGTCAACATCGCGCGAACTCTCGCGGGTGCTGATGGCCTCGTGGAGATGCTCAAACTCGGACTTGATATATTCAAGCATTTCCGTCTTGCCGTTATCTTCGAGCGGGCCCTGTGCGCAGTAGCCTTGGACGTCCTGCCGAAGCTGCTCAAGACCCATCTTGACGGAATCAACAATCTCGTCCTTGCCAGTCACATCTTGTGCTTTGTCGACATACGTCTCCACGTCGGAGCGTAGACGATCGAGACCGTCATTCACGGCGTCGAGAACCTGCTCAGTATCCCGACCATTGGCGGCAGAATATTCCTTGAACTCCTCACGCATGCCCTCGATGAGCTCCTGCATCTGTCTCAGTACCTGCTCGCCCAAGCCACCGAAAGGAATCGCGGATACATCCAGACTAGCCTTGACAGCGTCAAAAAGATCATCTCTACTGATCTCGAGCTCTCGAGGTGCGGAAGGCCCGTGGTTCTCCATGCCTGCCTTGACAGCGTCGAAGATGGCAGCATGCATCGCCTCCGGGTCCATTGCAGCTTCAGAGGGAGCAGGGCGGAATTGCTCCAATGCTAGTCGAACATTGCCGATGAGTTCCTCCTTGAGATCGTCCAGTTGTTCGGCTGGGTATGGTGCCTGGAAGTCTTTGAGAGCTTCCTGCATGACCTCGAAGATCTCGCCCTTGTCGATACTGGCTGGTCCTGGCTCCACCCGACTGCTTTGATAGTCTTCCAGGCCCTCCTTGAGAACTGCCAAGATCTCGTCCCGCTCCAGGCCGAATTGTTGAAGCTCAATGTTTGGCTCAAACTCTTTCAGACCCTCCTTCACGGCATCCAGCACGCCCTCTTTATCAAGGCTTGGTGGCTGTGCTTCGCTGCCCACGGTATTGCTGTGCTCTGCAAGCGCGTGCTTAACGACGGAAAGCATCTCATCGCCATTGGGACCAGACCGGGCAGTTGAGATCTGCCTGAAGGATTCGTCATCCTGTTCCGCCCTCTCCTTGAGAACAGAGGACATTTGATGTTTCAGCTCCGCAAGACCTTCCTCGACGATCCGCTGCACTTCTTCGAGATGCTCCGTATCACGCCCGTCATGGATTGAACGATCCAAGGTCGTGCTCAGCTGAGTCTCACCAATCTGATCGAGCTTCTTGCCCAACTCTCTACCCATTCCAAGAACCTCACCTCGAAGATCCCGGACCAAGCCCTTGACTTCTGAGGTGGTACCGCCAGAGTGGGAGATAGAGTCCTTGATGCGCTGGAGAAGTCTCATAATCTCTGCCTCGCCAGCCGGATTAATCTGCTGGGCGTTGCCGTTTCCATCATGCTTCGCTTCGCGCGGCGCATCAAAGTTCAATTCCAGGTGTGGTGGGCCTCCTTCCGGAACGTGAACAAGAGCCTGAGATTGTGATTTGGACTTGATGAACTCAGAAAGCTCCTCCACCTTCTTAGCCGCGTCGAAGTTGTCCTTGCGACTCTTCTCGAGCAGTTCAGCAAGAGTGGACTGTAGGCGCTCCTGGCCTTCCTTGGTCACCATCTCACGAATGATTTTCTCCAGCATAGCCACACTGGCAGCACCTTCAACGGAGTAGGGCGAAGGCGATCCACATCGAGGCTCCTCCATGAAACTGTGGGCGCTTTGCGCACGAGGAAAGTTGTACGACTTGCTCGCGGACGGAGGTGAGCTGAAGACGTTGCTGTCCACATGCTGAGTGCTGTAGGATTGTCTCCGGGTACTGCTACCTGGGATGGGAGGTGGAGGGCCCAGAAGATGGCTCGAAGTGACAGAACCAGCAAGGTCACGCAGACTCTTCCGAATGTCTTCATCGCGTGAGGTTGTGGCCTCCTTGAGGGTGAGCAGGTCGGTCGCATTGTCCTTGCTTCGCCTGCTGAGCTGAGCCATTTCCTTTTGAAGATTTGTCGCAATGGTAGTGATGTTCAGCAACTGACTAGAGAAGTCATATTGGGTATGGACTCGTGGAGTGCCGCCTGGTGTGCTTGGACGATTTGTAATGTCCGCCAGCGGTGGCTCTGGTACTTGCATGTTCTGCAGCGCCAGCATAGTTGCTGATGGAGGAGTGTTCTCCCCAAGAATGGCTTTGGGAGGCTGACGAGATGACGGTCGAAGTGAAGGCGTATCCTTGAACACGTCGCGCTCGCCTTGTGTAGGAGTGGTTGACCGATCAATTGGAGAAGATGGGAGTTCATCGAAGCTGCTCATACGGCTGTATTGCATATGCGTACCTCTGGAAGAGGGTCTCTCCGGTGACCGCTCTGGAGAGCGGTTGTTGTCGAGATAATTCCTCAGATCCTTTACATTTCCCGTCTGCAAAGACTGCATGCGCTTGTGAATTCCACCTTTGACAAGTGACCGCTCGGGGAGTGCCGTAGAGTTCGACGTGTATGATGATAGCGGAGCAGACTCGCGCGCACTCTCGACAATCTTCTTCGCAGCCGCGGCAATACCAGCGGAGGTGTTGGCCTTGGTCGTGGGGCTCCCGTGGTTTGGTGCTAGAGGGAGCGGCGGCGGTGCGCGGTCTGGGTCGGAGCTATCCCACCTGTTGAAGAGTCTCGTCAGTATGGCCATTCTGCTTCATGTTGCGCCGACATCTACCGCGCACCAAGTCTGCTTGTTCGCAAACACATGGTACTCACATGGGGATGCTCGCGCGTCCATTGCTACTCTCGGACCTGGAATGCTGATGGAAGGCACCCGAGTCTCGGCGGTCGCGAGATCCTTCTCTCTCAGATCCCGACATGTAGCCCGACATGGCGGATGTTGTGTGTATGCGATGGCTAACTGGAGCCGAGATTGCTGGAATGCTGTCTGCTTTTAGTTCGCGCCGCAGAAGGCGAACACCTGCATAGTAGTCCTGCCAGATACAAGAGGTGCTGATCAGGGTTTCGTGATATGATGCGAGCGATTATCAGTGAAAGACGATGCGATTGTGGAAATCTGGTTGCGGTTGCGGGACGTTGTTGATGGTTGATGATGAGCTCTCCACATAAATCCGAACGCGAATTGTTTACCTACAATCAATCGACCTGACAACCCGGAGAACCTGGTCCGAGCGTGGAGGATCAACACAGCGACCAGTGACCTCACTCTCTTGGACACCGCTGTTCACATTGGACATGCTCATGTGCCTCTCTGAGGGCGTTTGCATCGCATTGCCACGGTCGTAGCCTGTCGAGATCCAGGTCTCTCGACACTTTCCCGCTGTTTTCCGGAAAAGAGTATACTCCGACATGAGATGTGATGCATGTCAGATCTTTCGTCCAGGCAACAAAGCCCGACGATGGCGCATTGCTTCGATGGCGGTGTGCAAGGATATACAGCGAATGAGCCATTGTTCACCGTGGGTCTTTTCAAGCTGCTTGAGAGCTTGAATCACAAGACTGTTTTGTGGGAAAAATACCGTGTACTTATAGATTGAGAAATTGGCCTGGACATTGTGACATTGTAGGAAGCTTGCAGCACAATACAATGTTCGACGGGAACCCAGGCTGGCATGTGAATGTAGATGCTAGGTATTGAACTTGATCAACCTAGTTGGTTCTTTCCAAGTCTCGTAGCTATACGTGCATGTGACATCAAAGAAATGAGTGTAGTATTGGCAGGCAAGGACATGCTGCCGCGCTGGGTTCGATTCATCGCTGCATATCATGAACACAATCTTGTAATATCAAAGGTGGGCAATCAAGCATCTCCGGTCATCTTACAGGGCAGTGTTGAAGCGACACCAGGTTGACAGCGGAAGAGAACCACGGCCATGGCTTGCAAACACATCGACGATGAAGCGATATCTCGACCGAGATTTATCAGGTACAAAACCCAGTGAGATCCTGGTACTTACACTATAGCAAGCATGATATTTTACGACTTAGGAACCTGTGGCGCGCACAGAGACTGGCATGCTCGAGACGGTATGAATTCGTCAGCAAAGTTGAACCTCACACAGGCTGAAAGTACTTGGAATCGAGTTAATGCTTAAATAGTGCCGTAAAATGGGCCGACATCCACCAGAAGTGGGTATTAGGGGCTTGCTCTCAGACCCAATCCGAGCAGTATTCCTCYAGATTTGTACATGGATCGTCCATATCRGAAGAAGGAGCAGCGGAAGGTGCTCCAGGACAGCACAAGCGACAGCGATTGGATCGATCGGAAGTGTTCCTCGTTCGACATCGTGACCCACCATCTGCCTCGTGAAGAGCAATTTCGAAAGTCGTCAGGAATGGCTGTTTCAAGGGTCATTTGTGGCAGATATCTAGGCTGCCTATCGAGTGCTCATTCCTAGACCACATTTTGCTGCAGTCCTTAACGCCCATGCATAATGCACACCCTGCTCCAGACCTCCCGTACGAAATTCGCATCTAGAATCCTGTTCCACTAGTTAGCACCACTTTCACGCCTTGCCATGTCCGCCTCCGATTCAATTGTACGTACGTAGTGGGGTGAAGAACCACCTGTTCTTTCCGCTAACGTAGCGCTCTTCCAGAGCCTTCTTGACAGTCTTCTTTGCCTCCTCGCGCTGAGTGATCTCGGTGAAGGTCTCGTTGGTGACAACACCCTTCAAGCCCTCGAGCTCGAGAGTGTAGCGTGTGGGCATCAAGTGGTTGTAGTTGATGACCTTGATGAAAGGCTTGACCTTGCTGCGCTTGCTCTGTCGGGCCTTGCTCATGCGGCGGGTGATTTGCTGTGGGTAGCGCTCAATTCCGGCGACGAGAGCGTGAGGGAACGGGTGGGCCTTGCTGCCATTGTCCTGAGGCTGGACGATCACGACCTTCTTTCCGGCATAGCGACCACGCGAGATGATGGCCTGGTAGGAGTGCGTTAGTCGGTCTGTGGGAGGTTTCGATTGGAGAGTTGCTCGATGTGCGCGCGACGTACCACACGGCCGACCTTGAGGACTGTAATAATTGTCAGTAGAGTCTCACATGAAATGTAGGAGCGATACATACACTTCATCTCTGCTGTTCTTGAGGTTAGTATCTGGTGAAGTCGGACTTCGCGGTGATCGAGGGAATTCGAAGTGTCGTGGCTGCCTGCCAAGCACGAGTTTGATTTTCGCTGACGGAATTACCCGGCTGCCCGCACAAGTGGATTTCTCTCATCTCCAACTTCTGCTTTCTTCGACACGGTCGACGCACCACTTCAGCCAACAACACAGTCAAGATGGGTGTAAGTGGATAGCGACACGGAAGTTGGAAGTGCTTGAGAGGGATTGCGCATTTTTGGGGATATCTGTGGGCAGACGGAACAACTCTGCGCTCGCAGATGGGACTTGCACAAATTTCCTCAAGACACACGACTTCATATCAGTCCTATGGCGTCGAGAAAAGTTGCTGACGAGACTATCAGATCGATCTGAACGCCCACCACGTCAAGAGCGGCCACCGCAAGGTATATACCTACTTCAGCAGAGTCCTCGTTTGAGTTGAACCTGCGAGTCTAACGCATGCGTTAGGCGCCTRCCAGCACGAACCCTTACCGCAAGATTCTGCACAAGCTGTACGAATTCTTGAACCGTCGCACGGAGAGCAAGTTCAATGCCACCGTCTTGAGGAGGTGCGTACATGGGGATACAGAAAGATGAGGACATGGAAGGAATGGCCACTCTAACCAAGGACAGACTGCGTATGTCGCGCATCAACACCCCACCGATGTCTCTCTCCAAGATTGTCGCCGTCTCGGCCAACGAGCACGCCGCCAAGGTCCACGAGGGCAAGATCCGCGCTGTCGTCGGTACCGTCACCGATGACAACCGCCTCCTTGAGCTGCCCAAGCTCAGCATCTGCGCGCTCAAGTTCACCGCCACTGCCCGTGCTCGCATTGAGAAGGCCGGTGGTGAGGCCATCACTTTCGACCAGCTCGCCCTCCGCGCACCAACTGGTGCCAACGTCATCCTCCTCCGCGGTCCCAAGAACGCTCGTGAGGCTGTCAAGCACTTCGGCTTTGGACCCCACTCCAACAAGGCAAGTGCTGTCATTTATATATCTGTGTTGRGATGCATTCGACTAACTCCCACACAGAAGCCAAAGATCGAGAGCAAGGGTCGCAAGTTCGAGCGTGCGCGTGGTCGCAGACGGTCGCGTGGTTTCAAGGTTTAAGCGCCATATCTTCAWGGTATGGTGTGGCCTTGATTGTGGAAAAGTACAGGCGTTCTCAGGACTGGTTCGCTTGTCCCGTAGAGTGGACACGGCTGGAATGCTACCTGATGGTTCTTTAACGGCATGGCAAGGGCGAAGCACTCGGCGCTTCGAGGCTACGCAGTTTATGGAATGACAATCGTCTCATCACCAACATATCTCGGTCTACAGTATCCGAACAACTGCGCTCTCTCCGTGAATGTTTCCCCGGTAGTTACTGATACACTAGGGTCCCCTGCACCTACGCTGTGATAGTCGCCCGGTACGCCTCGGATGTGTTGTCGATGTCGTAACCGTAGTTGCGTACACGTGCAAATTGTCGCCTAGGTAAATAGAACAATTGTTGGCGGCTTCAATGTTTTCCGGGTTCCGTTTCTCGGTACCATAAGGTATGATTACAGTGCTCCCATTGCCTCGCCGTGGATTACATTTGCAAAGTTGGGATCTCCCAACACCATTTGAGAAAATTTCGTAGGTGACTAGGTAAAGCAAAACAAGACATTTTTGGCATTGAACAACAACCACAGCAGCAGAAGCTTTAACTCAAACAGCCACCAGAGACAACACCGCCATGGCATCAGAAAAGAGAGTTGGTGTCCTCGGAGGTGGTCAGCTCGGCCGCATGTTAGTCGAGGCCGCCAATCTGCTCGAGATCCAGGTCAACTTCCTAGATGCGCCCGGATCATCTGCAAAGCAGGTCTCTGCACACGACGGCCACGTCGATGGCTCATTCAAAGATCGCAATGCTATTCAGCAGCTGGCCGAAAAGTCCGACGTGATGACCATCGAAATTGAGCATGTCGATGTCGAGATGCTCGAGGAGCTTTCTTCGACTGTAGACATCCAACCTTCCTATCGAACCATCCGGACGATCCAGGATAAGTTCAACCAGAAATGGYATTTGACTAAACATGGAGTGGCAACCACGGAGAGTCTGGCTCTGGAGGAGTCCTCCTTTGCCGAGCTGGAGAGAGTGAGTAGCAAGCTCGGATTGCCATTGATGCTCAAGTCACGGAGAGAGGCGTATGACGGAAGAGGAAATTATGCAGTCAAGACAAAGACGGACTTCAAGTCAGCATTACAAGCACTGGGGAGACTGGACCTATACGCGGAGAAATGGTCAGACTTCAGAATGGAGCTTGCCGTCATGGTCGTCAAGACTGCGAACGGGGTGCTTTCTTTCCCAACTGTCGAGACGATTCATGAGAACAGCATCTGCAAGCTCACATATGCACCCGCACGAGGAGTTTCCGTGGAGCTCAACAAGAAAGCACAGGAGCTCGCGAAGTTGGCAGTGAGCCATTTCGAAGGCAAGGGTGTGTTTGGTGTGGAAATGTTCCTCCTCCGAGATGATACTCTTCTTGTCAACGAGATTGCACCACGACCACACAACTCCGGCCACTACACCATTGAAGCTTGCCCAGTGTCTCAATACGAAGCCCATCTTCGTGCTATCCTCGACCTACCTCTTTTCCAGGAAGACCTCGAACTCCGCGAGCCCTCTATCATGCTCAACATTCTCGGGGGCGAGGAGCCAGACTCCCACCTCGTGATCGCACGGGAAGCACTCAAGCATCGCCGAACCAAGATCCACCTGTACGGCAAGGGTGAAGCCCGTAAAGGTCGCAAGATGGGCCATATCACTGTCTGCGCGCCTACAATGTTCCAAGCCGAAAAGCTCATCCAGCCTATGATTGACTTTGTAGACAAAGACAAGCCCAAACTCCGCGACGTTGCCCTTTCCCCAGAAGACTCCGCCTCCGTCGAAGAAACCCCAGCCCCTCTGGTAGCAGTAGTAATGGGCTCCGACTCTGATCTCCCGGTTCTGCAACCGGGCCTCGCAATACTCCGGAAGTTCAACATCCCTTACACAACCCGCATAACCTCCGCCCACCGTACTCCATCCTTCATGGCCGAGTTCGCCAGCGCCGCTAAAGAAACCTCCATCAAAGTCATCATCGCCGCAGCAGGCGGCGCCGCACATCTCCCAGGAATGACAGCAGCATACACGCCCCTCCCAGTCATTGGTGTCCCTGTCAAACCCACCATTGGGGACGGGATGGATAGTCTCCTCAGCATTTGCAACATGCCTAAAGGCGTCCCCGTTGCGACCGTGAGTATCAACAACAGCACCAACGCTGCTCTCCTTGCCATTCGGATTCTCGGAGCCAGTGATTCGAGTATTCGAGCGTTGACCGAAAACTACATGAGAGAGAGCGAGAAGGAAGTCCGGGCCAAGGATGCAAAATTGGAACGATTGGGAGCAGACAAGTATGCGGAGGATGTTTTGGGAAGTAAGAATTGAACCCACGTGCCCTCTGCCGTTTGATGCACCCGACTGAGGTCTGATGTGCTCTTTTAATCACTTGACCTGTGAGCTCTGGGTGCTAAGGCTTTGTGTGGTGCAATAGGTCCGCCTGTGGTGCCGATGCCGATGACGACGACCATGATGAAGAGGCAGAGTTACATCACGCCGCCATCTACGCATTCTGAGCAATCTTTCCGATCTCAGCCTTCGTCGCCTGCGAGTTCCATTGGACGAAGACTTTCGCGCGTGTTGGTTTCTAGGAAGCATAGTATGGAGTCGGCAGTTTAGGTGGATGATATATGCATCACTTGTTGTTAATGGAGGAAAGAGTATAGTGGAGAGGTCATAGATCAATCGAGTAAAGTGGTATCCTGTCGCGAATATAAGTTTTCCATCCATCCATTCATTTCAGTTCGTTCCCTTCATCCCAAAACGTTGCGCCCGCTCGAAATCGCTCATTMGCTCGTAAGCGTATATACATATGTTGCATCTGAACTGAAGATGCGCGAACCTGTCGGACTCCGTAGGAATAAGTCATCCGCATTCATACTTCACACTTCTCCCCAGCCGCCGAGACCACTACTCATACCGGGCCCACTGGCCACACTGCCGAGACTCGGGCCTTCGCCGGCTCCGCCGAGATCCCAGTAATGCCTTGAGCTACCACTACGACTATGCCGACTACGCTTCGTACTTTGGCTGGCGCAAGAGCTGTCTCCCGATCGCTTCTGCACGAGGGATGCTTGGTGTCGTCTGAGGAGACTTTCGCGTTTGCGGCTGGCTTCTGCGGCGCGATCGGCGGCGCGGGAGACGAGAGGATGTTGTCGACGAATCACTTCTGCCCGACGAACGCTGTCTGGAGTGGCCGTTGAGGGCCCAGCAGTAGCCCACGATGCTGGGAGAATACTCGACTCGGATGGCAAGAGTGCGGGTGTTTCGGTTCCAGACAACCGGTTCTTGAGATAAGTAAAGACCATCTTCACATCGACATTCCTCTCCCAGTACTCGCGCTCCTTTTGTTGACGGGAGGCATCCTCATCGTTGGTTGGTTCCGGCTCCTCCTCGATACCCCACAGTGATGTATCTGTGGGCTCTGTCGCAGGTGTAAGAGGCGCTTGCGGTACGGTTGGCGTGAAGAGGCCTTCAGGAAGTCCATCGTTCTCAGCGCGCGCTTTCTCATTCCTTCTACGTTGGCGAAGAGATGGCTGATGTGGAATATCGCGCGGAAGAGGAGAATATTCGATGTGCTGCCCTTCGTTCTGTTTGTAGGTGTTGAAGGCTGAGCCGTCGTACTCAGCGAGCTGGTGAACGAGGATACCAAGTTCGCGGGCTATTCGGTCAACAAGCTTTGACTCCCAATTTGGCTCGGAGTCGTGAAAAGAGACCCGTGATTCACGCGACGCTGCTGCCGCGATTGGTGATGGTTGCTTGGGTGTAGGCGACTCATCTTCCACCAGCTGCTCGCCAAAGATGACCGACAATGTGGTATCATTCAGCCCAATAAGGTCTTGGATGACTTTGCGTGTGATCCTCCTCCAGAAAGACTCGCCTTGGGGTTGCTCGTCCTTGGGAGCATCGTCCAGCACAGCAGAGTCCTGGCGTGTCAAGATCTTCTCCAGCGCCGACTGATCCAGTGCAGGTCGCGCTTCCGTGCCATTGCTCATCCTACTCATGCGCCTGCGTTGCCGCCTTGTTTCCCTCTCAATCTCTTCCAGCACCGCCCGACTTTGGTCTAATCGCCACTTTTCGATCCGCGCAGTTCGTTCGTCATCTCTCACGTAATCTTGCTCCGTCTCTAGAGCATCGAGGCGCTTCTGCACGCTGCTCCGCCGGCGATGTTGCCTACTGCTGCGCCTGTTGTGCGGATTGTGTCGCTCAAACTGCCACAGTTGTTCCTGCAGACCTGCTGAGGATGGGAAGAAGGTTCCGAGGCCATCATGAGTGGGTAGTACTGCACCGCCGCTCTGATCGAGATTAGTCGATGAGGGAGAGAAAGGGTTGTGGAAAGCGAGCAGTCCATCGTCCAGACTGTCCAGTTCGGCGCCCTCTTCATCAAAGTCTGTCCCTAAACATGTACCGCTATCATCGTTGTCCTGGCTGCCCTGCGGCTGCGAGCGCACATGCGTCTCCAATGAGCCAAAGTTGGACGGTTGGGTGGCGGTGCGCGGCGTTCGTGACGTTGATAGCGATTGCACGTCATTTTGCGGTTGGAATAAGATCCATTCCTGCGACTCCTCTATCGCCCGCTCTCTCGACGGTGACTGGGGAACCTGTAGCTCGGGCTGTTGTTGGCGGGGCGCGGRGGCCTGCCGTTTAAGCTGGGGTTGCTGCTGTTGGAAGGCCATGTCGTGTTTGGCGGCGGTACCGCCGAAAGGATGGAGATGGAGATTGAGGATGGAAAATACCAACAATCGGAGAGGAATGGAATGGATTGGCCTTTCGAGGCCGCTCGTCCGTAGCGTGCAGCAGGTTGTGTGGTGAAACAGGAGGACTAAGGTTGACTAGGAGCGAGAGCTGTGCAAGCGTAATGGACCTCTGACCTTGGTGATAAGATCGGGATGGCGCGATAAGGCGAAACCGGCGACGTCGGAGCTGTCTCCTGTCCTTCTCTTCCTCTTACAACTATAATAGACAATGAGCAGTGATGAATGGCGTCGGTATTGTCGTCGTCCCGCGTGAATACGGAGAGTGAGGTYAGAGTCGGTGGCGACGTGTGCATCCACTCGCCAGACGGCTCGCTCGTGCGATCAGACGACCTTTTCCTCTGCGCCGCGAGCTGGAACGCAGGAATCAGCTGCCGGCGGAAGCTAAATTCCTGGGGAGGTGGGACGCTTCGCTCGCAAAGGCTGCGTCGGGTTGCGACGTATCGTTCCAACAGGCGTCGATGAATGCGCCGAGTCACGGCCCTGATGATTTGATTGATGGGCGGTGTCGATGCTGGAATTAGGTACCTTATTGGCGACGCAAGCGGAGTCCAGATTGAAGCTCCTTCTTTGATGATTTGCGGTAAGTTAACCCGCAGGAGAGAAACGACGACGACAAGATCAACAGCGATACAGCGTTGAGTCTGCGAAAGGCCGACAGATATACATGGCAGACGAGTCACAGATATCATCATTTCTTATCTCAGAAATTATCACCGACCACGGCAGGCTCATCTTCGCGACACCAGCTGCAAGGACCAAAATGCATCCCTCCCGATCCCATGTACCCAAGTACCTGCTCCTTGTCGCACGCACGCTCCCTGATTCCTGAAACACTCTCCGAGTCTGCTGGCCTTTTCCTCAAATGACGCCGGCCTTGCGTCAACTAACGACTTTCGCACGCCGTTGTATACCATTCCTACGGCCTGATGTCGGGACGGAATACTTCGACGAGACACCTGACGGCGAGATGGGTCYACAAAGGCTGTTCATCGGACGGACAGATACTTGATCATGATTGCCTGGTTCCTTCCGATGCCTCCCATGACAAACCACCAAATCGTCCTTAGGAGCTGACATGGCCCTGATTGGCAGACAGGATCAGTGGACAGCAGGCCTGACCTTTCCCTGCTGAATATCCCGAAACATCTTACGAATCGAACGTCTGGAATTGTTCTCCCGCTTTGTCATGAACTGGCGGAATGAAGCTCTTGCGGCCCTGCCCGGTTCAAGCTTTGAGTTCAAGGTTGTTGTGTAGCTTCATCCATGGATTCGCGCCCATATCTTGAGGAGTACATCCTGCTCCTGCGAAATCTTGCTCTGAAGGTGTCTGTGAGGCACATCCGGTGAAGACCACCCATAAACCGACATGTGTCTAGACCAAAAAGTGATGGCCAACGCGGGACTATCAATCCATCCCGTGCATCAGCTTCCAGATTGACTTTATCTTGTTCGATCGAAGGATGCGGCAATTGGTCGCCACCCTCGCCGAGGCTCGCTCTCCACCACGCTGTCTTAGTAACCTTGAGGAATGTAACAAACATATATCGCGACGGAGACGAAGATGTTGAACAACAATAAAAGCCCTTTTAGCTATCTGGTACTGTCGAGAGCCACGTCCACTGCAGCACATCGACAATGACACAAGAACCTGAAAACGATGAGGCCAGCCGTGCCGCAGCAGCAGAACTTGAGCGTCTATCAATCCAGGGCATCGCCGCTGTCAACGATGCGGACTGGCAGTACAACAAGACGCGCGAAGCGAAAGAGTCCCGAGAGCACATATCTGAAGACTTTCGACTAGTATCGCCGGACAATAAACTTCTCAACTGGGACCAAGCGGTCACGCAATGGAGGGAAAAGTACGAGCGATGGCCAGGAATGTATGTCGTTGTCACGCACATCTCTTCCGATGTGCAGTTGGGCAGGGGAAAGGCCTCGGTGCACGTTCAAAGCAATGTTGTTGGAGCGGGAACTAGCGTCACTTTTACGTGGTTGTCCCAGAGATTGTGGCGAATAGATGCGAAGAGTGGGAAGTGGATGTGCTATGAGATGTCTGGTATGCGAGGGACCCAGAGTCTTGTGGGATTTGTGTGAAGTGAGTCGATTTGGAGTGAGTGGGTCGGAATAAGAGCAATGTTGCCATAGTGCTGACTTGCCATGCAGGTAAACCACGGGAAATTTGGTACTGTACATATCGCATTATCGATCACTGGAGAGACCGCCGGTCCAGTCAACAGCGGTATGCATATCGTCACGCCGACAATAGCTGCCTAGACCCTCGGACATTTCATGGTCCAAAGTTCTACTTGTTTCCGGGCTTCCGCAAGACAACCGCAACAGTTCCGGTACCTGCCTTTCACTCGTTCACCATGCATGGCCAGCACGAGCACCGCCACGGATCCGAACACTTCTTCGGCTTTCAAAATCTAGTACAATCTTTACAAACAATGCCAATGGTTCGATTCTCGGCGAAGATCCTTCCAAGACGGGAGAATGCCACGATCAGCTGGGATGTCCCTTGGAGTACTCCTGGCAAAGTCAGATGTCGCGATCACGTCTTACAGGACCYCGGTTTTCCCCTGGATGTGAACACGTGCGTAGCACGCTCTATTTCATCCTCAGAGCTCAATCTCAAGCTGATGATGAAGGATGCGTGCAGAACTCGGTTCGAGTACGGTCTCTCGACGGCTGCAACAGCTATCGCTTGTGGATTGTAGCAGCCTTCTTACATTGGAGCTACATGTCTGGCTCGGATGGTTCGGTGAATATACAACGCTGGTCTAGTGCACATACAACACTGTCGCTAACAGCGACATGCGAACTCATCATGTTAGGGACAGCCGTCCCCAAGAAGTAAGCGAGTGGTGTCCGCCATAGTAGACACAATATGCTTACTCACTTGATGCACATGCATATTTGGCGCATCATACATCAAATGCTTCTTTTGCGCTTATGCATAGCAGCAGTATCTTTCTCGCTCCAAGCACCCTTCGTTGGCAAATCTCTTGAAACAGTTCGATGACGGCTCGGCTTATCAGCCTCTCAGGCGAAGATGGTATCTCAAGAACGTGGGCTCACATGCGCCCAGATGATCAAAAAATGGACTCCTAACAAATTCCTGCGAGTCGTCGGGCATGTTCCTCTGGACCAATATCCGCAAGCTTCGCATCAAAGTTGAGTTCTTCAACGTGCCAATTCTCTACCAAATGACGATTCAAGGGAGACAATTCTGTCTCACGCAACGGGAACATCACAAAATCAACAGCCTCGTACTCATCTGTATACCGACATCCGAGAAGCACGCCCTCTTTGCGCAATCTCGCCTCTCGCGCCCGCTTGGCTAGATAAGAATCTGGACGATGTATACGAGCCGATCTACATATAAACTTTTGCACACGCTCCTCTAACCACGAACTCGCATCTTGGCGTAGGATCTCCCGTCCAAGACCACTCAATCATCTGCGGGAGGGACGCCTAGAACATTGCCTCTAACTCCAAACGGACAGAAGCTCTCGTATGGAGTCATTATGCCATAATGACAAAGTCGCATCTCACTCCATTATGAAGTAAATAGAAATCAATATCCCACGGAACAAAGCGACCCCTCTTCGAACCTCCTGCACATACACTCAGTCCAACCATACCACAGCATACCACAACAATCATCAAGAATGAGAATCCTCACACTCATAACCGCTCTCCTGGTCTCCACACCCACGACTCTAGCAGCCCTCTGCACAGCCTCTGGTCTCCTGGGACTCGGCTCCACCTCTCCCTCTTACAATGGCCAGTTCTACCTCCGAGCCCGTTCGGCCTCCAACGTCGTCCGAACCATCATAACATCACCACCAGATGCCTCCGCCTACTCCCCTTTAGCGCTCGGAGCAGCAAACACGCAACCGTCCTCGGCCGCTGTCCCGAAATTCACATTAGATGCCAATCGCGTGCTGGTTCCCATCGATGGGAATATATTGGTTACGAAAGAAGAGGGGTTGTTGACGCCTCAGCCTCTCTACCTTGCGGCAAATGGGCTGGGGAAGGAGGCGCAAGTGCAGGCTGTGAATGTCAAGTKTGATGGGATTGAGAGGACTGTTTTGAGATTTACGGACTCGCCGGTTGGGGCGCTTGGAAGTGCAACTACGAATGAGACTTTTGCGGCCGGGGCAGGGATTTCGAGTCCGATTCTTGGTGGGCTGTTGAGTGAGTTGTGTCCTGGAACTATGTCTGGGTTCGGCGATTGTGACTGACATGTACGATTTCTAGCGCTGGGAGCTCCGATTGATTTGCTGATGTTGCCCTTTACGCCACGGGCGTGATTCTCTTTGGCTGGAGTGGTGTGTGTCTGGGAGAGATGAAAGGAGAACTTACAGCATTATGTTAACGATCAACGAATTAGCGACGCATGATTTTCTTTCTCCAGATGCGGAGAGTATTCCAATTTACCAGCCTCCCTGTCATGATTTTTCATACCAAGGTCGATGAATTGCCAGGTAAGGAACATGAAGACACAAAGAAGAAGCAAGCCATGAACGTCTACGTCAAACGAGTTCTGGAAATCAAAGTAGACTGTTCTAAGACGAGTAGGGTTTGAAAGGCTATTGTTAGCTTTGCGTGACTTGCGAAAGAGACTGTTCATCCTTTGAGATTCCTCATGACTACCTTATTTGGGCTCTGGCGAGATGTTGTTGTTCTCTATCTAGGCCAGGGGAACGAATCGGATGTTTTGGAAGTTGTGGAAGAGTTTCTCGATGTTTACGAGGATGAGAGAGGTAGCGGAGCGGGAAGTGTGGGAGCCTTGGACTACCTGAGCTTTAGGTAGGGTCTCAGAGGAGTGAGGGCCGGTCAAATTGAAGGTTGCCGGCTCTACTTGCAGTGAATCGACGACAACGCTCGCTAACGGGTAGCTGTAAGCACGGAAACAAGTAGCCTTGCGGAGAGGGGTCTTCTCATTCGTGTTATAATCGTTGCGGAGAGTGGAAGGTCTCCAAGTGCTACAGGTAGGGCGGCAATCTTCAATTTCAACAGCCCTGAGAGCAGGCATCAAGGACGTTCCCACCCCTTGATTTGAATGTACGATTGAGAGAGCTCAAGGTTGATTTGCCGGGTGCAGCGTCGCCCACATCTGCCTCTTGGGCGGCGGTACGGCTCTGACGACCCAGTAGGTATCGTGCTGGCGCCTGATGCTGCCTTTGAAATGACCTAAAGCCTCCTCCTCGTAAGTCGTGAAGCTTGCGGATTGTTTTCGTCCCATTTCATCTTGCACATTCAGGACACTGACATCCCGCTCTTCCTCAAAATTCACTGCAACATGGTATTATCAACTAACGACGACCATGTCGACTAGATCGGCCACGCCCGCCGTGCAGTGCGCCTGCTGAAAGAGGGCGTCCGCGAGATGGTGGGGGCTTCGGCTGTTTACAAGGTGCAACTCCCTCAAAGCGGACCGTTTTTCGGAACAGACCGAGTCCAGAAGGAGGTAGACATGAAGAAGAAGGCGAAGAAGAAGAGGCCGATGGGCAAAACGAAGAAGACGAAGAAGACAAAGAGGAGAATGATGTCAAGCTCTCCGCATGGTTGTTTGGCCGTCACGACAGGATGCCCTGTCCGTGGCCGCGGTCCGTACCCTAGCGGCAGGAGTGGGCGTTTCATCTGACAAGTGCCGACACGCTTAGTTTTCGCTTGTTCTCGCCTCGAGTCTTGTCGATGGTTCTAAACCAACCAAGCGTGCCCCCCTTGCTCCACCACATCAGCTGCTAAGGTACGACGGAGTATCGCCGTCRAAGTTTGAAAGGCTGACGACGCCCATCCTTCCCAGTTAACGGCGCCGTGCAAGAATTATGCTTTGGCCAACGTCGTGTACTCAAATCTTCTCCCAAAGCCAATGCGGTCAATGTTGGACGCCCTCCGATAAGGGATGCGCGGCTCTGTCGTGTACGGACGTGGGTCAAACACTTCGTCACTCGCTCTTTCCATTTCCACTTCCATCTTCACAAGGGTCGGGTCTGCTGAGCCATCCATCTGCACTCACTCAAGGATTGATTGTGTGGGTGCTTCGTGCCTGTCTCTCTTCCATCGCTCATTACTTCCTTCCTTGCAGCGTGATTTGTTGTTGTCGTTGTTGTCCTTCATTTACATCCCATCCACACAACTCGTTCCATCTTGCTGGCCAACATGGATACATTCACCCATCGCGGGGTCAACTTCTTTCGCTTGTTCTTGATCTTCGCCCTCCTTGTTTCACTCTTTTGCTTTCGGGATCTTTGGCTACCCACCGGAAACGATGAATACCTCAGCAGCAGTCCTATACCGCGACCAACACAGCAACATCTTGCAGACCAATTGATCTTTGATACGACTACCCCTCCACCTTCACCCTCAACCGAAGCACTACCAGCGCCGACCATTCTACATCCAGCCCTCATCGCACAACCCCATGAACATGAGGAGATTAAAGACTTCTATCCTCCTCCGCCACCGCCACCTTCCCAAGATGACTGCCGCAACCTCCCAGGAGCCGACAAGATCATGGTCATGCTAAAGACTGGCGCCACCGAAATTTATTCTAAACTTCCCACCCATCTCCTCACAACATTCACTTGCATCCCAAACTACAAAATCTACTCCGATCTGGAACAAACGTTCGGCAACACACCCATCACGGATGTCATCCATCCTGTCAGCCAGCATCTCCGCGAAACCCACGAAGACTTCAATCTATATCGAGACCTCCAAAAATGGCAACGAGAAGGCCAAGATCTCAGCAAACTGAAAGGCGACCATGGCTGGAACTTGGACAAGTGGAAGTTCCTCCCCATGATCCACGATGCTTTCGAATCCGCKGGTCCCGAAATCGAATGGTTCGTTATGATCGAAGCGGACACCGCTCTCTCCTGGTTGAATCTTCTTCCCTGGTTACAGACCATGAACCCAAAGGAACAGCACTATCTCGGCTCGCAGAATGTCATCGGTGACACACGGTTCGCTCATGGAGGGAGTGGCATCATCATTTCTCGCGCTGCGTTGGAAACTCTCGAAGAGGCCCGCAGTAGTATAGGCAAGGCATACTACGATGAGAGATGGGAAGAGGCGACTTCGCATTCCTGCTGCGGAGACGCAATTCTCGCGGAGGCTCTCAAAGCTGTCAACGTCTCTCTCACCGGAGCCTGGCCTGTAATTCAAGGCGAGACGATCAGCTCGATTGATTTTAGCGAGAGAAACTGGTGTCATGTTCCTACGACGTGGCATCATGTTTCGCCTATCCAGGTGGATGCTCACTGGCAGTTTCAGGCCAAGTGGGCAAAGGACCGGGGATGGCAGACTCCGTTCCTGTACAGAGACATCTTTGAGAAGTTTGTCGCTGACCACGTCTCGGTCAACAGAACGAAATGGAATAACCTCAGCAAGGACGTCAAGCTAACAGCGCCGGAGTTGGTTAGTGATGATCAGAAGGAGAATGATGGAAAGGCGTTTGCAGAGTTGGAGGAGTATGAACAGAGAGCTGTGCAAAGCCAGGAGGATTGTGCGGAAGCTTGCCACATCAAAGGGAGGGAACAGTGTGTCCAGTGGATGTGGACTGAGGGGAGATGTCATTTGGGAAAGGATGTGAGATTAGGGAGCAGTGATGAGAAGAACCAAATTGAGGTTAAAATCGGAGAGAGGATGGAGAGGGGGTACTGGAATTGTGGGTGGGTGCAGCCTGCCGTGAAGAGGTTGTTGAGTGGGAGGTGCGAGGGAAGGGCATTTTGATGCGCTGATGTCGCTCTTTGGATTTCTTGGCTCGATAGGATGGGGTATGACCTTGTAGACTCGCTCGCTTAGAACAACTCCAAGTGCTGGAGGCGGGACGATCTTGTGTAGAATATACAGCAACATGAACAATAAATCTTGAAGTGAACATTGACGCATTCGCTGCCATACCACTCAATTCAACCCAGCTGTAGACGACTGAGGGATTCCCAGCATCCCCACTCAATTCAACTCCAATCACCAAGAACAACAGCAGCATCCTCCACTTCTGGACCTGATAATATTACATCCACAAGCACAACTTCCCACTCGCCGTCCCGGCCGCAACCCACTCTTTCTCGGCATGTAACATTGCCACGGCCGGCACAGCCGTGATGCCCTCTCCTCCCAACTGCGCTATCTGTTCCCCCTTATCGGTATAAACATCCACAAAACGATTCATATTCCCAATCACGAACTTCTGAATGCCATCTGCGGGACGTAATTGCCACTGGGCGCGCAGAATCGTTACCCAGCGGCCGGTCTGGTTATTATGTTTGATGACTGTGCTTGGGGAGACTTCATCTTCGGTGAGAGTTTTGCCGGGTTTCCAATCTGAGCAGAGGGTAGAGGAGAAGTCGTGTATTTTGATTGTATCGTCGTAGGAAGCTGTGGCGATTTGGCCGGCGGAGTTCCAGGCAGCGTGGGAGACGCTGAGGCGGGATGTATGTTCTCCCACGCAAAGTGGCATGCGATTGTCGCCTTTGCCGGTGACTTTTCGAAGATCCCAGATTTTCAAGGTGCGGTCTAGGGATGCTGTTGCTAGGAGATGAGGGTGTGCGGGATGAAGGGAGAAGCCGCCGATCTTCTTCTCGGAAAGTTGAAAGGATTCCACGACTTCGTGGGCGGGAGTTCGCATGTCTTTGATGCCGAACAGGCCGGAGAGGGTGGTGAAGTGAAGGGTGTTTGGGTCTGCGTGGGAGATTTGGACGCCTGAGAGGGGAGCATCTTCACTCTTATCTTCCGGGGCGTACACTTCGACCGCTGTTCCTTTTTGGAGGTCGAGTTTGCGGATGGAGGAGTCGTAGGAGGCAGAGAAGAGGGCGTTGTGGTCCGACGGGGAGAATTGGAAGGCGGAGATGGTGCGGGTGTGGATTTTAAAGGTGGAAATTGCCGGAGTGAAGTCATCTTCATCGTCGCCGTCTTCGTCTGCATCGTCGGCCTCTGTCTTGACGGATGTGGATTGGGAGGCGTCGAAGAGACCTAGAGAACCCAGTTTATCTCCTGCAAAAACCAGCGCTTTGTCTGTTGTTGGATGGAAACCCAGAGCGTAAATTCTCTCGGGCGTGATTTTGATGCGGCTAGGTTCTGCTCCCGGCCACAATTCCAATCCGCTCATTCTCTCCCGCAGTTCCTTCAACTCCTTGTCGCTCGTTTCCTTGACATCCTGGGCGTCGAATGTCCTGACTCCGGGATTTGCAGGACCCACCCCGTTCAACCAGCTTCGATCCCAACTATTCCCATTGACGACGGCATCCTCCAGCTTGATGTCGGCCGAAACTCTCTGTCTTTTGACGCGTTGTGCTTCCTGAAAGGCTTCTGCTTCCTTTTCCGAATGCTGTCTCGCCACTTCGCTGTCGGCCACGATTCCCTTCAATCGCGATGATGTTCGTCGAGGTCCGACATCTTCCTCTTTCTTCACCTTGGGTGCTGCTGCTCGCTTTCTCTTGGTGGAAGATGCAGAAGTGCTGGCCTTTGGCTTGCTGATGCCAATCTTGGCCGCGTCCGACTGTAATGCCGACAACAGCTTCTGGTTCTGAGCTATCTTTTCCTGCCGTGCTCGCTCATATGCACTCATCACCGCCATCTTGACTGATGTTGTATGCGATGTTGTGCACGTCAATTTTACAGTTTCGTGTCAATCCCACGCCAGATCGATGACGATGCACAAAGTTGCACRCGTTGGACGCGTCTTCGCGATTCATGCATGCCGCTATAGTAGTAACGTCTGGTGCCAAGCTTTCGGCTCAAAATAATGTCGACGACATGCATGCATGCATAACATCCAAGAAGATCAACAAAGCCATCCATCGACACTCTTCGTGTCGTCTCGTCTCGTCTCAATGCCTCGTCAACTCCGAATATCCCGCTCATCTCCTCTGGAATCTCCTCTCTCTTTTCTCTATCAAACGCCCACAATCCTTCGCCGGTCCTACGCCAGCGATGCATTTGGCGAAATCGACACGTTGGAGCTCAAACGACAAGCCCGTCAGAAAATCTCCGCCGACTGGAGCAAAGTCAACCGCTCCCCAACTCGAACCCGGAAATCCATAAAACCTATCCAATCTCGTCCAAATCGTCCAGTAAGATCTTTTGAGCCGCCCACACATCGCAGGAGAGAGGTGGCCCCTCCTGCACTGGCAGAACGAGAATGGATCGACCACGTCCCTTTTGAGGGAATCCCTGATCGTCCAGCTACTATTCTAGATCGTTTACAGGGCCAAACCATCACTCGCCATGAATTCAATGTTTTCAAAAACGTTCTCGCGCAAGGTAGTGCTGAGAGTGCTGCTAGAGAAGCCGCTGTCAAAAAGCGCAAGATACAGGACTCCACGGGAAGGGCAAAGGGTGTGGTGAGAGAAAAGGTGGAGATGCCGGACTTGTTGAAGCCGCTTGCTGAGGAGGCCGAGGCGATTTCTGCGGAGAAAGCAAAGCAGGAAGAGGAGATCCTGGTGGTGGAAGAGGAGAAGCGGACGAAGAAATATCGAGAGGGTATACAGAAGATGATGGACGAAGCGACGACGGATGTCGAGCTTTGGAATGTCTGGGAGGGGAAATTAAAGATGGATGTTGAGAATGTTCTGGCGGAGCCCGAGAACGATGGGAGTACTGAAGAGAAGGAGACGGTGAATCTCACTACACTCACCGCGACACTCCCGCAACTTCTCTTGCGGATGAGCGAAATATTCCGTGAAAAGTTCCGCGGAAGTGGATTTTCATCAGCTCTTCTCCCAAATCTGCGGAACATGGGAACTAGAGCTTTTGCAATGGGCGCCACAACGTCCCTCTTCAACGCCCACATGCGCTGCCACTTCGAAACATACAACGATCTCGATGGAGTCATCCGATTCCTAACGGAAATGGACAGAGACGTGTATGAATTCGATGAAGGAACACATCAACTACTTGAGACTATCTTTGAGAGGGCGGAAAGGGCGGCAAAGCAAGGTGGTGCGGTTGCGATGCTATGGATGACAGAGAGGAAACTCCGAGGCTTGGATGAATTGGAGAAATGGGAGACTGTAGTGGCAGAGAGAATCGGAAGAGCGCATGCTAGGAAGAAGGAGTGGGAGAGAGGAGATAGGGACGAGGTGGGCATCAGTGTTACTTAGCCATCTGGGTGATGAGATAATGAACGCAACTCCAGTCGTTGATCAGCAGAACATTCAGACGGTGTTTAGGCATTCATTGCAGTGATACATATGTGTCGTTAGTATGGCCGTATTGTGTCTTTGCATACACGAAACAGTCTGGATACCAACTCTCCGGATTCACAGTCACACTAACGGCTATCCCCAATGCTACCTTCGTCACTACACATGAAGATGTCGAAAGTCGGTACTTCTCTTCGTCGTATGCTCGCGCAGATGATGCGTAGACGAAATTCTAGTAAGACCGCTACCCCAACCCTAACCCCAAGACATTCGCCAACACTGCACTGACGCTGATATAAGATCCTAATGCCAGACATCAATGCATAAGAGTGAAGCATCTCATAGATTCCAAAAGTAGTCCCAGAACTCCACGCTAAACTAAAAGGTTACAGCCTCTCGTTCGTTCATCGTTCAATATATAATTCGCATAACAGTCGTCACACATCAAGCAAGCAAGACTCGCACGCCGAAGCTCGTCCCGAGCCGGCAAATCATCCCTTCACACCGCAACACCAGTAGTGATTGGTGCAGGGTCGACAACGTCCCCCCCATCCTCGCGCTCCTCCCCTTCCTCACCCTCGATCTCCACAAAGGTCCAATTCTCCTCCGTCCCCACACTTTCCTGTCCCTCGCCCCCCTCCCCTCGACACCYCATCTCCACAAGCCCTCTGGCATACTCCAAACCCCTCCAGACCTCCCGAATCGCATTCCCGACCCCATCCTCCCCTCGAATCAGCTCCCCCAATTCCTTCGCTTTCTTCTGCATTCTCGCATCATGAGTAGCAATCCACAACGCCTTGCCCAATTTCAAACTCGATATCTTGCCCTCCAATTGTACCCCAACTCCCAGATCCTCGACCCTTGTGGCGAAGAAGAATTGGTCGCCGAAGAAGGGTTTGATAATTGTAGGTACTCCCGCACGGAGTGATGCGCCGGTGGTTCCGGCTCCTCCATGGTGGACTACAGCATCGACCTGAGCGAACAGCCAGTCGTGGGGTGCGGAGCGGATTTGGTGAATGTAAGAAGGGAGTTCGGCTGCTGGGCTGGCGGATGAGGTTGGTTTTGCGTCGAAGCGATCGGACCAGCCTTTCGAGAGGATGCATCGTACATCGGCTTTCTGGACGGCGTCCATGACCTGTTGCATGAGCTGTTGAGAATCGGCGACTGTGACGGAACCGAAACCGATGTAGACGAGTTTGACGTTGTCGTCCCGGGCTTTTTGGATGAAAGCTTCGAGGTCGGCGGGAGGTGTATAGGCTTCTCCTTCGTCGAGGAACCAGTATCCCGTCACTTTGATCCAGTCGGAGAAGTCGAGAGGAGGAACCACGACATTCGGGGAAAAGTTGTAGAGAAAAGGGACTTTGTTTTGTTGGAGTCTGTCCAGACTTGTAGGCATCAGCCCAAGAGTCTTAGCACGCCAGCGGTTGATCTGCCYGCTGATTGCTATCCAGAAGACATTGTCGAAAAGGGTGTAGGTCATGTAGTTGTAGGCACCACCTTTCTTGGAATTAGGTACGGAGAAGGCGTGAGGATAGGCTCGTGTGCGTGTCCATGGCATGGTGAAGGCGCGGAAGTACGGAACTTGGAGCTTCTCGGCGATGTGAATTCCACTCATAGCAGATGGACTCTCGATGATGAGATCGGCGCCTTTGCAGGCTTCGTATGATGAGACCAGAAGGCCATCTAACCAGCTGCGGAACTTGGAGTTGGCTTCGAGGAAAAAGGATGGGGTGAACATGCCGTTTTCCACGCATATTCTCATCAAATCGGCTGGATCGCCTTCAACTTCTGCGAATTCAATCCCGTGCTTCTCGACCCAAGGTCCAAACTCTTTGTGAGTCGCGATCTTGGCACAGTGGCCTTCAGCGATGAAGCCTTTGCAGAGGGCAATGTACGGCTGGACATCGCCGCGTGAGCCGATGGTGAGGCAGGTGATGTTCATCGGACTCTTCGGTTTGAATTCCACCACTGAAGCACCGTTGTCGTCGAAAAGTATCGGCGGACCATCGTTCTCCGTCTGCTGCACACTACGCGGTACCTGAGTCTCGTACTTCGCATAGCTGTCCTTCCTTGCAGCCTGCAACAGCTCGTTCTCAGCCGCCGCCGTTTCGGCCAGTTGAAGCTCTTCTTCGTCCAGAATTGTAGACTCCAATGCGTGAGAGCCATTCTCCAGGCTACGAAGCACAGTGATAGCGCAATCGTCCCGAAGACCAGCATTGCCAAACTCAAGAAAGAGCTCCTCATGACCCTTGATGACAAGAACCATGCCAGAGTATCCCCATCGAAAACCGCGTTGCTTATGAACAGTTACGATGTCCTTGAATGAAATGACGAGCTTGATCTTGGTCCCATACCACAAGCTTCGGAAGCAGAATCTCCGCTGGCTCATGTAGACTTTGCCATAGAGAGGTACTGTCTTGTGTAGCCAGCAAAAGAAGGTGGATTTCAATTCCTCGGTGTGCGGCAAGCCGAAGTGAGTTTGAAATCGCAGTTGGTCGTTCTCAACATCACCTGCTTGCTCGAGATCGCGGACGCTATCGTCAGGCGCTAGACCTTCGACATCACTGTAGTGCTTCTTTCCACCTGTGATAGCACCAGACCATCTGCCGATATAGTCTTTTGGGCTGCTGCCCAGGTAAGATCCCATTCGTTGACTGGAGGCGCGCACCATGCCGGCGACAGCAACTGCCTGTTGCAAGGGAGCTGAAATCCCACGAATTACACGACCTGAAGCAGTAGTGTCAGTAGGTGTCCCTCTTGAATTTTCAGCGTCAAGAGTGCTCCCAGATCCGGCGGAAGACCTGGGCTCCAAGTCCGGGCGGCGAGCATGGTGGCCTTGTCGCGTAGGATGCTGAGTAGGCAGGTCGTCGCGTTCGATACTAGAGTCTCTGGAAGAAGAGGGTTGAGATGTCCCCCTACGGATCCGGTCCTTGGATGGTCCTGAAACAGGGCGTTGCCTCTGCGGCGATCGGAGTGTCGGTCCGCCAAAAAGGCCATCGTCGCTCAACATCTGGCTTGCAGACATGTTAGCATCCACCTCATCGCCTGATGTCAAGTAGCTTTCGGACGACTCCTGGATCGAGGCAGAAAGTGACGATCTCGAATGACTACGTCGACTTGGGGATCCTTGACCCTTGTCCACATTCAAAAGTTGACCACCGTTAGCTTGCTTCGACCTGGACTTCGACGACTGCGATTTTCCTCGATGTTGCCCTTCCTCCTCAGACTCCATCGCAACAGCCTGCTTCGCACTCTCATTACCATCTGTCAGCACCTTTAGCACATCCCATGCATCATCACCATGGCTGAAGAAGGTGAAGAAGTATTCGTCAATCGCGTAACTCTCCTCCTCCTTGCCAACGACCCGCAGCTTGACAGTCTCCGCAAAGTCCACGACTTCAGCTTTTTCGATATCAAGAATGTTTTCGGTAAGTAGGGAGATCTTCACCGCGTCGCCGTCATTGCGGCTCCTGAATATGACCCTCTGCAGCTGCTTCACCCACTCCTTGGCCGCGCCTGGCGTCTCCGCTTTGTAGTTATGTGTTCTGTCGTGGGTGGTGATGATGAATTCTGTRCTCTCCTTGTCTGACACATCGGCAGAGATTGCATATCTCAAATCAACCACACCGAGCGGRAAGTATGGTTCCGCGGGGTTCTTATAGTAGCAGAAAATATCGCCTTTCAACACGAACCAGTAGTAGCTGAACCCGTAACGATGCTTCCCTTGCCTGCCCAGCTGTCCGGTCTTGATGGTGACATTTGTCTTCTTGGCCAGATATGCGTAAAAGCAGACGTGCTTCTGCGTAATGTACATAAACCCTTGCAATAGTACGTTCTGCAGGTACCAGCATGGGAGTTCGGCGATGATCTCCTCGGGCTCGGGGAAGTGGAAGATGCCCGCAATCACCTTTGGGAGTGATTTGTGTGGCTTGTAGTGCTGCTTCATCTCGCCGCTCTGCTTGCCGCTCAGTGATGTGGATGAGGAGTTGAATCCAGCGCGCGCCATGGCTTGCATCTTGAGATCGAGCATGGGAGCTTCTTTGCGGAGAGCCTCCAGCTTCTGCGCGGGCTCTTCCTCTTCCTCTTCCTCACCACCTTTCCGCGGGGGCAAAAATTGTGACTGCGTCATGGGATCGTTGGCTTGTGAGTCCTTGCGCTTCCGCGCGGGTTTGAGAACTGACTGCGCCAACTTGGTCTCTGATAATCTCTGGCGATGTCGAGTAGCCGGAGGATCCGGCTTGACTTGAGATGTTGGACCTGAGCTGCGTGGATTTGACTTCTTGCCATCTTTGGCTCCACCAGTAGGGATGTCTTTCTTCAATCCGGCGATATCCTCACCTTCGCTCTCACTCCCGCTACCCTGCTCAAACATGAAGTTCGCTCTCGATGTTGTTGCCGCCAGCATGCCATAGACACTCTGTTGCGCGAATATGCCTTGCTCCTCGTCACCTGCGGTGATTCCATCATCGGAACCATCCTCCTCTTCACCTTTTAGCTGCTCCGGCAGTTCCATCAATGTCCTGCTGTGATTTCGTGATGGAAATAGCTCGCGGCCAGCTCTTGTGTTGGTAGATTGTCCAGTTAATGGCGAGCCTGAGCTCGTTGTCCTCGAAGTAGACATGATGGCGAGATGCACAATGATGCGGATCGAGGTGCACTTGCTGCAGTCACCCGTGTCGATGTCTTACAAGCGCTGGCGAAAGATGCGTCACACGCGAGGTCGAGCACTGCGTTTGGCGGTGAATCATCGATCAATCTCTTGTATTGTGGCTGCCTTTTTCTCTTCCTTATTTGAACGAGCACGCCTCCGCCTCATTCAAATTCACTTTCTGCGCGTTCTATCGGTGAGGAGTTGGAGCTGCTGCTACATTGTGTCGACCCATGCCGTGGAGCTCGCGCGGTGGTGCCGTTCTGTTTCGAGTTGATTAGAACAATTCGCAATAGAATAATGAATTGCGAGTTGTTAACAGGCAGAGGTGGAAGACGTTGAAGGATAATGGTCGAAACGAGCGTGGAAGTGATGCGATGTGATGATGATCACCTGCCAGCACGTTTATATCCGCTGTTTGACCGATAGGCAGCATGTGACAGAGGTGTCTAAATGCACTAAGATAACCCGCAAAGCCACAAAGGCTGCTCAAAGAACAGGCACACCTGTCGGACAGCGCTTCCATCACGCTTTTAGGAAGCACCATTAGCGACAACAATAATCATGAGGTTCTTCGTTCATCAAATGATCGTCCCCGGCTCGCTCGGGTGAGGCAGCTATCCTCTGCTGTGGCACATGTAGATTTGCAAGACATGGCGCTCGTGACACCCACACCTACTGATACGGATGTCCTGAATGCCAGTAGCGGCTGTTTTCGCTACAAAACTTCATACACGTACACTATAAGAAAGACCCCGCCTCTTTTATCGAGGCGGTGCACGCCGTACATTATTAGGTACACACAAATCGAGACGTCCCATCCGCCCCGTCATATCCTTTGTATCCTTGATTCAGTCGATCGTGTAGACCATCATACCGACACTTGATCTCGTCTTGCATCTACTTGGCCTTGGCAAGACCAACGGAGTTGTCGCCAAGGTCGTAGACCGAGTACCATCTTCGCAAGAAGGCGTCACCAAGAATGGCAAGAGGACCAGCTGGCTCTGGAATGTCAAACGCCATGAAGGAGCTGATGCAGCTGCCCTGTACCTCAAGGATGTAGTCGTAAGGGCCAATGGTAAAGTTGTGGCCGGTCAAGGTGAAGGTGAGGTCTGGAAGTGAGTCACGCTTGTCGCACTCGACGGTGTACTGTCCGTTGTAGCTCTTCTTCGCACCGATCTCCTTGTTCAAGAGCTCGGCCATGGTCGATGGGAGAGCGATGAGCGAAGTGCCAGTGTCGAGAATTGCGCCAGTGGCGTCAATCTCGGCGGTCTGGTCGCCGAAGGTGATGGCATCGAGGTCAACCTCCCAGTAGGCCTTGCGGCGGAGCGGAAGCTTGGTCATCTTGCCCTCATAGTGATCCTTGTTGACGCCACCGAAGATGGCTTCGGAGTCATCACCCTTGGCGGTGTCGCTGAGGTAAAAGGCAAAGACGGGCTCGTCGAGGAGTCCTTGCTCGACCATGTTGTAGAATGGTGGTGGAATGCCGTTGACCGAGATGGTGTCGTATCCCAATCCCATGATGCCGTCGAAGCGACCGAATGCAAACGCAAGACCGGGCTCCGAAGTTGCCTCTGCGAAGAGCTGGTCCTTGATCTTCAAATCACCAATCTGGAAGGTGTCCTGGCTGACGTATCCCTCGAGGCTTCCAGAGCCATACCGAATGGCAAATTCCGAGCCATTCTGCTTGTAGGTGTTGGACGCGCCGTGGTCGTACTTGGTGTGCAGGTAGCAAGCGATGGAGCCGCAGTCCTTACTGGGAACCCACAGGTTGGAGCTAYCAGTGTCGAGCACAACCTTGAACTCTTGGGGGGGAGTGCCAAGGGCGATCTCGCTGAAGTATTGGGCGTTGAGGAAGTTGCTGACAGCGACTGGGTGGCCCTTTTCGCCCTTGTAGGACTGCTCCTTGAACATCTCGTTGATGCGCCCCTGTGGACGGATGCCCATGTACTTCTGTCCAAGATGCTGGACCTGCTCCTCGATGTTGTAGCCCTCGAGCTGCTCGGAAAGAGGGACCTTCTGGAGCCTGGAGAGCACGCTGTTAGCCGTCTCGTTTCKGTGTCGTCATCATCATCGTCCAACTCACTTCATCTTGTGCACGCCAGCACAGGCAGTGCCAGCGACCAGCGCCGATGTGAGGAGTGAGTTTCCCTTCATGTTTGCGTTGTGATGATGAGATTTGTTGGGATTGGGTGGATGGCGAGGTAAGAGGAGAGAGAAGGAGAGCAAGCTTGAGGTGAGCTTAGCTTGCGGCGGTTACTGTGGCAGGAGCAGGCATCAGCTCCAGCCCATGTGACACGCTTGCCCGTGACGCTTGCCTGTGGCGTTACCTATGACGATGTTGACGATATCGGAACCGTCTTTCAACTCGGCGGCTGTTGTCAATATTTGGGCAATGAACCAACGAGAAATGAACGTCGGTGTGACTATTCAGACAATGGATGAATGCGTTCTGTGTCTACAAATCTGCCTTCCTATGAATGACATGTGATGCGGCATGCCGGTCCGTCGATGCAAACAGACAATTGGACTCTGCTTCTTCCCAGCCACACCAGCCACAGCGATAAGACTCGGACAAGACGAGATGAGACAACACACGTCTCATCTTCCTCTGACTCTGCACCCATTGGGTTAATAGACATGTGAGAAACGCGCTGAATATTTCTGAAATCACAGTCACAGCGGCAACTAAACGCGACATGGCGTCCGACGTCGCGGATGTGCGAACGGATCGCAAGTTTCTACAAGCGATGGATCTTCTTGGCAGAGAGCAAACGCAATGCCTACCTGTCTTCACCCCGTCACTTGTCCTGCTCGCCGACTGTCGAGTCACGACCGCTCCATGATATTATCCTCGAGAGAAGTGCTCCACTTGTAGGCCGTTCACGTCTGCATTCCATGGGTCATCATACGGAGACAGATATGGCCGAAGGCGTGTACGTACGCCCTGCCCTACAGAGATTCTCTTGTCTCGACTTCTCGGCCCTCTTCTTCATCTGAATTGCCTTAGCATACACTTGCATTTTGCCACGATCACGGTGCGTGACTGCTGATGAAGATTTCATCATGTGAAATGACCGACACAAGTCTTCAAGACGGCTGACCTCCATCTCAGCGCCTTCACATCCCCTCTCGATCCTACCACTGAAGAGATGTTGAAATGTCCTCGCTCTCCTCGGACGATGCTGCGGTCGGCTCGCATCGCGTGACCGTGCGAAGTCTTGCTGCAACCTTATCCTCGGCATGATCTCGTCTGACAATAGAAGAAAGATAGAAGGCGATGGGGTTAGCCTGAAGAGCTGAAAGCTTCTATCAGTTGTGGTGTCGCGTTCGTGCGTATTCTGCCTGATTTTGGAAAGCCTCCGAGGATGACTGCGTCGCAGCTCTTACCCATCGACGCCAGACCATGGGCCGCCGAAATTGAATATTGCCGCCCCTCCTTGTGGTGAATTGACGACGACGCTCACGAACTGGTAGCTACGAGCACAAAATGCAGCAGCCTCGCGGAGAGTCATAAACGGATGTTTAATGTCTTATCGAATAATGTCTTCTTAACCGTACTGTCGTTGTTGCAGAGATTACAAGATTTTTGCTGTCACAGGTAGGGCGACAACCTTCAATTTCACCGGCCCTTGGACGCGAGATGAGACAACATGCTTTGCGGTGAGGCTCAAATCTGGCCAGGTAAGTGTGGCAGTCTTCAAATGTATCCGCTGATCGCACTCCTGATTGCATTCGCGAACATGATTGTTGAACCAGTCGTTGTCGAGGAACATAACACGCTGCAGCGTCGAAGCTTGCACGTGGGTGCTGGACTGGGAAATTTCTAGCCCGACAATTTGCAGCACAATTGATCAACAACCACAGCTCTACGAAAGGCGCGTTGCAGGAACCTGAACTCTGTCCGCGCGACTTCCCTAGCATCGCGATGCGAGCTTTACTTCCAGAATGTCGTCTGCTCTTGGATGCATTTTTAGAACACCTTTCTTCTACCAATATCGAAAATCACCACCATGGCCGGATTGTATGCTTGGGCGAGCCGTTGCATACCAGCATTCAGCGTAGGCCTCGTGATAGCGCTGTCGTTCTTGGGACTGTTTGTCTCACCTTCTGGAGAGCATCACAACAATAACTACACTGGCGAGGCGACTCTTTCGCAGCTAATACTGACGGCATACATCCTTTTCCTGCATGCCCTTTCGGTCATCTACCCTGTGCGAGTCTGTTGGGCCGTCCGCGATGTTGTAAAGCGAATGAAAGAGGCAGTGACGGAAGCTACAAACGCCCAATCTGGTCGTGTGCCAGTTGACAAGGATGAAAAGGCAGATTTGAAGGCTCAATGCCCTCAGTTTGCGATCATTCTACCCGCTTATAAAGAGCAAGTCTCTACGTTGGAAGAGACATTGCGGGTTTTGGCTTCTCATCCAGAAGCTCACCGAAGTTATCATGTACGTCAAAGTAACGTTGCCGTAGCTGCAATGCGGCAACGACAAAGGAGCCTTCGCTGATAGTCTGAAGCTCTACCTCGCCGTGGAAGAGAAGGAAGAGAACGTTGCTTTCAAAGCCGCGAGCATTTGCCAGACATTTGGTGACTCGTTCCTACGCTGCACCTTCACCGTTCATCCCTCAAACCTTCCCGGCGAAGCTCAAGGCAAGAGCAGCAATGAGTCTTGGGCCGGCAAACAGATCATGAAAGATTTTCCTGACGAGCACGTTAGGAGGGACTTGATCGTTACAACAATGGATGGTAAGTGAAGATATCATTCCCATCGTGAACATACTGACTCCGTGCGACAGCTGACACACACCTGTCTGCTCGATACTTTTCTCAAATTGCACATTCACACAACAAATCTCCCGAAACCAACCAGACCACAATATACGTCCCTCCAATTGTGTTTGACCGGAACTTGCACCAAGTCCCGCTTCCGGTGCGGTGCGCAGACATTATGTGGGCTGGTGCAGGGATATCCAGTCTTTACACTGGATCGCAAGTTTGCATTCCCACTTCGGTCTACTCGCTACCTATGACTTTGCTAGCGCAGGTCGGCGGTTGGGATACCGGTCCAGGGGCGATTGGCGAGGATATGCACATGTATCTGAAGTCGTTCTTTGCTTTGTCAGGCAACCTGCATGTTGAGGTGGTCTACGCAGCAGCAAGTCAGTGCGATGTGAGCACTGATGATGTGGGTGTCAAAGGATTCATTACTGGCGCGGATGCGCGATACAAACAGGCTCTCCGACATATGTGGGGATCCCTTGATGTACTGCCCAACCTCCATCTTTGGCCCTGACAGCACTAACGCTGCCACAGTCAGGATATGCCATTCGCGAAACTATCAAGATGTTACACCGGCATCGTCATGCCGGCAGCTTCGTTGAGACTCCCTCGAGCCCTGTCAAGTAGGTGTTTCTACAGCCGCAGTTTCGTCGTGATAGCTGACAAGTAACGTAGGTCTTCCTGGCCGACTCTCTACACCGGCAACGCAGCGCAGAAGCCTTCAGTGTCGCTTCGAGAGCATAAAGTCGATACTACGGTGATGCCTCCACAGAAACCGATCAACTGGACCAACATGTTCAATCTGTACCATCGACTCTTCGAGGCACACTTCCTCCCAACACACCTCTACGTTGTATTGGTTTGCTCGAGTATCTACACGTTCTTCTACACCAGTGTTGCCATACCGGACATGCTCAAGATCGCTTTGGAAGTTGCCGGCTGGTGTCGTCTTGTCGGTTTCTGCACCATGATATTTTTCTTTTACAACTATGAGCGCTATCACGAGCTTTGCGTGAGCCTTCGAACCGAAGAGATGCGTTGCGTAGGTATGTTGGAAGAAATGGCCAACAACGACGGCATCAGCAAGAAGGTGTTCCAGTACGCCGGGTTCTTCGAAGGAATGATATTCCCAATCAGCGGACTGGTGTTTGGTGGTCTTCCCGCCACTCAGGCTATTATCAGCCATCTGTTCACAGAACGGCTGGTCTACGTCGTGAGCTTAAAGCCCTCGAGCTTGACCAAGGCACGACCATGGAAAGATATGAGTCGTGTGACACCATGAGGCACCTTCTCTCGGCTGTGAGGCATGGCTTTCAGCATAGCGGTGGCGTCTTGATTCTCTTTACGCTTGCAGTACGAGACTAATAGAATAATGTATATCTCGTCTCAAACGTCAAGAGTATACACAACGTGCTGCATTCTTCCTTGATACTTAAAGTCAGAGGTGTTGTGCAGTCTGAGTCTGAATCCGACCACCTGCATTGCCCAGCCTACCTGCCTATCGATAAGCACGAATCTGCCCCTCCTCATCATCATCCGGCCCCACTCGGGAGCAGCGTCATCTGCATCTTACAAATCCAAACAGTTGACTGGCCGCTGCTACCAATACGCATCACACTCTTGGACGATATATTGACACTTTCTTCATCATTTGACAGCTGCAGTAGATTCTCAAGGTACACCATGGCGACCATGAAAGCTGTTGGTAAGCAAGCCCGTGCGAAATATTCAAGCCCGAGGCTCTGACATTTCCACCAGCGGTCAAAGATGGCAAAGGTCCATTGGAAAATCTTCACATCACAGAGATCGAACGTCCGATACCCAATGGATCGCAAGCTCTAGTGAAGGTCAAGGCATTCGGCCTAAATCGTATGGATATCCTCCAGAGAGAGGGAAAGTATCCTGTCCCACCTCAGGCACCAAAGACATTGGGAGTCGAATTCAGCGGAACGATCGAAGAGCTGGCTGAAGGAAGCGAGAGAGGGTTCAAGAAAGGAGATGAGGTGTTTGGACTTGCTTATGGCGGAGCATATGCTGAGTACATTGCTGTCAGCACGCATATGCTAGTTCACAAGCCGAAGGAGTTGAGCTTTGAAGAAGTTGCTGGAGTGCCGGAGGTGTACATCACGGCAATACAGGCAATGTACTTGATTGGCGAATACGAGCCCGGCAAGAGCATTCTTTGGCATGCTGGTGCGTCCAGTGTTAGCATTGCGGGCCAGCAACTCAGCAGAGAGAACGGAGCGTCCAAAATATTTGCCACAGCACGCTCAGATGCCAAAGTCCAATTTTGCAAGGAGAAGCTTGGTAGCACTGCTGCTTACAACACGACAACAACGAAGTGGGATGAGGAGGTTTTGAAAGCTACCGATGGGAAGGGCGTGGATATCATCGTTGACTTCATCGGTTTGTACCCCTTTCCAACCACCTGACGGATTGTACTGACGATAGCAGGCCCCGACACATTCGCAGCGAACTTGAATGCTATTGCTAAGGATGGTCGTATTGTCAACTTGGCGACACTAAGTGGGATGAATCTCAAGGACACCAACGCCAACTTTGGTGCATTCGTTGCGAAGCGAGTGCGCTACGAAGGCAGCAGCTTGCGCAGTCGCGACGAGGCATACCAAGGCAAGCTTAGAGATCACTTGGTTGAGCATGCTCTTCCTATGTTCGTTTCAGGGAAGATCAAGTCCGTGATCGAGAAGGTGTACCCATGGGAGCAGATCCAAGAGGTAAGCATAGCATGCTCTGCAACAACAAGCACCTACTGATAAGAAGCAGGCACACAAGAAGATGGAGGCAAATGATACCATGGGCAAGCTGATTTGCACAATTTCATGATCACGTTCATTATAGTGCTATCCAAGCCGACAATGTCTAGCTGAAAGCAACGTAAACACCTGCAGGTGGACAATAGTTAGCACATTGTCATCAATAGCGAAATGGGACAACAGGACTGACCTTTCTGGGGCTGCAGCACAATGTCGCTGCGTAGTCCAGGGAACCCGTCGTTTCGACTCTCCACCTTCTCAAAAGTTTGCAGTATCCTGACAATAGTATACGCCATCTCAGTAAGGGCGAATTGCTGACCGATGCATATCCTTGGGCCTTCGGCAAAGTCAGTATACTCAAGCAAGAGGAGGCGTGCCCTTTTCTTACCTCCGTTGAATGGAATGTATGTGAAAGGACGTGGCGTCCATGTTTCCCATCGCTCTGGCACGAAGGCGAGATGGTCAGGAAAGCCACTTGCTTGTGAAGGGTAGATATCTTCACGCCGTTGCATGATGAGTGTTGAGTATCCGATTGGTGTGTCCTTGGTGACTGCGAACGGAGAAGATCAGATCCTATTCGCAGGGTCGAGCCATCTCTACTTACTACCTATTGGCTCCATGCCATCAGGGCCACCTCCATGGGGTAAAGTAGTATCCTGCAATGCCACACGGACGTTGTATGGAACGACCTATACACAGTCTCATTAGCAAATGATTMTCAACAACCAATAGTCCTATCTTACCGGGTAGAGTCGTAGCGTCTCGTTAATCGTGTGGTTCAGATATCTCATCGATTTCAAGTTCTCGTATGTCGGTTTCTGATCAGGGCAATGCTGCGCGATTTCTCTGCGCAACTTCTCCACTATCTCAGGCTGCTTCGAGATTTCGTAAAACAGCCAAGAAAGTGTCACTGCTGTGGTGTCTCGTCCGGCAAGGAGTACAGCCACCAGCTGATCTCGCAGTACTTGTCTGTCTCGCGTGTATCCGGCCAAAGCATGGAGGAATGTATAGCCGTCGTCAGACTTGCTCTTCTTCTCCAATTCTGATTGTGGAAGCGCCAGAGCTTCATCGATGTACTGGCTGGTGAACTTGTTCAGCACCTAGGAAATTATCAGTCTCGAACCATCTCCTGTTACACTACGCTGCAACGTACAGCCAAAGCCTCTTGGAACTTCTTTCTTGGCACCAATCCTCTTACAGRACCCGCGCGAGCAATAGTAGCCTGAACATTCTGTACTACAGTAAACGCACTGGCAAACTCAGTCTCGCCATTGGCCAAGCTGTCGACGCTGCGACCGAAGAGGAAACCAGTTGCTGCGTCCAGGGTGAATCTGTAAATCAGATCATCGAGTCGAATCGTCGCCCCCTTTGAGTCACCAGCCAGCATGGGCAAGAGCTGCTGTACATGGTGCTCGAAAGTGTGGAGATCGGAAACCCGATCTTTAATGAATTGAGGCCTGAGGAGCGCGCGAGAATTGTGCCAGAGCTCGCCGTCTGTTGTGAATATCGATAGGCCCAGAAAGTCCTTCCTAAGTAACCGTTAGACGATAAACGAGCGTAAATATGCAACTGCATGCAAATACCATTCTTTGCGAAATTGAGGTCCCTTGCCATATTCCTGGAACTGAGTGGCAAGAATAGCCTTGATGTTCTCCTCATCTGCTGTAAAGATAATACGTCCGCCAGCGGTTACTGCTTCGACAGTATAAGGTCTGTTTGCATTGCCCTTTTTGAACATTTTGTGCCTACAACAATTAGAACGATTCATTTGAAAGCGTGATTTACGTACCAGAACTCATGATTCTTATGGATAGAGAAGTGGTACACTGCTTGTGCTAGTATACCAAGGTTGAACGGGGTTGCCGTACGCTAGAGAAAGCGTCAGCAATGTGCTTCTCTCGTTCTCTTTGACAAGGTACTTACAAGAGATGGGGCATGTTTTCCGAGTGCGGTGATTTTCCGTTCCTGGTCTACGTGTGTTGCAACTTTGGTGAGATAGAGCACCGTCGAGGAGAGGAAGATTCCGTATGCGATCAGGTCAGTGGTGAATMTCCCCGCTTGCCATGCAGCAAAGACGAGCGCAGCGTATATCAAGGTCAGCGTCCAGATCCTATCGAAAATGTGTAGCAGCATCGTTGCAGAAGCCAGTCGAGAATCGTGTAACACGGAGCAAGAAAACGACAAATGTCTATATAGGCGAGCCTGGCGAATAATGTGGAAGAAGATGTCACGGAGTGCGGCGAACCAGCCAATGTCCGTCTCCGTTGGACGCTGCGAGAATGTCCAGGTGCTCTTGTCAGCGTTAGTGMACGTGGAGAAATCCGAGCTGAACGACGGAGCCAATCACAGCGTGCTCACGTACAGCTCAGCTCCAGCTCTAGGTAGGTTCCTTCTAAAGGAATGTCAAGAACGCGTCTTGTTCATATTCTTTCAGCCATTCAAGCAAGAGAAATTGCACGCATTGTACCTCACATACGAGGGCATGAGCTGGCGGAACGAGAGCGAGGCCCGAGATCCTTTCTGCGATTCTTTGTCTACCGAGTCGACATCAGCATGATCTTTGCCCCTATTGAAATGGACTGCCAAACAGAGCGAATACTTGACGCGTCAGATGATGGAGGATCAGAGCAAACGATCGCAGATTGCATCTTCAACTGGTGTTCATATGGGCCATGGCTTGAAGGCGATCCAAATCTCAAGATTGTCTCCAGCCGTCTGTAGTAGCATATCCAGCTCGACTAGTTAATGTAGCATCTCCGCGCCTCAGAGCAGATCATGGTGAGGTGGGATCGTGGCCACTGCTTGTCCATTCGGCTCGGGAAGGTGAGGTCTTCGATAAGCCAATGCTTCCCAGCAGTTGTAGCTGCAGTCCGCTCCGGTGAGTCGAGAGACCTGTCAAGACTCGAGAGAATTCCTCGGATGAATATGCGATTTCATGTGTCGAAGAACTTTCTTTTGACCTACCGTCGGCCTGAATGCTCTATGGTAATCTTGGAACATGGACATCGGGATGCTCATCATTCATGGCTCAAGTTTGTGGGCCCAGCATCAAGTTGATGGTATCCGCAGCTCTGATGTGATGTGTCTGGTAACTTACGTGTTAAGGAAGTCACCATGAATCAAGGCCAAGAATAAAGTATTCTATCCGCCGCCCGAGTCAAAGCGCTGCATGAATGCATCATCACATCCAATCTTTTTTTGTTTACACCTGCGATGTGTGTTGCGTTTACGATCACATGCAGACGCACCTAACCATGAAATACCTGTACATGTACTCCCCGACAGCTGCGCCTCTCACCTAGACTGTAGACATAAGGCAGCTGCAGAATTCTCTGCATCGTACCGCATGCACGCGCGTTCTTCCACGCCGCCACCCCTCGTTAACCGCAATCCCTGCCGTCGCTAGGGAACTGGCTTCCGAGCTCAATAAACAACACCATTTACATTCACCCGTGCATCTTTGAGCACTCCACCTACCTAGGTTCTCGACGCATGCCCAGGGTCTTCTCAGGATTCGGGCAAAATCTAAAGGCCACGAAAGCCAAGAACGGGCATTTCCCAGCCGGCGTCGACATTACATTGCACCMGGCCGTGTCTGCGTGATAGCGGGACGAGAGCTGGACTGGACTGCGCCTCAGTGTACATGTCACAATTGAATAGAGCTACGATTGAGCGCTGAACGGGCCTTGTTTCGCGACACATGTTGCGCCTTCGCACGTAGCAGCGCCATCCTATACTTCCCTCCCCATACCCATATCCGCCATGGACACCGCCGGCAACTTCATATACAATGCGGCTTTGCTAGCCGCCCGGCAGGCTACCGAAACGACCGCGACGCCGACGAGCACCTCCTCTGCAACTTCCACAGCAACCGGCACCGCTCCAGCCAAGGCCGAACGACCGGCTTCATACAAGATCATCGGAATATGTCTCGCAGTGGGAAGTGGCTTGTTCATTGGTGTATCATTTGTGGTCAAGAAGATTGGTCTATTAAAGGCAAACCAGAAATACAATGAGGAGGCAGGCGAAGGATATGGCTATCTCAAGAACCTCTGGTGGTGGCTCGGCATGACACTCATGATTGTGGGAGAGATATGCAACTTTGCAGCGTACATGTTCGTCGACGCCATCTTGGTCACTCCGCTGGGAGCTCTCTCGGTCGTGGTCACGACCATTCTGAGCTGGTGGATCCTGAAAGAGAGACTGAGTTTCGTCGGGTGGGTGAGCTGCTTTCTGTGTATCATTGGGAGCGTGGTCATTGCGCTCAATGCTCCGGAGCAAAGCGCAGTGAGCAACATCCAAGGAATGCAGCACTATGTCATCGCGCCGGGCTTTCTGTCGTATGCCGGGGTGATCATACTCGGGTGCGTGGCAATTGCCTGGTACGTGGCACCACGTTGGGGCAAGAAAAGCATGATGGTCTACATCACGATCTGCTCGTTGATCGGAGGACTGAGCGTTGTTGCTACCCAGGGTCTGGGGAGTGCAATCATCGCTCAGATCAATGGCGAGGCGCAGTTCAATAAATGGTTCACATACGTGCTGCTCGTGTTTGTGATCTGCACCCTACTGACGGAGATCATCTACCTCAACGTGCGTATCCTAACCATTCAGCTTGAGACAAATTCACAACTAATACCTCACAGAAAGCGCTCAACCTCTTTAATGCCGCTCTGGTCACGCCTACATACTACGTCTTCTTTACGTCCTCCACTATCATCACCTCTGCAGTGCTGTTTCGAGGATTTCATGGAACATCCACTCAGATCATCAACGTTGTCATGGGATTTCTAACAATCTGTTCCGGGGTTGTGCTGCTTCAGCTTGCCAAATCGTCAAAGGACGTCCCCGACACCAAAATCTTCTCTGGAGACCTTGATCAGATACGTACGGTTGCTGAGGTGGAAGAGCCAGAATACGAGCCCAGAGCCGATGCTGTCAGAGGTGGCGCAGGCATTCTCCGTGCCTTTAGTGGTGCGCGGCACAAGCGAGAAGCAGAGGAGGCACATCGTATACACGACGAGGCGCACATGGAGACCATTGGAGAGAACGAGCACTTTGAGTGGGATGGTGTGCGGCGAAGAAGAACAGTCTCAACTGTGGGCGGCGGTGGGTCGATCATTAGGAGGAAGACCGTGCATCCACCTTTGGGAATGTCGCAATTCCCAACGGATGACGACGATGTGAGCGAGCCAGATAGTGAAGTCCATCCAGGCTTTTTCGGACGCATTGGTAGAGGAATCACCCAGCGCAGAAACAGAGGCCATAGCCCAGTCCCATTGGAGACCGTGACAGCCGACAAGATGGACACCGAGGACGAGGCTGTGCGAAGATCAGCACATCTGTACGGTCTAGCCCCTGGATCGCAGAAAGGCCAATTGGACGAAGTGTATGAAGATACTGCGTATCGCTCTCCAGCGGTGGCATCTGATGAAGCTGGCCCAGGACGCGTTCAGTGGGCAGGGGAGGAGCGGCCAAACTCAGCAACAAGCTCACTTGCGCCACCTCGTCCTCCGCCGCATGCGACTGGAGGAGCACCTACTGCGCGAAGACAGTTCTCTTTCCAGAACGTATTCTCCAGGAATCGCAGCGGCAGCGCAGCGGATGATGTCCACCGTCCCACATCTCGCGGCGCACTCTCCTTCGTTAGTAGAGGCGGAAGCTCACGTGGAGGTAACTATCCCGGCGCTTCAGGACCTGCCACCACCGAGGAGGAAAGGTTAGGACTTGTGCACGGAGACTCCAACAATGCCATGATGCCCGCTCCGCGAGGCACGGACATTGTCGAGGAGGAAGAGAGGAGCAGCGACGAGTGGGCTGAAGTCCCTCAGCGACGACTCAGCTCCAGCAGTCCCGAGATGATCAATGCTTCTGGTGATCTTGGGCGAAGAACGAGGGACCCCTACGCTGATGAACATGATGACAATCTTTACGACGCGCCGCCTCGACTGAGGAGTCCGAGCCCAGGAGATGACCGCGCAGGGGGATCGATTGGAAGCGGTGCTTTTGTTTGAGACTTTGGCTTGAAGCCTTGGATTTGGAGCGTTCAGCATGCAAAGGGCGATTTTGGGTTGTACACATGCGACAATGGAGGAGCATTGAATACTGTAGAATAGGTYTTTACGGAAACATTATGTCTGACGAATGCTCTACGGCTTCTCTGCTTGTGGCCGGACGATCGAGTGTATATGTGTAGCTTTCYCTTGCAGGTGAGATCATATTTCCATACACAGACGAAGCTCTTGCAAATCAAGACCAGCATGTCGCTTAGAGGGACAGAAGCATGGTCATTCATAGCAGGGATGTCCACCCTTTCACATTTAGCGCCAGGTCTGCTGCTGTGTTTCAGTCGCGTCTCGCTGACTGATCGTGAGGAAGCACAAATTAGGTGAGCACTTGAAGTTTTCGACTGGATTTTAATTATGCTCCTCTCTTCTCTTCTTCGTGATGTTACATACATAGTCGTTGCGACGCTCTAGCTCAATTGTATGTACAACCAAGAAAAACGCCCGACCTTAGATTCTCCATTCTCCCTGAAACAAACTCCCCCCATCGATGACACGAATGTCTCCTGCCCTGCCCCTGCCCCTGCCTTTCCAAGAAAGAAGCGGAGCCGTGTGGTAGGTCCGTCTAGTATCAAAACGCCGATTTCGATGATGGATGCTGTTGATGGTACGCTCATTCGCAATCGCAGCTGATATTGAACAATCAGCCGCGCAAGTCTATCGGCGGCGGCCGTACCAGTTCCTCTGGCTTTCCAGCATTCTCTCGTGCTTTTCGCTCGAGTTCAAGCGCTTCTCTTTCTCGCTCCTCATCCTCCTTTCGCTTCCTTTCCTCTTCTTCTTCTTTCTGCTTGCGCTCCTCTTCCTTATTCTCCTGCTCCTTGATTGCGATCTGCTTGATCTTTTCTTCCTGTGGTAGTGCGTTGAACGCTAGGGTGTCCTGATCCCACTTTTGCACGCACTCAACATTCCAATTGCACTTCTCGACCTCGCCGAAGATCGGGTGGTTGAATCGAGGGTGGGTCGTTGGCCAGCCAGATGCATGGTAATGGTGCTTAACCAGCGCTTGCTTCGCGTCGTGGTTCCCGGAGTCAGAATGGCCCTGGCCAGCTGCAAATGCCTCCACAGTCAAGACCAGCACACGTCCAACCAGGATCGACTCTTGCATGCTGTGGAAGGTGTCCCAGCTCACCTCTTTGCCGGTGCGCTTGGTAATGTCTTTCAGGATGGCCTCGGTGAATGCCGAGGGACCAGTGCCACTGATGACTTGGTCGAAGTCCAAGTGGATCTCCGAGATCTTGCACTTCTGCTCCTTGGCCACTCTGTGCAGCCACTTCATGATGTTCTCAATCAGCGTGAGCATCACCGGGAGCCGAGGCTTGCACATGAACGTCCATTGACAGAAGGATTTGCACTTGGAGCCCAGAACTGGGTGACGCGCAAAGTCGGGCTGATCAATCTCAATTCCCACAACCATATCAATGTCCGTCTCCTCCCATCGCTTGGGGATAAAGTTCTTGACCGGCTTGAGTGCCTCGACGTCAATGTCGGTGTATACGCCTCCCTCAACGTACATGATCATGTATCGCAGCAAATCTGCCTTGATGATGCGTGCCGTGAGCTCGCGGTAGACGTAGACAATGTCGGGCCGGTTGAAGCCCTCGGGGCCAAAGTGTGTTTCCACATATGCAAGGTCATTCTCGTCCGTGAGCACTTCGTAGCGGAAGTCGGGGTTCTTGATGATCCACGTACGCGCTGTGTTGTGGTCGCGCTCCTCAAACATCATAGGGTCGACCTTCCATGTTTGCCAAATCTTCCTCGGAAAATGTGATTGCTTCGATTGGAATAAGCTGGTGCTCACGGTGCCAGTAGAGCCGGTTAGAAAGACCAGAAATAGTATTAATGCTATGCATGCGGGTAATGTGCGCTGGAGTTGCTTGGGGAAGCCGATGGTGGGCACGGAGGAGAAGAGTTCCTGACCCTTAGGCATGGCACCCATTTTCATGTCGCCGTTGGATTTGCGGGCGTGCGACAAGCGCCGCGTGAGGGAGATTTTGGGCTGCAGCGTGGCGTCTTACGGCGGGGKGGGTCTTCGTCGCCAGGCAGGACGAAGGGTGGATGGAGGGCGCTAGCGCGTGAGGCTTCTAGAAAGTTGCCTCTGTAGCAATGGTAGGGGGAACCCAGGAAAGATCTTGCGAATTTGTCGGAGGCCTTGCACGTCCTACTCCGCACAACGCGTTGCAGATGTCGTCAATGCGAGGACTCGTATGCTCGCGGAAAGGGAGAGCCAAGGCGGTCGCACGGCGGAGAGCGGAAAGAGGTGACGACGGTGTTGTTTGCCGTGTCGAAGCAGGAGAGCTGCAAGGGACAGACGGGAGACGGAGGACAGAAAATCGACCAGCGAAGATTGACTAGCACGCATCAAGATAGATGTAATGATTAAGAAATGGAACCGCATGCGCTCATTGGATCCAACTGTAGTGACCACTCCGCTTCATTGGGATCGCAATAGCGCGAGCCTCGCCCGGTGGGGCCCGAATTTCGCTTTGCCACACGAAATCTCCAGACCTCTCAACCTCCCAGGAAAATTGGCCACTATGCGCACCGAGGCTCATATTGGTGTGGTGTGGCCGATCGGCCTCTTTCTACCGATCGGCATCACCCGCGCCAAATGTGGTATTGCATGCAGGCTCAAGCGTGAGACGCCATGCGCAGCGGGTGGGACGCCTCGGTGATGGGATGGGAGATCAGGAGCAGTATGTCCTTGATGCTTGTCGGCAATGCATCACAGTATCCGCACACAATCGCGAAAATTTCACGCACACCACATGCCCTCGAGTGCACGCCATGGTCTTGGGAGGCAGAGTTGAGGTAAATTTGGCAGTGAGATACTGCATTTGGCGTGCGCAACGGTCTGGTTCACCGGCTTTAAGATATGAAGCATATCTTAGTAAACGTTGTTGCACCCGTACCACATCGCTCCCCTCTCCTGAATCCTATCGAATTCCTTCGTTTATTACTCTGCGTTTATTGAAATGAGGCGGAGAATTTGGGCGGGCTGGCCAAACGCCTCGATCGAGGGGTTGATCAAGACTCGAAAGAACATTTCGGCATCTTTGTGAATAGTGTGGGGTTGATAATGCATGGCAACGCCTTGTTGAACAATAGGCCAACCAGCGTCCGCGATCCGAACTCTCTCCTTGCGGGACACGGAGGTCGTGATTTCCAACTTTGACATGTGACGAAAGAAGGTACGACTGCGAGGACCTGGCCCGAGCGTGAAACGAGCACAGTCCGGCTCACGGGCCACAGACTAAGGTAGGATCCTGGTGCGGGAGCAGCCTAATTGCTCTTCTCGGCTTCTTGTCCGGCCACCGCGTCACCCTGGCGTTTCTTTACATCGAAAGTTGCACTTACCCAAGTAATCCCGACCCGTGAGTGCAGCGCGTCTTCCCAGCATTGCGATCGCAAGGTCGTGCACAATGAAGAATCAGGACATGGATGAGAGAGTCGATGGGATGATGGAAAAGGGCGAAATGGACAATGGTCAACTCCGTCTCCTAGCGCAGCCCGAGGATGAGCAGAGGGAGAGAAACGCTACACCCACCAACACACGGGGTGGCTCGCGAGTTTTGAACACGCTCGCAGTCATAGCCTCAGCCTTACGGCCAGGCATCCTACGGCGGACACCCAAGCACACTCAAACGCCCAAGCTGCGACGAACTGCGTATCTGGACGGGCTGAGAGGCTTCGCGGCCTTTTTGGTCTATCTGCTTCACCACGAGCTGTGGGCACATTCGTGGGAAGGTAGCGATATATTGGAGAATGCTTGGGGATGGGATGGGAAGTACTTTCTGGCCGCCCTTCCTGGTATTCGCGTCTTCTTTGGCTCCGGCGGGCATCTGGCCGTCTCGACATTCTTCGTCATCTCTGGCTATGTCCTCACAGCAAAACCGCTCTCCTTGATCCAGTCGGGAGATCACTTGAAGTTGAGCGAGAATGTTGCATCTGCGCTGTTCCGTAGATGGCTGCGCCTCTTCATCCCCATCTGGATTGTCACCCTCATGATCATCAGCGTGCCGCACGTTTTTGGAATCAAGTGTGGCTTCAACAACGTGGATTCATTTGGTGAAGAGCTGTGGAATTGGTACGCCGCCATGAAGAACTTCACGTACATCTTCAACAACACTCTGTTGGTCGACTATCATCCACACACTTGGTCTATCCCAATCGAGATGAAGGGATCGATTGTGGTCTACACCACTGCCATGGCATTCTCACGATGCACCAGGAATGCTAGACTTTGGTGTGAATGCGGATTAATTTTCTACTTCATGTACATTGTCGATGGAGCTCACATGGCCATGTTCGTTGCGGGAATGCTTCTCTCGGATCTCGATCTTCTGGCCCTGAACGATGATCTCCCTGCATGGATGTACAGGCTCAAACCCCACAAAACGAAGCTGGCATATGCTGTATTCATCATTGGCCTCTACCTTGGAGGTGTCCCCGCCAACAGCTCAGATATCATGCACCTGAGAGCCTCTAAAGGCTGGTATTACTTGTCCTTCTTCAAGCCACAAGCAGTCTTCGACTTCAAATGGTTCTTTCTCTTCTGGGGCGCGGTTTCCATGGTCATCTCGGCACAACACGTCCCATTCCTGAAGCGATTCTTCGAATCCCGCTTCTGCCTCTACCTTGGCCGCATATCGTTCATGTTCTACCTCTTCCACGGCCCAGTTCTGTGGATTCTCGGAGACAGAATCTACGGCGCCGTAGGGTATGTGACGGAAAAGCGAATGCTAGAGATCCCGACCTGGGTCAACCTTTTTCCAGTCACCAACTGGGGAGTCTACGCGCTGGAGGTCAGGTATCTGCTTCCGCATCTTATCCTGCTGCCCGTGACGTTCTGGGTGGCGGAATTGGGAACTACATTTATCGATACGCCTTGCAATGATTTCGCACAGTGGGTATACAGGAAGACGCTCCCGGCATCGAGTGATCGCGATCGTCAGAACGAAAGGAGTAAAAACAGTCCATAGATCTGCAGCAATACAGTAGAAGTGCCGTTGTCTGATGATCATGCTGGTGTCGCTCGTATCGTACGAGTGGGCTTGCTCGTACCTGCGTGAATTAAGGTAAACTGTGAAAGTTCCCTTATTGGTTCTGCATGACACAACAGATGTACGGTAGCTTCACAGCCGCGCACATCATCGCTCCTATCGTTTTAACGCCGTTCAGTCCTTAGAGGGGTAGTGTGTAGGTAAGAAGAGCAGGACTTGAGCGGTTGCCAGTGTAGCTAACATCCACCGACCGAATGCAACACCTAGCCTAGGAGGTAAGGTAGCGCGGAGAATTATGAGCCCGACATCTCGGTAGCCAATCAAAATGGGTTCACCCCTAAGCAAGCCCCCGAAATAAGCCCGATGCGGTAGCAGTCGAACGGGCGTTTGAGAATCTGACTTGTCTTGAATCCACTTGGAAGACACGGTTCCCAACCCTCGCTCGCCTTGAAGTTCAAACCGAAAGAAACTCGCACATTTTCGCGCCTCCCTCTATACCGAATTCCGTCATCGGCTCTCGACGGGCCATGCTTTCTAGCACGCCGCGAGACATCATCATCAAATCACTCAATATCCCAGTGCCGTCGTGCACTTCACGCTATGCTGCCCATCCTCGAAGGAAGGAATGCACACAAAAGGACTTGAAGAACTGAATGTCAATCCAAACGTCCCATTTGTGCTGCCCGTGAATTGGATGCTCGCGCTGGAGTTCGTCTTTGTGAAGCCGATTCCAGCACCAACTTCCATCTCTTCAGGTCGAATGGTGTATCCTCCTCCTAGACCGAAACTTGAGGAACCGGCTTGAAGGCCACCTACAGATCCAAACAGTCAATATCGAGGTAACATTAATTTTCCGTGGAATTATTTCCTCGCCTGCTCACCTCCATATGACACTCCCTCCGCCCAGTTTATACCACATCCAACACCAATTCCTCCAAATGGCGCAAGATTTCCCGAAGCGGAGACATCTCCGGTACCGCTGGTGCCGTTGACATTCTTGCTGAGGTTGTTGATGTCGACTCCTCCAGACGATTGGCGTGGGTGTAGGTGGCTGGCGGTCGCGTAGTAGGTGAGTGCCAGGAGAGTTACGAACGCAGTTTGAAATGCCATTTTCTCTCTCTCTCTTCAGAACAACTTAGGGAGCGACGTGGGTTGGGATGTCAGAAAGTACGCTGATAATGCCGTGAGGTAGTGGTCGAAAGAAGATGAATGTCCTTCGAGAATCTCATTTCTGTTGTTTAATGAGATGCTGTTTTCATCCCTGCCGGCTCATCGGGCTATCCGAATTAAAGGCCTGATTGTGCTAGGTACCCTCGTCCTAGGAAGCACGCACGAGCTCTTTCACGACTGTGCCAAGATATGGGCAGGTCACGACTCATGTCATCTSTATGATGGAGAAGAGTTCAAAATCTGATTGATAGATCTGGGTCACATCACCTGGCTAGTTTCTACAGCGACGAGAGTGGTGACATCTCAAAGGGTCCTCGCCGCAAGGAAATATCTCAAGTACCTCGACGCCGCATGGATGAAAGCCTGTCTGACGGAGAAACCCAGTCAGCGTACCGTTATCATACAAGCGTATGGCCTCCAAGCAATGCCACACTGTAAGACGGAGTCTTTTCGTCTTCTGATGATCCAGGACCGATGCCCGCATCGACGGTCTCGTTCCGGGGTCCAGGAAACATGATGGAGCCATCGGGACCCTCCACGAGGGCTGCAACATCGCGTTGACGAGACCGATCCGGTGGTGACCGATGTGGAAGAGCCTCTAACTCGTCCTGCCAGCCATCATATCCCGACCCTTTCAATGCGGTGTAAAGCAAGTGCGCTTTACCATCTCCAATATGCGCAAGTAGCTTGTGTCGCTTCGATCCTCCTGGTTTCCGACTCTTCCGGTTTTCAACGCAAAGCTCAAGCGTCCAAGAGGTGATGATGATTGCACAACTGACAATTATCACGATCAATACTCCCACGAGTAGGAAAGACTGGTACTGGTCTGTACTCCTGACCAGCTGTTGGTGGCATAATTCCTCAAGCGCTGGTGCATAGGAATCTTGCCAGTTTCTAGGAGCCACAACGCTATAGTCGATTGAATCGCTCGTCTGCCAGTCGGCAGGATTGCGCCTTGAAGCCCAGTCGTTGGTTGGAAAGTCGACGATACGGTGTTGTATATTTGCGAGAGTAGTCTGGAACCATTTGGTAGTCTCCAAGTGCCATTGTGTTTCGGGTAAGCCGGGCGAATTTGTTCCTAGCACTAGAAGGTCGTTTGCAAGTAACGCGGTAGAACGGAGACTGGAGACGACGTGCTGCGGATGAGAGACCGCATGTGCGAGTACGATTCTAGCGGCGGTGGCCTTTTGAGTGTCGCTCAGGCCGAGGGTCTCAGTATAAGGCATAACCTGGATCGAGCCYTTGGGTCCAGAGCATGAACCTCCCACCGCTGGATTGCAGATCTCGATTTGGTCTGCGCAGCCTACGATGTTGAACCACCTGTCTGACAAATACTACGACAACGATCAATAATGTCCCTAGAGCATGTGAAAGGGAGGAACCCACCCAGGTCTGTTCATTGACAGGAAAGCTAGTGTTTGCAGCATAGAGAGGATCAAACACGGGCATTTCGTAGGAGACGCTGTTCGCAGCGACAAAGACAAGACTTGTATCTGCATCGGAGAGATTGAGTGGAGAAATCGGATACCAGCCATTAGGATTGGTGCTCCGTGGTCCTGCATAGTTCAACATGGTTCTAATGCAGGACTGTCAGTCTTGCCTGAGATGYCGCGTGTTCACTCGACACTCACTGTACAGTATACGGGAGGTTGAGACTTGTCGCCAGATTCTTGTGCTGCCATGTGTAGTTCGAACCTGTGCCATTGAAACCGACTCCGCCATAGTTAATGTCGAAGATGGTAGAGTTGTCATTGCTGTTGGGATCGGGCTTGAAAGTTGTGTAGTCCTTGTAACTCAAGACGGAGCAAGTTGTCGAAAATCGAAAGTTCACCCGGTCATTATCTCTGGCATTGATGCCAAGATGAGTTTGCGAATTAAGAATGCCAGTGTCCAGACCGAAAGCATTGTCAGCCATCTTGAGGCAGAGCTCTCCGAACCTGCATATGGCCTCTGTGTTGTTGGTGAACGGCAGTCGCTGTACAGGCAGGTTGGTGCAGCCCAGACTGCCATTAGGAYTGTTGTAACATGCTTCGACGTATGCCCGGCTCTGTCGAATATCTTGAACGTGTTTCGAAGTGTAATCGTAGTTGGGAGAGGAGTCGTTAGTGGCTCCGACAACTTCCATTCCACAGTTGGTCGGCCGCAAACGTATCACGTTGACCTCGTGGGCGCTGATCGCAACCTTTGCCACARAAACACTTGCAGCGATGAAAGCAATCTTGATGATCAAAGGCCAAAGAGCGAGGCAGTAGGCTTTGACCTTGGCGTGGCTGAYCGAACCACTCCATGCGTGTCCAACTTGAACAATTTCTAGGGCGCTAGCAGTCGAGCTGCCCGCGTTACGCAGGATGACTTGGAATGTGCGGGAAAGGCCCGTCTCTGGTTTGCCGCTGGCCCGATACTGATGTAGTGCGAACGCAGCAATGGTCCATGCAGCCCCTCCCGCCGTGGTAACCAGGACAGCCAGAGCGGCAACTATCAGGGCACCGCTTGAGGCAGGAATGGTAACAGTCCACCCAGCTGCGACATTCGAGGCATGATTCATCCTAGATAGAACAGAAAGCGTCAGCGCTTCATGGAGTATGTAGTATGGAGTGGCCTGGTTACCAAGGTCGCCACACCAAAGCGTCGTATCCGGACATGGCTGGCGCTTTCTTGCGTTTCCACAGAAAGGAAGATTGTCGGCAATGATAACAAGATGGTCTGGTGCACGACAACACGGATCGACGGATTAATGAGAGGCAAAGAGGAACAGCACGACCCGTGAGGTTTTGTACCGTTAGCGTTACGAGCGTGTGGTATCAATGGTCTGACCTTCATGCATGCCTACTGCGATGGCGTAGAGACGCATGGCCTGGACCTTTCTCGTCTGTAGGAGCATACACCACAGCAAAATGTGAATCATGGTCCAGTGCCTCAGCTGACCCCAGACACATACCATTCTCGGCTGTACTTGGGGAGCTTAAATGGAAACTTATCCTGGACGAGCATGCTGTTTACGGCTCGGTGGCGTGGAATTGGAGGCCAGTGTGCTCGCCATGCACGCGACAATCAGGTTCGGATATCATGGGCCTAATGCCGCTCTTGGCAGGACCAAGCACACATTCCCGGATAGGCAATTCTTCTTTAGTGGCGTTTCGGACTCGACAAGGCGTATAATGCTTGAACGGATACACCAGCTCGGCGGTAGGAGCATGTCTCCATCCCACTGGGTCTCTCGGCAAATCGACGTGGTCGAATTTACAGGAAAGCTTAGATCATTCCAAGAACTTGGGGAAATCCGCGAGAATGGTGTCACAAGCATGCTTGGCAGTTTATTTCGAGCTTGAGTCCGGGCAGGCTGCATGTTGGCGTCTGACACATTAGTGACACTGCAATGCATCTCTCAGCCTTGCCACGGGCGATCCCCGAAGAATTGACGGCCAGGCCGATGTCAAGATCTCCCTCCATAATGCTAGTCCATGTATCCAATAGAAGTCGGTATTAGCGGCGAGCGGGCGTCTTGACAAGGATTTGACGTGCATATGCACACAGGCTGTCTCTCGCGCGACCAGAAGCCACGTGGTTGCCTGCAGGCAAAGAAAACTCCAAGATCAGAGATGAGGTGAGACGGAGCTCGATATCCTCCCTGGATCTGGCACTACCTGGCAAGATGAGCTTTGCCCTCATGAATGAAATTGTTTTCCCCATGACATCGAAATCCGACGGCCGATCGAACTCAAGCAGCAGAATTGGATACTTGCGGTGCTGCGCGATGTGAGCTTTGAAGTAGACACCCTATCCTATTGATGTCGCAGGACACCCACGTTAAAGCTTTCTTCCGTGTCAATTCGTTGTCGCAATCTGAGCAGACCACTGGCCTGACGGCTCAAGGCTCGACTCATATGGAATACCARCAAACCCAGACCTGAAACCTGGAGTCATCGAGGCGACCAAGTGCTAGGTCCTGCAGTCCAATATTTGCGTTGAGGATACAGAAAATAGGCGTGGAGGACTGCTGAATGAGGTCAATCCTGGAGGGGGTCTCTGTCATTCGGTCAGCGACTCTGCCAATGAAGAACGCTGAGACTCCCCGCAAGCAAAGCTGTGGCGCAAGACCATGATCTAGACGATTCAAGCAGCCTCATAAGGCCTTCCTCTGGTGAATCACATTGTCTCGCCAACTGTATTCACAGATTGGTCTGACGCGGTACGCAGGTCCTGGACGCATTGACACCTGTCTCGTCGAAATTCAGTACCTCATTCGTTCATCCACGGAATGCTGGCTCGTTAAACATGCGAATTTTGGCAATAGATATATTACCTTGCATGGTCCACGACGCTCGATGGATAAGCCTACAGGAGGTGGCTGTGTGTACCATAGTGTAGCACTGTAGACATAGAAAAAGCCGCTCCGCTAATCTTCATTTCAATCTCATCCTGTCGCATCGCCTGGCTACCTGTATGGCGCGTCTGCCCTCGCCACAGCCGCCAATTCCGGCTCCCACTTGTCTCCGTTCGACAAGAGCTTCTCCTTGTTGTACAGCAGCTCTTCCCTAGTCTCTGTGGCATACTCTGCGTTCGGTCCTTCCACAATGGCATCTACTGGACATGATTCCTGGCAGAAACCACAGTAGATGCACTTGGTCATATCGATATCGTAGCGTGTCGTACGTCTGCTGCCGTCCTCACGCTCCTCGGCTTCGATGGTAATAGCCTGTGCAGGGCAGATGGCCTCGCACAGCTTGCAAGCAATACAGCGTTCCTCGCCTGTTGGGTATCGGCGTAGGGCGTGTTCGCCACGGAAACGTGGCGAGATCGGGCCCTTTTCGAATGGATAGTAGATGGTGTATCTGAAGGTCCCATGTCAGTACCTCAACCGGGCATTACCAATGAAGCCAAAGACACATACGGTGGACGGAAGTACTGCTCCAGGAGCACGTACATTCCCCTCGCCATCTCGGTGRGCAGGAAGTAATTACCGGCCTGGTCGAGCAAGCTTTCCTTCTGCTGGTTCCATCGCGCGGGTGTCTTTATGCGAAATCCCTCTGGCGCCGGGCCTTCAGTCTGTCCTCCCAGGGCGGGTCGTTGTGTCTGCGCGGAGGTTGAAAAAGCTGATGCGGAGCTACGTGCTGCGACGAGGCGCGAGGCGGTGGGTCGCGAGCGAGCCAGTGCTGTCAATGTCCGCGGCGACGCCATTGTGAGTGCTAGGGACCGTAGTGGGATGGGTGGGAGTTGGACAGTGAGGTGAAGCGAGAGTCGCCTCTCGATTCCAGAGACACAGCGGCGGCCAATCAGACGCACTGCTTACACTCCACGAACTCTATTTACATTTACTTCACTTCACTTCACGGTATGGAGATTCTTGTGACGACATACAAGCTCTMTCTCCTGATGAGATGTCTTCCGATCGCTTCCCCAACAAGTATGTGAGATGACGCCGCCCATTGGATTCGTAAAGCCTCCGCCTCTTCGATGTTTCCAAGCGCGCTTCTCAGCTGGTGGGTGATAATAAACGAATGTGGAAGGTCGAGTCGATTTTGCCCTTGCCCTCATTCGTGCGCCATATGTTAATGGCTCTTGTAAGGCAGATGACCTAGAGTGAACCCATGTCGAGTGCAAATGTACATGTATTGTCCAAAGCTTTGAGCTAGGTATCCTCCAGTCCCAGCCTGTTATTCACATATTCCCGGACTGATTTGTCCGCATCCTATCTACTGCCCAAGTCGATATGGACACTAGCAGCAGGGCTTGCTCGTTTCATACCCGAAAACTACTCCCAATCTCCTATGCATACTGCCTTATGGCATAAGCATGCTGTATGGTTGCGTTCGCTGGTGGAGGCAAAGGTTTGTAGCAACAACTCTCTGCTGAAATGCTCTGTGGACTGTCAGGGATCCTGCCTCTTAACCAAAAGAGGCATCTGGAAATTTCCCTGGCCGATAACCGGTCAGTCCTTTACAGCTGCGCGCGTGGTGATGRGACCCTCCATCTGTTCGRGATTATACTACCCACCACCATTGCTGAGCACAATAATATCGTCAAGACGCATTTCGTGCTTTCACAAACTGGGCTCCGTTGCATACTTTGTGAATCAGTCTTTGGTGTGGTATCCGTTGAGATCCGGCAAAGTAACGAAGATTGTCTGGAACAGAACGCTGACCTCGTTCGGCCAACGCATGGAAAACATATCGAAGAGCCCTTGCAGTACCGAGTCGCAGAACACGGATACGGCTGCTTGTTCGTTGAGTCTGAAGTACATGTGTAGTTAAAGAGCGACATTGTTAGCGTCCTGGACTCTCCGAGCCGCACATGGGCGTGATCCGCTCAGCGGCCTGTTGCAGACTCCGGATCTCTGGCGGGTCCCAAATACGATGTTATGCAGAGTTATCATCGGTTGATTCTTAGAACATCCAGAGCGGGTAAGCGAGACAGAGTCGTCGAGACCCCAGGCCTGCTCATCCCAAGTCACACGCTGCGAAAGGTACTTTCTTGCAAGTTCGTTAAGAACGTTGTTGATTGTACAAGGGCAATCAGAGGAGCTGCGGCGGCGGTCATTGATAAGAAGACAAGCAGGAGTGAGAGATGGTCTTGAGAAAGAGCGAGCTCGAACGCGTGCGACATGCACCAATGAGTTTGGCGATGCGGGTCTAGCAAATGGGACGGCCTCGTTGGCTACGGTAAGCCGAGCGAGACAAATGGCGTCCTAGCTTCCGTTTCAGGAGACTGTCCAAGAGGAAGCCTCCAGGTTACCCCAGTCTCGAAGGGAGCGACTTTAATTCTGCGACCTCTGCTTGTCGTTTGAAATATTGCTGAAAATTGCGCCCTTTGCTTGTAGGTGTGGTCATGCTAGCATATGATATGGATGTCCAGGCCCATTGATGTGCTTCTGTGCGCCAGAGCCTGCCATCGCCATCCGGGAGTATGGCGGTGACGGCAGAGATGTTGGAATCACTTCCATATCTCCGTACATTCCTGTGACACGGGGAGAAGCTTGGGCATGTCAGTTCTCACATTATCCTCGCCGGCAATTCTTGTTAGATGGGTGTCTGAGCCAGAGCGATGGATTGACGCGCGAAGGAGTGCGCCGACAACCTGTTCCTGAGGTTTAAACTTGGGTCATGGTCTTGTGTCGATGACAGTTCGCGCGTATAGTAATCTGCGCTCTGTTGGATCGACGGTTCAAGAATGCGTTTGAATGCTCCGGAAGAGGAATTTGGTGTGAAAGGCAATCGATGAAAACGGCTGTAGGTAGCTTATTATGCGTGCTGTGAAATTCCAATCAAATTGAATTACTTACTTTCCTCCACATCATTCCACCTCCGCAGCTACCAAAACAACGCGCTCTAGAATCTGGTGTAGACACGATCAAAACTCGTCTTGAATAACGTGCAGATGTCGCCACMTACCTGCGACTTTACCATGTGAAGCACACATAACCAACAATCCCCCGATAGAAACACCCTCAAATGCGCCTGTGGACGCCCGAAGGCCTCCTGTATCCGATCACGGTTACGAAGCTGCTACGGCGGCCAGGAGATGCCATCGAGATCAATGCGCCGCTGTTTGTGTACGAGTACAAGAGCACTGAGCTGGAATGGAATGAGGATGTGCGCGAGGAGGTGACGGTGACGCGAACATGGCCGACCAACTTCGAGAGCGAACTGGAGGGAAAGGTAGAGTCGCTGGACGTGGAGGTCGGCCAGGTCATCACGCGGCGCACCGTGGTCGCGCATATCGAGGAGGCATGCACACACGAATCGCAGTTTGGTGGCATGTGTATTGAGTGTGGCAAGGATATGAGCCAGCGGACGAGCTACAACCAGACCGTGGCCGGCACTTCGCGAGCGACCATCAACACCGTCCACGGACGTACAGAGCTCCTTATCTCGGCTGGAGAGGCGGCCAAGAACGATGAGGAGGCGCGGCGGCGACTGTTGGATGCCCGTAAGCTGAGCTTGGTCGTCGACCTCGATCAGACCATCATCCAGGCAAACGTCGAGCCCACCATCGGAGAGTGGAAGAATGATCCCACAAACCCTAACTGGGAGGCTCTACAGGACGTTTGCATGTTCCAGCTGGTGGACGACGGCCGAACGTGGTATTATGTCAAGCTGCGGCCCAATACTAGGAACTTCCTCGAAGACATGTCGGAGCTATTTGAGATGCACATCTACACAATGGGGACGCGTGCCTATGCCGATAACATCGCCAAAATCATTGATCCGACGCGAAAAATATTTGGTGATCGCATCCTCTCCCGTGACGAGAATGGCAGCATAACGGTCAAGAACTTGAAGCGCCTGTTCCCCGTGGATACGCGGATGGTCGTTATTATCGACGATCGCGCTGATGTCTGGAAGTGGACGCCGAATTTGGTGAAGGTCAACCCCTTTGAATTCTTCCCTGGCGTGGGAGACATCAACAGCATGTTCCTACCCAAGCGTGATGAGGTAGAATTGCCCAGGGCAGCCAAGATGGAGCGAATACCGTCAAAATCTGCAGATTCGAGCAGCCTTGAACCACCCTCCGAATCAGCGTCCACATCCACTRCACCTTCAACATTACCGCAAGCAAATAGCGAGGTTTCAGCACTCGATCAGATCGTTTCCATGGCAGGCGATCAGGACGCCAAGAGCGTAAAGGAGAAGTCAGAAGAGCAAGAGCAGACAATTGCAGCACAAGTTGAGGATCGACCGCTGCTTCAAAAGCAGAAGATTCTAGATGAGCTTGAAAATGAGGCCAACGCATCATCGCCCGCGGTCGAGGCAGCTGCAGAGCTTTTGGCTGAAAACGGCGAGATCAAAAAGCAGACCCCCGCACAACCTGCCCCACACAAATACCGTGCCAACTTACTCCAAGATGACGACGAAGAACTGCTCCATCTTGAACAGCACCTCCGCAGCATTCACACAGCATACTTTGATGAGTTGGACAAAAAGGCGGCCGGCACCAAGGGTGGCAGGATTGCCGAACTTCGTCCAGGTCACAGCAAGAAGCGCTCCATTGATGAACTGGACAACATCCCAGACGCTGCCCCAATCATCTCATCAATGAAAGCAAGGGCTCTCGCGGGTGTGCACATCGTGTTCTCCGGTGTCATTTCCCTTGGAGTGGATGTGCTCTCCCATGACATGACCAGATGGGCGCAGAGCTTCGGAGCCGTGGTGACTGAAAACATAACCAAAAAGACGACTCATGTTATCGCCAGTCCCGAGCGAAGGACTGCGAAGGTGCGGCAAGCGGCTAAGAAGGCTGGCAGAATCGCCATTGTCAGCATGAGCTGGCTGACAACCTGCTTTATGCAATGGAAGAAGGTGGACGAGACGCCTTATAGAATTCACCTGGATGCTTCCGCTAATGGTGCCGGAGGCCTGCCAGAGGGCTTCGAAGGCAAGGACTTTGCCCTCTCCTCGTCTGRTGAAGAAGCCGCACAGACGGATGCTGAAGCAGATGCGGACACACCAGACCCCGATGGAGACGCAGTTCCAAATGGTACTGCAAATGCGCGAAAGGCTCCTAGCCTTACTGTCGACACGGAAATTGATACCGATAGCGAGGAGCTCGCAAAATACGCGCCGTCGCTCGAGAGACAGGACAGTTCACCAACGGAGCTAGAGCAGCCAGATGCCTGGGACGATATCGACAACGAATTCGCGGAGTTTATGAACGGCGAGGATGGGACAGAAACCGACGACAGTGRTGCAGAGAGCTTCACTAGCGGAGCTAGCGATATTAGCAACGACTCTGTAACGCCGGTGAACCCAACCTCCTCTGCCAAGAAGCGAAAACTATCTCAGGAGGAGTCAGATGGTGAGGCCAGTGCCACACGACTGCAGAAGAGGAAAAAGGAGGCCTTGGAAAGGACTAGCAGCCTTACCAACTTCGTGGATCGACCTGGCAGCAGTGAGCCTGGCTCTTCACCTGCACCGGCAATTGAACCTGCTGGTGGCGAGGACACCGACGAAGATGATGATCTGGAGGCGCAGCTTGCAGCCGAGATGGAGAGACTGAGCGATGATGAATAGCCGGKTTTGAATGCAGTATGTTGGTCTTAGCGGAGGAGTTGAAACGGCGTCCGGGAGATTTGCATACGAGGTGTCTGGCGGTATGAGGGAAAGATTTGTTGGGGGTTCCATAGCGCATAAACGCCTCAAGCAATTGGATCGAGTTCAACTTGGTAGTACCGCCTGAGACCCGACCACCATGAAGGCATGATGTGAAGCCTCTTCGCGAATCGAAGGAGCGGGGCGAGCGCATGCTAGACATGAGCTCCGACACGGAATCATGCGTTTAAAAGTCGTCGTAATGTGCATGTCGTGTTTTGTCAACCTGCCTTAGTAGGCTCACTTCGGCGGCAGCCGGGACCGATATCCGTTCTGCGCTTAGTTCCTTCGAGGTGAATCACCGCTTCACCGGACCGGATCTCAAAGTGTCATCTCAACACCGCAGCCTGGTAGCAATATATGTGCCATCGGCCATTGGCTCTTGTGCCCAAGAAACCGTGGCGCGCGGGGCGGTCCCAGTACCGAGAGCTACAAATAGTGGGCCTCTCCAGCTCCTCTACTTGCTACAACGGAAGTATCTGTCGATTGGGTGGTACAAAGTGCAAGGCTGCCTGCGCCTCACTTTAGAAAGTCATAGCCTCACTGACCGGCTTTGTTCACAAGCTAAAGCAGTGCCGTTCACTCTTGCTGTGAGGGTATCCTGGTTAGTTGAGACAGCGCACGCGCAAGGCGGTGCCGCGTATGTGAACAAACACACCTTCAACMTCCAACTCTCTCTCAACTGCGCCCGATCACTTCGGACCAGACATTACGACTCACAAGCGCGATCCTCGAATGAACTTGGGGCAGCTAAACAAATCGGCAGCGACGGTGACGACTCCCGGTCTGGAATACGGTCTTACAAGACCTGGATCGCCTTTAGTTGGCAGTGAGATGGCGACTCAGGTGGAGACCGAGACCAAGACGATGAGCGCGGCAGCGAGCCTGAAGAAGGCGGACAAGAAGACGTTTCAAAGTCTCTCAAAGGAGATCAAAGAGCTGGTGATTGAAAAGGTACATATCTTCACACGGCCGCTATGGATGAAAGTGGACACTGATCGCAAGCCAGGTCATCCGGCCTTCCGACCTCAAGAAGCTCTGTCTCGTCAGCAAAGAGTGGCACGAGCTCGCCGTGCGCTTTCTATACCGCAATGTTGCCCTTGATCTGGGTAGCCCGATGGACAACCGCCTCTCCGCATTTATCAGTCCCAAGAACATTGGTCTCAAGCACATCAAGCAGCTCCGGCTATATCTTGCACCCGTGCCTGACAGATGCAATCAGGAGCAACAAGCTCACTTCGCTACGCGCATGATTCTCGAGTTCTTGCCGGAAGACATCCTAGAAGAGTTCAGGTGTGTACACCACAGATCAACGGCAAGGGGAGATGATGATGACAATGGGTGAACTACATCTCGGTGATTGTCGGGGATTTGGAACAGGGCGATGCTAACATCGGGTGTAGCTGGTGTCCATGGAAGCCCTTCTCTACGGAAAATCTTCTCTTGCTCTACAGCAAACAGCGCAAGATGAAATGGTTGGAGGTCATGGATGTGGACGAGCCAGCTTTGCCACTCCTCAAGAAGAACAAGCGCGTGCAATCGCTCATGTTCAAGAACGCACGCAAGCTAGCACTATACCCTGAGAATCGCGAAACGCTCGATCTGAGTGGCTATTTCGTGGAGAAGACCGCGCATCAGCTCGAAGAGCTGATTGTCCATTGCAACTTCTTACCAGACACGCGTAACGCCATCGAATCGCGGGACTTGAACGACTCTGCAACCGCTCCCGGTCTGGTAAGTGACATTATGGTTGCAAGTGGCATTGAGAATTCGGCATTCGCCATTCAGATCTCCTTTGCCTTTCTGTTTTTCCCTTGTCTGCAAAGAACATCAGTCCCATTCCAACGAGGAGGCCTCCGCCGAACGTAGCTTCCAGAGAATGCTCCACGAATTTGTTCGACAAATTGCTGACCAATCTCTCCTTCCCGCAGGTAACGAGCACAATCTTCAGATGCATGACGCCTTTCGATAAGTGTTCACCTTTCCCAAACCTCAAGTCGCTTCGCCTGCACCGAGTGAGTCTAAGGTATTGCGCGGACACGTGGTGCAAATTCATCAACTTCCACGACTTACAAGCCTTGCGGCTTTACCACTGTGCCGGCGCCGACACGCTGTTCGGTCAATTGAGCAAAGCGAACCATTTGCCGAGACAGCTCAAAGTACTGGAAGTGCAGCATCGAGACAACGCCGAGAACGAAGCATTGGTGGCTTTGGACGGCTTCCTCTGTCTCGTTTCTGGTCTGAGAGATCTCGTCATTGATCTCGAGCACGTCAAGGCAATGCCCGCCGCAGCTGGAATCATCCGTCATGGGAAAACGCTCGAGCTTTTGAATGTGCACTGTGCCGGCCAAGCGAGCCACAGTACTTCTAGTGAAATTGATGGTGCCGAGCTTGTCTGGGACACAGACGACTTTCACGACATTTGCACTGCGTGCAAGGACCTGGAACAACTCAGCACTGCTTGGCCGCACACGAGTCTCATAAGGACTCCGAGTGACGAGTGGACCTCGTTTGAACTGAGCAGTCAAAAACTACGGAGCATGGTAACGCTCCACATCACAAACTGGCCGACCAATAAGCCTAGTACGCAATTACTTCCCCGGTCAGTGTATGAGGCTCTGTTGCAAACTTTGGCACAGCGTAGATTTGAGATCGCAGCGGGCTCGCATTCCTCAATGGAAGACGACGATGACTCCTCCGAGGACGGCGACGGTGATGCCGGTGCTGAGGTCGCGATGGCAAAGGCACCAGAAGTCATCGAGCCTCCTTCGAGACTCCGCTTGATTGCTTTTGGCACCTCGGACAAGATTTATGAGCGTGAGGACTCACGGAATCAGATCTTGTATCTAAAGAGCACTGCCAAGGATGCAGAGGGTCGACAGCAAGCCTATGCGGCCCCTGTCGGGTGGTGTCTGCGGCAATTCATCGAGCCCCGAAGTGAAGTCCTGGACTTTGTGCTACACAAGAGTGGAGACAGAGACAGCAGACCGCCTTGTAGAGAGTTTAGGGATTCGGGTGGATGGGGCGATGATGATGAGTGAGTGGTGCGTGTCCCGATATCTCTACGTTGGCCAGCTGTAAGAGCAAGGGGCTAACGATGCCATGCAGAGTTGACCTCAGCCGGAAACTTGCTCGGGTTGCTGCTCTACAGAGGCTGATCCGGGAGCTCAGAGCGCTTGTGGCTGCTCTTTGAAGTACAGATTTGTTTTCAAGCGGGAATGTATAATATGTTTGGCGGGACTTTATTCGCCGTGTGCTCTGAGAGGACACATGGAGACTGCGGTCGATTATCAAATAATGACTGCTGGCTACTGGGAACGGGGCGAGTGATACCCTGATGAATGAAGATGTTGAATCCTGCCTAGCAGATCCACCACGGCCATAGTGACAATCTTGCACTGCTCTTCACCGGTTGGCCAGAGCTTTGAAAAATTGCTCTCAAACTCCCACCCATTACTCGATAGTTTGCTTCGTGACGAGAATGGGAAATTGTGCACTTGGTATCAGGAGAGTGTAGCTGTGGCTCTTCCGACAAATTGGCGCACCCACTATGATAGGAGGGGTTTAATAGAGCAAGGTGGGCCATCTTGTGGAGAGAAAGCCAAAGATTTGCATTCCATTGTCGGATCTTGGTCGTGAATCTACCGAACTTGCCGTGCCAATCTGTCGGGCTCCTCCCTGGCCAAGGCACCAGCAAGCCAAAGCTCAAACCATGAAGTGGCACGCTCGTCGCTACGACCAGGAACGATGTTTGCCATGTTGTAACAGTTGTGAAGATATGACGTTGCTATCATGTTCTACGTTTGAGCAAACGCTGATGTTTGTGCACCCGTCGCCTGTCCTCGGGCGGGCTATAGAGTCTAGATGGGCATGGCGCCTAATGTGAAAGCTTAAGCTAGCGCTACTGTCATTTCTTGGTCAAAGGATGGAGCGGTGGTGACGCGAGGTTTGGAGAGTAGTGACATTTCCGCATGGTGCTCCGCTTCATCTCGTCCATTCGTCCATGCCGACGTACTCCTCCTATACCCATATCAATTGCTCTCGTGCGCTCYCACATTCACTGCACTGCAGCAGCATCCTTCTCCGGTTCGACTACCTCGTCGTGAGCCGACTCCTGAAGCAGGATGCGGTAAAGGSGAAACGGCGGGAGAGTTTCACAGAAAGGTTCCAACGGCACGGGCACCAACGTTGTCGTCTCCTGCGTGACCGATTGTTTTCTTCATACCACCTCCACGCTCTTTCTTGATCCAAGGCGCAGTMGCCAGGGATCATGCCCAGCATGTTTTCGTCGTCGTCGCGTCGACGAGGTAGCAGCGCGAGCCGCACTCGGGTATGTCGAGCATCCGTGCCGCGAGATGGGAACGTTACCGCATGACTAACAGGCGCACAGTCTATGGATCAGAGTACGAGCGCCGCTGCGACTCAAGCCGCCAGAAGTGCGGCTGGCGGTCTATATCGCCCACCCTCGAGCGGGAGTTTGTCTTCAGCAGCCGCCGCCGCAGCGCTGCGATCTGCTACCACAACTCCGGAGCCCATCGGCAGCATTCAAACGAAGCGCATGGTCAGGCGCGGCTCGAATTCGTCCATTGGCAGTGGAAGTGTTATGGGACGTGGAGGGCTACAAAGGCARAACAGCAATGGGTCCATGACAGATCGCACGTTCAGATCGCCTTCACCAGGGAGTAGCATTGGGTTTGCTGAGGGCGCAAGGTCGCCAGATCCTTACGCGCCTCCGGTTCCAGCAATACCCAAACATATACCCAACGGACACCGACGCTCGTCTAGCATGGATCCGCCGCAACGAGTCATGTCGCCGGATCGAGGCACTCGGGGGCGAGGCGTTAGCGCCGATAGAGCAGGCAGCATGTCTACGGGCTCTGCTAGAAAACCACCCAGGCTTTCCGATGTGGCAGAGGAGCTGGAACGATCGGACAGCACCCGCAATACAAACTTCTCCAGACCGCGACAGCTGAGCAGCCCCATGGGATCGCCAACAATGGACAAGAAGTTCACCCACAGTGCTGGAGCGTGGCATTCAGAGCCGATCGTTGAAAAGCCGGTAAACAGACAGAGCGCGCGTGCAGCGGCATTGGATCAGAAGATTGCAAGAATACAGGCTGCTGCTGGACAATCGGGCAGAAACGGCAGCTTGAGGTCTGCTTCTCAGCCCGCAAATCTTACAAGAGCCAATCTGGAGGCTGCATCGGCCGCTGCAGACGACTACGAAACGATCATGGTCTTCGACGCGGGCTCTCGAACCTTCGTTCCCCAAAGGCGACTCAAGGTGATCTCCAATGAACCATCATCACCCGTTCTTCCTCAGGCCCCTGCACTGAAGCCTGGTCAGTACGACCCCAGCACACGTACAATAGTGCCCCACCCAACGCCCGCGCCCACGCCCGCTGCTCGCCAAACGCAGCCTGCTCGCAGCCAACGACGAGTTCCGGCTGCGCTGGACACAAGCCTCGAGCCGCCTCCACGCAACCCTGCACGTCTCTCTCCCACCAGCAGCCCGACGAGTCCGCGCCATACTTTGCAGAAGCATCCATCTGTCGTGCATGAGAGACTTGACGAGGACGAAGAGTTGTCTAGCTCACGAGCCTCGGAATATGCAGACAGTGGCAAGGTTCTTCAGACGTCGGCAGGGCCTGCTGTGGCGTACACAACTCCCACAACAAAGCCGAGGTCTTCAAGTCTGGACGTGCCACGAGGTGCTATGAACGGGTCCTTCAGGGGAAGACATATTTCGACCTCGCCCAGTCCCCAACGAGCGCGATTTTCGGCGTCTCCTGTCGTCGGGACTACCATGCATGACCCGCCATCCCGAGATCTTTCACCTGTAAAGTCAGCCATGAAGCACTCTCCTGCGCCTTCTGCCCGCGCCGCTTCTCCACTGGCACACTACTCCAACCCAAAGTCGCCTTCAAGTGTGACGTCTGACACGCCTTCTGTTACTTCCAATGATGGCTCCGCCAAGAAAAAGAAATCCGTCAGAGTTAGCTTCGATGAACAACCGAAAGTTACCACCCTTGCCAGCCCCAGCGCGCCCAAGACGTTTGAGGATATTGACGACGACGACGATCTCATGAAGCCAAGGCCAGCTTTGCCGAGCTTTSGTAGCGTGCGAAAGAACAGAGCCAATCCTGAGTTCGCCGAAAAGGTTACAGAAATGGCACCAGAACGGAGTGTGGGCAGCAATCACGCTGTGGGTGGCATCTTTGCCAATCCTAATGGAAACGCCAATCCCAAGGAGGAGCCGGTGGTGCCCAGTATAGAGGCCACTGAAGATATCAGCGACAGCGACTACTCTGCCGATGAGCAGGCCGACCCTTCCACAACGTCCTCCTCCAATGCTGACGATGCGGGGGTCATTTCTCGGGACTTTGCTCCCGCCAAGGTTGCCGAGACCAAAACGGACAGTAACGTGCCCAACATCACCCTCCTGCCTCCCACCCCGGCGGTGGAGCTCGAGAGTTGGAGCGCGTCTGCTTCTGGCGACGCATCTTCTAAAGCTCGGCTTTCCAAAGAGGTGGTCCTACCAGGAGGGTGGAACACAGTTGAAAACGAAGTGGATGCTGATAGCGATGCTACCGAAACACAAGAGGCCTCAAATTTACATGCCATTAACGAATTTGGCGACAGTGATGACGACGAGGCAGCTTTCAGCGACGCCGCGGAGGAACAGTCGGATGTGGAAGGAGGTTTCGCATCTTTGGATGCGATCGCTGTCAGCCCTATTGTCACTACTTCGAAAACATCCAAGACTATCTCTCCGGAGAGTCCGTCTGCTCACAGGGCCACAAAGAATGTCGAAACCGATGATAATGGCGACTGGTCTCAAGCAACTGCTTATTGGTCCACACTCAGCAGACAGCAACGTGAACAGATAGAGCGCGAGCACTTCTCTTCTGATGACGAAGGACGCCCTGTGCCAGCCGTGAAGAAGACCAAGAAGAAGACAGCGCCCAAGCAAAACGCCGGGCTGTCTCCTAATACTGCCGCTGCGACGCAGAAGTCTTCACTAGCTAGCTCCACCGCCCACCCCGCGAAGCCAGCGTTGAAGAAGACTATGCGTGCGCAGCCCGAAGAACACCCTGTGGAGAAGCAAGTCCACATGCGTTCATCCATGCGCGCAGGTGGAGGCAGTGGTTTGGTTTCAACGCTGCGCGATGGGCAGCAGTCCACTGAGCGGCCGGGCTCGTTGCAGAGGAAAACCATGCGCAATGCACGGAACGACGATGCAACTTCCATGGCAGATGCCAGCTCCCACGCACGTCAAGAGAGCCAGTCTTCCATCTTGTCTCAGCCCAAGAATCATACTAGAGCTTCAAGTCAGCCAGCTCAGTCGATGTCCGCCAGGTTGCAAAAGGAGCTTCGAAAAGCAGATGATTCCGATTCGGACAGCAGCTTCAAGAAGCAGCGCCGCAACGCGCGCACTCACGCCGGCTTTGCCATGAAGTCGAGCATGCGTGGTGGCTCAGAAGATGTTGAACGTGCTCCCAAGCGAGCTGTCTCGCCAACTCCACCAACTCGCGCGAAAGGAAAAGACTCTTTCAGTATACGCTCTCTGTCACCGACCGGATCCCTGTTTGGGCGGAAGAAGATGAATAGGGATCCTCCGGCTCGGGCTGCCTCTGTTGATCCAGGAAGCAAGACTTTGCGTGGGTCTCAGCCCCAAAAGAGCTCGTTCAGGACTCCAACCGCGGCTCCAGCCCCTGCCAAAAACWCTGGTTCGAGATTTAAATCTCGTTTCGCAGACTCGGATGATGAAGATGATGAACCTGCTCCGGCCAGTGGTGGGCGATTCGCAAGCCGATTTGGAGACTCGGACGATGAAGATGATGTATTCACACCGGTCAAGTTGGCCCCCGTGCGAGGCATTCCCCGACGCAATGGCCAGAACGACGGAGATTCGACTGACCTTTCCGATGAGGATGAACAGGCTGCAATGACCAAGCGAGAGAAGTTCAACTTGCCGATGGTTCCGGATCCATCCGACGTCGACAAAGCAATRGAAGCTGCACGCAAGAAGCTGGGTATCGTTGAACCTCCAGTTCAGATCGGCAGTGAGGGCGGTGCTCTGGCGCAGGGCAGCTTGAGGGGTAGCACTCATGAGGCGAATCCGGCCTCCATTTCAACGGCAGGTGCTGCGGATGCAGCTCCGAAGAAGCGCGGGTTCATGGGCAGTATCTTGCGCCGTAACCGTGCGAGCACAGCCTCCATTCCTKGATATCGGCTTTCAACGAGCACACCCTCCTCTCCAAAGGTCTCTACATCCACAGCTCCACCTACCGTTCCAGACATTGCTGCGCCGGGCAGTCCAACAAGCCCCGGCAAGCTTGTCCATGGTGCTTCCTACCAGCCTCAGCCGCCCCGCATGCGTCGTGGCGACTCCACGTACTCCAATGCCACTGCGCCGCCCGCCACGGGCGAGAGCAACATCGGCGATTGGCCTCTACCCCCAGTGCCAAAACTTCCAGACGGCTATGGTGACTCAGATCGGCCCAACACCTCCGAGGGAACTGGGGTGAGATTTGCAGAGGGTGCTCAGGTATACAGTGCCAGGACTGGCAAGAAGAAGAAGTTTTCTATGTTGAGAAAGGCATTTGGTCTACATGACTAACACCCCTCTCCTAATGTTTAATTGTCGCGTTCCTTGGCTGAGCCATTGCAGAACGCGTGTTGAAGGAGAAAATCAGCCTCCAGAGACGCGCCTCTTGGGATGTCGTCATCATCGTGCAAGACGCACACTTAATTTTCCTTCTAGATTAATAGGTCTTGTAAATAGTCGCGAGCGGAGGAGGAGAATACCCAGTCGGAGATGCTTTTTGCGTATACAATATCCTTACTTCTTTCAGCCTCATTTCCGGGCCCCTGCCGTGCTGGAGCTGCCCTCGGCGATTATATGCTGCTATTGACAGCTCAAGAACACCACGCGAAGCGCCGGCTTGGACCGCGTATTCGCATCTGAAGTGCCTCTGCGTGCACGTCTCTCTGCTTCGGCTTCGACTTATCTACTTTGCATAGCAGTACATGATTGTTGAAGCAGCACAGCCGCAGGACTCCCCATGAAGTCCAACTCGATCATGGATTGGTTTTTGCTTTGCAAAATGTGAGACTTGCCCCTGGACTGACACTGGGTGAGCCGCACCAGGAATGTAGATTTTGTACCAACAGTCAAGAAATGATAAGCCTCCGCCGATCCATGGTCAGATTCTTCAACGGCAAGCTGTCTGATCTATGCGCCTTTCTATTTCCCTTCATTTCACAACTCAAAACTTCTCCTCAAACGAGATCAAGATGAAATACACGCCCGAGGATGTCCACGTCCTGAACGCGGATATGAGAGGCATTTACAGGAGCTCGAGCATCGTGACGCGAGCTTCTCCAGCGCGTGGAGGGTGATGTAAGGCTTCCAGGTTGATGTTGGCATCAACTGCGAGGAGGAGGCAGAGGGTATGCGGCAACGCGAAGGTCTCTGTTGATGCAGATAGATGCGCTGCATGTTGAGGATGAGGTTCGGCGAATGGAAGCTGGCGCTCGACAATCGGTAGAGGAAGATGGGTAGTGAGGAGGTGGAGGAGGAGTCTGAGCTGGCGAACTATCAGCTGGTGTAATCGGCGATGAATGAGAAGGCCATTTACGGTCTGGTTTTCTCGTCGCGTTGTTTGAGGAAGGGCGGGAGGCTTCATGAAGGCTGTTTGCGTCTTCTCTCGTGCACTGAGAAACCTTTAGGTTGTCTCATTCGCCGTGCGAAGACTCCTTAGCATCGGCCTCGATCAGCTGGCCATGATGTCAAATGTAATCACTGCAAATATCGATTTGATTCGGCGACAATTCTGCAGTCTTTGGGAACGGGAACGGGAGGAATCTATGCCGTTGGCAGTAACACGGTCAGACAAAGAGGTGCACATGTTGTCACATAATGAAGAGAGGCGAGCAGAAGTAGGAAGTTGTGTGGAGACGCCGCGATTTTCGCGCTGCTAGCTAAATGCTGCGGCCACGGCCTAAACTCCTTTTTGTGACCTCGTCTAGTCCACAGCCTGTATGTCAAGTCCTTGCGTGATTGACCGTAAGGCCATCATATGCTTGAACAGATTACCAGTCAGAGACGACGGCAGCGCCACCATCGGCGCCATCCTCACCCTCAGCACCATTCTCAGCCCCAGCCTCATCCTCTCCAGCGTCGGAGTCGTCGTCAAAGTCGATCTCGGCGCCCTCCTCTGGCTTGAGGTGGTCAAGGAAGTCGGGAACCTCGCATCCGCACTCGATGAGGACGTTGACGAGGCCCTGAGCGAGATCTTCATCGCGGTCAGTGTAGAAGGAGAGAGCCTTGCCCTTGTGTCCGATGCGACCAGTGCGGCCGATGCGGTGAACGTACTCGGGAACGCCACCGTAATCCTTCTTGGGAAGATCGAAGTTGATGACATACTTGATGCCCGCGACATCCCAACCGCGGCAGGCAATGTTGGTGGCGACCATGATGGGGCAGCGGCCAGTGCGAAAGGCGCGACTGAAAGTTTGTTAGTGAGATTACAGGAACAGAGGACGATGAAACAACATACATGGAATCCTCACGAGTAGTCTGCTCACGGTCGGCGTGGATAGAGGTGGTTGGGAGACCCATGTTGAAGAGAAAGTCGTCGAGTTGATCGACGGCAGGCTTGGAGTTGCAGAAGATCAGAGTGCGGCCTGGCTCCTCGATGGACATGAGGAAATCAAGGCAAGCCTTGTTCTTCATGTCCGAGTCAACCTTGATGATCTCCTGGTCGATGTTCTTGTGGGACTGGCCAGGACGGCCAACGCGGATACGGAAGTGGTCCTCAGACATGAGATCTCTAGCCAATGCGCGAGCGTCTCTTGGGAAGGTTGCGGAGAACAGCATGTAGATATGGTCGGCATCCTCGTTGGAGTCTGCGAAGTACAAGTCAGCGGAGAGGTCAATAAATTGGAGAGAGGTTAGAGTCAAGACGCACCGCCGCCCTTGAGGATCTTGGTGACCTCCTCACTCCAGTCCTGGGCCAGCATCTCATCGGCCTCGTCGATGATTGTGTACTTGACACGAGACATGGTGATGAGTTCGGGCTTGTCCATGAGCGCGCAGAGACGACCAGGAGTGGCAATCAGGATGTCGCAGCCCTTGCTGAGATCGTTGACCTGCTCTGCCATTGGGTAGCCGCCATAAGCGGCACATGGGCGCAGCATCGACTTGTAGCACATGCGACGGGTCTCGTCGAAGATCTGAATGGCAAGCTCGCGGGTTGGAACAATGATGATCACGAGAGGCTCGGCGCGGACGCCGTGGCGACGGTGATCGTAGCCGGGCTTAGTGTGGTCGACTTGCGGACGAGGACCGCGCAGCTTCTTGGCCTTGCCCATGAGCTTACTCAAGACAGGGATGAGGTAGGCCGCGGTCTTGCCGGAGCCTGTGGAGGTTTTGTCAGCAAGGTCGTGCGGAGGGTTGGGAAAGGAGCGATGTACCAGTCAGAGCGATGGCCACGACATCGTGACCAGACAGGACGGCGGGGATGGTGTACTGCTGAATGGCGGTCGGAGTCCGGTAGCYGACGAGTTTGATGTTCTGGAGAACAGTGGGATGCAGGCCGGCATCGTCGAACTGGTTGTGGTCAGCAGCTGCACGTGTGAAATAGTAGATGAGTGAGGTTGGGAGTGATACTGACGTTAAAGATGGGCTGGAAGTGAAAGGGACCATCAAGGTTGACCTTGACCTCCTCGAGAGCATCCATGTGCTCGCCGACACGAGCCTGATGCTCTGAGCCGAACAGGATGGCCTCGAGCTCAGGAACATCGGGAGCGACCTCGCCAAACTCATCATTCCACTCATACTTGCCGCCGCTGCCGTACCACTCGCCGTCGCCGTTCTGGCGAGTGTAGTCCATTGGCGTGGTGTCGACCCAGCCATTGTCGCGGGCCTTCTGGAAGTTCTCGGCCTTGATGGCGTCGTTCTCGGCGCGCTTGGCCTCGATGCGCATCTTCTGAGACGGAGTGGGAGATGCGGCGCGAGCAGGCGGCTCGGAGCCACCGCCGTTGGAGCCACCGAAATCAGACATGCTGATCTGGTGAGGTGTTGTGGGTTACTTGAGTGAGTGTGGGTGATGAAGGAAGAGCTGTTGTGATGGAAAGATGGTGGAGGGTGATGGAGGTCGGAGAGGATGTTGATGGAAAGGTGTTTGGAGGGGAAAAACAACCAGCTTAAATAGTTGCGTTCGTACTTTCGGGAGCGTCCGATCAAGGTCTTGATGGGGGTTAGATCACCGCCGAGAGGGCGTTGGCACGGCAAGGATGGAGCTAGTAGCAATCATATGCAGGGGCGGAACACGCCCGTGCAGACGCCGCCAGCAGATTGCTGCTGCACAGCGGCGACAGCGTGAGATGGGCGATCAGAGAGAGCCGTCTCCTCAGGCACATGGGCGGTAATGTGTCCAAGGGGCATGCCGGTGAGGTGAAGGCAGTGAGGTAGGGGCGGCGAGGTGAGCGGCGACGGATAGCATGAGGACGAGAAGGACCAGTGAGGGCAGCAGCGTTGACACGAGGCAGAGGCAGCAGACAGCGAGGACTACGCGGCTGGGCAGCATGCTCGCACGACGATAGGGCCTGGCCTGGAGAACATACCCTCCGAAAGCGGTGCACAGCTGGCCACGGCCACCACGATATGAAAAGGAGGTCGGGCGACATGCCTCGCATGGTACGGCATAGGATAGGCTCCAGTGAAAAGGATAGGAGGCGGAGGCGCAAACGGGCATCATAGCAGAGCATCCTACAGGAATGGAAATCATGAGCGGAGCACCAGATGGCACAATACACAAGTTCCATTATAGGAGGCAGGTCTTCGAGGCGCCTCGCACGCGGTCTTTCAGGTCAATGGGGAGACCTTTGTGGAGCGGTGACACCATGGTCCAATAGTCCTTCAACGGCTCCCTAGCAGTGAGATCCAACCCAGTCCTTAGGGATCTGTTGAAAGCATCCATAGATCATAGGTACCAGTACACTCGGCAGTGCTAATGGAAGCTACGGAGAGGAGATCGAAGAAAGGATACAACTTGCACGGCTTTCATGCCATCTTCTCATCTCCTCTCCAGCGTTGCTTGGGTGAAGAGAAAGGAGAGACACGAACCAGAACCTACGTGCAGGGTCGACTTGCCACCCATGCGGCCGAGAGCAGTGTAAGTAGGACTTCCATATCTGAAAAAGACAGCACGAGACACCGGCAGCATAAGGATGGAGGCACTCAAGTCTGACAAGTCCGGAGTGTCTCGCATCATCCTTGGAGAAACTGCCTACTGGCACAGTTCTCAGGGGCAAGAAATTCCATACGGTAGCAGTCCTGTTCACAGTGCATCCTTCCGCAGGTGTCTAGCAATCCTCAAAGTATCACACTGTGAAGAACTTCGTTTCGAGGCCGCAGGTCCTACGGCTCCGCAATTCCAGCCTAACGCATCCATTCCGAAGACAAGCATCCCTAGAGGAAGTGTCATTCGCACTGGCTCGAGGAAATCGAGATGGAATCCCCAAAAGATCTCAGAGCTGCTATTGCGGCGGGGGAGTGCCTCAACAAAACACACTCCTCGGCGGCGGGCATTCCGCTTGCATCTCACCACACACGACAGCGGCAATCTGGCAATCAAAGTCGGTGTGGCAAACATCGGGAAAGAGCAGACAGGAGATCTTGCCGTGCCCTACAGCCGCCGCAGCCTTGAGCCTCGCAGCGCCCACACCACCAAGCGACAGAGTAAGAACGGCGACAGTCCGGTTGCGACAACCACCGCAATGGACCGCACCTGATGCAGCATTCGGAAACAGGCCGCACCGAGCACCGCTCGATCCGAAAAAACCATAGCAGCGAGCGGATCTCGAGCGTATATCCGTCCGGCAGGATAGTTCGGTCCAGGACAGCAATCATGCCGCACCATTGGAGCTGGCATTGAAAGTAGCTCACACACCATTGGGGCAAGCCATTCGGGGAAGTATTACTTGCTCCTGAGTGAGCGGCCAAGATGCCGAGCGAAAGGCTTCTGCGTTGGAGAGCGGCGTGCAGACAGAGAAATATGCTGGAAGCAAGCTGCTCACGATATTCTTGGGACACGCACTATGCTATCGACTGCTAGCCAGCGGAGTTGTAGCGCTTTCTGCCAGATTTGGGCCAAGACGGTATATGGAATGCGGCCTGAGCGAACATGTGGAGCCACCAGGATACACTGTTCCCGCGAGGCATCATAATGAGGTAAAGCAGCATAGCAAGCTTCCGGCTTTGATCTCCCAGCCTGTACCAGAAGAATGCGCCAGATATTGAGGAGACCACCAAGAGCCGACCATGGGATCGTGAGCTCCCCGATATTATCCTCCTGTCTCGCGCTGGGTTTAGAAGGGGCGCAACCTTTGATAAAATTGCCTGCGTGACCACTGGATCATCGACTGTGTGCGCTGTAGAGAAGCAGCGATTTATGCTTGTGATTCAAGTCGCTGCTATCCTGGGCACCTCAGGCGAGCATAAGAACGTCTCTGGGAGTGCTCAAGCGATCGTACTATGAAGAATCTTGCTTGCAAATGTGCGGCCGATCCTGGGCTTGCATAAGGTATTTTCATACCCTTCAATGCCCTGCGCAACCATCGATTACTCTCGACTGGCCATGAGTACCGGTCTGGGTGCTGAAAATCTAGACCAACTAGTGGGCCTGTAAATGGACGTTGACTCGACTGCCAGGGAGCGTTGCTAAAGCAGAAACCCCTGAAGGCGTGAGCTCTGTCGAAACAGCAGGGAGTCATTTCGTCGACGAACATGTTTTCTCGGCTTCATGCCAACATCTTCAGCTCCTCATCAGAGTGCCTTCGATCCTGWCACTCGAGCATGACCCAATGCTTTCTGCGAGCTGTCTGGGTCCAATCCAGGTCAAGTCCAGGTCCGGCTCCGGCTCCAGTATCCAGGGACAATCCGTTGGAATTCAAGATCGACCGCAACTCTGGTACTTCCTCCGATAACGAATGGCAAGTATCGAAGACAGGCAGCTTGAAGGTCCTTCGGTCAAGCTTTCATGCTAGGCATCATGCCTCCTTTCCAATCTACCATGGTGCAGACTGCGATCCTTGCGGAGTACTCAGCCGAACATCCCATCCACAAGACTTTGGCCCTTGCTACCAAAGGTTCACCCAGGGTTCGGTTGCCTCTGTTGAGTTTTGAAGGGTCTCGTAGGCTGCCACGAAAAAGGTTGCCACCCTGAACTGAGCCACAGCTGTTGCCGCAAGAACAATCTCGTCACCGGCAGATGATTCATTCGTTCAGGTATCAGATCGCAATGATCTCTGTGAGATGAGACGCTTGCTCAGCTCCGAATGGTGAGGKTCCTGGAGATTCGGTAATGATACCGCGGCTGCATCCTTGCGCGCATATCATAAGCCGATGCGGCAGTATCATTTGGTACATCGAGAGTACACAGGTTGTAACGTCTGCGTCTTACGATAGCGACGAGCCCGTATCTGCATGGATGATTTGCAGGCCAGCCGGCTTCCCACCGCCTCGAACATTGAATGTCTCCGACTCTCGAGTTCTATGTTGCTACGGCGCTTCTTGCTGCCAGTGACAAAGGCATAATGACTCCGCGTTGTCTGGAGTACGACTGTTGTCGTTGTGCCACCTTTCACCAGTKCGGCTGGTTGCGTCGCAGCGATCTGCTCGGATCTGACCAGCTTGCACAGCCATGGCTCCTTTCGACACACTTATCTAGCGTGATCAGTGAGCTGAGTGTATGCATATTACACGGAATCGAGCGTCGCGAGAGTGCTGCGGTTGTGGCGATGCATGGCGATGTAGCGACGTTGTGGTGTTCGAGTGTCGAGTAGGCAGGGTAGAAGGAAGCTCGGTGCATAGCGGAGGAAGGGATTCGACGGAGGTTTGGCGGGGTGTGATCTCGAAACCATGCGGCATGCAATCTTGGGGATTCTTTACAGGATCTATACCGCGCATCAACGTACATCCGCTGGTGTGGTTGTGGTGGACCAGCTGGAGTCTGAGGGTTTTCGAATTGCAAGGGAGTGACGGAAAATCTTTCATCCATGCTCCACTTGTTGTGAGACTGCAGGTGTGGCGCTGCCAGGCTGATGCTCCAAGCATCGATAGCGATATCAAGACGACGACGTCGAGTCCGACAGCTGTGTGTTTCGGAAAGCTACCGGTTACGAKGCAGCCAGGACGCGAACAGCAGCAGTGACTTGCTCCTGGCTATTCCCCGCCGCGCCAATGGTCACGCCAATGTAATCCTGTCGCATGATTGACACTCAACAGAAGCCACTGTATCTCTCTGAAAGTCGAAAGATCTTGACTGACCCATCTCCATARCCCATCTTGGGCTCGTCTCCTAGCAGATCAACGCTGGCACGATCGTGGCCTTCCGGAGCTGTCTTCGAGCTGGCAACATCCAAATGGCAACGTACGGCGACCGAGMAGACGCGCTGCCGCTACACGGTGTAAGTAGCCTGCAAAAGGCAACTTCGCATACCTGCTGCCACCAAGGGAGCTCCGATCAGAAGGTAAGTCAGGTCGCTTCGTTAATCTATATTTTCTTCATCATCTATCCCATTCCTGTGTATTGAACACACGCCTCGCGGCTACCCTATGCCTGCCTTCGTTTCCCTTCCCTCAGAGATTCTTCTGCTTACGCCGGAAGAAGCGGCTCGTGTCTCCCATTGGGAAAGAAAAGTTGAGAGCCTCTTGACACATCAAGTTCGCCACAGTATAGTAGCCTAGCATCCCTGATGCGAATGCAAATGCGCCACCGGCAGTGTTGATTGCTTTGGCTAGATCTGCGTTTCCATCTGCAGCGACGAAATACCCAGCTGAAACGAGCGTAAATGCGGCCTGAACAGTGGCGAAGATACCAATGTACACAAGGTTAAGAGGCAGCGATCCAATGAGGAAGAAGAAATTCCAGACGGACCACACTGTTGAGACACTCTAGTCAGCCAGTACCCTCATCAGATGCGCGAGGGAAGCAACTCACTTAGGACGAAGAAGCCGAGAGCGTTGTTGTATCCCACGGTATCCGAGCCACCATAGGCCTCCGCAACACCAAAGTAGGGTGTCAAGATGACACCAAAACCGAGGTAAAAGAATCCAAAAGCTGAAAGCACGGTGTAGGCATATGTGTTACCCAGAACTATTTCCCAGTTTGCAGAGATTACCATCCCGATTCCTGCCACTCCGAAGAAGTTGCCAACGAATGCGTTCGTAATGCCCACATCGCGAAAACCCATGAGCGCCATTCCGAGGGTCGAAAGGGTCGTTGAGAATGCACCAATTGCGAGAGCGGTGGGGCTTCCAAGCTGCGATTTTATCGTGATAGGCACAGGGATATAGTATGGCTGTTGTGACACACTGCCATTGCCATTGCTTAGAGACGAGTTGGGTGAGGGACCGACAGCAATGCTGCCGGCCGCAAGCTTCTCATAAAAGTCGGCATTGGTTTCGATATTCTTCAAAGCTTCGAGCTGCTCTATGCGATTGTCGTGCGGCATTTTGAGAGGAGGTTTAAAATGTTTGAAAGGTGAAATACAAGTAACTATACCGTTGAAGAAAACATGGGCTGATGCCGCTTTTTATCACCGGCGATCAAGCGAATTGCGCCTTCACGCGAACATACCCACGCCCCGGAGGCCACTCGTTCGCGTATGGCAAACGATAGCGCGATGCCGAAGTTTATATGTTGAGCAATGGCGGGCGTGGAGCACGCAATTCCGGGGGCGGGAAAATCACGATCGGACCCATTCATCGTTGTTTTGTGGAGTTCAACTACCTGTACGATTCGACGGGTCATAYACACCAGGACTCAAGGTCTTGTCGGTTGGGATACTCGCCATGAGTGGTGTGCATTGTCGCAAACCTCACGGATTGCTGTAACTGTATTGCGAGACTTGGATTTTGATATAGGACGCAGCGGAAAGCGTCGGAGATGATCCTGGTTGAAAAGCAACGGTGGCCGGGTCTCATCAACGCAAAGGTACAAGTGCTGGACAAACTTACGCTAGTCTTGGTCTTGGTTCAATATACAGTGGCCCTTCTTCTGTATGCATTCATCTACTAGCATTCCCTATGCCATGAATTAAGCGTCGCTATCACACCGAACACAACAGAAGAGCTGTGGAGAATGGAGAGGTTGAGGCAAGGGCAATCTGGGTTTGAGTCTGAGCTGTTGCAGATTTAAAGTCGTGGGATGCTCCATCTCCAAGGACATCGAGCACCAACTCAGCTCAGCTTCCATTCAGAATCACCGCTTCGCCCTCATTCCATCTCAACCCTCGCAAGCGATTACAGCAGTCCAGACGATTATCATCGCCACCTACTACGAAGGTGTGTCTGGGACGAAAGGATTGCACGCTACGTGCTTTGCCTCGACTCCCTACAAATTTTGACGACAGGACTGCATATACTTGCCTTGCCTTGACTCCCAGTGCGAGCTGAACGAATGCTCTGCGCCTTCACGCGGCGTCCATTGCTAAGTACCACTTCTGCGAGGGAAACCAACACAGACCAATTCCTCTTTTCTACATCAACAAAGAGACACACTAGGGCCCATCACGTCCAGGACGACGACAACGCAGCTAAGGACCAGCGCAAGCGGGACCTTGATGCCTACAACGAGACGATGAATTCTGGTGCTGCAGAGGAGAAGCGGGTGCTTATCAATTGACTCTCCACGTGCACTGTCTGCTCGCCGGTTTCTCCCTCATCCTCAAGACGCTCGATGTTGTTGACCTCAAAAACTCTCACAGTTGATGCTATTACTATTGCGACTTCGGGCATGACCGAACGCAGCGGAAAGGTTCAGAGATGATCCTTGTTGCCGGAAAATGGCTATTAGGTCTGATGAAAATACCGACATTCATGACGGCATATGCTACACAACTTCTAACTAGTCTCGGGTCTTATCATTTAACATGCAATCGTCCTTCTGCGTGGAATTTGGTATCCATTAACTTCAGCCTCGCTCGAGCGCTCAACCCAACACACTGAACACAAGAGCTGTGAAGAGCGTCATGCCAACGCCAAACGAAATTATCGAGAGTTGGCTGCCAGTGCCTGGCTGGGAGGTCTGCGCGCTGGCAGACTCGTCCGATGTTGGAGAGCTCGATCCAGATGTCCCAGAGGATCTGGTTTCGGTCGCGCTCATCTCACTCATGCTCGTTGATTCATCAGACGTGGATATTGATGCACCGCCCGAGGAAGTCTGACTGGCCGAATCATCGCCTTCCGTCGCCAGATAGCCGCTTGGTGGATCGCCGGACGTGAAGTAGTACGACTGGCCATCTTCAAGCGTTGTAGCGACCGCATTGGGCGCAGAGGTCGTCAACAGATAGTATGCTTCGTCTTCGTCATATCCTGGAAGACCTCAACATCAACGCTGCTTGCGGTCCCTCATTGTCGCCCACTCACCAACAAAGTTTGTCTCACCGTTATCGAGGATTTGGCCGATGAGAGTGTAGRTYKCGGTGGT